TGAGATCTGTTCTGTTCTGTTCTGTTTCAGTCTGTTCCGTGTCAGTTCTGTTCAAAGTTCCGTTTCTGAATCTGTTTTCCGAGCACTTCTGAAGTGTTCTTGAGTCGAGATAACCTGCGGGAGTTAGTTGGAGAACCCCTACATACAGTTGTGTAGCGAGCGGGCTAAGTCAGTGCTTGCCTGTGGTGTTCTTTTAGCGAGCTCACTAAAGTTTCGGCGTGTATTGCCTCTGTTTCTGTTGGGATCAGTGTCCCTTGTGTATTATAACTCAAATCTGCCTTGAAGGTTGCGTCGTGCCAGTGAACGACCTTCCTGTAAAAAGTTCCTAGACTTAGGAATTCATTAGAGAAAGCTTAGCTTTGCTAAGAGCGCTGAGAATAAGAGAAACTCTTCGAGATATTGAAGTATAGTTGGATCGCATTAGGAATAATCGCTCCCCCTAGAACTTACGAGGGTGATTGTAGTTTGTGTAGTTGTGTGAGTGTGTGTGTGGGTTTTTGAGGTTCGCCTTTTAGCCTGCTCACTATTCCACAGGTGCCCACAGCCAGCCTCTTCAGTGGGTTAACCAAGAACTCGAAAAGTACCTTCGAGTCTTCATTAACCACAAACAGGACGACTGGAGCGAATGGCTGCAGTGGGCAGCGTTCACTCACAATAACCGCCAACATTCTGCAACGGGCTTTTCTCCCATCAAAGTAGTCTATGGATGAGATGGAGAAATTCGCCCAACTGCGGTGAGGCAGTTGGAAACACCATCGGTAACTGACTTTGTCGAAAGCCTCCAAAGAGTATGCAAGCAAGCAGAAGACTCTTTGAATAAAGCTGTCGAAGTTATGAGAAAGGCTTACGACAAACACACTCGACCTGCGCAGGAGTACCAACCAGGAGATAAAATCTGGTTGGACTCAACCAATCTTCACCTCCCCCGACCGGCAAAAAAGCTAGGCGACAAACACATCAGCCCCTTTGAAATCATTTTCAAAAAGGGGCCCTCCGCATACAAACTAAAGCTGCCGCCAGGATGGAAAATCCACAACAAGTTCAACAAACGATACCTAACTCCATACATCCCCCCGGAGTTTTCCAACCAGGAAAAGCCTCTGCCACCCGAGCCAGAACTCGTGGAAGGCGAAGAAGAATATGAAGTAGAGGAACTACTTCAGGACCGCGATTGCATCATCAGTCGAGGACACAGCCAGAGGACCATAACGGAATATTTGGTCAAATGGAAGGGATATCCAGTGGAGGAAGCTACTTGGGTCAAAAGGAGCAATCTCGCCAATGCCGAAGAACTTGTCAAGGAATACGAGAACAAAGAAGACCACGTACAGGATCACAATTTGTGACACTTGGAAAACAAAGGGGGATGTATAACCATATCATCTCCTGGCTCTTCAACCGAGAGCTCAACACTCTTTCCAGTCCCAAACAGGAATCATACTGATCCATTATCCTTTGACGAGCAGGACTTTTATTCATCGGACACGGATGAAGACGTCTTTGAAGATGAGCATTCCGAGTCTCCTCTAACGACTCAGACCGAACCCAGCTTCCCTCAAGAAGAATGGGGCATGTCTGCTTGGAAACAAATCAAGGACTACGAATGGGATACAGAATCTACTAACTCCCTCGACACAGGGAGTGAATACATCTAAAGGACTGTTGGGACGACAGTCTTAGTCGGGGGGTATTATTATGGTTTTACCCCTATTTTCCTTATCTTATCTTATCCTTATCCATCGGAACCCCAGACCTACCTATCTTATCTCTCGGACCCACAATACTCCACCAGCACACTCTTTACCCGATTACCCGGCTGCCATCACCCCAGTTCACGCTGCCGCCTCCCATATGACCAGTGACCCACATGTGCCATCATGCTTCTCTTGATGGCATCATGCTTCTTAGTAGTTGGATGAGAGTCGACCGCCAGTCGAGGGTGGTCTACAGGATGCAGCCTATTCAGACAGAGTCCCACGCAGATGCAGGTGATATGCGCTCTTTACTCTCATTTGTCAGGAGTACACTTCTTTTAGTGTCCTCCCTCCTCATTCATTGAAAGGTGCACTTCTCACTGCACGCGCCCTTGTAGACACTATTCTTAGTACAAGTCTAACATGTATCTAAGCTAGCCTACGCTGTGGCCTTAGACCCCAGCTTTGGCTAAGGTTATATACTCCTAACTCTTACAAGCTCCTTGCTTTTGCTATAAAGTGACGCCTAGCTCCTCGCAATCTACCGACACCTCTCTAACACTGAATCACTGAACGCGAGTGACAGGATAGAGATCAGCCTTGGTAAAGGTTTGAGTTAGTGCTTAACACTTCGCTGTGACCTCCGCCAAGATCTCCGACTCTGACTTTCCATCTTCATCAACCTTGATCTCGACAATGTCGGTCCAGAGCTTCTGATGTGTGAGCTCGGCCTCCATCATCACTCACCATTCTGCAAAGTTTCCGACTGATAACTTGGGAAAACACGCACCAAACAACTCGTCTGACATTTTGCTCTATAGGCGATCTTGACATGGCAAACAACGAATGTGGAGAGCAAAAAACGAACAACTGGACCGTCTTGTGGACCAGAAAAGCGAACAGCCGGACCATCTCGTGGTCTAGCAAGTGACAAAGGTGATCTCGACACCAGTGTTGGGGTGGCAGTGTAGCGATAGTCTCGAGAGTCAGCACAGAGAACAAGAGTGACAAGGACTGTGGGTTATGCTGCCTGTTTGTGTTGAGATAAGTGGTAATTCTCCAGCCGCTCACCCGGATATAGCAGGGAACCCTCACAAACAGGCGAGGGTCATCGTTGTTTGTCTACCTATTTATCTACATGCCGTGTACACTAATAGAAGCAATATGATGTAATAAGGAAAGCCGAGGAGGAGAACAGATGAACAGTGCTTCCTACTGAAGATCCCAACATCGACTGCACTATGATGCGCGACACTTGACATTCCAACAGAAACATACCAAGAATGAAAATTTTATGCTAAGCGAGCTGCTCTATGACCAAAGAACTGTGCGTCTGGGATCGGAGGAAGTTGAAACTGGGGCAAGAGGCCTACATGGCAAAAGGCAAGAGAATTTCCAACGAGTTAATGAAGTTATGTCAGCAATTCTCCCATGAAGTGACGTGTGCTTTTTCTGGCCACTGAAAAATAGAAGAAATTTTATACAGTGAATAAAGGTCTAGAGAAGGGAGAATCAGTGATTTATTATTGGCTATCTCTGTTGCAGCGCATCATGATCCGCAATGTGCTTTCAATGTTGCACCGGACCGTATCCCATCAATCACATGTATTTAGACCCGGCCCGAAGCTTCCCTAATTACAACATCGAGATTCAACACGCTGGATTCATCTTCTATTATTAGCTTCATGTTGTAGACGGATACACCGCACTACACAATACAGAAATGCCCAAGATAAAATTTCCAGAATACCACCCGAAACTTCAGTGATACGCGACCATTCGTGAACCACGTCGGGCAGCTGTTTTGAATGCTTCTAGAGATAAATTTGAAAGCGCGAAGACCAGATTACTATTGGAATCGGAAAAGGCGAACACAATTGTGAAGCTGCCAAGAAAAACGAAGCTCATGGAGAGGGAAGGGGATGATAAAAGCGACTGCAATTGACAGGTGCCAATGACGAAATCAACCGCTATTGGCATCGGTCGGCAGTGAAAATCGTCGATATTGGACTGCGAATATTGATGATGCAAGGTAGGCAATGTGCATAGTTAGTTATTCCGCTGAGTGAACAAACGGCAAAGGAAGTTGCGTGCAATGCTAGAAACAATGCTTAGACGAATCTAGAATCTAGATGAATCAGTAGGGGCCGGCAATCACGGTAAAACGTGGCCCGGAAATCCGGAGTCCAAGAATGGATATCAATTTGATATTCACGCCGCGTTCTCTTGATGATCAACCACTAGTGCCTGCATAAACGTCAGCGCTTCGATCCTTACACCGATGCTCAGCTCGAAGTTCCATGCCACGAATTCCTAGGCATGGCGTAATACCGAACCTAGTATTTTCCTATGTTTGCTTCGACTCTGAACTATATCTAGTTAGCTTGTGTCGCGTCATCTACCACTTGCTTTGAGTGTCTGATGGATTTTAGTAACGCATTGGTCTGGGTACGTGTGCTTTCCCGTTCCGCTTCCTGTTATTATCCACGTGTACATTAGACCATTTCTGTCGCTCTCGCATAGGCACGGAAGCTCAGAACGCTCGAATTTCTCAACGTTTATTCGATTTGGGAACGCTAGGACAGTTTCTGTTTCCGGACACATTGACCGGACCTGGTGTGTACCTATCTTGAATTTTCTCTGACGTCGTTACAAATTTCCTATGCAGCCTCTATGATATAGAACTCTTGTTCTCCCTATGTGTCAACTTGAAGGCCTTCACCGGAACATGCGTCTATGGTATGGCAATCGACCTCGTTAGCACATTTCTACCCACTGGTTTAAGAGGTGCTCTGTGGAAGTCAAAACTTGCCATGCGTGCCGCTGCGACGTCGTTCAAGAATAGGTACTGCAACTGCAGGGGTACAAAAATGTTCAGGCGAAAACTCTGCCTCTTTAGCAGGTGTACGAGGATAGATTTTTCAGAGGATATTGGTATGTTCTTTATCAAAGTGCGTTCTTGCTGCCACTAACCTAGATACAGCTCTTGCGTTCGAGGTCACCTGGCCTTGCAACCCTTCATGAAGCAACGGTACAGCCGACGGTAGCTACCAGCCATCTCCCGAACTGCGTGTTTTTTCTTCCGTGTATGCGACGAAGATTATTCTTCGAAGGATTTCCTGGGAGATGGGGAGGAGTTAGTCAAGACTTGGCTGGCTACTGCAAAAAGGGACAGTGAGTGTCATACTACCCTAGTTTACTCTAAATCTTGACTCTCATCGTAGGCTTGGCTGGTCCTGCGCGAACCCCTTCCATAAATCACGGTACTAGCTCTTCCACGCCGTCGTCCCACTAGAATACATCATCATGGGTGCTAGCGCTGCCTCCGCTTTGGTGGGCAGTATCCTCAGCACTAATCAGTTCAGTGTTCATCTTCACGGACGGCGGTATATGGTACCTCGTCCTCCTCTTTTGAACAAGGGCGATCCTTCCCAGCCGATGAACCCTGGAATTAAATTGCTAAGTATATCTACTGTTTATCGTCATCCAGCTGTCTCTTATGGATATACAGTTTTGGACTTGCTATTTCGATGGAATACGGCGAGTACCTTCGAGGTCACCGTTAATGGTTCGATGGATTTAGGATCCTTGTCTACGTGTATCCCGTACGTTGAATCTCATCCGCATCATCTCGTTCCGTGGCGTTTGTTGATTCCTCTCCTAGGTTGTGTTATGTGCAGTCCCACTTTGCCGATTTGCAAGCAGGGACTTTATATGCGGATGACAGCGATTTCATATGAGCGCCTTGTCCTTCAAGGTTGGTTTTTTCCTCACCTGTTTCTCATGAAGCTCATTACGATCTCAATAAGCCAGGATTCGTCGTTGCCAGTACGTTCCCGGTCACGGTTTTATTCACCAAAGTCTGATGTTCCATGTAGGATACGACCACGGTGACAGTTAATGATGCTATCGCCCACTCTCGGATGGACCTCGTGATTTTCCATGGGATACAGCATGTGTGGGATTGGACGCATGGCGTCATCACACCATTATATGTATTCCCACTATCTCGCTCAACCTGGCGATACGACTATGGAAACGATTCTTCGGACATAGCTCATCCCTTTATTCATCGTTTCTCCACTCTTATTCGATGCTTCTTGAACCTACTGACTGTGATATTTTCCCCTCGACTTGAATTCCCTGTCTCCAGATTAAGCGTCTGGATCTATCGGGATGACCATTGGGGTCGATTCTTGCTAGCCCAGATGGCGAGCCAGCTTTATCTTAACGCCGATGTATACAACCTGTCAAAGTATGGATCGGGAATTGATCATCTAGGATTGCCCGAGTCGATGCATAAGCAGAAATTTTCTGGGATGGTCACAAAGAGAAAGGAGTGCGGCAATAGGTACCAATTTGAAGTTCATGTCAGCGAAGACATCCGGTTGGGTTCCCTTTTTTCACGCAAAGACTACAGTGTAACGTTTTGTTCCAGCTATTATCCAACAATGACCCACCACATGCGCTATCTTCTAGACGATGAGAAGCCCTTAGACTTCTTCATCTCCTTCGTTCGTTTCTGCGATATGACCGTATTCTTTCGTCACCATGTCTACTGCAATCGAAGGTGACGCAAGCCAGACTCCCCTACACATGGGTATGAACTTTCTAACATTCTACACAAAAGACGACCTGGTTTCATTCGCGGCTGATCTTCAGATAAACGCACCGTTGTTCTTCCTAATTTCTCCGGCAACCATGTCAGGACCTCCCCTCGAGTGGCATGCCTCTACAGATGGGTGTTGTCCTTTTTCTTCTGTTCCTGGAATATTTCAGTCTTGAAACACGGGATCAGTCAACTATAGGTCCATGTTTTACGTCGATGTTCTAAAATTTTAAACAACAAAGTGGTGCCACAGAGCATGTACGCCCTGATTTTTACTCACGTCAAGTGCTCGTTAACATCAAACACAGCAGCTTAAACTTTCATGGCCATTCTCGCGTTGTCATTGTAGAATAACAAGCTGCGATAAAGAGATCAGGGAAGCATGCTCCCGTTCTGTTATATATATACGCGCCAACTCATGAAGCTCACTCGGTACTTCGTTTAGGCAAGGGCGACCTCAGAAACCGATCCCTGTGGGTCAAAAAAGCTTTATAATGAATACAATCTCGGTAACCAACCAGGACACCGATGAAGCAGATGAGAATGGGAGAGCGTGTAAGGAGAAAACTCGTAATGCTATAATACTGGTATAGGAAGGTTAGAGAGGAGTAAGCACAGGGAGAGACAGAAAACGAGCATTCCCGTCAAGACGGCATCCCAGCGCTACACTCGACCTTGTCCCGCCGCCGTTAGACTTGGGTCAAACCCAATTACATACAGACGTCAAAGAAGATATGTCTCAGTGACCTCGATGACGTCAAGGCTGCGAATCGTCGCTGCTTCTCGATCACCTATATTGATCACCGACACTTTCCTAAACTTTATGTCGGGCCCCTCTATTTTCCCAATGACCGCTACACTGAAATAGGGAGGGTAAAAGAAGCCTATGAGTGTGTACAGATCATCGGGCATTGAGAATGCATGGTTGGCGACAATTTCGAAGGTGTGCTTTTCTCCGGAGCGATCAATGATGTTTAATTTTCCATGTCGGGGCGTCTCTAGAGTTGATTCGTCAGACAATCCCCGTACTCTGCAAGAGTCAATACGGGGACCAAAATAGTAGTCTCCATCTCCCTTCATCCGGTCGACCCATACGCTCCGGCGGTCATATCTGTTCAATGGCAACGACAACATCAGCCCGGAAAGGTTCTCCGCCATTAATTGCTTCCATGATGGATGCCAGATATTGTTTCCATTCCCAGGTCCAGGGTAGCAGAAAAAGAGCTCTCCGCGAATCCAATAGGGATGTGCACCGTATCCGTAGTACGGTGGTTACGTACGGTGTATACGGATACGGGTCCGTACCGTGGACGACTTTAACGACCCAAAATACGGCCGTATTCATACGGTTTGAATACGGTCATTGAGGGAGGGACAGAGAACTATCTTATTCCATAAAGGTCAGTACCTATGACCTAAAAGAAGCATATAGTACTCACACTTTGGCACCAGATATCCATCGTCGTCGTCAAAGTGTCCGTATACGGACAACGGTACGGACACGGTACGGATATGACATCAACCGTACCGTACCGTGGCCAATAATTTTTATACGGTCTACGGTCGTATTGCTACGGTCGTATCCGTAACGGTACGGTGCACATCCCTAGAATCCAAATCTGCGTGATATTCACTAGTTTGGTCCAGGCATCCTCTTCAGACTGGTCCGCATCGTAGATAGGTATGTACTGTGAGTAGAAGAGGTATACCAATCCGGCGACTTTATCCCCAAGATTGGTTGATTTCCGCTGCTGCATTTGTGACAGGATATCAAGTATCGAGTCTTCTCTGTGCATCTGCCGCAAGGATGCCAATTTTTCATCGAACAGCTTTCGCATATCCTCTGTCATGAGCTCACAAGTCTTCCCGGCAACGAGCAGATCATCCCTAGTCTCCTGAAGTGTCCACGCTCGGTTGAACCAACACCGATTGCTCTCGAAGTCGCCAGGCTTGAAACTCTGGGGCCGACCCAGCCCGCTGAAATAGCACACCACATTCTTGGCTTTGTGATATATCCATCCGATCGTTGGCAGGTCGACTTTCCACTCCTTCTTGCGCAGAGCCTCCCTACGGTCCCACTGTTAGAATATGGATTGCTATTTTTAGAAGAGCGAGCTTGCATGAATATTCTCGCTCGTTCTCCCCATATTCCCCGGGACGCTTACTCATTTTATTAGTGATACGTTACTCATTTATTCTAGTACATTCTACATATTCTGGTAGTATAAAAAGCTGTGTAGTTAGTAGGGCATCGCTAGCGCGATTGCCGTGAACATTAGTTCCTTTGTGCTTACCTGTGAACCGCGAGTTCTTACACACCCACTTCTTTTTGCTTGCGTTACCCAGTGGGTCCCCATCTTTTCGCTCTTGCCTCAAACACAGAACATCCAACCAGACATACTCCGCGCCAAGGTTCAGCATTTCGATCCTGATCAGGCCAAGGTCGGCATATTTCGGCATTGGCACCGGCCATTTATATCCGTTTATAGATGTGATCTCTCTCTTGAGGTCCTTATTATCCACCCAAGCATGCGATATAGCCCACGGGAATTTGCGGGCAACCCACCATGGCACGACCCGATTAGAAACCAGATCCCAGACCCGCCGAGGTGGTGCAGTGCCGTTGGTGATCTGTTTATTGATGAGCAGATTTTGTCGCATCTTCTTGTCATCCTCCAGTGCTTTCATGTTATCGCTGACTTGTCCGTTACTGATGATACCATACAGATGGGGGCGTAAATGAGCGTAGGCAGTGCCAAAGTCGCAATTTTTCTTGACACAGTATTCGCACACCTTGTATAGAGGGCTGTCCGAAGTGCGGGATGGGGCGTCGAGTTTCTGCAACATCCTATCGACACCTACGTCGGCGCAGGGAGTGTCCGCGACTGCGGATGGTAATACCCTACCAGTGTAGGCCCGTTGCTTCAGCACTGGAACACTGTCTGCTCGGCTGGTGTCATCGTGGGCAGAGAGTGTGACCTCCGGGAGACTGTCGCATTTCTATACTGCATTATTCCTCGCCTTTCGGTGCATAACACCTGCTGGTACATGCTTACCTGTCGCACTTTGTCATCTAAAGCATCGCGTTTGCCCCTTTCCCACATTCCCTTCCCAAAATGCTCGCCGAGAACTTAGGCATGACAGAATGAGGATATGAAGCGAAAGGAACACAAACAGACATACACGATAGAATCTCTAGTCGCCGAGCAGCCATAGCTTAGTGAGAAGGTGCGGTTGTGCTAACAGGTTTCATATTGCCGGGTCCGGGCAAAAACTCTGTGCTGTCGTCATGGTAAGGAGCAAGCAAGGTATTTCTGTATCATGTAACCATCTGCCTCCGTATTTTTGGATCGTCCTTGATAAGAATCTCGGAAAGTTCGACATTGAAATATCTATGCCCTTATACTGACAGCTCTCACGACGTCGCATCAGGAAAAAATGACCTTTAGACATAGCGATAAGTAGCATCTGTATCTCCTATTGCAAATGCGAAAGGTCCCCTTTATGTAGCGATCGTAGCCACTCATTCGGACCTCTGTAGCACGTCATAGCAATAGATATTAATTGGGCACATGTACAATAGCCCTCTGTATTCATACATATAATGCTCATCCTACTACTATATTGATACAGTAGAGCTATTTCGAAGTATCGTTCATCACATTTCAGGGTATGGTGCAATACTATCATTCTATTGGAGTACGGGTAATTGTAAGTTATTACCAATTCATTCCGCTGCCTCCTCGGCTTCGCCTTCCGCTTGCGGTTCCTCATCAAGCGCCGCGGCCATTGCCTTCATTTCTTCATATGCCAGGTCCCTCGCAGAATCAGACAATTTGAGAGGTGCTGCTGGGGTCTGAAGGCCTGCTGCTCCCGCTTGTTTCCTGAACAAGATGTCAGATATGTACACAATGCTTCGTGATCAGTAATCACCTTGCTTTCGTATACCAGGCCTTCCGCAAGACTGTTGTCAAGTCCGGTGATATTTCTGCCCACTCCTTCACGGCAGGGAGATGGTGTTCATGGTAGCGCACACTAGCCTCAGTTTCATTGAAGATCAGCGCCTTGTAGCTCCCGGTAGACCATTCATTTAAGCAGTGTTCAATCTGGCCAATCAAGATATCATTAGACGGTGAGATTGAGGCAAATGAACATCGAGGACTGACCACAGTGAAAATGAATGCCAAGGCTGGAATGGGAATCGGGTTAAAGCGATCAGGGAATGCGAGTCCCGGAGCATCTTTGTTGTAGAAAAAGGCACGACTGATGGCGTCGAAGAGAATCGGACTATTAAAATAGCCTGTGCGTGTAGTAGCATCCTGAAATGTAAAACATGATTATGCTGCAGTGCAAACACTCTTCAGGTTTACGCACCTTGTAGTAGAAGCCAAGCGCAGTCATGAGCTCTATACATTTTTGCTTGTTCTCTCGGACAGTGTTTTCAGATTCGGCGCCGGCAACAAACCCATATGCAGGGCGTATGAGTGGTTTGATCTGGTCCCTCACGAAGCTTCGAACACGCACACCACACTTTCTTATCTAGAAGAAGCATCAGTAGAAGTATCTGAGTAAAAAATTTTGAATTACCAGTTTGAGCATTTCATCGCTAAGCTTGATTGGTTGTTCGTCGCTATCAAATCGGATGCGCCACTCCTCTTGGGCCCAACTCGACTGCATATCCTCATCTGGACACATGCTGATGGCCCCAAGACGTCCTTCATACCCACGCATAGCCTTGCGCAGCGCTGTCTTTGTCCGGCCTTCATAGTGACTGAGTTTATCTCCTTTTGATCCAGTAATCTGAGATGGTGGAAGAGGCGTAGCAGCGGGTGCAGAAGGATTGTTTGTCAGAGGTGTCGTAGAGCTGGTCAGAGGGTCTGAACCAACAGGGGGCAATGATGGTGGTGGTGCTGCTGGAGTCGCGGTCACGTCATCGCTGTGTTGAGACTCTCCACCAGTAACTTGAGTGTGAGGAGGAGTAGTGAGTAGAGCACTATGAGGGGATGAAGATGGTGAGGCAGAGGGTAAACGGGGAGGAGAGGAATGATGATCGTGAGAAGTCATCATCGTCGATTCTCCATGGTAGCGAATATTGACCTCATCACCGTCAGGCACAAATGAGAGTCGAGGAATAGTTGCTGTTGGTCGTGTGGCACCTTTGGCACGAATTCTTGGAGGCTCAGGAGACTGGGTACCTTTTGAACGTAGCTAAGAGTGAATATGAGTGTTATGAAAAGGTGCCAGAACAAGATAACAGCCTTACAGATGTCGGAAAAAAGTGAGATGAGGACTCTTCATCATCATCAGAGTCACTCCCATGGCCATTGAAATTGTCTTCGCTTTCGCTTTCTGGAGGTGATCGTCCATGAAGTCGTTGATAATCATCATAGTACTGCTGTTTGCGACGAGCCTCAGTACCTAGCAATGAAATTAGTACTGAGCATCTACCAATGAGTGACATACGGTTGGTATTATTGAGAAGGGCTTGCTGCTGTGCGTTACTCCTTTGCGAACGGGCTAGCTGCTTTCTCAGTTGAGCGATCTCTGCATCCTTGCTGGCTTGATCTGTATCCAAGTCTTAGTTAGAGATCATTCAGACTAAAAGACGTACCATTTGCTGCCTGCTTCTCTGTGAGAGCACGGTTTTCCTTGCCCCGAGTGCGGTTGGGCAGCTGGACATTGCCACTGAGATCGTCACGGCTTTGACGAGACTTCTTCAATGCAGACTGGCCATCTGTGGATGACCCGCCAGATGCATGGGACCGCTTGGTCATGGTGAAGAGCACGCAGATGGTGGTAGACAGATGAAAAGAGTCAAATGTCAAAATCTGAGACAGTCAACAAAAAAAACGTGACCAGAACGCACGATCGGTCTCGCCATGGCGGGACTGGCCTCCGCATCTGCCCGCTCACTGTCATCATGTCTGGCAAAATCTTCAAATGTCCTGTTTGCAAGGATCAGTTCACCTCTCGCTCCAGCAGAGGCTTACGCTCGCACCTGTCAGCAACCTCATGTGGTCATATACTCGATGAGCGGAATGCTCCAGTCACTGGCAAAAGAAAGAAGCCACAGTCAGCTACAAAACAGGCTGAAGAGCGTACCACATCACCATCTCTTTCAATTCCTGAGGAGCCTACCTTTCCGCCCGATCCACCCTCACCTGCATCTGATTTTGCACCATCAGAGATGGCCTCACCATCAAAGCGATGCCGAGTCACTATTGAAGACGTCGAGGATGAAGGTGATACCCCACCATCTTCTTGGAGTCATGACAGCCTTGTCTTTGTGGATTATCCCGATGCTGGCGCTGAGATTGAAGGTGCTGGAAAGGGTGAAACTACGTTTGAAAGAATTAAGAAAGAGAAGCAGAAGCAAGGAGAAGAGATGTGGGCGCCTTTTAAATCCTGTGAGGAATGGGAGCTTGCACGATGGCTGATGATGTCCGGGGTTAGCCAAGCAGATATAGACAGGTTCGCAAAGCTGGGAGTGGTATGATTTCAGCTTTTGATGTTAACAAAATTGCTTACCATGTAAAACCAGATCCGAGACAATGTCAAACCATCGTTTAAGGACAAGCGCACCTTTCTGACTAAGATAGATGAGTTGCCATCTGCATTGGGTACTGAGTGGAAATGCGAGGAATTTGAACTAGTTGGAAACATACTCGATAAGGATGGGACTCCCATCGTGCAGACCATCGAGTTGTGGAAGCGTGATCCACTTGCATGCATCAAGGAGCTCATGCAGGATCCCCGATTTGTGAAACATATGCGTTACGCACCGGAGAAGATGTATACGGATGAAGGGATGAAGAACCAGGTGTTTGATGAGATGGCGACAGGCAAATGGTGGTGGGCCATGCAGGTATGTATTCCTCATCAGCATGACCTATCGCAAGATCCTAATATTGGATGTAATCAGAGACTGTTGCCAAAGGGAGCAACCATCGCAGCGATCATCCTTTCGTCCGATAAAACCCAGCTCTCCACCTTTAGTGGCGACAAATCTGCCTGGCCGGTTTACCTTACCCTTGGCAACATCGATGCATCTGTCCAAAGGAAACCATCAGAACAAGCCACTATTCTGATAGGTTACATACCCGTATCAAAATTAGAGTGCTTTACCGAGGATCGTCGATCTGTAGAAGGATATCAGCTGTTCCATGACTGCATGCGGGCACTCCTAAAGCCTCTCATCGAGGCTGGCCAGAACGGTGTCGAGATGCTTTGCAGTGATGGAAGGACACGGCTCGTGTTTCCTCTCCTTGCTGCCTACGTGGCCGATTATCCTGAGCAGTGTCTAATAGCCGGCTGTGGAGAGCGACGATGTCCGAAATGCACTGCTACCTCAAAGGAGCTGGGTGATCCATTGCACTCAGTACTACGCGACCCTGAGAAAACCATCGACGCACTCAAAGCAACACAGACAGGAAATAACATGGAATTCAAAAACCTCGGCCTACGCCCAATTACGCCCTTCTGGATGGACTTGCCACGATGTAACATCTTCCATTGTTTCACTCCTGACCTTCTACACCAGCTCCACAAGGGCGTCTTCAAAGATCACCTTGTCAAATGGTCGACGAAGGCTGCAGAGGCGACGAAGGCGGAGGTTGACCGTCGTTACATGGCTATGCCACGGCATCCTGACTTACGCCACTTCAAGAAGGGAATTTCACTTGTCACGCAGTGGACAGGAACGGAGTACAAGAATATGGAGAAAGTTTTCCTAGGCGCGCTGGCGGGAACGGCAAAACCTGATGTCATCATTTGTGTTCGTGCTGTGCTTGATTTTATCTACTATTCCCACCTTGAACTACACACGGATGAGTCATTGAAGAAGCTTGAAGACTCATTACGCACCTTCCATGCCCACAAACACATATTCGTTGATGACGGCATTCGCGACCACTTCAATATCCCTAAAGTCCATTCAATGGTTCACTACTCTGCGATGATTCGGTCCCATGGCGTCACAGGAGGCTATAATACCGAGGCATCAGAGCGACTTCACATTGATTTTGCGAAACGAGCGTACCGAGCATCAAACCGGAAGGGATACATCCAGCAAATGACAAAGTGGTTGACCCGACGAGAGGCAGTGCAAAGGTTTACCCGATTCCTAGACTGGGCTCTAGAAGGTGCAGGTAGGGATGAAGTTGACGAGGTCGAGGACGATGTAGACGTGGCAGATGGTGATGAAGAAGCAACGGCGCAGGCTGAGATCAACATGGAGCTTACCAAGGACACTAATGGGGATCAGGTCACATCCCGTGTTAGCCTACAGCATGGCGAATCAACGTACACTATACCCAAAAGACCCTCCTTCACTGGCATCGATATAGCAACTTTGGAGAACCAGTACGGGACTCAGCAGTTTGTTCGCTGTCTGGAATTTTTTCTTCGTGACCGTGGCTTGCTCAAAGATGATTTCTGGGATGCTCGGCCAGCAAAATACCAGGTGTACAAGCGCTTCCGGATCTGTATACCCCCGGTTCCTGAAGTCTCGACAACTGTTACCCTGGATGTCATTCGTGCATCGCCGCCTCACACAACGGGGACTAGGAGGAAAAAGTATGTGCCAGCTCAGTTTGATACAGTGCTGGCACGGCGAGACCTGCCATTGGATAAGAAACAGGACCTGGACTTGTTAGGAGTGAATGGTGTGTTCTAACTCTTCATCGCTTGCCTGTATTTAAATTCTTTGCAGGTCTTCATGTTGCACAAGTCCGTGCTATTTTCAACCTTCCTGAGGAACTCGGCAGCTTCCCACATCCGCTAGCATACGTTGAATGGTTCACCCCTCTGCGGCGCGTCGATGAACACACGCAAATGTTCAGGGTGGAACGGTCTATGCGGAATCATCTTCGGAATGCATCCATTATTCCAATTACATATATCTCCCGCAGTTGTCATCTTATACCATACTCAGGACGTATTATGGACCCTACATGGACGAGCGAGAGTGCTATGGAAAAGTGCAAGTCCTTTCATCTCAATACGTACCTTAGACACATTGATTTTGTCTTACTACGCTTAAAATGCAAGATTTCCGCAACGTGATTACCACCGCACCAAAACCAACAGCTTTTCATTCGCAACGTCTACATGTCATGGTCTAGCACCATTATCAACCTCTACTCCTGACTCCTGATCCTGAACGTAGTCGGCATGCACAGCAACATCCTGTACATAGTGGAGTACGAGGTGAGCGTTGAAGAGATGCATACGCAACGTAGTCGTCTCAATGTCGGAGAAACGACCGCGGCGAGCACTGACCAGGGTGTCCGTCAGTACCTTCGACACTTCGGCAAGCCGGTTAAGCATAAAACGGGTGACCATGGGTGGGGGGTAAAGGGCAGCCTCAAAGGCATCATCACGGAAATGCGGTGCAAACATGATGGTGGGCGAATCGAGGTCAGGCAGAGTGCACGGCGTATTTGGCGGGTTTGGAAAGGCAAGACGTTCACCTGACGAGGGTGGTAAGGGGTAGGTGATGTCGATAGGCTGGCGGAATGGCCCGCTCTGGAATCCAGCGACTGTCTGGCGTGAAACAGTGCCCGCTAGCACTTGAAAACCATGGGGGCTAATAATAGAATCAGCTTTAACACCGGAGGTAATGGATAGTACACGCACCTTGGGCCTTTTCCCTCCTTCTCCTTCATATCGGACATTTTCTTGTGTCGTGGCTGTTGGTTGCACGGAAGAAAACGGTGATTGACCCTGGATCAAGATAAAGGCATCGCGAAGACAAAGAACAGGCCAAATATGGAGTACGTGGCGTGGGACAATTCACGTGTTTTGGGCAAGAGACTGGTAATGATGTCATACGAAAGCCTTCATCCGGCTCCTGGTGCTCGATAATGTTATACTGCACGAAATTCATAGAAATCTGGTTTAAAATGGCTAAAGGTATGAAGGTTAATTTATACTGCGAAGTATTAATATATACCTTTAAGACCTGATGTCATATGACTATAGACAAATACGGAGATCAATCCCGGCAAGGTACATAAGGTACTGACACTACCGATCCTACAGAGATTTGGCAGGGGTCTACAGAGGTTTTCCGTTTTTCCTGATGCGCCTTCTCGTCTCGGGGATATCGTCTTGTCCTTCCGAACTCCCCGTCCTGGTGAACCATCCCCCAAAGAATTACTGCTCGTGTACTGTACGTGCTTGCGACTGAACCACCGGCGTCTAGTGAGTCATATCTCATGTAGTTGATGACGTCGTAGGCACAGTTCCGATCGAAGCGATTGGTACGTTGACAGAGAAGGACATCTGAGGCGTACCGTTACGACAGACGACTTGGCAGAGCTGCTGGAATTGCATGTAAAGAGGAGAGGATCGATGGATGCGGAAATATTTCTGATTGAGGGAGAAGAGATGGCATTGACTGATAGAATTACTACTAGGACGTCTGGGCAAACGAGGAAAATACACACGCCTTCGGTGCTTAGTCAAAAGGACGGTAAAGAATGAAGAACACGGGTAAATTTATGGACCGCTAAAGTCATCTTGGGCACAAATCCAGTCTCAGAGGTGCAACGAATAATTTATCACAGTTACAGCTTTTCGTCACCGTTTCAGAAGCAGAGATGTTCAATACTAGCCGTGAATGGTTAGAATTGCAAAGCTTAGAATGCTAGGTACATCACTGATCGGGATGAACCCTTGTGAGAGCCTGTTCCAAAGAGGAGTGACAAATCTATGTCACCTTTTGGCCAAGTAAAGAGGAAGGACTGCCACCTTTTAGAGTCGACAGTAAACGGCCTGAATCCAGAGAAATACATTCATCTTTCCGGGAACTTGTAACCTGAGCAATCCTCGAAACGGACCAAGTCCGAATGACGCAAAAGTCCTGCTCAACATCGGCATTTTCAATGTGACCGATAATCTACAGATCAAGATGAGAACACCGACAAAAAAAGGTCTCTGGAGACCTTTACCTCGTACCAGCACCGGTCAAATTTGACGGGAAAGTCTGGACGGCAGTTCAAACGTTCAATGTTGAAACATTCATCAACGTCATGAAGACCCACTGTGATTGTTTAACTAGGAACAACGTAAGCATCAACTTTACATCTCGTTTCGACCAAGTAAAGATGAAGGGCCACCTCTCTGAGGGTTGACTTTGAAACGACCTGAAAGACGGGAGACGTAGTTGAAGGTGGACTTTCTCTGAAAGTGAAAGCAGCGTACTGATCAGGAAAATGATAAGCACCTATCTCGTCCGAAAACACAAGCACTTACTGAGGAGTAGGTGAAGGGAGTGGTAAGCGAAGATTGAAGGCTGCTCGGCGAATGGATGAATGACGGTTCCAATTTCATTGTCACGACGGTCATCTTCATCAGTCTACGATTCGGCGAAAAGGTAGAAATACGATCAATTTGGTCGATAGTTACATGAAAGATAGCGAAGTAGCTATTCATATCTCGAGAGAAAGAAGGACGTTCGGTAACCGGGATGTCTGAAGCATCTCGATATCGCGGCTTGCCTTGAGTTCGTTCCCACCTGCCGGCACATTCTGCACATCGTGCCGCAAGCAAGGCCTTCATATTACAGTTGCAAGCCTCCCAATGTCTGCACCAGACTTCAGTCAACATACATTACTGGACGTGAGATTGCACACCTAACCCAATCACGCCACGTAGAAGTTCTGATTTTCAAACTGTCCCGAAGCCCGTGGTGACGTGATTCCTGAAGTCGACCTATAGTGCCTGGCGATGCCCCTTCCGCTGTCGTAATGTCTCGCAGCCACATAACCAAGATCTGGTCGACCTGAATCAATGACCGTTTGTAATGTACACGATGCGATGACATGTCGGATACCCTGCAGAGATTTGAGCGAGGATGACAGGAAAACGGCAATTGAAACATACCCTCAATGGGTGTATTACTTGTGATCTACATGCTAGGGAGAAATACCAGTAGGTGTATCGCTGCACTGAGTCACCAAGTCGGAGTCATGCTGGTGATTGCTGGACAAGAATGGAGATGACAATCGAGGATACAGTCAGTATTGCATTTCCCTGTCCACGGAAATTAGTTTCGCCCAAGTTGTAGACGGATATAACGCACTATACAACCTAAAGATGCCCAAGATAAAATGACCATCAATACTGCGCTTTACCGCGGGAAACCTCAGTGAGAATGAGGCCACCATCCATGCTGACTGTCGAAGCGAGAAGCCATTTGAATGATTTCAGAAGTAAATTTGAGAAGGCCATTATCAGAATCAACCAACGCGAACAGCATCATGAAGTAGCCAAGCAGGAAAGAGGATCATGGTAGCAACAGAGAAAGAGTCGACAGCAGTGACTAACTAAAAATGAGATCGGTGCCTGCCACTGTCGGCATTGGTCGGCAGTGAGAGATCGTGGCACAAAGAAAAAAGCGTGAAGCCTTAGCGCGGCTGAGAACGTGATGGTGTTGTTGACAGCGTAGGCATTTACGGCAGGGACCGGCAATCACGGGAAAATGTGTCCCGGATATCCGGAGTCCCAGAATGGACAACAAATTTGATATACGCATTCTCTTGATTCAATCACTAATGCGCTTAGCTCGAGGTTCGTTGTGACGATGTCTTAGGCATGGGGTAATACCTGACCCGGTATATGCCTTTTCATGTATTTTCTTCGATATTCTGAACCATATCTTGCTAGCTTCTGTTGCGTCATCCATCATCTACCACTTGCTTTGGGTGTCAAATGGATTTTAGGAATGCATTAAATTTAGTCTGGGTACGTGCGCCTTCTCTTATTACAGACCCTGCTCTTATCCATGTGTACATTAGACAATCTCTGTCATTCTCGCATGGATACAGAGGCTCCGAACGCTCGACTTGCGGAACGTTTATTGGACTTGGGAACGCCAGCACAGTTTCTCGACCGGACCTGGCGTGTACATATCTTAAATTATTCTTCCATCCGCTAAAAATCTCATATGCAGCCTCTGTGATATCGGACCCTTGTTCTCTGTATACGTCTACTCGAAGGCCTTCACTGGAAAAGCTGGAAAAGGCGTCTGTGCTATGCCAACCGACCCTGTCCGCCCGTGTCTACGCGCTTGGAGGGATGTTCCGTGGAAGTTGCAACTTGCCATGCATGCTGCTACTAAACCGTTTAAGGGCAGGGAACTGTGACTGTAGAGGTAGAAAAATGTCTAGGCGAAAATTCCGCCTTTCGAACTAGCAGATGAGGATAGGATTCTCATAGGATATCAGTAAGTTCTTTAACAAGGTGTGTTATTGGCGCCACTCACACTGACCTAGGTACAGCTCCCACATTCGAAGTCAAACCTGACCCTTCGTAAAACGACGGTACAGCGAATGATCGCTATCAGCCATCTCCCAAACTACGTTGTTTCTCTTTTGTGTGTGCGACGAGCACTGCTCTCTGGTAGGACCCAAGGCAAGAGTTGGTCGATGCTTGACTGGCTGTTACAAATAGGGACAGTGAGTGTCATACCACCCTAGTTTGCTCTAAATCTTGACTCTCATCATAGGCTTGGCTGGTGCTCCGCTAACCCCATCAATCAATCATGGTGCTAGCTTTTCTGCGCCGTTTCCCACCAGCATACACCATCACTTGTGCTAGCACTGACTCCGCTTCGGTGGGCTGTATCCTCGCCACTAACGAGTCCAGTCTTCATCTTCACGAACGGTTACATATGATACCTCATCCGCCTCTTTTGAACAATGTCGGAAACTTCCTAAAACCCTTATAAGGAAGCCGGCAATATAATGACCGGATAAGCGACGGCTCGGCAGGATATGCGGCATGTCAGGTCCGGGTTACCGTATCCGTAGTAACCCCCTTAATATAATGTCATTATATGCATCGTATTAGCTGGAAGTGCCATAGAAGCAAGTACACACGAGAAAAGTGCATCAATAGAAGGATAGGTGTAAGACACTCACCCTCTTCACATATGATATGGATAGTTCCTCGGTCCTGGTCCAGCATCGATGTTTTTGGCTCCTTGTGAGTCTCACGCTGATTCCAATCAAATGATGGCATTGGTTGGCCAGGAATAAATACGATGGCATCAGAGAACGACGGAAACACGTTCATCTTGCTTGTATGTATATGATCCAGGGATCAGAAAGCAAATTGGAGGCAGGGAATTCAAGCCAACTATGTTATTTCATCAGATTTCAACTCTTTTTGAATTTTGAGATCATTGGGCTACTTTACTTGATTTTCGTGGCACTATTAATGAAATCCATGGGATACTGATTTAATCTTGCGGATCATGATGTCGGAACATGCGTTTTGATATGAGATCTAGGATTTCTCCGAGATTAGGTGAACAATTATATGTATGCATGTACACGGTAAGGCTTCTTCAGTCCATCTTTCCCCCATCATTCTTCTGCAACCTCAACATGTCCTCAAATATTCTACCTCAGCGTCGAGAGAGGTGTCCTTACTGCAGCTGCTTCTTTAGCATTCAGGGAATTGGAAATCACAAGCGAGCTTGCAAGCAGAAGTCAGACCAGCAGTTGTTGGATTCCCAATTCCACAATGATTTGGACCAGCAGACAAGAGGTATGATATACAAGTTGCTTGTCTACAATTATTTTAGTATTCTGAATTTATTCTTTATAAAGCTACAGCAAACTCATTCACACCAATAAACATTATAGGATCTGCAACTTTGGATTATCATAGCACAGAACTTGAATGTATGTTGTTATTATTTTGATATCAGATATAATATCTAAACAAAATCTTCAGGTGTCAATGAAACATCTCCAGAGTCCTCATCAGTTGATGATCAAGTTACTCCAGAAGATAATGATACTTCCAATGCAGCTTGCTTGATTCTCAATTCCATTGATCATGTCAATCTGATTGATGAGAAGATTGTCAAGGAATATCATCCTTCTGCTATTTTAGATCCTCAGATCTTGCCTCTCAGAGATTTTTTAGCTGACAGCACAAGCAAGCAGAGTTCACTTTTTGATAGCCACCCTTGGCATCCATTTTCATCTCAGTTGGATTTTGATTTAGCAGAATTCATTTTGCGTACAGGCATGAATCACCAAGCACGCAGTGATTTTTTCAGCATCATTGACCGATGTGGAGGCAGTCAATCAACAGAATTCACTATCCGGAATGAGAATGATCTTGCAGAAGCATGGTCACGGGCAGAGAATTTGTTTACCAAGGTAAATTCATATCTTTATTAATATACTTATACTCAAATATTACTATGTTTTCAATAGTTCAAAAAGGAAACAATATCAGTTCCATATAAAAATGAAGTTCGAAATTATGATGTCCACTACCGACCATTATGGGATTGGACACTTGATTTGTTACGGGATAAAGATCTTGCACCACATTTTGTATGGGATGCAGTTCATTTATTTCGGGAAGATAAAAATGGCATTCGAACATGGTTTTTTAATGAACCATGGTCAGGAAATATATTTTGGGAAGTTCAAGTAAGCAGATATTATTGCCAATCTAACTAATATACTTAAATTTAGCTATAGAGTTCTCTTCCTCCTAATGGAAAACCTTTAGCATATATTTTGTATGCTGATAAATCACGTTTATCTTCATTTGGTACTGCCAAAGGCTATCCAGTTATGGCACACTGTGCTAATCTTCCTGATCAAATCTGAAATGGGAAGAATTTTGGTGGAGGTTGTGTGGTTGGATGGCTTCCAATTGTGAGTTGGATATTTTTGCTTTTCAACTTTTTTTTATGAATCTTGATTTTTACAGGTTGAAGAAGAAGAAGATCATAAAGGAAAGCCATCATGGATCAATTTCAAGCGAGTTGTCTGGCATGAAGCTTTTCGGAAAATTCTAGGATCTCTTGCACAATATTCTCGCAGTGGTTATGCCTTTCAACCACCAAATTCAGACAAAGTTATAATCTTATATCCTTTTATTCTTATTCTCTCTGCTGATTATGAGGAACAGTCAGTATATTTCATATTTTTATAATATATGCAAGCTGATATTGCTATAGTTGTATGATGACATTGACCAGAGGTGGCAGAGCAAATTATCCCTGTCCAGTCTGCTTGATACCATTGACAAATCTATCAGATCTTTCAATAACATATCCATTACGGACAACTGAGTCTATGAAAGAGATATATGATAGAGCTTGTTTGCTTAATGCAGATCAAGCAGAAGAACTTTTGAAATTACATGGTCTCCATAAAGTACCTGTAAGTAAAAAATTTAAATACAAGAAAAGCTATTGACAATTTGTTCAGAACATCTTTTGGGAAATAGAACGATCTAATCCCTATCGTGCTGTATCTTGGGACAGACTACATGCTTTCCAAATTGGATTATTTGATCATCTGCTGTCACGGCTCATTGAGCATGTAGATAGATTCAAGGGCCGAGATGCTAAAGTTAAAATTGATGAAGTGTATGTAAAATATTAAAAGTAATTACTTATAACTAAATCTTTTTGATTAGGATTAAATCATTTCCATGATGGAGGAATCTTACCCATTTCACATCCGTTTTTTCTTTTGACTTTGCTGATGGAAAGAAATATGAACATATGTCACGAGTAAGTGTGTATTATTATAATTTAAGTTCATTATTTATAATACATTTAGCAAATCCTTTTTGCTGCTCAAGCAGTTTTAACAAAGGCTGCGGATCCTGCTGGTTATTTGCTTCTTAAATGTATTCGAAGTCATTTAGAATTGGATGTGTATGCAGCAATGGATGTGCATACTGAAGATACGATAAAGGCTGGACAATCAATAATGCAAGTTTTTGGGGAGAGAATGAAGGTATATTAATAAAACTGATCAATAGCTCTTTATACTAATAAATGTTTAGGAGTATATAACAGCTACTCAGGACAGTGATTTTCAAAATCCAACACATTGGGATATTCCAAAAATGCATACACAGCAACATCTATTCAGTGATATTCAAGGAAAAGGTGTAACAAAAAATTATAACACCAAGATCAACGAAAGTATGCATGGACCACTTAAAAAGGCATATCAAATACAAACAAACTTTAAGAATGTTGCTGATCAAGTAAGACTTTATTCTTTTAAGATATATGATTTAATTTAATATACTTTTAGATTCTTCAAACTGACCATCGGTACAATGTTGCTATGCAGATTCGGCAAAAGGTGGATCGATGGAAAAAGCATACAAAGTACAAATCTGATTTGCTCAATGCAGATGATGATCTACCTGAAGAAAAACATTTCACTATTGAAACTCATGTATCTGATGGTCTTTTAAAGAAAGCATATCTACATAGTCCTAAAAAGACATCAAAAGATCCTAGCACATTTTCTGAGCTAGAGAATGCATTTTCTCATGATTTAGCTTATGATTGGTTTCGAATTCGTCTTGGAGGTTTCATGACAGGATTTCTGAATCGAGTATCAGAAGGATGTATTGCAAAAGGAAAAAAAATTCATTATTCTCCTAATGACAAGGCTAGTATTATTGATTTAAACAAATATTGCTTTTACTGAGATTGAAATTATATAGATAACAACTTATCAAACTCTTTCTGTCAATTATCAGTCATACATAAATCTAAAGCAGAATTCAGACCTACTACGATGTAGTCCAATGTTCTACAATCATCCACGTTATGATGGTGTTATTGTCAATACTACTGATGGGTTGTATGTGGCAGAATTAATTCAACTCTTTGAGTGTGAATTTAATGAACAGAAATATCCATTGGCATTAGTTCATCCCTATGATGCTCCTGTAACTGATGGTCATCTACGTTGGAAGCATCAAAGAGATAAAGATTTAGGATTTTATCGAGTTCGTGCATGCCCATGAATTCATTCAGCCTTTGTTTCTATATATTCTATTGTTCGTGGTGCACTCCTGGTAAAAGATGCAGACTCAGATCTTAATAATGGCCAGGATTACTTCATTGTGGATATCATTGATACTGACATGTTTCTCCGACTCAAAAAAATCGAATCTCAGCTTCAACATAAATTCCGGGTTTCAGCCAATCGGAGATCATAATTGATAGGGCTGCACACTGTACAATATACAATATATAGGTATAAAATCATGGTCTCAGATGGCTATGAAACTATCCATATACTGTACCATATGGCCAGTTTAAAAGTCCTATCAGTGTTAGTATATCAGATTAGGGATGTGCACCGTACCATTATGGATACAGACAATATGGCTATAGACTATATCAAAACTCTTGTTCATGGTATGGTACAGTTGACTTCAAATCTGTACTATATCTGTACTGCCATCCATATACAGACAGTTTTACAGTGATGACAAATATCTAGAGTCAAGATGTGAGTGTTATATGCTTTATTAAGATCATCCGTACTTACCTCAATTGTATTAGACTATCTCTGGCCACTCTCCCAATGACTGTATTTTAATTGTATGAATACGGCCATATTTTAGGTCATCAAAAGTAGCCATGGTATGGGCCCATATCCATATTGACCGTATGTACCCACTGTAGTACAGATACAGTGCACATCTCTATATCAGATCCTTAGGTCAAGGACATCATGGATGTGCACCCTATCATTACAGATACAGCTGTAGACTAATGTATCAAAAATTCTTGTTCACTGTATGATCTGATTCGGATTATCTTTGTTTACTAGTGAATAAATTAGCGTAAAGGAAATAAAAATATTACAGCAAACTAGGATTGAACACAAGCAACGGCAAAATTACAAACACACACAAGGCGTTCTACCAACTAGACTATAGTACCATTATTGTATTGATAAATTAAACTCTATATATGTGCCCACGGGAACAAGAAAAGGCAAAAAAAATAATACCCCTCGCTGTGCTGGGCACAGCAGGGCGTAGGCGTCGAGAGCAGGGTTGGGCATCGAGCCGTTAGTGGTATCAGTACCCCTGCCAACGAAATATGACATTTCGTAGGGATGGAGAGTGATATACCACTTGTGGGGGGCAAAAAAGTCGGCAGGGCGGGATCGACGGCCGTTCGACGATGATGGGGGGGGGAATGGAACAGAAATGACTTCACCACTGTATTTCCCGTTGTTGAAAACGGGAGTGGTGAGGCCGTTGCCCCATGTGGAGGGCTGTGGGGGGCGATACGAGGCGGAAAGGGCAGGTGTCGGGATGGTGGGCGGGCAGATGGTGTTGACAGGGTCAGGAGAGAAAAAAACATCGGAATCATGATCTTCCACTCAATGAATGGGAGATGCATGAGTTTGGGGTTGGTAGGTGGGCAGGGTGGTGTGGTAGAGCCCGATGTTTGGCGGGGAGCGGTAGGCAACGGCGGAGGTGGTAATCGTCGTACAGCTATGATTTTTGGCGCGTTCAATGCGCACTCCAGTCGTCCATCGATGGTCCAAGGCGCACAGTAGTCGTCCTCGTCGTCGGCCGTTGGCATCTCGACTTTCCTCCTTCCATCCCGCTCAATCTCTCCTGCCCTTTCCCGCTCCCACATGCCCTGGAACGTCCTCCACAACCCACCCCTACTCTCCAGCACGGCCCTGCACCATTGTACATCCCTCCCGGTCCCTCCCATTCCCTCCCATTGTCGCCACCATCGTCCGGGTCGTCGTCGTCGTTCCCATCGTGCCATTCGGGTTCATACCCCCCCTCCTACTTATAGATGATGGCCGATATTCGATTCCTAGGTTCGTTTTTACTCGTCGGTGGGTCGTCCATCCGTGTGTGGACACGATTGGCCCCGATGTTGATGTGGGGGTAACTGGCCGAGTCGGATGGGGATGGTGGGCCGTATTTGCAGCACTAGGGGCGTTGTTGGGCACCGTGGTCATTGTCGATGGCTGTGGTGGTTTCATCCGTCGCGTGGAGCTAGGTCTAGTGCTGCCTCGCAAGAGGGCTTATGGGCGGGGGGTGGGGAGGGTGGAACGGTCGCTCTGTGTGGCTGTTGGGGCCGCCGGGTGCATAAATTGACCCTAAAAAGAAGAAGAAGAAGAAGAAAACATATGAGAACATACCTTTTCAAGCCCACGAAAAGGCTGTTGGGGAGGCGGATGGGTGTTAGTCGTCAGCGAGGTGGTAGTTAAAGGGAAGAAAAGAAGTAACACAGCCACTCGATCACTGCTCGGTTGCTCGGACCGCAGCGATCGAGGGAGCGGAATGAGTGTTTGAGATTCATCCACAGCTCAAACCACTCACTCCGACGACTCATAGGCTATCGTAATATTCTGTAGTAAGTAGACATATAGCAAATATGTATATTTGGGTGGATCAGGATATTTATCATATAAAGTAACAGATAAACGGTATTTCAAGAGTATCTGAAACCCATGGCCCTTCGTCGATGTACCTTACCGTCCTGCCTCATCGCCGCCTCTCTGAAACCTCGTTGAAGTCGTCTCTGTGATTACACATCCTTGTAATACAGTATGCTGAAGCCCCGCCTTACTCCACCACTTAAATTCATTTCCGCAAGCTGTTGTCGGGCCTCATGAAACCCACATGTGCGTTTCAGGTCTATTTACTGCATTTTCGACTCACGTTTGAATCGTGTAACAGTACGTTTACCTGCAGAAGATGCTACTACGCTCTTTAATGGACGCTTCACACTCACAGGGCTTCCCGTGGTTCTCTGTTTAAAAGGTGAGTCTTCAATCACCAGTACTTGTAATACATTCTCATTGTCCTCCATGTCCACTGAACCACAACAACACAATGTCACTCCTAGGCAAGGAACTCCCACAGAGTCTGCCTCGGATGCAGCCCCTTCCCAACCGCCGCAGGCCGTGCTCGATCTCACACAAGTTCAAGAGTATTTCTCCACAAACGGCGTTCTTGATGTGGTGCGTCTCCTTGAAGGCTATCGGGACCTGAGCAAGGTAATATTCATTTTCTCAGAGTACCATCCTTTAAGTGCTTACAGTCTCTTTGCAACCAGACTCTTCGTGACACCCAGCTGCAAGTCAATGCGCTCATCGACGCAAAGAGGCTCCTCGAACTGTCAGCCGCAAGCTCTACCAAGTCTAAGGGTAGAGGTTCGGATTCTGGATTAACGGCCGAGCAAGAAAAAACTATTCTCCAGTTTGGGAAGCGCTGCATTGTCACTATCGACTTGTGGCCAGAAGACGCCGAAATCTTCGAGGAGAGACCATCAGCAAATGCCGGCCTCATTCTCAGCGCTGCACGATATGCGTCTGCAGAATCAGAGCAAGATGCACTCTATGCTGAAATCTACTCCGCACTCAAGGAAAATTTTCACTTCTGCTTTGCTAAGAATTACGGTCCAGCAAAGAAACTTGTATGTTCTCATTTTAGTTTCACTGTGTTGTTGCTGAGATTCATTTCAAGTTCCTGAAATCCGCCTCTGATGGCCGATCCACTTTCCTCAATCGCGTGAAAAACGATGCCTTCCACACTATATTCGGCGCATTGGTTCCATCCGCCAGTAATACCGATTTTGATCCTTTGACGGATCCTCATTGCCTTGACCTCCTCGGGTATAGGCCATCAAATAAGACCTACTCATCGCTGCCCCCCATTCTTTGGGAAGATGGGGTGAAAGGTGACCCACGCTCTATCTTTCGAAGCACCACACTGATGAAGGTACAGTCATTGTCCCCTTCTCTCGGATTTAAATTTATATCACTCATACTAATATTATATTTCAGATTCTCTTTGTTATATTTTATGGTGGCGCCAGTCTCAAACAGAAGTCCACGAAAAAAGCTGTCAAGAGCAAGCAAACCAATGCTTTTCTCTGGAAATTAACCGAAACTTCGCCAGGGACTATGGCATATGCTGCCACTGTTGTAAGTCTATTTTTAGTTGATCTCAATTACAGTATTAACGTGACTATCAGGCTCGTTTTGTCCTCTCTGGTGATGAATGCTTTGATAAGCGTGGTGGTCGCTCAGGCATCAACTATGCTTCTGACTACTACCAATACAAGAGAACGATCATTGAGGCAATTTCGACATCTCACATGAAGCAAACCATCACAGCATATAATAGGTTTCTCTTCGATGAGAAGCCCTCGAGACTAGGTACAAACCAGCGTGGAACATCATGTGATGATGACAATGAGTTCATCGAGCTTCAGGAAGCATTTGCTGATGTATCAGATGCCGAATCAGACACTCCCATGGCTAATGATGCACCTCCTGATGCCGTGATGACTGTCACTGCCGATCCAGAGGTCCAAGAACTCATTCAAGGTGTCAAAATGGTTAATTTTCAGCTTGAAGCACCTTCCAACAAGGAACAGGAGGTACCGGAAATTCGGCGTAGTCGACGAGGCCATGTTGTTCCAAATCCTGGAGATACTGATTTGACAGTCAGCACAGAAACTGATGTTACTCAAGCAAAAGGCTGCGGGCATGGTGCTAAGTCTCGTGGGAAGGCGGGCAGCCGTGGCCGTGGCTGTGGAACAACTCAGACGCAAACCAATCAGCCTCAGCATGACGCAAGGCCCACTCGTCGAGGTACACGGGCTGATACTCAGTGGCAGGTGTCACAGGTCCAGGAGGAAGCAGGAGATCTAGAAAATGACGATGTATATGGGTAGCATATTTCTTTACATGAATACATTTTTTTTTCAATGCCTCGCACTTGTGGAGTGGTAAGGAAGTTAGGCGCATGAAGTTGCTTATTCCTGTCACAAGCGTGTCATGTAAACTGGGGTTGCATAAAGAAATATAGCAATATGGCTTAACTGTACTAATATCATGAACTTATGTATTATTCTGAAGGTCGCTGGTTCGATCCCTCATCTTGTAACTTTTCTCACTAGTAGCTCCAATTGATTACTTAACCTGTTAGTAACCGCATTAGCATTGTAAGCTTAGAAAGAGGACTAGAATGGTACTACTATTTTTCCAACGCTGATTTCACTTACTGGATTATCGGGAACGTTATCATGACCTTATAATCAGCCGGCTCTTATCTTCGGTCCGGTAGGCTGCTTCCTTATTACTAATCTTATCGTGGCCGATAAGATCAGACGGCAATCCTTATACGGTTTCGTATATTCTGGAACTTGTTTCTTATCGGGCCGTATCAACCCCACCGTGGCATTACAGCATTACGGTACCTTATACGTCACCATAACCTGTTTCGGACATTTCCGACAAAGGGCGACTCTTCACGGCCGATGGACCCCGGAATTAAATTGCTAGGTGTATCTACTATGTATCTTCACCCCGCTGTCTCTCATGGATACGCAGATGTGGACTTTTTATGTCGATGGAATACAGCAATTACGTTCACGGTGAAGGTTCAAGGTTTTCATGACTCTAGCATCCCTGCCTGCGTGTTTCCCGTATGTTAAATGTCATCCGCATCGTCTCTTTTCGTACTATTTGTTAATTCCTATCACAGACCGTGCTGTATTCAGCCCCACTGTGTTAGTTTGCAATTATATACCAATGACAGCGATTGCGTGTAAGTGCCTAGTTCTCCGTAGTTGATTTATTTCTCATCTGTTTTCCGTGAAGATTATAAACCAGGATTTTCTCCAAGTGTAGATTCATCGTTGCCAGTACGTTCCAGGTCATGGTTGTATTCACCAAAGTCTGACATCCCATGTAGGATACGACCACGGTGACGGTTAATAATGCTATCTCCCACTCTCGGATGGACTCGTGAGTGTCTGCGGGCTACGGCTTGTTTGGGGCTGGCCGCACGACCTCAGCGAGTACACCCAACGCGACAAATTTGATTACATAGATACTACGTCAAAGAAGATATGTCTCAGCTCGGCTTCCCATGACATTAATCCTCGCTGCTTCTCGATCGCCCATATTGATCACCGACACTTTCCTAAACTTCTTTTCAGCCCCCTCTATTTTCCCAATCACCCCTGCACTGAAATAGGGAGAGCTGCGGATGCCTATGAGAGTATACAGGTCATCGGGTATTGGGAATGCGTGGTTGGCGACAATTTTTACGGTGTGCTTTTTCCCGGACCCATCAGTGACGTCTAACTTTCCATGTCGGGACATTGCTGCAGTCGGTTCGTCGGACAATCCCCACACTCTGCATGAGTCGATACGGGGACCATTATAGCGGTCTGCACCTTCTTCGGTCCGGTAGACTATTACACTCTGGCGGTCCCATGGCAGCATTGTCAGCCCAGAAAGGTTGTCCGTCATTACTTGCTTCCATGATGGATGCCACAACTTCTTTCCGTTCCCCGGTCCAGGGTAGAAGAAGAAGAACTCTCCGCGAAACCAATCCTGCGTGATATTCACCAGTTCAGTCCAGGCATCCTCTTCAGACTGGTCTGCATCGTAGATTGGAATGTACTGGGAGTAGAAGAGGAATACCAGCCCGGCGACTTTATCGACAGATTTGGTTGATTTCCGCGTCTGCATCTGTGACAAGACACCAAGCATCGAGTCTTCCCTGCATATCTCCTTTAAATACGACAGTTTTTCATCGATCAGCTTTCGCATGTCCACTGTCATGAACCTGTCATCGTAGCAGGGCTTTGCAGCAATGAGCGGATTATCAGTAATATTCTGTGGTCTCCATAGTCGTTTAACGTGATTAAGGAGCTTGCGCCACTTTTGCTTGCTCTTTTTCATGAGTGTGTCATCGTCGTCGGTTTTCCCAGCAATAAGCATGTCCTCCCTGATCTCCTGAAGCGTCCACGCTCGATTAAACCAACAACGATCGCTCTCAAAGTCGCCCTCTTTGAAACTCAGCGGCAGGCCCAGCCCGCTGAAGTAACACACCACCTTCTCGGCTTTGTGATATATCCATCCGATCGTTGGCAAATCGACTTTCCACTCCTCCCGACGCAGAGCCTCCCTACGGTCCCACTCCTCCTGGCTACGCTTACCACGTGGGTTCTCGCCCTGACCCTTCTGCCTCAAGCATAGAACATCCAACCAGATATACTCCGCGCCGAGCCTCAACATCTCGATCCTGATCAGATTCAGATCGGCATCCTTCGGCATTGGCACCGGCCATTCATATCCATTTATTGGTGTCATCTCCCTCTTAAGATCGTTCTCGTCCACCCAGGCGTGCGATATCCCCCACGGGTATTTGCGGGAAGCCCACCATGGCACGACCCGATTAGCGACGAGATCCCAGACGCGCCGAGGGGGTGCATCCCCGTCGGTGATCTGTTTATTGATGAGCATATTTCGTCGCATCTCCTCGTCATCCACCGGTGCTATTATGTCGTCCACCGGTACTATTCTGACATCCTCTTCAGGATGGATATTGATGAACTTGTACTGACGGCGCAAATGAGCGTATGCAGTACCAAAGTCCCAATTTTCCGTGACGAAGGCTTCGCACACCTTGTATAGGGAGCTGTCCGGAGCAAGGGATCGGACGCCGAGCATCTCCAACATCACTCCCTCGACACCCAAGTTCGCGCAAGGAGTATCAGCGATAGCGGATGGCAATATTCTACCAGTGTAGGCTCGCTGCTTCAGCACTGGAATGCTTGTCTCTTTTCGGCCAATCTCGTCGTAGGCAGTGAGTTCGAACTCGGGGAGACTGTCGTATGGCTAGAATGTATTGGTCATTGGTCATCTGTGCATGATGCTATGCGCTTACATGCCGCTTTTTGTCTTCTAAAGCAGAGGCTATGTCCTTGTACCACATTCCCCTGACAACTGCTAGCTCGGCGTGATAGAATGAGGACATGAAGCATAGAAAGTAATACAACCATACATACCTCCGCTCCACTCTATTCCATCCATAACGTACGTTGGTAACAGGGTGGTGTTCCGTGGGCACTAGAAATTCTGCGTGGGCACCTGCATGGTACCACGCGTGCATGGTGTGTAACCACGTAGGCCACGCAAGTCCTTAGTTGAACTTGCTTTGACTGTACAATTATACTGCGCTATGATAAGAATGCTTCCTTAAACATACTGACTATGTACCGCCACACTGGCCTGGATCCAGGCGAATACATTGCGTACCAATCCCTCCCAGGTGCGCATCTATACAGATTGTATGTACATACCTCCCAGCCGCGCAACTAAAACCTAGTTGAACGTGTAGTCCTTCAAAGGAATTTCCATTGAAGCCGCCCGTCTGATGTAGGCAAATGGTAAACGGTTATTGCCCCGAAAACGCAGGCGCTTACCGAGGCTGACGCTGAGAGCGACGCGCTGAGATTGAAGGCGGCTGCTTGTACGGATGCTGGTTATCCTGGTAAGGGCGGTTGTCTTACTCAGTGTCATCGGATCGGTGAAAATGCAGTAATGCGGTTCATTGGGCCTATAGCTACATGAAAGATGGCAAAAAATCTACCCATTGCTTGAGGAAAGGAATAACGTCTGGGAACATCTGGTGTCGGAGATCGTCCTGAGCCCCAATATCGTTCCCACCGAAAAGCAGAGACCCTGCACCTCGTAAAACCAGGATGACGCCTGCACCATGTTCCACCTGCAGGCGAGGCAAAATCTGCAGAGGATTTAGTCAACTCACGATACTGAACGGCAGAGTGCGCACCTCATCCCTCGACGCCACACAGAAGTTCTGATCTTCAAACCGATTCCCGAAGCCGATAATGACGTGATTCGGAAAGTCGACCTAGAGAGCCCAGCCACGTTCCTTCTGGTGTCGATGCTTATTGCCGCCGAAAACTCTGAGCTGGTCGAACTGGCCCTTATAGAATGCACGCAATGGTAGTGACGGAAGCCGAACACCTTGTGGAGGATTCAGCGAAGATAACAGGGGAACGAAAATTAAAGCTTACCCACAATGGGAATATTCTTTGTGTTACACACGCTGGTCAAGGACTAGTAGGCGCGTCGCTGAGCTGAGCCGCAGTGTCGAAGTCGAGGTAGTGATTGTTAAACGAAAATCGAAATAACGATCATGGATGTAGCCAGTATTGGATTTCCCTGACTATGGAGATAAGTTCATCCATGTTGTAAAAGGATTCAACGCGCACCGTACATCCCAGCTAGCCAAGATAAAATGGCTAGGATATTGCCAGTACCTCGTAGTGATACGACGGTTGAACGGTTCATCCCAAAGGCCAAAGGGAATACCTGGTTTGAGCGCCTTTGAGCGCCTTGAGTGATGCCTTGAAAGCTCAAAAATTATTTTATCGGAATCAGGTCAGGCAAAGAGAGTTGTGAATTGGTCAAGCAAGGTACGAGAATCATGGTAGGAGACAAAGGAACGACTAGGATCAACAAGCGCCAACAAATGAATCCGGTCTCTCCCGGTCTAGGTTCCGATCAAACCCTTCGCGTGATACGACTATACGACTCTAATTGCTTCGATCGACTTAAACTAATGAAATATCCAGTCGAGAATTAGAGGCGGAGACGCAGACGCGTAAGCTCGTATTCTTTTATGTGCTCTTAAATAGTGTATTGAAATTCACGTAGCTGTAGGTTACATATGACAGCACAGTACAATCACGCGGAATCAATTCAACAGATTTGCTATCAATGATGCTAACAATAAAATGCTTCGGGATTGGCAGTTGCGCTAATGCTACATGTTCAGAAGATGATCCGTTTTGTTATCCCCTTTTGGGATTCATGTGATGGCTGTACAAAGTGCGAATTTTTCAAACTGGTAAGTAACAGACGAGAATGAACGTTCAATGGACATTGATCAACTTATGATTTGTCAAACAAGCTGACGACCACACAGCCACGCAGGTGACAACGCAAACTGCTTTTACCCGGTTCAGATGAAAGGGGTTATCTGAGGGGCCCCTGAAATATGGTCTCCTTTTCCCTAGCTTACACGTCCTCGGATCCATAACTACGCGTCGTGTTTGCTTATGACACTTCGTGTTTGGAGGCTTGCACGTCTTCTTTTCCTGTATTACGCGTCAAAGGCCGTGTCTCAGTGGGAGAGCGAAGTATTCTTACTCATTTTATGCTCCTATATCCGAGTTTCTGTGTTCGGTACCGTAGCGTAGTGTATTAGATGGGTAATATGCACGTAATATGGACTCTTGTTTGTTTCCTTTTTAGGGAAAGTGACCAGAATAAAACTCCTTCTCCTTTGTCATCGATCGGTCTAGGACCTGGGCTAATAATAGATATACGGGTTTAAGCCTTTTTTTAGGCACCAACGCTGACGCGGCTATGCGCTGAATAAGACGGATCAGTAAGCTGACATTGCTTGGCTATTACGAAGAACACTATAAGTAGATTTGTTCACAAACCCACGCACAACTAACTAACCATCCCCATCATGACAATTCTTCTCACCGGCGGAACCGGACAGACAGGCAACCGGATCGCTCGTCTTCTGCACGATGCCAACCACCGCGTTCTCGTCACCTCTCGCAAGGGCGTCGCTCCTGCACCCTTCAAAGGCGTCAAATTCGACTGGTACGACCCATCGACATTCGAGGGTGTCTTTGCCACCGACCCGAGCATTGACCGGGTCTACCTCGTCTCGCCTCCAGGCATTGTAGACGTGTTCTCTTCTATGAAGCCGTTCATCGATCTTGCTGTACAGAAGGGCGTCAAGCGTTTTGTGCTCCTCGGTGTGTCGATGGTGGAGTCGGGGCAACAGGCATGGGGGAAAGTACACGAGTACTTGAGTTCGCTCAAAGTCGATTATGCAGTCATTCGTCCTTCGTGGTTTTTTGGTCCGTCTCAGGTGGCATATACGACGAACGAGGGGAGACTAACATTCGGAATTTTAGAGAATTTCTTGACAGTTCACCTTGGGACGATCAAGGAGCTGAACACGATTATGAGCGCGTCTGGGGATGGAAAGATCGGGTTTATATCTGCAGATGATATCGCGGATTTGGCGGTTAGTGCGTTGACGGACGAGAAGAGCCATAATACGGACCATATTCTCCTGGGTCCTGAGCTGCTCACTTATAATGACGTTTGTCCCATTTCTTCGTGTGTATTTCCCCGCTGAAGCCTGTCTCTGAATTAGGTGGCTGCTATCTTCACGGAGGTGCTTGGACGGAAAATTACCCACACACGCATCACTGTCGAGGAGTTGAAGAAAGGGTACCTGTCTTTCGGTCTTCCGGAGGATTTCGCCACGATGCTCTCCTCTTTGGACGGTGAGAATGCTAAAAAAGGCGGTGACGAGGAAGAGAAATTCATGTCAGCGAAGAAGGTTTCGGGGAAGAGGACGTTCAGGAGCTTCGTAGAAGCAAATAAGGATAGCTGGCTGCCGTGATGTTGAGTACTGGTAACGGTAAAACGATATCTTCATACACGTACAATAACTATGTTCTCTCACTTTTCCGAGAATGATAATTCAAAGAACTGCAAGCATTGATATCAGCCGTGTATTGGTAAAGGAGCACAAAAAGCATTACATCATTACCTTTACCATAGTCGTAATACTTTCGCTGCCAATTTCTTGACATGCTTTTAACCAAGAATCTACAGTATACCACATTTAGATGCACTTGAGGTCGTGGTCGACACTTGTCAGAACTATCAGTAAATCGATAAGACAGCGGATATTTTCACAGGGCGTACTAAACCTACGAGTGAAGCTGAGAGTAATCGGAAAGCTGAGCCTAAGTTGGTTCCGGAGTGAAGAGTCAATATTCATGTCTAGATGAGGGAATTGACGTCACTCCCATCTTGGCTGAATTTTTCTTACCAGTCATATTCGATGTTGGCAGTCAGAGAAATATAAATGAGCGCCACGCGTGCGCCTGAGACGGCAATGCTTCAAAAACACGTGATGAACGCGTCGCGTCATACACCGTTTAAGTTAGTTTCGACATTTTCCCAAGAAGAGGCGAACGTGCAACGTAACAAAGCACAGTAGCTGTAGCTCCTCCTCACCGGCACGATAAATGCGGACACAAAGTTTCAAGCGGATGGAAGGGAAGCTAGAATGAGTGTTTTGGAAGGCTTCTTTGGATGACCAGGGTCACGGATTGTCCCATCGAGATCCAGAGCTGTGAACACAGAAAAGTAAGTTCATATTTTCATCATATTAAATCTATGACTTCCACTCATTTCTCGACGACTGGACGAATACCCTTTGCGTTCAATGTTCCTGAACACGACAAGAAGTCAAAATCCCAACCGAAAACATGACGACGACGGCAAAGCCTTTCGTCATCGAAAACGGTCGTTCAGTCGGCTGTTGATCCTCCTGAGGGTCTCAAGATGGTCGGTAGAGTAAAACCAAAAGGTTTGTCGACAGTCACGGCAGAATATGCAAGGGGAGAGTGATATAATGATCAATGGGAAGTTTTTCATACGATTCACGAAGGTAAATCGCATTTATATACAGCTGAGTGCCCTCTTAGGAGATCTTTATAGAAATACGCGTCCGTCAAGCAGAACGAATTACTCCTGGGCCACGTGCTGCAAAGTCAGACTCCGTGCTTGTATCTTTCCCGGAATATGTGCTACAAAAACCTCCGGAAGAAATCGACACTCGTCTCCCAAAAACAACATTCTTGAATGGCGTAAAAAAAGTAATAAATATCGCCCGTGTTTCCAAGTATCTGTAAGTCGGCAACCTCGGGAAGAAAGCGACGTTCATCTGCGTTCCGCATCGAAGAGTAGAACGATAACAGACTTTCTCCGTAAATTGTTTATTTCCCAAGAACTTTTAATTATTGTTAATAGTCGTACTAGGATGGCTACCGCGATTCTCCATCTTATGAGACTTGTTCTCGTATCCTAATCCTGATGCGAGGTGAAAATATCTGCTGTGTTCAAGAGGTAGCCTGAGGTAGCGGAAACGGAAAGAACCCCCGAACGGACCTCGGTTCTTCGGACCGACGACATTGCCAGGTGCCGTCGGCAAAGCTTGTTCACGGCAATTTCATATTCACTCTTAGTGATGAACTACACCATTGCTACCACTGATGAGCACAGCAGCTCGACGATGAAAGTTTCTAATACTCGTCCGATTGCACCTCATCCCCTGCTGTTACCATCGAGATTCTCATGGTAGATGTGGCTAAAGGAGGAACACCCACCAGGTGCGTGCATTTTCTAGTTTACTTGATGGTTTTCCTCAAATTTCTCTCGATAAACAAGAAATTGAGGCCTTTAGGATAATGTACGTATTAATCTCCAGTACTGGTAAGCCCAGCGTCCAATAGTGCTCGGAACGTTGATAATAACATTTTCTAGGGCCTCGCTGCGGTACACGGTCGAAAAGGATGCATATATGCTATGCTTGTAACGTTCGTACACATCTGATGCATTTCATCAGAACTCCTCTGAGTAAGTGGTACAGGAAACGTGGCCTTTCGGGGAAGGCTTTCTGTATTGTCGCGTCATCCATTCCGGTAGGAGGGACAGCCCCATAGGAAGAAGCGCTCCCTGGCTATTAGGGCTCCTCTCGTCCTCGCTGCTATGCAGAATCATGTTCCTTGGTCATTGATATCACCTTATTAGGGCCAAAGAACTCGGATGCGGCCTTTGCGATACTTGTTGGTGATTCCTGTGCGAACCTTTCGCAGCAGTAGTTCCACACAGCGAGAGGCATCGTCTGGGGGGATGGAGAAAGAAGTTCTACTATATCAATTCTATGTGGTACGCGTATTCGCAGGAAGAAGATATCAGCCGGTTGTGGTGCGCACATTTTACGAAATTCTTTCCACTTCTTTGATCTTTGACATTCGTTTAGCAGCTGAATTCTGGATGGACTCCCTCCCGGGGCGTGACCGAACGCTGCAGGAATGACATTTCGTATATCTTTAACAGATACTAGCAGTCCTGACTTATTCGGAGGCAACTCAGATTTTGTTATGCTCATGATGGCGACGCTACAGCCGAGACGATACCGTTGATGAAGGGAAGCTGTCTACTATACACCACCACATAGTACGTTTTCCATCTTTCATATTGTACTGTTTCTTCAATTACGGCAGTCCGGAAAAGCCAACTTTACGAACTAGTCACTGATAGTTGGCAAAAGTCGGTCAATCGTAGCTGCCCCTGCTTTGGCTATGCCTCTTCGCCTCTGCCTACCGCTGTTGATCATATTATGAATCAAAGTCGAGTTATCCCGTCAAGCCTAATTTTACCTCTGACATGGCTTGAGCAGTAGTGCGTGCATACAAGTTATTATGGTTGTGAATCAGAGCGCTAACGTCCCATAGGTACCGTTGTAATCTACATGGGTCATTGATTGGAACTGACTGCGACTATACTGGAACTTCCCAATGCCGTCAGTCTACCGTCTCATGCGGAGGTCCAGAGCTGAAATTTCGATGCCTAGGCCGCTGCTCCTGATTATCACTGCAACGTGAGAAACAGCGCTATAGAGTTATGCCGAATATTCTCCGATTAAAAGTACAGTGCCTTCGCTATGCTAGTTATCGGTATCTTACCAGCCGTTGACTTGAGCAGATACTTCCGATGCAGGGGCTGCTAGCATCTAGTCCGGCCAGATGGGCTCAACGCTCACCAGAATTATCGCAACGGAACCATTTATTCTTCTTAAGCGCGCTGCTCTCTAGGCATGATATTACCCGGACCCTATAGAATGTATGACTGGGTGTTTGATTCGGCGTAAACATTGCTGACTTTCATCGGTTCACAACCCTAACAGTGCAACAAGCGAAACGTGTTTTTTTCTAGCCAGGCTTATCAGACCGGAATTGAGGAATACCTGTGAAGTTACAAGAAGACGGCATGGTCTTTTCCGAGACGCTGATATCAAGTACTTCGCCGGCCCGTTCATCGAGCGAAGATCGGCAATGGGCAAATCCTAGTGCATACCTCCGTGTTTTGCGGTGTGATGAGACCGAACCGAAACCGTACCATCGCTCTGCTACCCGGCCTTCTCCTCGACTTCTGCAAAGGCTTGGGGGCTTTGAGTTTATATTGCGGTACGATTTCAAGCCGTATTTCGCAATGTATGAATGAATATATTAACATACTTGCAGAAAAGAATCGAGCAGGGCTAGATCACGTGAATATGTTGTAGAGAGGAGGTTATATTTAGACCTGAGAATGATACTACGGCGAGCACATATTGATATGTGTCACTGGGGTGTAGGTCGCAGGTCTAGAATCTCCCTCGTACCAATGTTCTCGGGCCAAGGCAATGCGCCCTTTCTCAATATAAGCATCCTTCTCCGAATCCTATGGAGACTTATAGCCGACTTCATCCAATAAAGGTAGGATTGCATCTGCTTTCTACGCCCTTTCGACATTGCTTCTGATTGACCTCCTCCAGAGGTACGTTCAATGTTGACTTCGAAGCTCAAATCGTGGTGCTGAGATATCAAGCTCAAGTTTCCAGAGGCGAGTTGCATCAACATTCACGTTGACTGCTCATTTAACCATCCGTTCTGTCCCCAGGTATAGGACTACGTAGTCGTCTATAAGCCAAGGAAACATACCAGCCTTCTCTTTTACCCCTGCCTCCGAGAACGTCCTCGCAAGACTTGAGAGATATGCCATCCCTCCGGAATACATTCGGTGCCCTCTTTATTGGTACTACTGTTGCCTCTATGTACGCTTCCTTACTCTGGGAAATATCATCTCATCCGTTTCATAGGTTATTCGGAATAACGAATGTACAAACACTCATCTACTACAAGAGATACCCTAATGATTGGTCACTCTACCGATACTCTGTATGCCGGAATGCTTTCAATGTATACATCACACTAAACCCCCTTCGTATAGGTCGCAGTACTTTGGTTCGTTTACTCATCCTTGTTGGACGTAACGACTTATTATGGTGTTCATAGGGTACTCGATGCTCTTCACGTGATTTTAAGCACCTGTGCCCTGTATTACTATCTCATCGATATGCATGGTACCTTGCTCGGTGCCGTATGGGATAACACTTGGTACGTTGTCTGGAGGTAGCACCGTTTTAACCTCAATGAGGATTCGTCATTACAGGAGCATGAAGGTACGAATTTACTTGCGGTTCTGATCATCCAGCTCTTATGATAGCTTTCATACCCAGCTGCAATTGGCCATAAATGTGTCGATCGTTGTGTATGTCCAGGGGTAAGAGCTCGTATATCATTGCTATGCAGAAGGCAAATTCTGATTATTATATTCCTTAGATTATATGCTATCCGACTGTGGAAACGTGCGTACCCTACGTAGAGTTAAGGATCATGACAAGGCTTAACTTCTTCTTAGTTGGACAACATTTTAATAAGATACTCTCATGGTTCGTAGTAAGTATGGCGTTAAATTCTCGGGTCTCTTGTCTCTTCTTACTATTGGATAGTTTCTCGCTGTAGCAGCCTCGCTTGGTAAAACAGTCGCTCTTCTTGCTCCCACAATTTTCCCTCATGGCCCGTCTTCCGTTTCTTTCAGGCGCAGGAATATGTAAAGCACTGCTCTTGCCTTCGCTACAATGTTACTAATGGGGATGGTTGCAGATATAACCTATGATATGTAAGCAAAACTTTGAAGCAGCATACAGCGGTTGAGGTCAATTCGAATAGTTATATTACGCCGAACATCACAGCTATTTCCATCATCAGAGTAGGTCTTCCATACTCCAGAAAGTCGCTAATTTTAATCTGGATAATATAGAGATCGATTTATACCTTCTTCTCTGTGATAGCCGCAACAGATTTCATCATAGCTCTCATGATGTGCTATTATCTGCACAAGGTCAGAGAAGACACACAATTCTCTTCGTGAGTTGATTTCTTCACCATATCTTCTAGCTCTGATTTATATCTGTGCAGAACTTCGGCTGTAGTTGTTACTCTAATGCGAATCATTCTTGTCTCGGGGTTAGCCACAAGGTAAAATGTTTTTTTATTCTAGTCACCATCATTCCTGATCAAAATGACAGTGCATGCTCTCTTTTCGCTCTTCTCTCAGTCTGTTGTCTTCCAGCTTCACTGATGCAAGGAACTCACGAATATCTGCAGTATATTGTGTGGCCCGAGTCTCTTATTTTCCTTGGCATCGACTTTGCCCTGCCGAAACGTCAGTTTTACTTCTTAATCATTTAAAAGGCTAACAAATATATTCAGTATATGTCAACTCCCTGCTTGCTATGTATGTCGTCTTTTTGGGATTTTTACCTGAAGCTCAACCGTTGTAGGCTTAATTACCGGCCTAAACGCCCATCGACACAATTTGTTGCAGAGCGCTCAAAACACTCAATTCCTACTGTTGTTAGGATCACACAGCACACTTCAGTAGGTGATACCGAAGACACAGTGCGTGTATTAGCCTCCTAGCACTAGATATTTTCTCGACCGCTCATTCAGTCTTTCTTGAAGGATATTGGCATCCCACTCTCTGAGATTCCAGTTAGCCGCCCATTTGATCATAAGTCGAACCATTCAGACTCAAGGGGACCTCTCGATTATGAAGTCCAAGAGTGATTTCGTTTGACTCCCGCCCTTGGTACCATATAGATATTTATGAAACACTAAATACATCTAGACTTCGTCCTGCCAGCTGTGTAATGGCCTCGTTTGAGGCTTGTGCATTGATCTCTTGCACCTTGTAACTTAACATCATGTCAGTACAAGGAGTTCGTTTCGAACAACCGTGATAATTCCGATATCAGTCACCACTCCTCCGTGTAGATTTCATCAGGCTCGTTACGCATACTGTAACACATCTTCATCACACTCTGGACCGATCATCTCCCCAACGAACAGATGAGGCTCTAAAAATATGGTAATGCGAACTACGGTGGCAATGTTTGTGCCATAGCACTCAGAATCTGGGCCCTGTTCACGAACTGTAAGGTTTCAACGTGTCCAATCACCTGGGAGAATTATAAGCATACTAAGTCAGATAACACGTCTAGACAGTGTAATTGTTCTCACCGCTAGGGAAAGGGCCTAGGCTTGCAGGACTTTGGGTCCTTGATGGAAGGTGTCGGCAGTCGAGCCGTGGTTATCAGACGGTGCCAACTGAGGGTGTCAATAAGCAGGTCAACGTACAGTTAAAGTGTCATAGCAGCACAAAATCATGATGCAGACAATACTATCGGAGGGAAATGAGAAGAAACTGCAGGAAGACATTACTGAGCAGAAGAGACGATGTCGTACGTATGCAGGGAACTCCGAACTACCGGGAAAATACGCAAGCTTTGTTAGAGCAGGGAAGGCATATCTACACGTGTTGCTTTGAGTGAGGCCCTACTAGTTAATATAATGTCTCCTCTGCAACATGGTTACCGTGATATGATCAATGCGAAGTTGAAGTTCGATTCACCATCGCTGCTTCGCAGTTGACTCTAGAAAGGAAAGCCTAGTCACCAGTGATTTCGTATATCAATCCAGATGCGTAGGTAAATTCTACCACCATTAATGCAGGTACCGGGCCTAAGAGGGCAGCGACAGCGAAGGAATTAATACTTTATTGCATAGAATAAGTAAATCAAACTCGAGCCAGAAGTGACGAGATCACGTTGTTGTCACGGACCTGTCATTCGTCACGGATCTCCTTTCCAATGAGCAAAATATCACCGATCTCCTGGAGTGTCCACGCTCGATTGAACCAACACCAATCGCTTTCGAAGTCGCCGTCTTTGAAACTCAGCGGCAGACCCAGCCCGCTGAAGTAGCACACCACCGTAGCCCTGTCATATAACTATCCGATTGTTGGTAAATCGACTTTCCACTCCTTCTTGCGCAGAGCCTCCCTACGGTCCCACTCCTCCTGGCTAGGGTTACCACTTGGGTCATCGCCCTGACCCTTCTGCCTCAAACACAGAATGTCCAACCACACATAATCCGCGTCGAAGTTCAGCATCTCGATCCTGATCAGATTAAGATCCACATCCTTCGGCATTGGCACCGGCCATTCGTATCCATTTATGGGTGTCATCTCTCCTTTGAGATCGTTATCGTTATCGTCCACCCAAGCATGCGATATCGTCCGCGGGAATTTGATGCGAGCAACCCACTATGGCACAACCCGATTAGCATCGAAATCCTAGACCCTCCGAGGGGGTGCATTCCTGTCGACGGTCTTCTTACTGTTAAGCATATTCTGTCGCATCTCGTCGTCGTCCTCCCGTGCCTTCATGGCATCGCTGACATCTCCGTTATCGATGATGCGACACAGATGGCCCAAATGAGCGTAGGCAGTGCCAAAGTCGCAATTTTCTGTGACAAAGTCTTCGCACGCCTTGTATAAGGGGCTGTCCGGAGTGCGGGATGGCGCGTTGAGCTTCTCCAACATTCCATCGACACCTAGGTCGGCGCAGGGAGTGTCGGCGACAGCGGATGGTAATACTCTACCAGTGTAGGCCCGTTGCTTCAGCACTGGAATGCTTTCTGCTCGGCCGGTCTCGTCGTAGGCAGAGAGTGTGACCTCGGGTAGAGTGCTCTCATATTTCTATAATGTATTAGTCCCCACCCTTCTGTGCATGACGCATGCTGGTGCATGCTTACCTGGTCTTCTTCGTCCGAATAATAGTCGTTGAAATCGTCCCACACTCCCGTCAAACGTTTCCCATCACAGACTTAGGCATGACAGAATGAAGATATGAAGCACCGAAAGGAACACAACTAAACATACAAATTGCCCTTGAACGGTCTCGGTCAGTTCTCATGTCTTGGTAACGAGGTGCAGTTGTATGCCAACAGGTTTTAGTCGTGCTGTCGTCCGTGGTAAGAAGCAAGTGAGGTAGTTCTGTACCATATAACCTACGCATCCTATAAATGCTATGGATCATCACATTATTCCATTCCTGATCCTCGCGCTATCACCCTGTTAACACGTAAGTGCGATAGATATCGGGTCTTTACCGGTATGAAACGGGCAATGCACCACGAACGAGTCCACCGAACGAGATTAGCTCTTGCGAGAACCTGTTCCTAGCAGGTACAAAGGACCGCATCATTTCCACCGAAATGCCGGGATGGGTACGAACCCATGGTCGCCGCATGCAATAAAAATCTGCCCGAGGACCTAGTTAGAGTGCAGTCCCGGTGATGACTCGAGCTTCTGATACGTTAGAGCCGGGTTGCATGAATAAGCCTTCGCTATAAACTCGACATCGTTCGAGCTGTATGTGAGTGCTCCATCAGCAATGCTGAATTCCCATCATTAACCAGGGCGCTTAACTCGTCGAAGGATCGCGCGCTATTCGGGAAGAATGCATAATGTTCTGCTGAGTCTTATTGTAGAACAGCCGATGCTTAGCCAATCCTTCTTGGATTCGTGTAACCCACAGCTGTAAGAAGTAGATAAAAGGTTGGAGTTGAGGATTCACAGACTACCTACGTTGTAGTTCACATCGGAATTGCGGTGGTAGGCCGGGGTCAGTAGTTTTAGCTCTCGGACAGGTTCACAATCAGACTTCGGGTCGATGTAACAGGTAATCTGAGAAATGGAACCATTAACGGATCGATTTAATTTGTTGAAGAGTGGTAATAGCATGCACTGTTTGCAGGGTTTTGTCAAATGTACCTTGAACAAAAGCTGTATGCCTTTCACCATTGCGAGCAGCGTTAACTCAGCCTCACCTTCTTTATCGTGAATTCATCAACTGATTAGCTTTTGCGGGCGGTCTAGTAGATAAATCATGCTCGCAGCGTCACCAATAAGCTAGAGATTAGACTAAGCACACTGACAAAAAGGTCTCGAGACATTTAACCTCGTACCAGCAACACTCGAACACGATGGGAAAGGTTGAATTACAACTGTATCCGTGCATACGACCAGTCAGGATCGGACAATGATGACATGATAATAGTGTAGACGCAGGGAACCCGACGCTGACGGAGCAAATAGAAGACACCGAATACGATATAGGCTTCGATAGAGCCGATATGCGATGCGGCGAGTATCGTAGCACTTCTGTGGAGGATAATACCGAACTCGTTGGCGGCAGGATAGTACTATAGTCAGCGCAAGGAAATTAGGAATCCTCATGAAGTCGCCCGTCTGATGCAGGAATATCGTAAGCGGTTATCTCTCCCGATAACGGAAGCACATACCAAGGGGAAGGCGGAGGTAGCCACATGAACCGAAAATATTTTGGTGAAAGGATGTATGAAGGTTAAGAATGGTAACTTCATTACCAGGGCGCTAAGTCCTCGTCTCGCCAGATGGGCCAAAAGATAAATATGAAATCTATTGAGTAGATGAATACATGAAAGATAGCGAAGGATCTATTCGTATCTGGCAAAAAAGAACGACGTTCTGTCGTTGCCACCAACTCATAAGGACGACGCCTAGCTCACGTTTCAGTCGCAGGTGTGCCCATCTGCACTAGAATTTAGTCAAGAGACGATGTTAAACAGGAAAACGCGCACCTCATCTATTGACACCACATAGAAGTTCTGATCTTCAAACGGTTCCTGAAGCCCGTAGTGACGTGATTCAAGAAGTTGACCTAGCGCACGGCCATGTTCTTTCCGGTATCGATATTTCTCGCTGCTGGCGTATACCTCAGAGCTGGCCGAACTGAATGCTGGCCATTTTTAGGATGCATAGCAACAGCGACGATGGACGGAGAATACCTTTGTGGAGGATTGAGCCAAGATAACGGGGTCAAGGCAATTGAAACTTACTCTCGATAGACTTATTCCTTATGTTCCACGGTGTTGAGTCGCAGTTCCGACGTCGAGGCAGTGATTGCTAAAGGAGAATTGAGATGACGATCATGGATGTTGTCGGTATTAAAGTTCCCTGTTCAAGGAGATAAGCGTCGCCTATCTTGTAGATAAATTGAACGCACCACAAAACCGAAAACAGCCCGAGTTCATATATTCCGAATATTTCCAGAAACCTCAGTGATCCACAACATTGCGAACGTTGTTGTCACAACAACGTTCGAAGCGAGTGGCTGTTTTGAATCATTTCAGAGTTATTTCAAAGATAAGCCTGACATGTTGAAGATTAGGGTATAGGAATCAGGTGAGGCAAAGATAATCGTGAAACAACTGAGAGCAGGATACGGTACCGAGGATCATGGTGCAGAAAAAAAAAATTAGAAGAGACGCGGCCCGCCAAGAACCGACTCGGGTCACGCCGAGATCGGGAGTGTTCGGCACGGCCTACCGGACCGTCAACGTGGATTGCATTGCTTTAAACTTTTCAGGACGGCGAAGTTCGAATTCATCGTTTCGGCGTGGAGGCACACAACCATGCAAGGTAGGGTGGTTTATGAAGGACATATGCTCACTGTTAACCATTTCATCACTTGTCACAACAACCAGATCGCCGGTTTGTGACTAAAGGAAGAGGAGAAGTATGTGGCAGGTCCATAATTTCAGCCTCATCGAAATGTTATGCAGTGGGGGCTTGCAGATAATTCATGTACAATTGGCAGCGGGTTTAACGCGGATCGACTTCACAAGCCTTAACAAAATATCCGGTTCAGGAGCGTCCTAACGCGAATCAGGGCGACCAACGCGGACGAGTAAGCTCATATTTTCCTTCCATTAGACCTCCTGCCTAAAATACGCGTACCCAGAGCCGCAAAGGCTCAAGTACAAATAACCCCCAGGCCATGTAATCGCCCAATTATATCGCCGCGCCTCTATCTCTCCCATAATATCTAACACGGAAACAATGGCGCTCGTCTCCCTACACCGAACGTCGTCTATCCCCAACGTATGTGTAAGATAAGGCTATGCTCCCTTCGTTTTCCCACGTGCAGCACTCAATGCATAATGCGCCATGTCCTGTTAGGAGCGACGTTCAGCGGGAGATGAGAGCCCGAGGTGGGGAAGTTATAACAAGATTCTCTGGATATTGCGAATCATGCAGGAGCTCTTCGATGATGATGTGAGATTGAAGCTCACCTCAGCACGCATAAGACGGGCGAGTAAGAGAAAATGTTGAAGAGTCCAGTTCGCCAAAGCAATGATAAAGCGTTAACATTCCAAACAAGTGCTTCTTTAATTTATATACTACTTATTACGACGAGCTTTCATTTGACATGGCGATCAAAAGTCTTCCATTTTCATTGGTTTTGAAAAAATATCCGAAAGCCTAATACAACGTGGTTACTACAACATTCGGATACACTCGCTTCGGTTTTACAACTGTAACATTGAAGTGCTCCAACGAACCTTATGGACAGGAAAGAAATACCGTTCATAAAGATGAACCGATTCTTTCAACGACCTCTCTTCAAAGCAATTGGTCCAACCACCGACGTAACAAGGAGGACTTAGGCCAGCCTCGCGTACTTTTCCAGTCATATAGACGATATCCGCAGCTCGTCTATGGGGAAAAGTATACCAAGCATATATGACTTCATTCCCGCTGGCCAGTTTCGGAAAAAATATCGTCATCTATCCATATTGGATTGGTGAATTGAGCTTTAGGCTGATATTTTCCACGATCATGCCCACGGCAGGCTTCCATCCGCATTCGAACGCTGCGGTGGACCTTGATTCCACTGGTTGAATTAGGGATCTCTCGAGGCCGGCCAAGGTTTATGCTATCAAAACGGTATTCAGTCACATAACTAAACATTAGAATGCCTGAATTTACCCAAACCAGGACACCCACTCGCCGTTCCCCGTCTGCCGTCTGAATTCCATGGGCATTAGCTCGAGAATCCACCACAACTTCGAACGTTTGAGCTGATCGTATATAGGAGACAATACGTCCCCGAGTTCCTCCTCCTCCTCTGTCCCGATTGGCGGGCACTGTTCATCATCCATTGAAACACTCAGAGTCTCGGGAGTCAAAGTTTGACCCTCGTCAGGAGTATCAGGCAGTGCTGGAGGGAGGCGCCGGAACGTGGATAGGATCCTCTCGAACAGTGGTTTTTTCTTTGGTTCCCTCTGTATTATAGCGGACTTCACTGATAGCGCCCGTGGTCGTGGCTTAACGGAAGGATACAAGGTTGCAGGATCGAGGCCTATTTCTCTAAGGCGATCAGAATCGAACATGATTCCTGTTTGCGCTTTGAAGCACTCTCGAATCATCCATCGCAACGGAATTCGTGCCAAGGAATAGCGCGTCGAGTTCTTCACGGAGCCTCCCCCTACGTCTGTTGTCAAAAAACGGTTAGTTGATGATTCGCTGATGATGGAGAAAAGACACATACCACAATGACATCCCTTAGCACCAGAGAGACAATTCAATAAGAGATATAGATGAGCAATTCACACAGAAAACTCACAGCAAACCAGACTTCCTCGACATCAGTAGGCTGCGCGAAATCAGAAGCATGGAGCTCCTCCATCTTCCTCAAGAACCTCTCATCGTCCGGACGCCATTCAATTCCAGACTTCATTCCATGTACGTGCTGCGGTCTATCCACCGTATTCTTACGCGAACTGTACCGCGATGAGCTCGGAGTGCCCAGCTGCATCTCTTTGGTCGTCGGCAGATTCCATAGGTTCGCTTTGAACTTTGCTCTATGCTCATCCAGTGAGACTGCATGTCGAAAGGTCCTAATGATCGTATTGGAGGCCGTAAAGGGCAATCGTTTAGGAACGAGGCCGACCGAATCAACGGTGTCCCTGTGGTCAGTAAGCACTGGCATACGAAAAGGCACATGGAGGCTAAAAAAGGCCGTTACGCACCATACTCCTACAAATTCAATGGGAACATCCACGCAGAACGACTCCTTGAAAGCCGTAGATTGGCACCAACCAATCTCATCCGTTCGGGTGTACATTTGGTATGCAAAGGGTACTTGTTGGAAATTATCCGGTGGGAGTAGACCTACTTTGTGAATCATCCCGGCGAGACTGGCCGCGTAGAGTCATCAGATTGATCTGGAATATGAAACAGTGATTGGTGTTCCTTACCTTCTAGCGGTGTACGCGCCGCGTGAGAAGCCAAAGATACATACGCGGTCACCAGCATGATCTAAAAATATACTCGGTACCGGCTCGAGGTTAACGATGAACAGAAACGCACAATTTTGCATCAAGAATTGATAACCGTCTATCCGGAAAGAGTTAATAAAAGATGGAAGTAAACATATATGACAGATCGGCGTACCCATGACATGAGCATCAAGACTACACGCTATCATCAAATCGACGGCCTACCCACGATACAAGGATCAGCCCTCGAAACAAGAGAAGAAAACGGACAGTTCGCACCTTGTACACTTTCGATGTGATAAGGCCAGGAATTCGAGGCGGTGTGTAGGTACCAACTCCTGCCTTAGAGGTGCATTAATTAGCTGTACAGGGTCATTGCGCAGATCGTACCTGGTAATAAACCATCTGCTGCGAGCGGTCATCTTTCTTCAGTAACCAACATAGTTGTACGATATTCGAATTATCGGCATCGAACTGGTCCCCGGTACCGTCAAAGCAGAGCACCAGCGTACGAGAATCGTGCTGTGGAGGAATGGTTCTTGGAATGTCTTTGGGGACAGACGGTTCTGCATTTTCTTCTGAATCAACGGCAGTTTCTGCCACAGATGTCGATGATGATGCGCGTTCATGATAAGGGGGGACCGTGTCAGGAATTTCCAGAGTCGTCATGAGTGAATAGAGTGAGAGAGATTGCGTGAGTCTTCATCAGAACAGCCAGGATATTTATGAAGAACGTTAAGCGCGGGAACAGTATCATAATTGAAGAGATCAAAGGGCTGTGCAATATAGCGTAGGAGAACTCTTTCCGGAACAAATGGAATCCACAGCTTGATGTTTGGATTATCAAGCCGGCTGGCATGACGCAAGGTCAAATAATGGAACTGATTGAATAATTCCTCGGACAGCTTCTCGGAGAGAGAAAAGCCGCAAGAGTTCTCTGGGAAGGCCCTGTAATACTTAATTGTTGGTGCTGAAAGAGGCATGTAGGTTGGGAAAAGCGGTTGCATCGCCACGTTGTCCCAGTGATGATGAGCGTCCATCACCTGATTTTCTGGGTGATCATCATCAAAGCTTCCGCTGGTGCACATGGTCGACCGAAAAAAAGAGTTCATTGTGATAAGCGAGCGTCATCGATTGACGCGCTTTCGAGTCTCGACATGTCTGAGATGTCGAGTATTGTTGGAGACCTGGGTGGTGCCTTGTTATTCAGCGCGATATGGCACAGAAGCAAAAAGTATACTAATGTTTAGTGCTCAGTACTCCAGACGTTCCGTAATTCATTCGGTGACTGCATGCAAAATTGAACCCTTTCACACAGTTCCGTGTAAAACGGACGTCATAACATCTCCCGTGCAGCGGTAGTCTGTGTTGCCCCATAAGACGATTTGCGACCTGAGGCAACTAACATGAAGGCCGAATGCGACCTGTGAAGAACGGTGAGTATTAGCTTTCCACAATCAAGCCTACTCACTTTTACTCATTTGAACCTCCGGCAGTCCCTCTACAGGAGAGAGCAAGCGTAATACTATTCGTGAACTGTGTGATTGAATAAGAGAGCCAAAAGAGTTCGGAGCGCTGAATTCAGCGACGGAAATAGTATTATCTTAAAGAGACTGAAAGGGATTTTCCCGCCCCACATCAATCGGAATAAGAGCCGGGTTCAAGGGAAGAACAGGAATGGGTGTATCATCGATATATCCGGTTTAAGCTTATGATAGCACCGGATTTTAGGTCAAACACAGAATGAAGCAATCAAAGAGGGGGCCACGTACAGCAATCATTGGCATGCGGGAAGACAATGCGATTCAGCAAGGCTTCAGTCCACCTAAGAAACAGTGCGTTGGTCGGACATCAACTTAAACTGCCGGCGGAGACAGAGGTCTAATACCCTTAGAAGGTTTCCCAATCGCGGCAAAGCTGTGATGAGCTTTTATCACTGTACGATATTGCTCCCATGCGGTGTCCCGGCGATGGCGGCCATAGAGTGGTAAAGGGTGAAGACTTGAAGGCGAAATCTAAAATTAAAATAATTTGAAATTGTATGAACCCCACAGTCACATGCTCATGACGTCACGCGTCAAAACGCGTCCTGACTCCTGATCGAGTGTCGCTTTGCAAGCCGAAATGAACCTTTAAATTTATTATGCAGTTCAAAAAGGAAGTACGGCCTGAAGTAGCGGTGATCATGAAAAATTGCCACGATCTCATGCATGAGAAGGACAATGTAGCATGAGGTGATTGAGAGAATCTTTTGATGGTCCAGCTTGCCTCCGAGAATTCCCTTCCAAGGCCTAGCAATGTTTACGTCCATATTTCCATTGAAGGCAATACTCCCGTCGACAAGAGACAGCTCTTCAAGCCACGGAAACAACACCTACAGCTTCGTCTGGCAAGGAAAAGGCATGAATGATCTTCTGATAACATTTTGAATGCTAAGATCGAGTGTCATCACTTTGCACATCCAGTGTAAGAACTCAGTCAAATGTTCTCCACATCAATATCGCCAAGATCTTAAATAATTGCGAGGGTTGGTGTCATGAGGTAAGGGTGCATAGCTAAAAAAGGGAGTAAGGCAACTTCGGAATCTTATGATAAATTCTGCATCATGGGAAGTTTGAGATTCGGGAAGACCTGCACCAAGACGCCAAGGGACTGTTGCTGTGCATGTAATGCCACAATAGAGGGATGTGAGGCGGACCTACACCTTCTTTATGCGAGATAGCTCCACAACTTGGCTATGCAGTGTGAATAGAAGGTCCATTAGGAATGACCGTGGTCTCAGCTGAGGCTACTTTTAAGAGCGTCTCAAGAGTATCATCATCCGACCAGTGCTCAGCCTAACACTTGCTGATCTCCACCACGGAAGGTCAAGACGTCGACCTCAGTTGCATCAAGAACACCCCATTGTTGAATGTGAGAAAGATATGTCAGAGCTAGGTTGAGGATCCCGAGAAAATGAAAATGGCGGGGATGTGTAGGGAATGGATAGCGTTGGTTCTGTACATGCATGACCTTTCGACCATCCTGCTGATAATTCACTACAGTTTCTTGGTTTCAGGTGCGTTACGTGTTAGAAGAACTCTATCAAACACCACAGTTTCATCGTACTTGGCGGCACGTCCTTGTGACTAAGAGCAGCACCATTCTGTTGACAGGTTTGATGGGCTTAGGTGCCCATAACTCTTCCACCAATGTGGATTCAGGTTCCTGTTCGGGATATTAGCTTCTCATCGGGGGTAAATATGACAATTTAGATACATGCACCATAGATTCCACGAACCTACCAGATGCCCAATTTACGCTAACTTGAAGATGAGCTTCCTAGGGAGAAAAGCTTTAGTATTATAAAACGCAACATGAGAAGAAACGTACGCAAAAAAACTCTTCAAATTGCACATGACCTTCCAATTAGCATCGGATGCTATTCTTGATCCCTAACGAGATCCCCATGTGTAGATAACACTTCAACTGGCAGGGGATTCACTCGTCCAGGAGCTAGCCTCGGTGGGCGTATCAACTGCGACTGACCCTTACACCAATACCACAGGCGATAGTCTGGCGCAACAGTCAGCAATAACCAGGAAAAACATGGGTAACGTTAACCTTCCCTGCATTGGCCAGCAAGTACATATAACTGAGGCACAAGGGGCTACACCGAGAGATGAGCATATCACAGGCACAATTATTGTGCATGCTTACCCGTCCGCAGCTGGTAAAAGATGCAATACCTTCTATGAACACATGCCAGTGTCACAGGATTTGAAGAGAAATGCACAGGCGTTCCGCAAGTTCTTCTCCACACAACAAAAATGCCTCTTCTAGCAGTGCTATGAAATTTGTCAAATAATAACCTTGTAACCATAACCCTCATCCCATAAGCCTAGATGACCATGTGTCGGATCGACAGTCAGTTTGGTAGAGTATAAAATTTCAGAGACAACGAAAGGACAAGCGATGTGCAATTCCTAACCATATATCAGAGAAGTAGAAGAAAATTAGAAATAAATGTGTGTGCCACATACAAGAGCCATAACAGGACCACGGAAGAAAACTGGTATTAGCGATGGTCTTCATGGTCTATGGTTGCTGCAGTTCTTGAAGGTACTTGATATTGGATGGCTCAGCAGAAAAAGGCGTAGATATACACAACAATTGTCATGATCTTAGGCAAATCTCAGGGCTCTGTGGAAAAAAATACAAAGGGCCCTTGTATCCTCACATCTTTTCCTGAATGTAATATCTTCCAGCTTCCTAGGAAGTCAGGTAGTTCCTCAGTCAAAGAGTAAAACGGCTCATATGTGTTACCTAGAAGGAATAGCAAGAAAATGAGCACCTGGTGTTGATGTAAAGTGGCATGAACGCACCAGACCCTAATAATATACCACATGTGCGCCTATTCTGGCCCTGCATTCCAATGGATTGTTAGAATGTACTGATAAACAATGTTCCGAGCTGGACTCGACAACGAAGGACTTACCGCTAGGCGAGACGTTGGTTTACCAGATCTGAAAGCGCCCGTATTCCTTGGTGATCTGAGAGACATTTAAGAATTCCAGTCCTTCTTTCAATGAGAGCATATCTGTGAGGCAGTACAGAAAAATGAGGGGAAACTTCCAAATAACTGCAAAATACCACGTACCATTCTGGTCGCATTCTAGCTGGGGTACAAAATAGTTGAAATGCTATGGGAACTACAGAGGACAATACATGTGTATCAGGTGCCTTGGGGGTCCACATAATTCCTTCCTCATCGTCGAGCCTTTGACCTTGCAGCTGTGGTGGTGGTTGTCGTGAAGGGAAACTGCCGCACGATTGGCCATGAGTTATCAAATACAAATTCGGTCTTCATTTCTCATGCTACTCCGAGATCCCCGCCAACATGAGACGTTCCGACGTGCCAAAGCCCACATCGTCTTCCCTCCGAGTAACGACGGTCCCATCACGCGGCAACTCCCGGGATCAATTGTTGTCACAGCTGCAAAGACGTTTCCCGTCCCTGCGACCGTCTCCACAATCTGTTTGGCTCCCTCCCCTACTGCCTCCGCGGAGGTCTTGGCCCTTTCTCTTTTCCCTCCGGGTGGGTTGACACAAATATGTCGCCCATCTCATTTGACGTCTTTCGTTGATGAGATTTTTGTGTTCGTGCGTGTGGGTGGATTCCAATGGTTGACACAGTTGACACGAATGTGTCGCTGTGTCCATTTGACGTCCTTCATCGGTGGATTGGTGAGAGTTCGTGACTGTGGCGTGATGTCTTTTGTCGGGGAGCGCTGCTTTTGTTTGCTCGCTCGATGCTCGCTCGATTTTTGCTCGCTTGCTCGTTTTTGGGTTTGGGTTTGGAGACATTGTACTCCTCCCATTTTCCCTTTCTCTCTCCAGATCGTGTCTCTCTCTCTACACCCCTGACTAAACCCAGACATTTTGCCGCCAGGGTTAACGACGACGCCACCGATCATGGCCTTCGTCTCGCTGCTTGTCTTGCAGGGTCCTTTGTCGGCATCCTCGTCCTTGCTTTCTTCTTCATTAGGAGGAGGCAACTTGTTCAATGGCAGCGACGCGCATCCACCAACACACTCAGACTCATCATGGATTCTTTTCCACTGCCTCCAAATGTGCTGCCGCCAGAGCAGCAGCAGCGATATGTCTTCCCTTGCCCTCGTCAAGATGGCCCTAATAAAAATTGGCTTGATGAGAACAGCAATTTTCAAATGGAGGAAATTGACCTGTATGTTGTTCCTGTTTGCTGGTCTTGCTTTGACTGATGCCATTCCCCAGGTCTCTTACACACAAGGTCCCTGGTTTGCAGAACTTTGCCAGCATTTCGGACTCGCACATACGGGCAACAAAACGACGCTTCGTGAGCGGCTTGTGAAGTTCAGCCAAGCCGGGATGGAAAAGTGGAAGGCAAAGTACGTTCATTCATGCCATACACAGATGCGAGCTCATCTCCCTCTCCTCTCACAGTATTCTCACTCCGACGCGTATTCCTCACAAGGGAGTGAGGGTGGTGAGGGATGGTGCTATTACGAAGAGGAAGCTGACACATCGAGCAACCCGCATTCATGAGGTGAGCATACCGGTGAGCAACCCTCAAAGGGTACTCCTCCCTATGTCAAGATTCGAGGATACTCGTAGCCAGGCCAAGATAGACGGCTTCATACCTTGGGTGAGTCCGTTTTTGTTCCTGTTCATGCTTGGTTTGTTGATTGCGTTTTCAGGCTGAAGTTCTTATGGTCAAGATAGCGAAAGAAGAACGTGCACAGAATCTCCGCAATACCCATCTCCCAGAACCTGGGGTCAACAGTGTCCACAATCATAGCACACAAAAGCCTGGTATGGTACGTGTCATTACTTTTCACTGTTGATTCGACCTGACAGCCATCTCCAATGCACAGAATCCTTTTGCGAGCCCTGACTTTGTCCAGTGTGTTGCCTCTATCGTCGAGGAGCAGTTGGCTGCTCATCAAAACTCCTCCCCCTCGTCCTTGTCTTCAACTGTATCACCTGAAACCCCCTGTCCCTCCATAGATTTCGACTCAACCATTATGGGGCTCACTGCAAGTTTGACTGAAGTCTTCTCTGGTATTGTGGACCAACCAGACTCACCGATCCTACCACCCTTTGAGCCCATGCAGATGACTTCACCATCCATGCTGCTCTCTCCACCTGCTCTGCCGACGTCTGAACTCGACGGGAATGCTCCAGTATCATCTGATGATACTGCCATCAACCCAATTCAGTGCTTGTTGGTCTTTGCTGATGGCCAGACCATAACTGTTCATCAGGGTGACGTTCCGCCGACTAAACCATTCTGCTATGCATCAAATCTCGAAAGTCTCATTCGGTGCTGGGATGATCGTAATCCAGACTGGGCCCCATCCGTTGATTATCCAATCGTCATCCATGGTCGCCCGGTTCCAATAAAGTACTGGAAAGACATCTACAAACTCAATAAAAAAACAGGGAACGAATGGGAAAAACTCAAGAGCAATTGGCTAGATTGGAAAGTATGTTTGCTTTTCTTTCTGTTGTTCATATTCTCACCTCTTGCCTTCAGCATTTTATTGAAGCATATCAGGCATTCGAGACACCTGAAGCCTTCTGGGCCGAGTTTTCCGACTCTCGAGGACAGAGGCTGAAATTCTCTCGAATCAAAAAAATTCTTTTAGAGCGACAAACAGCTGCAAATCTCGAATTAGCAAAACAAGTGACAGCTGAGTATGGTGATGATTTTATCAATCACTTTGGTTATAAAAGGGGTAGGAAATTGGTTGCCATGAAGGATGGTCCAACAATTGCCCGACACTATAGGAAGAAGATGGGAATTAGTTGCAATGAGGATGTTTAGTTCACAGTTCATGTTGTAGTTTTGGAATGCTACAATGTTTTTCTTATTTACTTTGTGACGTGAGATAACTACACAATTAAAATTAAGCACATGGACATGTTCGTCCACAGGTCCAGCATTTGACTACTTGGCGGTCAAGCTTGAAAAATTCATCACGACGAAGAGTCGGAGTGTCGTTTGATGAAATCAAATACTTGACAATTGTCATATGTGAAAAGTCTGAGCTCCAACCACCCCACTCACAGATTTGTCGAATTGACCAACGGAGATCACATGAGAACCACTGGCATCCACCACGGCGAAAAGAATGTGTACCATAGGGATATGGTGTGATACCCAAGTCCCACAGGTTATTCTGAAAGAGCTGCAGGAAGACCTCTGGTTTCTAACAAAGTTCCGAATGAGCATGGACCACTTGCGTATAGAACCCATACCTTACCATTGCGGTGTTCTTGGCAGTGTTGGGATGGTCACGTTTATCGATGTTGGGGAATAGATTCCCTTTGTTAATCCTTGAGGTGCCAATCCATGTGGCGAGAGCTCGAACAGGACAGAGATGCGCCATATGTTCTGGCAGTTCTCGTAATACAAACGGAGGTATGTCTGTTATCCCAAACAAGTCAGCAGGCAATGGCACTGTAGCAGCAAAATGCACTTACCACCAAATTGCGCGTTTTTACGAAAAGGAAGGGTGATCGAAACACAGGCAGTGTTATCAACTTCATCATTGTAGAGATCAACCTCATGGGCCTGAATGTTCAACACCTCATCAATGCGGAGTAAGCATGTAAACGCTATGAGGTAGACGGCCTGGAGCAATCGCCGCATGTTTCCTCCACACCAGTTTCCCTGGGACAGGTGATTGTTATCCCAGTTTTCATGCTTATGATTATGCACATAGAGCTGCTTCAGAATACCCTAGAAAGTAAAAGATGTAATGAGTTTTCGACAACAGAAACAGAGACATACAGGACCAATGGCTCGAGCACTAGTTGAAGTTTCGCCTTTGGCAACCTGTGTTTCTCATCAGCCTACATATATTACTGATGAGTTTCACAGCGTACCTTGCGTTTGTGCAGACCCAACATGTATGAGGACACGAGATCAGAGATCGATGGGTTTCCAAGCGCCGTTGCTCTGTTCCAAGGTACCTTACCTCGACGACCAGTCTTATGGAAGCCATAGGTGGTGCCTGCCCTAAGCTTTTGAGCATGTGAGTAGCTCCTTTGTGTGTCGTCAGGCCCTTTGCTTGTGCCATGCATATCAATATCATCACACCTCATCAAGTCAGATAGACATGATATGGACTGAATGCTCAGACGTACTTTTTCATAATAAATCCTACGATGTAGTAGTCAATATTCGGGTCAAGCTTCTGCAGATTGAATATATTAGTGCCCGGCTGGATGATGTTCTCCTTAATGAGGAAGTTATTAAATGCCATCATGACCCTGTGTAAGTGTTGAACGTTAGAATAATGCAGGGTATCAGAAACTGAGGATAACAGTTGACCTTTTATATGCAGCATCAGTGCCTTCTGTGACACCCTTTGATGCTTCGCTAATATTGGCTAAAACCTCCTCAACATCGTCCGATGCACTCAGGTCCATCTGCATATTACCATCGTACTCATTGGACACACCGCAACTCTCCTGCTCACCCTCAATGTCATCTATGATCTCTAAATCTGAGGATAGGGTTTCTAGGACCTTGTGAATTCCTAGCGCATTTGTGATATCATTGGTCGTGTTCATGTCCATATGATACTGAGAGGAAGAGAGAACAGTGAGTCAAGCGATAAAGTCCATGATATGCTATCTATATATGAAAAAAAGAGGGGTAGGTGCTCCTATTTAGAATCCATTCTCATCATCTGTGCATAGCTCCAGGATCTCCCCTTTCGCTGTATAGCGAACTTCGATTTGGTACTTTGGAGATGAGTTACGTTTCTGGCGCTTTATTGGAGTGGCTTCTTTAAAAAAAAAACTGTAAGAAACAGGCCATACATGGCATTGAAATGAGCCCTGCCTGTCATTTCCTCGCCACTCTCGTCACTAGATATCTCTAAGACCGGGTAAGACCTGTTCTGTTCTGCTGAGCCTTGACTGGTGTTTCGTAGATTGGCAGAAGTCGAAGCTAGGGCATCATAAAAGTTATTGTAAGAGAGATTTGACAGGCAGGGATACTTGACATACCAACGGGCTGAGCGAGGCTTGGCTCTGCTTCGATGAGCCTCATTTTCTTGATACTTGGTTCAACCATCTTATGTTTTTTGCCAGCTTTGAGGGTCTGATGTTGTGTATCATCCAAGATGTTCAGCCATGCATGAAGGGCCAATACACGAGAGAGCCATGCATGAACTTGGGGTTTCTTCACAAACTGATCGTACTCGTCTGACGTGGTATCGGTATTGTATGTCCCATCAATCGCAGAGGTGATCTGAGTTAGGATTTCACTGGGAATGATGAGAGATACATATAACTCCGAATGTGATCATTCACATTGATTCGCACGTACAGCACGTACTTTGGAAACTATAGCATGCTGGGAGATATGAGTGTCGTCGTCTTTCAATAGTCCCTGTTGTTTACATAGATCTTGAAGCAGGTCATGGGTGGCTAATCCTGGGAAGACATGATCACGGAAATTGCGGATGATGCCCATTGAATGTCCCCAAACAAAGAGCTCCTCACATAGCTTTGCGAGTTGGGATATGTCTGGTTGACGCAGCGATGGAGCGGCAGGTAGATTACCCACCCCATTGGATTGGGATGTCACTGGGTGAATATATTGGATGAGAACCGACACCTTCGGGAAGTCAAGTGGGATACGTGAAGCTAGCGAACACTGCCGAGAATGAAGACGGCCAGCCCCCTGCTTTTCCAATGCCGTGCAAAGGTCCCGATGCCATGCGGAGGCAACAGCGGCATAATCATCAACTTCGGATGCTTCAAGGGCATCAAACAGCCGTTCTCCAACACTTGACTTTGCGATATTAGCTGCAGTTTGGACACCACATCCTTGAATTCCATCCTATCACATAAGAATGAGTCTATATCAACTGAAAACATTGCATAACTTACATCATAATCACCCCCTGTGAGTAACGCGATCATTACAAGATTGTTGCAGGAGAACTGGGATCCGGCCTCATGAACCTCGATCAGATATTTGGAGTCGCTTTCCTCTTTGCTAATGAATATGTTTAAAAATCACACTGATAAACTGTAACTGTTGCTCTCACATCCGAATCACTTGCTGAGCACCAAATAGCATGGTATCAAAGTCCTCTGACATCACAGCATCAATCCGGCCAAGGCACGAGAGCATTGCAAGCTCGGCCTCTGCTTCGCCTGGAGCCTGTGTTTCATGTCAGGAAGAGAAAAGAAAAGAAAAGAACAGGCCGTACGTCCCAATAGGAGAACCCAAATCCTTCCAGCAGTCGCTTGAAATCATTGGTTAACCAGATTGGCATCTTCTTCACAATCTTTTTACGCTTATAAGTAGGGCGGTGTGGGCCATCGAACACAAATAAAGGTATGACCGGGAGATGAAATAGGCGTCCTAGTCGTTTGAAAAGTGACGCTTGGGCTGGACTCTTTGTCTGCCCATGATGGAACGTCGCTGCAGACATCCATCCACTAGAAAGAGGTAATACTAGTTAGACTTGATATGTATAATACACTAGATATAGCTACCTAGCATCTACGCCTATATGTGGAATGAACTCATGTACAGCGCCGGTGGATATCTTCTGGGAAGACCAGTCGACGAATGATACAGAGCTTGTAGGGTTCAGAAGCTGCAAAGGAAGATGTTAGAACTAGCATACAAATCACAGGAGAAAAATAAACAAACATCCCAGCCACCTTTGACACCCATGGTAAGAGGAAGAGGCTGCTATAGGGGTTGTCTGAGAGCCGACTACTTGCTGACAAAAGATGATGGCAGAAAAAGCAGCATGAATATAATATCTGGAAATACAAGGCAACCTTGAGAGTTCTAAATCTGCGCAGTACATAGTATCATAGTCTGAGGCGCATCATCAAGCCCAGCTGCAGGAATCCATCACGGCACTCATGGGACAGCTAGGAGACCAGTTGCGCAAACCAACCATAGGTTGGAAAGGGCAATCACAACTGGGGTTTATGGTGGGTAAAGTATATCCATACGTGAAGTTTAGGTATACGCAGACGAGCAGTTATGACGTACTTGCACCTCCCGAATCCCAATTTTTGGAGGTGCAAGTACGACATTTAGGGCAGCAGTCTAGCCTGGATGAATGCGGTGTCAACAAGTTTGGTGGGATCAGAAGAGATCACCCACGGTTGGAAGAATATCGTGACGTTCAGGATAAGCAAAGCCAACAGTGTTGGAACTGACTGTCCCATCCAAGGATGATCGCAAGATACCAGGAGATTTGTCTGTATCAACGGAGATTCAACAATAAAGTACGCTGATGAGCCTCAAGGCTCTGTACGCTCAGAATTCGCGGATTTTAGCATTATAATAAATGCCTTGTCCACTTAGCGGACTTTCACTAAGTCAACGATTGCAATCACGGCAATACCCACTCTTACCGCCAACTATCCTTCCCAGCTCGTATTCCGTATCAATATGCGCCACTTCATTAATGCCGCCAGGCACCTGATTGCAGATCTCACGGAATTAGGACCATCATTGATCGCCCAGCACAGCCATCGATGACATCAGCATCAAGCGTCATTTAGAAGAATGCCACAGTCAAAGTACCGATTCCACGGCAAAAGACTTAATACCGTGACCTTTTCACCAGCTTTACTAAGGCTGTTACAACGCCAAGATAATGCCGCACGCATCTACTTCAGTGTACTACCTTCAGTGTACTTTGCCGCAGCAACACAGCAGCCCAAGAGTCCGTATGTCGGGGGAATTCTTTCTGATCACTAAGTCTATACGCGGTAAAACCGTGTGGGTGCTGTTACTTTAGAACTCTGGGAGCACGCGTTTTGTATCATTTCTTACCAATCGATGTACTAAGGACTTACTAAGGACTCGTTTCAAGTATTCTAATTTTATTCCGGACTTGTAGTATAAAAGCTAGTGTAGTAGTAGTTGCTAGACACAAGTTACTGGACACTAGCCATCATCCACGTTATCGACCACCGTTATCGCTTGTACTCGCTAGGAGATAGACAATAACAACATAGTCACTCCAAGTTATACTCTCTGTCACGGCTTTTCTTCTAACGGTATTGGTGTACGCTCATATTGCGCCAATACACGGAATTTGGTGTCCACAACTCGCTTTTATCTTTTAATCCGCCAGCATCGTTTCACTTTCACCAGCCAGGATCGTTTTCATCAGTTTTCACCTTCTACGTCGCCATCGTTTTACCCAGTTCAGTTCAGGATCGTTACGTCCCCGTGTGGACTCAGATTAGGATCGTTATTGCCGCCAGCAGCATCTGTCACGGAATTTCGGTCAACAGCTTCAGTATAGGATCATCAGTCACGGTATTTGGTATCTTGCCGTCAGTTTCAGTATAGGATAGTCTCCGTGTAGACTCAGGATTAGTATCAGTTTCGTTTTGCCGTCGTTAACCTCAGTATAGTTTCAGTTTCAGTCCAGCCCAGTCCCAGCCGTCGTTTTGCCGTCACTAGTTCCCCCTCATATCATCGCCAGCCAGTCTTATCTTCGTTTTACCGCCAGTTTCTCGTTTCTCGACTACAGTCTTCGTCTCTTGCCGTCACGGTATTTGTTATCTTGCCAACGGTATTTCTCTTTGACGGCATTTTCTCTAATTCCGTCAACATCGCCCACGGCTTTTACTACTTAAATTGCCGTCACTTCGTTCACGGTTTGCCGGTATTCCCAGTTATACCGGATTCCGTTCCTTCTCGTCTATCGAGACCCTTCCCGGCTTACAGCCAACGTTTTCTAGTACTCGATCGTTAAGGGTACTACTTCGCTGACTGAAAAGTCGCAGTGTATACTTGCGTTCTTGAGGAATTCATCGCACGGAGGTGCACCGAAACACTCGCACAACAACAAAGCCTTTATTGCCGCTACACGCCATTTGCCGTGAACTCCTGTAGAGTTTTGGTTTTTGCCGTTGCCACGGAAGTTTAGGCTCATCAACGCGCTTTGCGGCGGTATCAATGCTCCTATGATTCGCTACGAAACACACTTTCAAACGCTATCCCGAATTCCACGAATAGTAGTGATGGTCTATATTAGAAGAGTCAGATACGTATTCAATTCTAGACCTGATGTCAAACAATTTACCTTGTAGTAAACTTTTGAAACATCTACTCGGACGCGTTTATTGCATAATCCCAGCTTGCGACGAGTTTGGCTTGAAGGGCCATCACTCCGGCAAAGACAGTAGTAATAGCACACCCAGCGAGTGTCATCTGCCACCCGCGTACCAACGCCCATAGAAACTCTACAGTGAGCATGGCACTGACCACAACAAACTGTGCAATGGCGATAACAATAAGCGTCCACGCGTCGTCCCCATCCTTCATTTAAAATTGCACCGAGCAGCACTGTTCTTGGACTTGTCAAACCACTTCTTGTCCTGCTTCAAGATGGTGCGGAATGCGAGTCTCCATGATAAAGTATTTCAAGCCCATGAGAAGACCATCAACAGCTGCGATGCTGAGAACGATGGCGCCGAAGGTGTTGATGACAGAGGTGTTCTGGGCTTCGTTAGAAACCTCAAAGAAAAGTCGAGAAAGGACGAAGGAGAAAATGGGGGTGACAGTACCGCTGCTCAGCAAGCAAATGATCAGAGCAAATACGACGAGCGGCTTGTAGGGTACAGTCAGATAGACGTCCCTCATTAAACCCCAAAATGAATGGGGTCGTCATTGTCGGGAGACAACTGTAGACTCTTTTCAGATGATGAAGACAAATTCTTCTCCACCTTGGTATCCGTGACCAAATCCAGTAACTCGTGAATGTCAGCAAGAGTCGCTCTGCGTCGGTTCATGCGAGACGGTCTAGTCGACCTCCATCTCGTCACAGCACAATTATCCTTCTTGATCAACAAAGAAGTTGCGGAATGGTGAGAGAATGCTGGCGAGGTTAGTGTGAATTGAAGGCTGTATCGGCGCGTATGGGTAGTGAGAGTCTGAGAAGGGGGCGGCGGAAATGCGGGGATAACCTGAACACTGGAAGGTCGTCGTCGTCTCTCTGAGTGCTGGGCTGTGAATGCGTCGGCAAGAATAAAGCGACTAAGTTGTTGAGACTCTCAAGACCGAACGACAGTGGGACAAAAAGGCATAGGCCCGCTGCTTTTCGACGTCAAGTCCACCACCACGTCGAACATCCAGTGACCAAGGATGGCACTATTCAGCACCAGGATGGTTGGAACGTACGAGAACGGTTGAGAGACTGAGTCTTTTTCCTCATCCCCCTCCATTGTTACCGATTCTGGGCGCTCTGTATCGTCAATTGTTGACACATCTGCAACCACTTGGGAGCCCATCATTGCCTTGAATTCACCTTCAGATCGCTCAAGGTCAGCGCGATAGCCTTGCTCGATGACGGTACCATTCTTCAAGACATAGACAAAGTCCTTCGACGTGATTTGCGACAGATCATGAGTGATGACAATGGTGGTTCGGGTTTCCTGCTATTGCTTGATAGCCTCGAACACCAAGACGTGAGAAGTAGGATCCAAGGCAGAAGTAGCTTCATCTGGTAATAAAGATAAGAACACGATAGGGTTCGAATGTTTGGGTAAAAGCTCACCAAGAATTAATACAGAAGGATTCCTTAATCGTGCTTGCGCAATAGCTAGCCTTTGCTTCTGACCACCGCTCAAGTTCGCACCTCCATTGCCTAGCTTCATCTCATATCCGTCGGGTAAATCGCGGATGAAATCAGGAATCATAGCGGCCTGGCAAGCCTGCACGACTTCTGCCCTTGTCGCGTGTTCCGGCTTTCTCCCAGTTTCACTTCCGGCAAGTCCCATGGCAACATTGTCATGAACACTTATGTCAGATAGGATACAGTTTTGGGAAATGACAGATGTGTTCAGTCGTCCAGTTGTCGTCCAAATAGGCAATATCTTGGTCGTCGAGCTCTATCTGCCCGCTCCGAGGCTTATACAACCGAAGGAGAAGTGACGCAATGGTCGACTTTCCGGGTCCGGAGCTCCCTACAACAAAAGTGGTTTCTGAAGTGGGAAGAGCGGGAAGATAGATGGAGACGTCTCACAGGACCAGTACGGAAGGTCGGGAGGGATACGCGAAGGTGACGTTATGGAGTGCTATCTCGCCATGACACTTGGACGGTATGATTTTGGGCAAATGCGTCGACCTTACTGGGCGGCCATGAAAGATCGATGCACGGGAATAATACGATGGAGATACGGGAGTCAGAGCACCTGCCTCTTCCGAGTCAGCAAGCGCGAGCAAGGCCACCATGGCAAATTTCCCCTTCGTCAACGTGATGAACTTGGGAATGCACATCTGCAGATTACTTGTAGCGATGAGGCAAGTCCAAAATATGGCCATAACATCCCCTGGTTCCACTTTGCTTTGTTTGACCAGCTTCGACCCAAACCAAAAGGCTTGCACAAACACGGACATCATGACGAATTGTGACAGGCCTGATGTAAGACTCCAGACTGCAACGAGTTTTTTGTCGGCGACCTTGACGCAGTCGAGAACAGTGCTTAGAGAGTCGCGTTCCTGAGATGCTGCATTGAACGCTTTGACAGTAGCAACTGCAGACACAGCGTGGTCAATAAGCGTGGCTGCGACAGATTCTTGGGATCGTTCGATGGAAAGGAGAGGACCGGCTACCGCCTGGGAGGAGGCTTGTACTAAAACCAGAGCGGGGACAGAGGCGAGGATGATGAGGGTGAGTGCCCAGGAACGGCAAGAACAAGGCAATACACACTGGCCGCCTGTTCAGTAAGTCTGAAAATTTAGAATTGACAGCAGATTTAAAAGAAACTTACCATAGACCGACCAGGAGACAACACTCGTGGTGTGTACCACCGGCAAAACATGCCAAGTGGTACCGCTGACACAAGAGTATCAGTCCCAGCAGGATACAAGCGTGCACGAGTCATCGATAGACACGCACGCTTGACAAGGGAGCAAAATCGACGAGACTGAGAAAAGAGAAGGATTATCCCAGCAAAAGATGCTAAGGATAGCGGCCGATGGCATCGTCAAGCCCATGGTCCGACGACGAAAGACGTCAAACAGACAAGCTGACCCCCAAGAGGGTCAAGCCAGTGGGTGAGCAGTGGAGAGAGCAGGAAAAATGGCACCGTCAAGCCCATGGTCCGACGACGAAAGACGTCAAACGGACAAGCCGACCCAAGAGGGTCAAGCCAGTGGGTGAGCAGTGGAGGAGAGAGCAGGCCAAATGCCTAAGTGCCACATCGTGGCACTTAGTCAGCCACAGCCACCGAGGCCAAGCGCCAAGGTACCAATTAAGCGCGTCCGGCTCACCGGTACGTGCCAATTAAGCGCTGTGTGGCATTTAGTCAGCCACAGCCACCAACGCGAAGCGCCCAGGGGTACCAATTAAGTGCGTCCGGCTCACCGGCACGCCTCTCTGATGGCCCGTGCGTTAGACGCATCAATCAAGCGCTGCGTGCCCTTGTCTCCCACGCTCACTGCTCGCTCTCACGCTCACCACTCACCACTAATTCTCTCTCGCTTTCGCTCACTCTCCCACCTCAAGTCTTGGCCATCAATCTACACACAAAGGTGAGTACAACCACCTAGTTAATTTCTGAGGGTTGACACAAATGTGTCGCCTATCTCATTTGACGTCTTTCGTCGATGAGATTTTTTATATATGTTCTTCTCTTCTGGTGGATTCATCACGGTTGACACGAATGTGTCGCTACTCCCGTTTGACGTCCTTCGTCGGCGGATCGTGTGAGTCGCGATTAACACCGATGGTGTTGTCGCTGTGGCGTGACGTCTTTCGTCGGCAGTCCTATGTGCCCTCCGCTTTGCCTCAATGCTGGACGAACCTCGGCGGCCCATGGGTGTCCTAATGGCCGTAGACAATCTTCAATCTTCGTTGCCTGTGTTGTCTCCAGCCACCGTTGCTGACAGAATCTCAACGTTCGCAGGATAAACCATGCTGCCGGTTGACTGGATGCCTTCCAAAGTTCGCGGGGATCCGAGATTGCTCTTGCACAAGGCAAATCCCACTTTTCGTACGTTCATTGACGTAGCTTGTGACTGGTCATATATTAACAACTATGCTAGCTTTGGGTCCTTTTGACGGCAAGAACGGTATCATCTTGGATGGTTCCGACTCCTTCATAGTCACCCCAAACTCCTCTATCATCTGCAGGCCTCCCCTTGGGGCGAACCGGGAGGTATACATGCGGGAAAACTTTCGATACGGCCACGACGACCTGCTCCAATGGCCACAGGCCTATGTCGAGCAGTTTCCTCATCTGGCTTGCATACGCTGGATAGCTCCTGCCTCTCCAAACGATCCCTTCCATCCGCTGTATCGCGGCTTGACAAAGTATGATTTTGTTGAGTGCGACCCAGACAGTCTCGTGGAGGGAGTTGGTCATCTGTGTTACTCGACATTTCTCAAAATTCAAGCCGCTTGCAAAGTCGTCATTGAGTCGATGAACTCAGTCGATGGCAGCGCACCTGTGTCCCATAGCATGCGTGGACACCTGAATGTCATTGAGTTGCTTCTCGGGCGTCTGCATGCTCTACCAACATCCTTCCTACACGTTTGCTTGACGTTCGCAGAAACTCAGCATGTGGCCCTGGAACTTAGGGCCTTTGTCGAGTACATGACCATGTTCAAGCCCCTCATGGACTCTCCCGAGACCGACGCGCCTGCCATGCCTGTTGATGAGAGTCTTGTGGGTGCATACGTCCAGGATGCAACAGTTCTCCAGAGATTTTTCAAGGCGGGAATACCAGTCTGGCGCATTGTGGACATGAAGAACCTCCCAGGTACCCGTGTGGATTCCCTCACTGAATTTGCGACCTCGCCATGGCCGCAGGGTCCTTGCACGCTGCGATTGCCCTCTGTCTTTGTAGGGTCGTCGAGAGATCCACGGAAATACTCGAAGATTCAAGAGCACGTGTTGCACTCTTGTCGATGGATCGATCCATTTGCGTTGGTGTCCCCCATCATCCTGGGTCGTCCGGATGTTCCTCTCACTGCGGCGTCGTCATCGACGTCTCGATATTCTCCATGTGGGTGTTTCTCTCTGTTTTGGTTTTTAAAGTGGACGTTAACGTGTTTAATAGATCATAAAAATGCGCGACCACAGTCTGGGAAACCTCATCAGCTGATGGACCCTCAACACCCTCTACTTCCGCCATTGATCGAGCCGTGGCGTCGTGGACTACTGGCCGTGGATGCGAATCCTTCTCGCTGTCATTCCTCTGGTCGTCCACAGCCAACCGCGATTCCGAGGGAATCGCAATACGCCTTCCCTAGGCCAGATATCATTGCCACTGTGAATACGGAGGAAAAAGTCAACTCCTTTCTGATTTCTTGGTTGCGTCTGCGAACACCTTTGTTCGCACGTCTCACGGTAACAGAGCGGGTACCTCCAAACTTGTATCATCAAGAGTGGCGGACCATGTTGGCGCTGGGATTTCTGCATTCGGCGGGAGAGAGTGGTGGGCTAGCAACGAGACGGCGGCAGGAGGTGACAAAGATCATGGAAGGCTACGCAGAATTCCCTCTCCGTGCGGATAACAACGCGTCATCGGCGTTTTGGCGAGGAAAGGCATATGAGACCCTTACAAGGGAGGAGCGTATGGAGATATGCTGGGAACTGTCGGAGGTGAATTTCCGCTGTGAGTTCAGAGCGCTGCATCGACGAGCCACAGTGAATGCAAGTGACGGCATACGAGCACTGGATGTCTTCCGTTGCTTTCCTGATGGACGGCAACTACCAGGACAAATCGATGTCGGCTCTGCGAATTATGGCCTCGCCCATCATTTATGGCTGCAACGAGCCCCGTACATATTCGCAATGAAGAAGCTGATGAAGACATGGGATGGGAATCATCCAGCATTCCTGGATGTGGTAAAATCCACTGGTTGGACCGAGGATGAGTTTTTGAGCATTGAAAATTCTATTGCGGCTCATTATTGTGATACGTTCTTCTTGTATTTTGGCCGCGCACCTGTTCTTCCTCGCCAATTGGCTCACCAGACCTCGGAGTCGTACGTCCCAGAACCTCGCGACCGGGTTGCGACAACCCGGTCAGGTGTTTATTTAGATATTGAGGACTTGGTTTGAGCCTTGAAAGGGACATTGAATAAAATATATACGTTTCTCTCCGTTGTATTTCAAGTTTGATGTACGGGCATTCAGTAGTAAATAAACATTGACATTGTGACATTGATAAAGACAACTGAACTAAGGTGGCGAACATGAAAAAGAATTTGCCACTGTAAGGCAGCGGAAGCTACATGGCCGAAATATAATACAATACGACATTGACACGAGGCTGGGCTGAACGTCTTGCGAGGTTGTAGTGAACGTCATTTTTCAGGCTCGAGAAAACTTCCAAACTTTTTTGGCAGGGACTGACGGTGGTTTGGAAGCATCAGGAAGTGCACATAAAGACATTTCAAGGTACGGTCCGAGAAAATCAAAGACGTTTTGGCTCTATCAAAGACGTTTACCTTTATTTTTTGAAATAAGAAGAATACGGCAGATCCCCTAGATACAGATACATATCCCTGACCTCGGTCTTGGTTTGGTTTGATGTATAATCGCGTCACTTCACATTTCACATTCATTTACACAACAACACGATGCGCTACATACGGCAGATCCCCACACATCCCTGACTGACCTCTTTGGTCCTTCTCTTCTCGATGTATTTTGTATTGTATAAAAAGAGGTTTGGCTTCGCGTCACTTCGTTCATTCGCTTTCCTACCCATCACTATCAATTTCATTCATGGCTCCTCCAGTTGCTTACAGTTTGTGAGTTTCTTTTCTTTCCTCTCTTTTTTCTTTCTCTCGTCTCGTCTCGTCTCCGTCTCTCGGTCTTGGTCTCCCCATTAAATTACATTAGTTCAGTTTCAGTACACGTCCTTTTTCTTCCTTCTATCCTATCCTTTTTTTTCTTTTTTCTTCCTTTCTTTCTCTCTCGTCGGTCTCAGTTCAGTCAGTACACGTCCTTTTTCCTTTTTTCCTCCGCTCTTTCGCGCCTCCTCTTCCTTCATTCGATCGCGTCGCGGTCGGTTGGGTGTGCTGTCCTTCTTTTGGGTCCGCCGTCGTGTCTCGCCGCGGGAGCGTTCACCTTGGCGTGTCTCGGCCGACTCGGCTCGGCTGTTTGCCTTCCCTCTCGTCCCTGGTCACACTCGGTCACAGGTGACAGAACGTCGTGATCCGCCGTGTAAAACGGCTTCCCTCGTTCCTCTGGCTTATCAAGCAGCATTAGAAACCATTTCATACCTAGGATACCTATGAAACTAATTGCCTTTCGGGCGACATCTCCCTTATACTCAATTTAGCCAAATGAATGATAACATTTGAGACATACAATGGATAATACAAGCCAAAAGCAGTCGTACTTGGGTCTTAAAAATGGCTATGTCATTCAAAATTGTCTCTCGGCAGATATTAAGAGATTTTAATGAGTGTCCGGATTACAAGATCTCAGTGATATTGACAGAAGGGTGTATCGGTAAATTGCGTTGAATTCGCAATTAAGGCAGGTATCCTGGTGGATTTTGTTTGTTAAAGGGAGGAAGGATGAACAGAAAGGAGTGCATACCATCTTGAACGTGCGTACAGGGAGAACTTAGGAAGACGAAGTCTGAAGTCTAGGATGGACTGGTCTTGATACATCAGAACGAACTACAGTTTCGCCTGCCAGAGTAAGGTGCCAAATTCGTGGGGCGCAGTGAACGTTGGGACCAAGTTCGGATCACCAGTGAGTCGGCAAACATCCAAAAGAAGGCCTATATTCTCACGCCTCTTGTCGGCCCGAAGATACCGAGTATTTTTGCTTTTGCAGGAACCACATTGACCTTGGCAACCAGTACTCTGACAAACCATCTCAGTTTATTGGGAGTTCGTTCGTATGTCATCATTCCTGAGTTCGTGTCTTGTCCTGATCCTGTAAGCGAAGGATGCGGGGCGAGTATCCATGCTGGTCGTGATGGGCTGTAACTTGTATCATCATGTCTGACCGTTCTGCAGTTATGATGACAGTTCCGACTTGTTGTGGATCCATAGATTGCAGCGATTAGCTTGGGCCAACCTTCAAGCTTTACCTCAGTTTAGGATCTCCGCTCTCCTGTTTCTCGTATGTTGAATTTTTCTTATCATCCCTTTTTGACGACTTTGGTGATCCCCATCCCAGACTACGCTGTGCTCAATCACGTTCGTTTCCTAATCTAACCACATATACCATCAAAAGTACAGGAATACTTCTTCGACAAGAAGAATTGGTCACAAATGAGTACTTAGTAGTAGTCCGTCTCTTCTCTTTTCCTTCTGTGCTTGTTGCTCTTCGTCCAAGGATGATCCCTTTCTTATGGGCGATCCGTTCCCAAGGAGATGAATAATCACGCCATGAGGAGGCAAGGCATGAGCAGGAAGAGAACGCCCTTACACCTCATATTCCTCGACATCCTGCCAAACACTTGTTTCTGCCCAAAGTAACCCGAGCTCCACGGGTAGGCGACGCGCTGATTAAAGGACCAGCCCACGGTAGTTCGCATGCTCACGTGTGCCGTAATATCCCTGCCCCTTTTCAGCTTGTCCTTTTCTGTCGAATGACATCATGCTGAGTGATGATGTCGGCAGCTGACAGATGAGGGTTCCTTTTGCCGTCGTCCACCGAAGGTAACCTTGAATTCTCTTTAATAAGACACTTTGCTCGTCCGCTTTCTGCAATTATGGCGCTCTACGGCTGGCATCCTGGCGAACAGTCCATCCGGAAAAAATTAGGCTTCGATAAGGACGCTTCTCTCAATTGGCTATACACCTCCGTAGACGGTGATCTACCACCTGATCATGGCGTTTTCTACGCGACTCGACTGCCCTTTCTACCTATCACGACTCTGGATTCTTTGGGACGACCATGGGGGTCTATCCTCGCTGGTCGAGATGGCGAACCGGGGTTTATCTCGTCGCCGAAGTATACAACCCTATCTTTCAACGTCAAAGTGTGGGACGGTGATCCGTTCATCACCAACGCGAGGGATTCAGGGACGGACGAGATGTTGATGGCCGGTATTGGTGTAGAGTTTTCGACGCGTTGGAGGAATAATTTTGCTGGGAAGATCACGAAGAGGAAGGGGAATGTCAACGGGTATCAATTTGAAGTTCATGTCAATGAGGCCATAGGGTAAGATTCCTTTTTTGCATGCGAGGATCACAGTTTGACGTTTTGGTCTAGCAATTGCCCAAAGTATATCCCTCTGAGAGACCTCGTGCCTTGCCAAGCCTTACCAACGCTGATTTACGACAAGCGCCATCTTCCAGAAGATGAAGAGCTTCCTGAGTCTGTCATATCCTTCATTCAGTCCTCCGACACGACCTTCTTCGGTACGACATATGCTGCAGCTGAGGATAACGCGAGCCGATTTCCCTCCCACGTCGGTATGAATATCCGTGGTGGACGACCTGGGTTCATTCGCGTCCGACCTTCAGACAAGCGTACCCTCGTCCTTCCCGACTTCTCCGGGAATCGTATCATGACCTCCCTCGGGAACGTCGAAGCTACTCCACTTGCCTCTCTCACTCTCATCTCGTTCACCACAGGGGATATCCTTTATGTGACCGGACGAGCACAAAATCATATCGGACCGGACGCACAGAAGATCATGTTCCTTCAAGACCGACTGACAACCATCTACGTTACAGGGTGCATATTCGTACGGGATGCTCTCCCTGTTCGACAGCGTCCAGGGACATCTGTCCAACGTAGTCCGTACAGCCCGCCTGTACGCTATCTCATCGAAGAGTCAGCGCCCATCCTCCGTTTTGACGACGAATCGCCTGCAACAGCCGCACTGAAAAGCATCATCCTCCACAGTTCAACCATCGCTACTTTTACTTGGCAATCATCTCGCGAACTGGATATCGTCCCCGGACAAGCCATCATTCTCGACTTCTCCGGGTTCATCGGTCATCCAGGGTACCAACATATGGCGCCTGGTAACCCAACGTCCGTCAACGATGATCGTATTCGTACTTGGACGGTATCTTCCACCCATCTAGCGCCCACTCGTACATTCTCGCTTACTTTGCGTGAGAAGCCCGGTGGTGCAGCGACAGGTGCACTGTTCTCTCTTGCGCGGAAGGTAGCAGAGGTTCGGCCTGCACTATTGGAAGACCTGCTCCCATTATCGTTGACCGTCCCTATTGTCGGCATTACGGGGCAGTTTACTCTTCCTCGGGGTAATTCTAAGCGGTTGGCGCTGTTCGCCGGTGGGATCGGTGTGACACCGTTTTTGAGTATGCTGGGTGGAACTATTGGAGATGGGTGGGATGTGGTGCTTGTGTTATCTACGAGAGAGCCTGCTGTTCTCCTTCCGTTGATTGGTGAGAAGGAGAGCGTGGGAGTACGTCTTTTTAGTGGCGAAGTTGTCCCGAAATCCGAGAACGTTACGATGCATCCAGGGCGTGTAACATCTGGGTATCTTGTTGATCGTCAGGAGGATTGGGTAGGGAGGGATATTTTTGTATGTGGGCCAGACGGGTATCGGGAGAGTGTTCTTGAGGGGCTAGCACTAGCTGGCGTTGAGAAAGAGCGGATACGTATTGAGGGATTCGAGTATTAGCAGTCCGCAGGCGTGTTCAAACATTGATTTCTTTATACGTGTTATTGAAATTCGTTTGTTTCTCGTACAAAGGGACTGTATACAACCTCTGAGTCTCGGCTAGGTGCTTGCGTATGAAGGACTCGACAATTTCAAATCTTTTATAATGTTAGACAGTAGGTTGCCATTCACCATAATATTATGCATGATGGACCTCGCCGCAGACACGTCGGTGCCATACCACTTGCCCCAGATTCCAGATTTGTATTATTAGCTATTGGAGGGAAATCAAAGAGGCTATCTTCAGCTATGTTACGCTTCTGCGGGTCTTCCTTCTGTTCCCAGAAATTTACTGCCTTTGAATACGCAGGAGCATAATATAACAGTCGCAGATCTAGATTAATAGGAAAGGGTCTGCGGGTAACTAGAACAATTGTAATAATAGGATACTAGAAGTAGAAAAGTGAGTGAGGAATATAAAAAGGACTGTCCCGGCATTTAGTAATTACAAAAAGCGTCCCAGCGCTGTACTCGATCTTGTCCGGCCGCTGTCGTCAAGCCCAACTACATAAATATGTTAAATAAGAAGTGTTTCAGTGTACCTGTGAGCGTCAATTTTCCAAAGCTTCTCTTCTTCCTGTTTGTCCGCCATCCTCAACACCGACACCTTCCTGAACTTCTTCCTAAGCCTATCTATCTTCCCAACGACCCAGATAACGCCTTCCATCGTAGAGCTATGTTTGGCGGTGCCTATGAGTGTATACTTCCCATCGGGTATCGGGTATCCATGGTAGGCGACAGCGTCGAAGGTACGCTTTTTCACGAGGTGAGAATTGACCTCCAACTTCCCGCGTCGGACCATCCCCGGAGATGATTTGGCGCCCAATCCCCGCACATAGCATGAGTCGATACGGAGGCCATAGTACTTGTCTCCATCTTCCTTCGTCCGATAGACCTTTATTGAGCGACGACTTGGGAAGGATCTCCGTCATCACCTGCCCCCACGACGGATGCCAGTATTTGTTTCCGATCCCAGGTCCAGGGTACAAGAATAACAAATCTGCCCAAAACCAATCCTGCGTCACGCTAACGAGTTCTGTCCAGGCGTCCTCCTGGGACTGGTCCGCATCGTATATTGGGATATACTGCGAATAGAAGAAGTATACCAACCCTGCGACTTCATCGACAGGATAGGTTGATTTTCGTTTTTGCATTTGCGACAGGAGGCTAAATATCGATTCTTCTCTGTGCATTTGCCGCAAAGATGCCAGTTTTTTCTCGAACAGGTCCCGGATGTCCACCGCCATGAACCTGTCATCGTAGCAGGGTTCTGTGGCGACGGGCGTGTCATCGGCAATCTTCTGTGGTCTCCATAGTCGTTTAACCTGATTACGGAGCTTGTGCCTCTTTTGTTTGGCCTTTTCCATTGGCATGAGCGTTCCATCGTCACGGGTATCCCCTGCAATGAGCAGATTATCTCTAGTCTCCTGGAGTGTCCACCCTCGATTAAACCAACACCGTTCGTTCTCGAAATCGCCAGGCTTGAAACTTAGCGGCAGACCCAACCCGCTGAAATAATAAACCACCAGGTTGACCCTATGATATATCCATCCGATCGTTGGCAAGTCAACTTTCCACTCCTCCTGGCGCAGAACCTCCCTTCTTCCCCATTCCTCCTTGCTTGCGGTACCGCGTGGGTCCTCACCCCGACCCTTCTGCCTCAAACACAGAACGTCCAACCAGACATACTCCGCGCCGAGGCTCAGCATCTCCATTCTGATGAGATTCAGATCGGTGTCTTTCGGGATTGGCACCGGCCATTCATATCCGTTTATGGGTGTCATCTCGCTCTTGATATCCTTATCCTCCACCCATGCGTGCGATATCGCCCACGGGAATTTGCGGGCAACCCACCATGGCACGACCCGGTTAGCAACCAGATCCCAGACGCGCCGAGGGGGTATATCCCCATCCAAGATCTTTTTCTGGACAAGCATATTCCGTCGCATATCCTCGTCGTCCTTCCGTGCTTTCTCCGCATCGCTTGCATGTCCGTGGGTAATGATATTGTACAGATGGGGGCGCAAACGAGCGTAGGCAGTGCCAAGGTCGCGATTTTCGGTAACGAAGTCTTTGCACGCCTGGTATAGGTAGCTTTCTAAGGTGCAGACTGGGACGTTGAGCTTCTCGAGTATCCCATCAACACCCAGGTCGACGCAGGGAATGTTGGCGACCGAGGATGGTAATATCCTACCAGTGTAGGCTCGTTGCTTCAGCACGGGAACGTTTTCTGCTTGGCCGGTCTCGTCGTAGGCAGATAGAGTGACCTCGGGGAGGGTTTCGTAATCCTATAACACATTAATCCTGTCCTGCTGTACATGGCATTACGTGCCTACCTGTGGATCCCCGTCGTCCCGAGCACAGTGGCTGACCTTGTCCCACATTCGTATAGGAAATCCGGACTCTAGTTAGGCATGACTGAATGAGGATAATGAAACATTGAAAGTATAACAAAACGAGACATACACAAGTGAGATCCATGCATAGTTGGAGGTAACAAGATGCGGTTGTGTCAACAAGATTAAGTCTTGCTGACCTCGTAGAGAAACAAGCAAGGTAAACAAGTGTTGACGCTTAGACCATTGTTGCTATAAGTTGCGCTGCCGAAAGGTAGACGCCCAAACATATCCCCAAGTGGTCATGTACGGATATTGAATGCAAGGCGCTAGTTTCATGTAACCCGCGAACGTTACAGATGCCGATTCCATCCCATCTCAGATGGATAAATACATACAGCGTCTGTGACCATCTGTGAATGTATTCGTATTCCGAAAGGACGTCGAGCACACACTTAGAGTCAGAGGAAAAGGCTGGTCATCGTTCCACATCAGTAGGTTTGTGACTGTCGAGTGCGGCGCATATTAGGATAGCCAACTTCATTACAAGTCCGAATAAAATACCAGCTATTGAGACCCGTTTCCTTGTTTTCCTGTTTCCATCACCGGTAAAATGAAACCAAGATGTCGGATAAAACCAGACTAAAGCGAGCAACACCATCATGGTCGATTTGTGACCTAGTCATCGGATCGGCTATGAAGTCGGTCGGACGCAGCAAAGACGGCGACAACATACATCGACAACAGTGACTCTTGACGTAAACTGAATCAGCAAGAGATGGTGTACTTGGATCATCAAAGAAGACCAAGATCCGGGTGTCTTTGTGGGTGCGTAATACTTTGGGTATGTGGATGGTGTTGGTGATCAAAAAGATGACACAGCCGCTCCAAATTTGGTCCGGTACAATCTTCAACCTCCTACTCATCGTGCTTCAATAGCAAAAGGGAGGTAAAGGTTATGGGTAAGGATGCTTGTCGTCTACCCTCACGCCGTAAGGTGTCTTCTGACACCCCCAGGTTCAAAAGCTGCCGCAAGCAAAGTGCAACTAAAACTCGGGATGACGTGTACTAATTATCCAGATGTTCGGCACACACCTTCTATCTTCTTCTACGCGTGTCGTCCGATATCACCGCCCTTGTTTTGTGACCATCATCAAGGGACATCATGATCACTGGTTAATTGAAATGTATCAACAGAGAAGCCACAGGTTCACGTCTGCGCCTCCATTGTTTCTGTAAGAGAAGTAAGATCTCACAGCTTCCTGTATGGACTCAAGACGAAAATAAATCCGTAGTATACCCCTTCCCATATCGCCACAACAATGATTGTTTCTCGTTGTCCTCCTCGTTAGCGGTAGGATAGAACTGGCACCGCTGGAGCTGGTAAAAAGACGCGAGAGGAAAATAGATCCCTCGTTCTTTGAACAATGACTGACATGTTCCTAGAAGCATCAGTGTGTGGGACAAGGCGAGCAATAATAAAGCACGACACACCTACCATACCTAGTATCACAGCTTGCGATGGTTCCCAACAGGCCGTACCAAGGTTGCATGCTGTCAAGTTGGACGGCTCGATGCGGGTTCTCAAATTCATCGTGTCTATGGTAAGCAGCTGGGAAAAAAGAAAAGGTCAGGTAATGAGGAGTGCGATACTGCTGTCATACGTTTCGTTGTAGCTTGGATCTCGATACCCAACGTTCGGCATCAAGAAGCAGTTTCATCGTTTGAACCATTAAATTTACGTTCTCGTTCAGCCATGTAAGGATGAAGGGCTAATGCTCGTAGAGCCGACCTTGAATCATCCGCAAGGCTTGTGTGCACGTCCCTTCAAGGTGCACAACTCGAAACGTAGTTGGACGTGGGTCCACTCAAAAGAGAATCTGGTGAAAGCAAACGGTCTATCTAACGGAAAAACATCCTAAGCCAGCTATCTCGCGCCAGACACAGGAATATACCGAACCGTAGGGTGAGAACGACACGCAGAGATTGAAGCCTGCTCGGTGAATGGATGGATGTGAGTTAAACGTGCATTGTCAAGACAATAATCTTCATCAGTCTCATCAAATGGATGAAAAGATAGAGACACGATCAATTGAGTCGATAACTACATGACGGATAGCTATTCACATCTTGAAAAACAGAAAGACGTTCGGAAATCAGGAGGCACGGAACACCTGGGGGTGCAGCTAGCTTTGAATACACGCAGTTCCCACCCGCAAGCAGAAACCCTGATCCTGGTACTATCAGCAGGTCCAGTTTCAGCCATGCCAATGTTTGAAACTAGGCTTTAGTCGACAGCCAATAGTGAACGGGAGGATACGCGCCTCATCAATCGTCCGTAGACGCCACATACAAATTCCGATCTTCAAGCGGTTCCTGAGGCTGGTAGTGACATGGTTCTTGAAGTCGACCTATAGCGCGTAGCTGCGTCCCTTCTGATGTCGAGATTTCTCGCGTTTTCAGAACCCGGACCTGGTTGACCTGATCGAACGACTGTTCAAAGGTACGACGTAGCAGTAGCGGTGATGGATGTCAGATAACCTTGTAGAGGATAGAGTGAAGAGAACGTGGAACAAGCAGTCCGAGCACATCCACTTGGCATACTACTTGCATCCCGCATCCTGGAGAAGGAACGATAGGCTCCTTGACATCCTGAGACACAGTCTCGGAGAATTTCTGAACGAGGATCAGGGTGACGATGGTTACCAATGTCGATGCAGCCAGTATTGAATTTGCCTGTTCATGGAGATTGCAGAAGGGTTCAATGCACCAGACAACCGAGCTACCCAAGATAAAATGCCCAGAATACTACCGGGATCCTTAGTGACGCGTAGGCATTCATGCCAACAACCGAAGCGAGTAGCTGTTTCGAGTGCTCTCAGAAATAACCTTGAAAGTTGGAAGACGACATTATTGGAATCAGACGAGGCAAACAGCTACAGGAACATGAAGCGGCTGAGCAAGATGCAAGTTGGATACGAGGGTCATCGTGAGGGAAAGACGTGACAACGGCTACTAGAATCAACAAGCACCAACAACAAAATTGGGGTCTCGACTCCCGCCGACTCATAGTTGCCGCTGTCCAAAAATAGATCCAAATTTGATATTCGGGTCGCGTCCTTTTGATGGCGGACCACGATGACAACAAGAACCTACAATTCGCTCAAGGCTACGGCGGCAACCGATTATTCCTAACTCTCGTATCAACCCCTGCTTTTGCTATCCCATGCCTCGGTATCTATTATCTAATAAGAATTGATTGTATTGTGTACACTCACCAGCCTCGGTTTTCCTGCGTATGCAGAAGCGATGCCATGGTATCATCTCAGCATTAAATAATATCAAGACTTTCACTGCTGGTGCTTGGGGGTTCAACGTTCAGTGTTCACACGCCCACTGCGCAGTTTTTCACGCCCAGGCTTCATGTAGCCAATTCCGAACTGGTATGCACGTTTTCCTGAATTCATTTTAACATGGCTGATATTATGCAGGGAGCTTCCGCCATATCATCGCTCTCTCTGTAACTAGTGCGGTATATTGACATGCGAGGTGACGATATAGTTGCAGGTACATGCACTTGTCTGTGTTTCTCGAAGCTTTTCTTATCCATGCATATGCCAGACTATCTCTGCCTTCACGCAGACCCGCTTTCCTGACGTAGATCCGAGTTTCCGATTGCCTGTGTGGTCTATGTATCAGATCCTAATCTTTTCCGATACCCTGAAGAAGCTCGATATCGACAGTTTGCTACCGACTTCCAAGCCGTTGTCAGGATGACATGTAGTAATAGACAAATATGGATGGAAATGAGACTAAGAAGGTGAGAGAAGAAGGGAGAAGAATCGAGAGAAAGAGAGAAAGTACGCGTAATGCAAATGACCTGCACACGGAGAAATATCGGACTGAATGAAATTGCACCGCCACCCAAACCCTCAGGACAGCATAAGACCGAGACCTGTATACACAGGACTCGGAAAGTAGAAGAAAAAAACGCTCTGAGTGTAGCCCGGCAACACATTGACAAGGGCATCCCAGGCATCCTCTTCTGACTGCGATGCATCGTATATAGGGATAAACAAGGAGTTGAAAAGATATGCCAGTCCTGCGACTTTATCCAGAGGATTCGTGGATACTCGGTTCTGCATCTGTGATAGGGTGCCAAACACGGGGTCACCGTGATACAGCGATTCCAGTTGTTCATGGAGCCTTTTTCGCATGGTTCCTTCCATGGTCCCGTCATTACCACTTTCCCCGCCAATAATCGGACAGTTGTTAATTTCCTGTAGCGTCCACGCCCGTTTGAACCAATTCCGGTCACCTTGTGTGAACCTGAAAGGCCGACCGAGGCCGCTCAAGTAGTACATCACACCTAACCCTTCGATACACCCATCCGATTGTCGGAATGTCCACCTTCCACTCCTCTTCACGTAGTTCTTCATTCCACCCACCTTCCTGCCTCAAACACAGAACATCCAACCATACATACTCCGCTCCCAGGTTTAACATCTCAATCCGAATCAGATCAAGGTCGGCATCTATCGGTATAGGCACGGGCCATTCATACCCATTGATATGTGTCCACACATCCTTGCGCTCTTTTTCTTCCATCCATGCATGAGATATCGCCCATGGGTATCTGTGGCCAGCGACCCAGAACGGAACCACCCGATTATGAAGCGGTGGGCCATCGCAAGGCGTGGCAGATCCGAGTCCTGAAGATGGGGTGGGCTGCCCTGCGTGGACAGCACAAGGTTAAAGGAGCATATGATTCGACATCATCCTTCTGTCAATCTCAATCAGTACAAGCACATTTGGCGGACAACAAAGAGTGAAAAATACCACTGAAGAAGATCACGATAATCGCCGCAAGGTGAAGAGGACTCAGGAGCATAAACAAAAAAAGAATGAGCGGGAACCCCCTGCTCGTCTCAGAGGCTCACAGTTCACAGATGTCATGGCAGTATGTTTGAAAATCCAAATCAATTGGATAATGGTCTAATCGTACACAACAAAAGACTATCGATCTTGAGAACAGCACGCCTGGACAACGAAGGTGAGGATGTCCAAGGACATAAAAATGAATACATTGAAGGCGATGGTGCGAAGATGAATGGCCTTAGCAACGACAAACAGAACGACGAGGATCCTCAAGCAGCGTACGATGGAGATTCTGGCATGAAGAATTGCACATAGACGAAGATGACAATGTACAGTATGGGCCATCTCTATCACCCGGGATTCCTGCCAAACGTGACTCACTATGCGACGGAGGCCATACCCAAGTAACAGACTCAAAGACAATATCTGTGATTAAAGTTGGTCGGCAGACTGAACAGAATGAGGGGGTCACATACCCAATTCTCATTCTAGCCTCGCGTGGCCAGTCCTCCCACCAAAGAGTCCAGTCAGCATAACCCATTCATCACCAACTGGCCCATCTCAGCCGTCACGCGTCACCCGCTAACGCTTCCGTAGGGCGTTGTTGAGTACCAGGAGTGATGTTGATCCAGTTGCTAGCACCAGTAATGCAGAGTCTCAGCGACGGTCTGTGCAAGGAAAGTGGGCGAGAATGGCATCTTCTCAGACTGCGTCTGCGGTTGTTGAGTCAAGGTCGAGGAACAAGAAATGGCTATGAAGTGTGCAAAGAGAGGTGTGAGACCGTTTGGGCGAGCACTTCCCTAGTGATCAGAGATACAACAACTAAAACAAATGTTAAGTTCATCAACAACATACAAATCTCAAATACGTACCGAAACGGCGGCGATGTGAATCATGTTCACCGTCGAGCAGAAAGCGAAGAACGGACCGGGTGGGTCAAAGGAGAGAAAAAGGTATTACTAAGCAGGGAACACGGCATGCACGGCACGGCGAATTGTCGGACTATCACCATCATGCACTGCCACCGAGGTTCTCAGGTTAGCATAGAACGAATCCTGTATACACAGGACTCGGAACCATACAGGTCCCAGACGTGAGCAAACATGGATTGCACTTTCCTAACTCGCTAGGCAAACGTGCCTGCAACGTACCTGACCACACGGTGCGTGTGTTATCCAACAAAAAATATGGCAGATCGGCGCAGCCTATTCGCTGATACTTAGCAGTCACCTTACTACTAGCCACTCGTGGTGAGGGAAACTTTGGTTTTATGTTTCTCTCAGCCCACGATGGTCTTCGTACCCCGTTAATTGCCATGTCTTGGCGTATGACTTGTGCTTGGCGGTTCTTTAAAAACCATGAATATTCGTGGAAGGAGATCAGCCCATTACATCTCCTGACTTTGCTCTTTTTGCATCGTTGTCTCTGTAAAAGATGGCCCGCGGGTGGTACCTGTATTCTGTTCTCCTAGCCGTTCTACCTTGGAGCTTTGCCGCACTTGGTCATGATTTCCTTGAGCGACGCGCTTTTGCTGAGGGAAACTGGTCTTTACTCCAACAAGGGTAAGTGGGTTCCCTCCATCCAATTAATGAGTTATGACTAATGCATCTTATAGAACCACTGGCGTTAGTGGGATGCAACTTGCAATCGTATCAGAAACCACCGCAATTATTTATGACAAAGTGTACGTCAGTGCTATTCTTAACGGCGTCTAGCAGAAACTCAAAACGCAATACTCAAAGGGAACACAACCCTCTCAACATTAACGGACATATCGCATGGGCCGCTGAAGTTGATCTCAATGCTCTCACTGTACGCGCCTTGAACCCTCTGAGTAATACTTGGTGTGCAACTGGTAGTTTCCTCGGAAACGGCACCATGGTCGGCTCTGGTGGAAATCCCGTCGTCATTACTGGTCAGCACCTATGGACATATCACTAGTTTAACAAGATGCCCACGAAGCTCTACTTAGGCGCTGACGGCTTGCAAGCCATCCGGATGTTCACACCCTGCAATGATAAAACCTGTGATGTTTTCGAAGACCCCGACCACATTCACTTGACATCAAACAGGTGGTACGCGTCATCCGTGAGTTGTAGCGCTTCCTCGTTGCTAAGCGATCATGTATGATATCGACAGGTACGTATTGAGGATGGTTCTATCATTATATACGGGTAAGACCCTGAGTTTATTCATTGTTAATAGCGCTGAATTTCACCACCTTGCAGGGGTTCTGTCGGCCCAGGGTGATTAATTTCGCATATATGCCTCACTTCATTTTTACTGGTCAACGTAGATACATCAACTCAGACTCCATAAACAATCCTACCTACGAGTTCTTCCCACCAAAGAACATCAACGGTAAGCCTTCTATCAACGAATCGACATCTCTTCGTTGACCTCGTTTCTCGTAGGGCACAATGGAGTTCAGATTCCTAGCCAATTCCTTCTTGATACTCTTAACAGCAACCACTTCCCCTTCATGACTTACCTTCCGGATGGCACTATTTTCGTTGCCGCGAACCAGAACGCGATGATCTTTAACTGGCAAGCCAACACTGAAACCGCTCTTCCAGGTATCCCCAACGGCGTTCGCATCTCGTAAGTGCATACCTTCATTCTTTCTGTCCTCTTCACATCTTTCACCGAAGTTCGCCGTTCTCGGCAGGTGCCACACTTCTTCCTCTCACTCCTGAAAACAATTATACCCCAGAAGTGATGATATGTGGAGGATCAACAGTTTCTGATAGCGTGTTGCCATCGACCGTTTCTTCGCAGACTCCCACGTCCGCCCAGTGTTCCCGACTAGTCCTAAACGCAGCTGGTATAGCCGCTGGATGGCAGGTGGAGAGTATGCCACAGGCTAGGGTTATGCCAGAAATGGTTTTGTTACCAGATGGGAGAATCGTCATTGTGAATGGGGCACAAACTGGTGTCGCAGGGTATGGGAATGTATGCATGAGCATCTTTAGAATCCCCTGCCTTCGCTAACAAAGAATTCACAGGTCGCCGATCCTGTTGGTCAAAGCAATGCCGATAACCCCGCATTTACTCCGGTTGTCTATGATCCGTCTGCTCCAGCAGGTAGTCGGTTTTCATCCGCGGGAATTCCCGCCACGAATATCGCTAGGGTATATCACTCGACTGTGTCTTTGACACCCAATGGCACGATCATGCTTGGTAAAAAATATTTGGGCCTCCGGTCTCTACATGATCTCATACGTGTATGCATTTTGCCAGCGGGTTCCAACCCAAACGTCGATGTAACGACTACTAAGTATCCTACCGAATACAGGTATCTATGCTGTATCGATTTAATGTGTTCGATTGCTAATTATTCTTCTTGTAATAGGATGGAGTTCTATTCACCTCCTTATATGGCCAGACCTCGTCCAACCTATACCGGGCTGCCTGCTACAGTGAACTACGGCGAAGAATTCACTCTCAACGTTAATTTACCCTCATCCGCAACGAATGTCTCCGGTGCGCTTTCAGGTTCCCATCCCTTCTTCCTCTTCTCTAACCTTATATGGATGCGAAGTGTCTTTGATGGATCTGGGTTTTGCCACACACGGGGTGCATATGGATCAACGTCTACTCAAGCTTGACTCTTCCCTCTCGGATGACGGTAAGGTTCTAACCGTCACGGGACCGCCCACAGCCAGACTATATCCACCCGGACCGGCTTACCTCTACGTTGTCACAGACGAAGGAGTACCGAGTTTTGGACACAAGACTATTATCGGGACTGGAGACTCACCGCCGGTGGATAGTGATGCTGCGGCCAAGTAAGTCGTTAGAGCTTATCCCGATATTACTGTTAACCGCACTCTTGGCATTAATAGTATGCTAAGGGCCTCTGTTGCGTCATTCGTAGCCCCTCCGCCGCCACCCACTGAAGGTGAAGGTAGCAATGTCGCCACTGTTGTAATTCCTGTGTCAAGCTCTTGATTGGTCTAAAGATACCTGCCCGAATTGCGTGTACAGACCCAGATCTATCTACGCATTAGTCAATGTGGCATTTATACTTCTCTTTGCTTATCGTCCCGGAAATGAAGTTAACTCTATTCATCTTTTCTATTCAATGTATCAGCTGCACTTCATGTCCGTCCTTTCTGCACATGATACTATCAAGAACGTGACATCCATCTTTGATCGCATGATACAGCACACCACCCTTCGAACTGGAGAACGCCAGGTTAGCTTCTCGGTCCGTTGGACCTGTGATCTTCATCGTTTTTGGAATTCCAAAGTGACGTATGTTGTACAAATTCGGAGATAATGGAGTTTGCATTGAAATCAGCGGCGGATGCTTCAACAATTGAAATTACGAAAGATAACCGAAACCTGAGTGTATATCTCAAAATTTTGTCATTGGGGTCGACTTGAAGAAATGCGGATAAAAGGAGGGTGCACGGTGGATTGTACTATGTTAGAACGGGTTCTTCGGATGATGTGAATAACTGTTGAAATACTCAATGCCCAGTCTAAAATAATATCCGGCACTGGAAGACGACATACATAAAATCGGCGCATGGTAGTTAGGCTTCCATCCACACTTTCAATGCATCCGCCTGTGCCTGAAAGGATTTCGCTAAATCATCTCCAACCAAGTCGTTCACTGCGGTTGCCAGAGGGCCATTGAATGTCTCTCTCGACTCGTAATACGACTTCTCCACTCCATCACTGTCGATCACCGTGCTCACAGCACTCCGGCGAATCGTCTTCAAAATCCAGTCGGGAGAAACCAGAACCCACGCCACACGATAGTTCTCGATATCAATCACCGTGATCTCTTCGATCGTGATATGTTGCGTTAGTAAATTCGGTGCGGTGGAGGCGTCGACAGGCTGTGGGAGGGGGGGAATTTGGCTCGTTATGATGAGTTTAGCGCCTACAAAGGCAGTTTGGTTTTTGAGTGGGATGGCGAATTCGTTAGCAACAAGCTGGGAACTGTGTACAATTCAACAACGTGTGATGATTGTGTTGTTAACAGACTCGCCGAACGAAGGGATTCCAGTCCGGATAGGCTGAGAAATCTAGAACGGCATCCCACACGGCGTCTTTAGGTGCATTTATGAGGCTACTGCCGCTGATATTGACCTCCCCCGTCGTTTCAGGAAGGTTACTTGGTATGTTGGAGCTTTGCGAGGCGACGAAGGGCACAAGAGAATAGAGTATCAGAGTGAGGAGATTTCTTCTGAGCATTTTCTCTGGAGAAGGAAAGTCAGTTGACTTCGTACAGGTTTTATGGACTTGATGTTTATACCTTGTGGAGCATCTTTGAACACACATGGCCACAATCATTTTGTTCCCATGCATGGTACTCCGACCGTTGTAGCATGATGCTTTCTTGGGGGCCGGAGCTACTTGATCACTCTAACTGAAGTGCCAACGCGGTGCTGGCAGTGGCGGGAGTGAGATAGAGTATAATACCCTGTGGAAGTGGAGCAAAGAAGCCAAACGCTCTGGAAGAAATCGTCATTTAACTCTCGAGACGAACAGCCTGACTCACGTACCTATAATGTCTTTAATCCTCATACTATGTTTCGAAGGCTGTACATAGTGACGTTAGGAAATGATATTTATCGTGGAAGCAGGATAGTCCATGTTTGATACGCGAAGTAGTACGAAATAGGGCCCTTGGGGGAAGCAGCAGTTCTCATTATCAGAACAATATAACTTGTTTCGCGCTTATCCGCAACCGGATATGGTGGGAAAACTGAATGCTCCATGTGAGGATAGGTTTGGGGAAGAAGCATGAGATTTCGATTTAAATGCATAAAATATGTTGAGCAGAAGGCAGCACCGCGGGTGAGAAAAATTGTAGCTAGAGATCAGATCATGATGGACGCGAGTTATTCCGTGCCCAGGTCCGGACCGACTGCCGGGAGTCACATGCACATAGATGAATTTTAAGTCGGGCCGAACCAAATCGCAACCACTGTCACGGTTCGTATCGCTATCCAGTTCCCTCTTTAACTTTCGGCGATATCCTCAATTTCCTGACTTCCTCATGACTTGCTAACACTGGGATCAGTGCTTTTCTGGATGGGTACGTCGCCTTTGGTTCCACAATTCTCGGCTAAATTTTCACAGGAATGAATCTCTCTTACGCACTCGATGGAACACTCAAATGAATTCTTCTTTTGTTGTTTGAGTGCTTAAATGAGCCTTGAGCCATGACGGTTGTCCAAGGATAATCGTAATATCTATCAACTATGCTAAACCGCGAAGATATAATCTTTCGCCCTCAAACAGTGTTTATGTCTTCATAGGCAAGTTGTATCGGTATTCTTCTCCATCCGCGGATGCTCATGCCCCCTTTGCAACGCTATAGATGTCTGTTGTCTGCAGTGACCTGTATACGCATATGGCAACAATTTCTTTTCCCCTTTCCCCCTGACCATCTGTGCTTTGAATATGCTTTGAAGGCAGTCTATGTTTCGTCGAACGGGGTTTAGCTCTGTGGTTAATCACGCGCCGTTACGTTCGGCTCTCGGCAGAAGTGAGGTCATCGTGAGAATTGTCGGATTGTTGTCGACGAAACCATTATGCTTCGATTGCGTGCTCATTTAATGGCGTACGTTTTCCCTTGGTGGCGTTTCTGATCTATTCTGATGTATTGCTCTAGTTTATCTCACTCCCGTGGGCTCGTCAAGAGTGTTCAGACCGCACTGGCATGAGTTCGGTGATTCCACTGAATGCTGTGACTTGACTCACGCGAGGTAAGTAACAACGCCTTGTGAAGAATATCTCATAAAATTCTGGATAAATAGCGAATAGAAGTGCACATAAATTTGGGTCGACGCGATGAATGAATAAGCCCTGGTCATGGGTGGATGTGGTGGGAACACGGAGGGCTGATGATTGGTTAAGTCAATGACTAAGGCGAGGAATCGCTGCCTTAAGAAGCAAACATCGCCTCGCGAGGCCCGCAAAATATGTCTCTTCACGCACCTGCCAGTGACCCGCCGACAAAGCTGGGTGTCTATCGCGTACTTTCCGCCCAAGCTGGCGTGAGGGTATCCCCCATCACGCTAGGTGCGATGAGTGTCGGTGATAAATGGGTACGTTTTACGCTGTGGGGCACTGTTCCTGATTTCACGGGTGCTATAGGAAAGACTGGGGATGGGTTCAATGAACAAGGAGTCAAGCTTTAAGCTCCTGGACGCGTACTTTGATATGGGCGGCAATTTTATCGATACAGCTAATGGCTAGTATGTCGTTTCTCGTGGATTATATTTTCCTCCTTGTGATGCTTCTTTCAGTCAAGACGGGTCCTCGGAAGCATTCATCGGGGAATGGGCTGAACAGCGAGGTATTCGGGATCAGCTTGTCATAGCAACCAAGGTTCGTCCCTTCCATTGCGTATCGTGAACGCTATCCTCACACAACGCAGTATACTGCTAACTACAAACGCGGCGACAATTCTATTGCGCAGAAAGTCAATTATGTCGGGAACAGCTCCAAGTCCTTATACCTCAGCGTCGAGGCAAGCCTCAAGAAACTCCGCACTGACTATATCGACATACTTTATCTGTACTGGTGGGACTGGGATACATCCGTTCGTGAAGTGATGGATAATCTCCACTATCTCGTCTCGCTTCGCAAAGTCTTATACCTCGGGATATCAGACGCGCCTGCTTGGGTAGTAGCTCAAGCGAATCAGTACGCCTTGGACAACGGGAAAACACCGTTCGTGGTATACCAAGGCCGGTGGAACGTCATGGAGAGGTCGTTTGAACGGGACATCATCCCGATGGCCAGGGAATTTGGGATGGCACTTGCTCCGTGGGATGTACTTGCTGCTGGGAGATTCAGGACCGACGAGGAGGAGCAGAAGCGAAGGGAGACAGGAGAGAAAGGGAGGACGATATCTCGTCCGGATTGGGAGAGGAGTGAGTTGGAAGTGAAGGTTTCGAAGGCACTGGAGGTCGTTGCAAGTGAGGTTGGCGCTCAAGGAAATCTTACTGCTGGTGCGTTTAGCCGTTATCTTCTATGCATTTCTCTGACTGTTCTTTGTGCTAGTCGCTATCGCATATGTCATGCACAAGACCCCATACGTCTTTCCGATCATCGGAGGCCGAAAGGTTGAGCACCTGAAGGCGAACATCCAGGCTCTCGACATAAGGCTGACGGATAAGCAAATGGAATATCTCGAGATCGTGGTACCTTTTGATCCTGGTTTTCCCTCCTCGATGATTGTAGGTTTTTCGTGTCTTTGTGATATTATGGATCAGATCTGACGTATCTTAGGGAGACGGAACGACTCATAACAGGATGTTGCTAGCTGTCGCCAAGATGGCCAAGCAACCGAAGCCGCAGCCTATCTTACCATGAACATGGAAAGAAAAATGGATGGATTACCATCTCCACGTCAGATGTTGACTTGTTTTCCTCCTCGTTCGTCTCTTATACAAACGTTGCAATCTGTGGAATTCGTAAAGTACCAATCTCGGTCAAGGCTTTGTATCTGTGAAGGTGGATGTGCACTGTGTACAGAATCCTAGAGTCCCATGTATGTTGGGTAACCTTGCTTCTCCAAGAAAAATTTCATATCCCGAATCCTTTTCCCGACATATTTCGCATCCTTTTCGAGTAAGCCCTCTAAGACCAAAGTGTTCTTGATCATGCGCTTCTCACAGATGCGCAAGTAACTGAGGTATAGAGCGTTCCCAGTCTCTCTGGAGAGTAATCTAGAAACATCGCGTGCTACCTGGGTATCATGCATATTTCATTCACCATTTGGAAGGTATATGCAACTGGAGGTTGAAATCTGCCTCTACGTACTAAAGTGACTGCCATTTCTATGATAATGTATTCTTTGGACAACACGAGCTGAAACTTGGAAGTTGGAACCGTGGAAAATTTGATATCTATCGCAAACTCGAGGAATATAAAGTTCCAAGCAAACTCATTAAATAGAAAAATACTGTTAGACTTGACAGCTAGGATCTCGCTTTCCATGACTTGAGTTATCATTGACAGAACAGATGCACTGGGTCTCAGAGGGCCGACCGCTGAGGATCTGAGGGAAATGCTTCATAAGTACCCAAGGAAATAATCAGACGACACATACCACCCCCTCCGTAGCATCCCCGGAGACGTGCGATGCGAATTTGAGAGTCGCAGGCATTGAATGTCGTCTACGGTTGGTGTTCGTATTTTTTGGTTGGTGTTCAGGTCGGTAATTGAACCTAGCTAGCGTAAATTTCCAGTAAGATACACAAGAAAGCGATGTACATAGCGAGCAGGGAGTTGATGTAGACTGAACTAATTTATTAGCTACTGCAAATGAGTAAGGAGTGATACCGACGTTTTGGTAGGACAAAAGCGATGCCGAGGAAAATCAGAGTCCTGGGCCATACAATGTACTGCGATCGAACGTGAGGTACCGAAAAATGGTCAGGTTTCAAGAACGGCTAACCGAGATGAGCACGACCAGGAAGCATGCGCTATTGGTAGTTATGTTAGATCTCACGCATCCACTCGTCAAAGTCTTTTTACCTTGTAGCTAACCCGGACATAATAACGAGTCACATCAGATTGAGAAGGCGGTAAGCCATGCCACTACTAAGAGGATATTCAGAAAGTTTGGAAGGACCTCATGCATAACATAACGCGCTTAGACAGTTCCATAACCGCTCTGCTCTTGTGCAAGTAATAACACATCATGAAGGCTATCACAAAATCCGTCACAACCACTGTGGAGGAAGCAATAACGGATGCCTGTAATTGGTCAGGTCAGTATCCAAATGGATCCAGAGGGCGGATATCACATTACCTTCATATGGTAAATCGTCGATAAATTTGGTGCCAGACTACTGTCAGGAATTATCGTCTGAAATAGCATAAGCAGCCAGGAACCCTCGCTTACAGGCTATAGATAGAAACTTTGGCGTTAGTTCAGAACAATCTGAATGATGGACTGAATGAATGATGGCATACATATTCCAGCACCTGGATGAAATATATCTAATCAGATCACTTGCACGAAACAAGAAGTGCAAATATTTTACCCAGCGAAGCTACTACAGCCAAAAACTGTTCGACAGTAATTGGGAATATGGTACTCAATTGTGTAAACGTATGCTTACCGCAAACCATGGGAGAAATTTGTGAAAATATCGCCCAACTACAAGTGAGGTAAGCTTGGAATATATGAATAGCCATGACTTGACAATCACAGACGTTTCCATAAGCGGATTGCATATAATCTCAGAATAATAACAGTAAGTTTTCGCCACTTCAAAGGAACGGTATGATCCGTACCCTTGAACATATATGATAATCCCTATCTGGGAGAACTGTTGTTGAAATTGCAGAAGAAATATGGGACATGACTCACATTCATACCTAATTGCACCTTAGGGATACTGTCAGAGGAACGTGTTTGGTCCAAACTTCAAAGGAATCACCTTGAAGCTCCTGCATAAGACTTTCAGTTAGATTGCCCGCATTCAATGAGTCTTGATTATGTTTTTGTCAATATACGTACCAGACGCTGTTCACTAGCGCACCGGCCAAGTCACCGAACATATCGATCAGATAGACATACAGTGCATGGGTAGTCAACGCGACGTGAAGGATGTCGAGGGTCCTGTGAAAGAACATGAACTGCTGTCCCCGACTGATAGACTTAAGGGGACAAACCAAAGGAGCGCTACCTGTCTCACAGGCTTCAGCATAATACGCACTCCAAAAGAATTTGACATACAGAATACCGGTAGAGTGACCAGTCATTCGGATATCTCTTGTAGTATATGGCCATTTGTAGATTACTGACACCGAATAATCTATGGAGGGAATGAAAGGAAATTTTCGCGAGTAAGGAAGGTCGCCTACAGGACGGCTATGGTAGCACCGACATAGAGAACACCAAAAGTATTCCCAATGCAAGGAATAGCTGTTGAAGGTTGCGAAGACATTGAAGGTTACGGGGAAGGGGTAGAGGTCTAAGGAAATTCTGGTATGTTTCCCCGCCTTATAGCTCGGTAGACGAATCTATCGCGGGGCTAATATCAATGTTAGACGATCAACTTAGATACGCTCCTGAAGTTCGAGGTCTCAACACCTTCATTGTATCTCTGTTCATACCTCAGGAGGGCTGTGTGAACCTGAAGAAGATATGAATTATGTTCAAGTAAGAACAGGACGATGGGAAAAAAAATTACATCTGCGAGTGTCCCGGTTACCACATCGATCTTCGCTCATCGTAGGATCATCTGTCATTTTATGTGAACAACAGATTCATGCAAGCACGTTGATGCTTCTCTGCCGACATTAAATGTGATCGGTTATTCGTGCCTGGGTCATAGCCTAAACATACGAATTTTTCTATTGGTCTTCAGTCGGCATTTGATCTAATACATTGGCAGTTGTAGAAACACATGGTGGTGGATCGACGATAGTAGGATTAGCCGTTATGGGTGTGGTCATTTCATTCGTTGCTGTACTCGTGTTTTCACCATCGTATGTTGTTATGGATTAACGATCTGATACTTCCATGTCGAGTTCTTGTAAATGGCCGCACTATGCATCAACCTTCATCTGTCAGGTTCGTTTGTGCAGATGACAGATTCCTGACCTTTGAAAGCGATTCAAGTTGCCGTAGAAACTAAGACAGCGCATCTTGATTTTTCTATGACGACGAGTGAGGTCCCTCCATCTCGTGGGATCAGGCGGTCAAAGTTGAAAATCAATATGGCATAGCGTACACTGAATAAGCGTGGTATTCACGGTAGTACGCCGATGGTGGACCCTCACAAACATATTACAGAGTGCGTACGAACAATCGAGGCGTTTGATAGGCGTGCGCTTCCTCCTGTGAAATGTCATAGCCAAATTAAGACCAAACTGAGGAAGAAACAGTTGACTAAAGCGATAACTCAACTGAGGCAAAAGCGTACAATGCTACGGCCATATAAACTGACAAGATTTCGGTGGCCCCAGGAGTGATCTGCCATCACTTCCATCTGGAATTTGGTAGATACCGCTGATAGTCCGGGAGTAAGGAGGATTTTTGCAGTGAGGCAACTCGAGGGCCACGTAGAACTGTTGACTCGGGTCCTCCGTATGAGGCGGGATTCCGACAGGGTAATACTAGCGTGAACTAAGACCGCCATCTGGAGGAAATGAAAGTCAACTGAGAAATATCAGCGATGCGTCCTGCCGCAAATCATGTTACTGAAATGACAGCGAACATAGCGAACAAGCCGTGACCGGAGAAAATGATACCAAGCATCTTGAGGATCAACACGCTGCCCTTCCTCCCGTAACTGAAGATATGGGAGGTACATGCAACTATAGTGATGCGGCCGTAAGAGTCGTACTGTGATCTGCTCGGAATTGCAAGGTGCTTGCGGTACATATCAGGGATCGGTTGGAATGAGGTGAGTCCTCATAGCGATTGTGCGGTGTTCATGGAATTATGGATTTCGAGATGCCTGGGATGATGAGATAAAATGGCGATTCCTGGACCGAAGGACTGGAGGTCGCATCATGCGATAATGTCCTAGGTATGAAAATCAGAATTCAATGGTGATAATATAATTGTCCCTCTCAAATTAGACTGATTTGTTAAGACGCTATTTGCGGCATCCTTCCTTCCTTCCTTCCTTCCTTCCAAAATTGCATTGGTCTCGCATCCTTCGTGCTGTGATGTCCTTCTCGGATACAAACGGCTACCGAGATCGTCGATATTGATAGAGCTTTCTTTCGTCAAGTACATCACGTCCTTGGCGCCGCTATCATGAACTCAGCTCGAAATTTCACCAGCAGCGCAAACATTACTGATATTTGTGAATGATTCTTGAGCGCAGTTTGGCCCGTACCAGCCTTGGGTCAAGTGCAACGAGGACGACATTGCAGAGACCCTGAACTAAAGTCAAAGATCGGAGACGGAGAAGGATGTTGCCAAATCTACCTGCCACGCTCGTGATAGACTAGCAAGGATAGCAGTGCCATCGCAAGAGCTACATGCCCCATCGCTCGCGTGGATCGGACGACGACCATAATCCGAAATATGGATAGCTGCTCAACTGGGAGAATTTGTAGAGCTCTAGTAGTAATTTCGAACTTCCAACTGAAGATCCTGTCTTTCCGTTCAACGTAGTGAACAGAGAGCAGCACCTCGGTGCAATAATCATGCCGGCGAGATATCTAGCTGGTAGTACAATCATGAAATCTCAGTGTTAATGAAAAGGAGCAGACACGAACCATATAAAAATTGCATAGCATATATCCATATCGTTCGAATGCCGAAGTAATGGGGTCCTAATAAGTGAATAAGCTTCCGCAAGATGCCAAGCCTTGTGATAATAAGCTTACCATGACGTGAGATAGAGTTTTCCTAGGAATTTGAAGCTGAACGCATAACCAAAAGACGGAGAAAACCTGAAGAGAATTGTCAGTGAGATACATACCACATCTGGGGGCCTTCTAGCTGAGACGACAGTACCTCAGACGTTACAACGGTAGAAGAGAGACTACGAGGATGGTTGGATTTTTTTAGTGGCCTTCTTGTTGAGCCGCCGCCATTGTAGACTGCCATGGTGGTAGTTCTTCACGGAGGAATCCAAATATGAAATTGCTTTCCGCTTTCGAATCAGCCTTGCCGGCGGCATCTTCCGGGCTTTAGCTTCAACCCTCCGACATCCTCTTGCACCTCCCCGATCTGTTATAAAACGAAAACATGTTCGGGGACAGCTCCTTCTGCTTGTATTGCTTATGGTTATCATGATGCATAGCAAGCAGTGCTTGAATAAGCAACGTGATCTTCATATCATCACTTCTGGCTCAAATTCGCTTTACTTATTCTATGCAAGAAATTATTGATTCCTCCGCTGTTACTTGCCCTTTTAGGCGTGGTACCTGCATTATGGTGACAAATTTTACCTAGGCATCTGGATTCATCTACGAAGTTACTGAGGACTCCGCTCTCATTTCCAGAGGCAACCGCGAAACTGAATCGACCTTCAACGTCGCCTTGATCATATCACGGCGACCTTCCTTCTTGTCCAGTCTGGAGACATTACACCAACTACTAGGGCCCCGCTCAGAGTGCTACGTGTAGATATGTCTGCCCTTTTATAACAATGTTCGCGCACCCAGTTGGTCGGAATTCCCTGCATCCTGAGTCATCATCTCCTCTGCTCAGTAATGTCTTCCTGCTGCGTCTTCTCATTTTCCCTCTATAGTGTTGTCTGCATCATTTCGTGTTGCTACGACACTCTAAATGCGCCGTTAACTCGATTACCGACACCCCCAGTTGGCGCCGTCTCATAACCACGGCTAGACTGCCGACAACTTCCATCAAGCACCCAAAGGCCCGCAAGCCTAGGCTCTTCTCTAGTGGTGAGAACTATTACACCTATATAGATATGCTATCTGACTCATGTTTACAATTCTCCCAGGTGATTGGACACGCTGAAACCTTACAGCTCGTGAACAGGGCCTAGAACCTGAGTACTATGGCCCGAACTTTGCCATTGTAGATCATAATGCCGTATTTTTAGAGCCTCGTCTGTTCGTTGGGGAGATGGTTGATCCAGTGCGTGATGAAAGGACTTTAAGGAGGTTACAGTACGTGTTACGAGCCTGATGAAATTGGCATGGACGGGTTTTGCTGGGGTGTGATATCAGAATGAATTATAGTTGTACTTTTTGTACCGATATGATGTCGAGTTGCAAGTTGCATGAAATTGATGCACGAGCCTCAAACGGGACCATTACACAGCTGGTAGGGCAAAGTCTAGGTGTATTTATTGTTACATTAATATCTATATAGTACCAATCACGGGAGTCAAACGAAATCACTCTTGGACTTCATAATCGAGAGGTCCCTTTGGGTCTGAATGGGCCGACATATGATCGAATGAGCGGCTAACCCGAATCTCAGAGAGTGGGATGCCAATATCCTGCAGGAAAGACTGAATGAGCAGTCGAGACAATAGCTAGTGCTAACAGGCTAATACACGCACCATGTCTTCGGTATCGCCTTCTGAAGTGTGTGGTGTGATCCTAACGACGGTAGGATTTGAGTGTTTTGAGCGGTCTGCCACGGATTCGGCTGACGGGCGTTTACGTCGATAATTGAGCCTACAACGGTTGAGCTTCATGTAAAAATTTCAAAAAGACGACGTACATAGTAAGCAGAGAGTTGACGTAGACTGAATATATTTGTTAGCCCTTTCAATGGTTAAGAAGTAAGACTGACGTTTCGGCAGGGCATAATCGATGCCTAGGAAAATAAGAGACTCGGGCCATACAATATACTGCAGATATTCGTGAGACTGTTGCATAAGAGAAGCTGGGAGATAACAGACTGCGATAAGAGCGAGCAGCGAGCATGCACTGTGATTTTGATCAGGAATGATAGCGACTAGAATAAACAAATATTTCCACCTTGTAGCTAACCCTGAGACAAGAATGATTCGCATTAGAGTGACAATTATGGCCGCGGTTCTAGTACACAAATATAAATCTGAGCTAGAAGATATGGTGAAGAAATCAACTTACGGAGAGAACTTTGTATCTCCTCTGTCCTTGCGCAGATAATAGCACATCATGAGAGCTATGATGAAATCCGTTGTAACTATCAGAGAGAAGAAGGTGTAAATCGACCTCTATATTATCTGTGTGAAAATGTGCGCTTTTCTGGAGTATGGAAGTGTCGTACTTTGGCAACGTAAACAGACGTGATGTTCGGCGTAATATAACTATTCGAATTGACCTCAACCGCTATATGTTGTGTCACAAAGTTTTGCTTACATATCATAGATTATATCTGCAACAATCCCCGTCAGCAACATCGTAGCGAGGGAAAGAGCAGTGCTTTACATATTCCTGCACCTGGAAGAAACGGGAAGCGCGTAATGAGGGGAAATAGTGGTAGCAAGAGCGACAGTGTTACCAAGGGAGGCTGCTACTGCGAGAAACTATTCAATAGTAAGAAGAGACAGGAGATCCAGATATTTAATGCCATACTTACCACGAACCACGGGAGTATTTTATTAAAGTGCCGTCCGACTAAGAATAGGTAAGCCTTGTCATGATGCTTAACTCCAGGTAGAGCACGTACGTTTCCACAGTCGGATAGCGTATAACCTAAGGAATATAACAATAAGAATTTGCGTATAGCAATGATATACTAGCTCTTACCCTTGAACATACAAGACGATCGCCACATTTAGGGCCAATTGCAGCTGGGTACGACAGTTATCATAAGAGCTGTATGATCAGAACCGTAAGTAAGTTCGTACCTTCATGCTCCTGTAACGACAAATCCTCATTGAGATCAACGTGGTGCTTCCTGCAGAGAACGTACCAAAAGTTATTCCCTAGGGCACCGGGCAAGTTACCATACATATCGATGAGATAGTAATACAGGGCATGGGTGCTGAAAATGACGTGGAGAGCATCGAGTAACCTAGGAACGCGATAGTAAGTTGCTACATCCGACGAGGGTGAGTCAACGAACCAAAGTATTGCGACCTATAACGAGGGCATTCAGTGCAACGTCCACATTGAAAGAATTCCGACATACAGAGTATCGGTAGAGCGACCAGTCATTAGGGTATCTCTTGTAGTAGATGAGTGTTTGGAGATTCGTTATTCCAAATAACCTATGAAACAAATGAGATAACATTTCCCAGAGTAAAAAAGCGTACATAGAGGCAATAGTAGCGCCAATAAACAGAGCACCAAATGTATTTCGGAGGGATGGCGTATCTTTCAAGTATTGCGAGGACATTACCCGAGGCAGGTGTAAAAGGGAAAGCTGATATGTTTCCTGGGCGTATAGATGAGTACGTAATCCTATCATTGGGGAAGGAACGGATCGTTAAATGAACAGTCAACGTGAATGTTGATGCAACTCGCCTCTGGAAACTTGAGCTTGACATCTCAGCACCACGATTCGAGCTCCGAAGTCAACATTGCACGTACCTCTGGAGGAAGGTAATCAGAAGCAATTTCGAAAGGGTGCAGAAAGCAGATGCAGTCCCACCTTTATTGGATGAAATAGGCTCCAATACTCCGTAGGACTCGGCGAAGGACGCTTGTATTGAGAAGGATGCGTATTGCTTTGGTCCGAGAACATTGGTACGAGAGAGATTCTAGACCTGCGGCCTACCCCCAACAACACATATGACTATGTGCTCGCCGTAGAAGATTCACACGTCTAAAGATATCCTCATCTTTACGGAACCAACATATTCGCGTGATCTAGCCCTACCCAATGCTTTTCTCAGCACGTTAATGTGATCAGTGATAGATTGCCGGAATTTTTCCCGAAGTCGTACCTCGATGTATATTCAGTGTGGTCCGAGCCTTAGCAGAGGTCGCGGAGAAAGCCTGACAGCAGAGCGATGGTCCAGTTGCGGTTCGGCCCCATCATGCCGCGAAACACGGAGGTGTGCTTTAGTATGTTCATTGCCGATCTTGGCTTGATGAACGGGCCGGTAAATGCGGTTGCATTGATCTGCTGTACTCGAATTCAGCGTCTCGGAAGATACTGTGCAATCATCCTGTAATTTCACAGTTATTCCTCAGTGATGGCTAGATAAGCCTGGTTAAAAATACTCGTTTCGCTCGTTGTACTCGTTAAGGTCGTAAACCAATGGAAATCTGCAGTATTTACACGAAATCAAATACTCAGTCATACGTTCTATAGGGTCCGAGTAATATCGTACCGAAATAACAGCGCACTGGAGAAGAGTGAATGTTGGGTCGCGATAATTCAGCTAAGCGTAGAACCATACATTTCCCATCTGGCTGGACGAGACGTTGGCAGTCCTTGCACTAGTAATCCTTGGCTATTTCAAACTTGGGAAGGCACTGCCGGGAGTATCAAACCAACGACTGGTAATATATCGACAGCTAGCGTAACGAAAGCACTGCACTTTTAAGCGGAGAATGGTCGGCATAACTCTATAGCCCTGTTTCTCACGTTGGAGAGATAATTCAGAGGGAAAATCTAGTACAAGTGATGGCGAGCAAACAGTGACGCAGAGGGTCGGGTGGAAAAGTATTTACCTCTGAATAGTCGCCTGGTATGGGTACGACAACACGCCGTAAATTTCGAGGCTGAACATCTGCTTACGAGTATGCCGACGAATGGGGGCGGCGTAGTGAAAGCATGGTAGAGACACATTGTGCGCCATCAGTTGATACTCCAACCCGATCCAAGTTCGAAGTTCCAGTATAGTCGCTACTCAGTGTCAGTCAACGACCCATGTAGATTATTACAGCGGTACCTATGGGACATTAGCACTCTACTTCAGAACATGATAACTTGAATGCGCGCACTGCTTCTGCTCAAGCCATGCCAGAAGCAAAGTTAGGCTTGACGAGATAACTTCCCTTTGATACCTAATATGATCAGCAGCGAATCAACAGCGGTAGGCCAAGGACAAGAAGATACTTCGATTGACCGACTTCCGCCAACTATCAGTGACTGGTTCATGAAGTTGGCTTTTCTGGCCTGCCGAATTTAAGAAACAGTACAAAATGAAAGATGGAAAGCGTACTATGTGGTAGCGTATAGGCTTCCTCTCATCAACAACATCGTCTTGACCGTAGTGTCGCCGTCATGAGCATAACAAAATTCGAGCTGCCTCCGAATAAGTCAGGACTGCTGGTATCTGTTAAAGAGATGCGAAACGTCGTTAGAGCAGCCTTCGGTCACGCCCGGGGAGGGTGTTCGTCCAGAATTCAGCTGCTAAACGAATGTCAAAGATCAGAGAAGTGGAAAGGATTTCGTAAAATGTGCGCACCACGACCGGCTGATATCTTCTTCCTGCGAATATGAAGATATGCCATTACTGCGAGTTTCCGTGAAAGAAATGTCCTTCCAGAGACCGGTTTTACGTACGATTCTCTCTTTCGTGGCATAGATGATAGAACAAGGTCGCCATATCCGAAGTCGCCTCTTCGATTGAAGACATTGTGTCAGCCATGGCAGCGGTAGCATGTGGTCCTCCCAAATTTCAACTGACGGAATACGAGACATGAATAGTATTGACGAGGCCTCCCAAAAAACGGGAAGCTTTGACTAGAGTTCGGAAGCATGAGGACGTTGCGGGTGGACGGCACCGCTAAACAGAGATCAGATAAGGGGACGAAGCGTTATAAGATATGCGTACCACGTAGAATTTATATAGCAGAGCTTCTTGCTGCAACCTCCCAGTCCATGTCTCTCGTTGTATGGAACTACTGCTGCGAAAGGTTCGCGCAGGAATCACCAACAAGTATCGCAACAGCCGCATCCGAGTTCGTTGGCACTAATAAGGTGATATCAATGACCAAGGAGCATAATTCTGCATAGCAGCGAGGACGAGAGGAACCCTAACAGCCAGGTCGCGCTTCTTCCTATGGAGCTGTCCATCCTGCCGGAATGGATGATGCGACGATACAGAAAGCCGTCCCCGAAAGTCCGCATTTCCTGTACCACTGAACCAGAGCAGTCCTGATGGAATGCATCAGATGCGTACGAACGTTACAAGCATAGCATATATGCATCCTTTTCGACCGTGTACAGCATCAAGACCCTAGAAAATGCTTATAACGAACGTTTCCAGCACTATTGGACGCTGGGCTTACCATTACTCGAGATTAATACTTGCGGTATCCTGAAGGCCTCGATTTCTTGCTTAGCTAGAGAAGTTTGAGGAAAACCATCAAGTAGACTAGAAAATGCACGCACCTGGTGGGTGTTCCTCCTTCGACCACATCTACCATGGGGATCTTGATGGTAGCAGCAGGGGATGAGGCGCAATTGGACGCAATTGGAAACTTTCGTCGTCGAGCCGCCGTTCTCGCGAGTGGTGAGTGGTAGCGGAAGTGGTGGAAGTTAATCACTAAGAGTAAATATGAAATTGGCGTCCACATGTGAACAAACTTTGCCGACGGCACCTGGCAATGTCATCGGTCCGGCTCCGATGCCAAGATTGCTCCTCTTGCCGTTCGTAGCTCGCTCTCGGTAGCTAGGAGGCAGCTTGACTGAGCAAGATATCTCTGACTATGCCTTAGTGTCTTTTGCTGCCGTTTCAATGTGCATGCACATCGATCCGAGGTGTTGATAATAGAGACGAAGCACAACCCAGTCGTGTTCCGAGTCTGCTTTATAAGTTCTCAATCTCGCACCATTTTCCGACTCCTTGAGTTGCTGTAATGGATGTGGTCTCCGACACACCGCCAACTATATTTGTTCGATTTTGGTTCGATTTGCGAATAATGTACTTATCAGAGTTCAGAACCTTGGGAAGTTTTTGAATTCGTTTGTCCAATTCAACAATGTACACTTCACACGATAGGACCTATATAGTAGTGATTGGATGTCATCCTTGAGTAGCTTCCCCCGACATGAAAGGATCACATTTACAAACTAGAGATGCCCGTTATGGGCCTGTGACCTGTCAAGTCAGAACATGATCCAGAGCTCGGAACAGAGTCGATCCAAATCACTCAGACCTGATAATCAACAGTTCCGTTTGAAATTCTTGGCTTGTCCGAAGAACAGATGCCCTGAATCTCAGAGAGTGGAATGCTGATATCCTGAAGGAAACAGTTCAGAATCAGTTGCGATAATATCCAGTACTAGTAAGCTAACGCACATACCATTTCTTTGGCATGAGATCCGGAGCTGTTCGGTGAAAACTGGACAACCGCAGGAATTGAACGTTCTATACGCCCTGCAATTGACTTGTCCGATGAATGAGGTCGATAATTAAACCTAATGAAGGTAAACTTCAGGTAATAAAAAGAAGAAGAGAATGCACATGGCAAGAAGCGAGTTTATATAGACTATGTAAATTAGTTACCAGGTTTTGGTGGATAATGAGTAATACTGACGTTTCGGCAGTATGAAATCGATTGCGACGAAAATCAGAGTCTTCGGCCACGCGACGTACTGCATATCTTTGTGAGATCTTTAGATGGGGTCAAGTTAAGGGAGCAGACCGCGATAATTGAGAACAATGAGCATGCACTGTCATTGTCATCAGGAATAATGGATACCAGATTGAATGTTTTCACCTTGTAGCCAACCCAGATATGAGAACAAGTTGCATTAGACCGAGAAGTAGGTCAGCCGTGCTAATATGACTAAATCAACCAGAATTCTGAAGTCTTCGTAAGGGAACAACACACGAAGAGAAATGCATATCCGCTCTGCTTTTGCGCAGGTAATAGCACATCATGACAGCTATGATGAAATCTGCCGTGATGATCAAGGAGAAAAAGGTGTAAATAGATGTCTATATTGCTGTGTGAGGATCTATGACTTGCCATACTATGTGAATCACGTACATTGATCATGGAGATGGACACCAAATTTGGTATCATATAACTTTAAAGAATTATTTGAAGTGTTAAATGCATACACAAAGGTTTTCTTACGTCTCATAGGATACATCTGCAGTACATCTATTAGTAAAATCGCAGCAAGAGAGAAATTAGTTAATGCCTTACATATTCCAGAACCTGAAAGAAATGAGGGTGCATAATTAGGAAAAGCAATTGAAGCTAGATGTACAATGGTTTTACCAAGCGAGGCTGCCACAGCAAGAAACTGTCCAATAATAAGTGGAACAGTAGGAGATCTGGTTATTTGACGCCATTCTTACCACGAACCAAGGGATGATCTTGTGAAAATGTCGTCCAACTAACAAGAAGTTAAGCTTGGCATAAGAATTAATGACCAGAGAAAATACATACGTTTCCAGAGTCGGATCGCGTATACCCTAAGGGTTATAGCAGTAAGAGTTTGGTCTTCTCTGTAAAAATGACGTCGCTCTTACACTTGGACAAATACAACGATCCAGACCTAAGAGAATTACCATTCAGACAAAAAAGGGTCGAGGGGCATGATCGCTCACCTTTACAACTATTTGCAGCTGGGTGTGCAAGGCTACAGTTAGAACTGTATCATTGGAACTCGGAATAATTCATACCCTCATGCTCCTACAGCAACAAATGCTTAGTGAAATCGATGAGATGCCTGTGCCCAACAACATACCAAATGATAGGTGCACTTAGGGCGCTGAGCAAGTTATCATACATGTCAATCAGATAGTAATATAGGCCATAGGTGCACAAAGCAACATGTAAAGTGTCAAGGAACCTGTGAAAGGATGCGGTAATAAGTCACCACGTCTGGTAGGTATGAATGAACATACCAAAATAGTGCTACCTGTCATTTGTGCGTCAGCGTAATGCGAACTCTGAAAGGATTTCAACCTACGGAACGCCGGTAGAGCGACCAGTCGTTTGGGTATCTCTTGTAGTAGACAATCACTTGTAGATTTGTTATACCATATAAACTACGAAGTGAATGAATGAAAAGGCAGTTTATCGAGTAAGGAAGAACACATACACGGCGGATATGACAGCACCCACAAAGAGAGCGCCGAAAGTGTCCCCAATGGATGGAATAGCTGGTGAAGCTTGTGAGGACATTGCGGATTACAAGGGAAGGTGCAGATGAAACCCTGAGAAGTATGTCCAGCTTATATGCGGGATGGTATTATGTATAATCTTCGCACATCACTAGATATGAGCCCCAAATCATCACAGATGTTTCTTGGATGAAAGATGCGGCGAAAATTTTCGACGTGATCTGATAGCAGCGGGAAGAGAGCACTTCATTTAAAAAACCAATACAATCGCCAACATTGATGGAGTGTTCCTTTGTTGAAACTTTGAATTGACCCGTGGTTTGGGATGAATTAATGAATTACCGGGTAGATGGATGCATACTTCCAGGCCCCGCCTATATATTCTTATCGCAAGCTCCATACCTGCATTAAGTTTCGATATTTTTAGCATTCCAGGCACGCACGCAATGAAAAGCCGAAGTGCACTATTGCAGATCTCGGAGAAAGTATGTTGAACCCATCGTGCTAGGCTGCTAGCTTGGCCTGGAGGGAAATAGCTCGACTCGCAAAGACAACCGTGCCTTTATATCTCCTGTGCTAGTACTCTCAGCGACACGCATGAAGAGTATGATTTCGGAAAACAACATGGGTTCAACAAAGCAACACTACTTCCGGTAATTTGTACCTTGGATCCGCTTTCGAGCGTTCAGCATAGCACCGATTCGACTGAGTGCCATGAATGTACCTGCCAGCCCGCAGTTCCAGTATCGAGCAAGGCGTACTTCCTCCCCTTGATCTCTCTTTAGAATGTGCATGGTACTTCCCCCCTACCATTTTTATTCCAATAAACTTGGTCCATGGATTATCTGTTGCAACATCCCCCTAGTATACCAACATGACTCGACGGATCTGAGGAGGGCGAACTCAGCGGCTCATGGATGAGGCCCCGATCGTAGTTGAGACGATGGTTTCGAGTTGCTATAATCTGCCCTCCACCCGACTCCCGACTCCCGAGGTAAGGAACGCTGGTTGTCCGGGATAACACAAGGAATAGTTACCGGGAGCGCGCGCTTCTTTCCGAGGGTACCGTCTCATGTCGCCTGAAATAGGCATATATGATGGCAAGGATCAGGGAGCCGATACATATCGCCTGCGTCCTAGTCAGAAATGAAACTTTGCTATCGATAGAAAGCATCAGACAAACCGCATCCAAATCATATAGTATATAAGCATCTCTTCCAACTATATACTGCGATAGAACCTAGAAATGCTGATGACCGACGGGATTACGGTAACATCACCCAAGATAAGTTTACGAGATCCTAAATGCGCTGAGAAAATGGCGGCGACCTTAGCCAGAGAAAAGCTCAGGGTGTGTCTTCAAGTGACTAGAAAGACGTGGAAGGTTGCCCGCACTCGAACACAGATGCTATGAGAATCACAAAGGTGGGCCATCGTACATCATGGTCGAGCCGTCGCCTCACTGCAGTGGCTGGTGCGTTTTTGAAGGCGTAAAACGGGATTCTAAAAGGTTTCGATTTCAGCTTCAGTTTTTATCCCTCCCGTTTTGGGTACTGTAAAATGAAATGTTATCCAAATTCCTTTGTTCTATAGGGGGAAAGATTTTTCATACCGTTTTACAGACGGCCTTTTCGGGACTGACAAAGGCTTCGCTAAAACAAAACCATTTAAGGTTTCGTTTTTTACGATCTAAAATGAACTGGCCTCTACTGTACCTTTGTTGGCGGTGTTCATCTAGAATATGAAATTTATTTCCTAAACAGGCCGCGCTGCCGGCACTTCACTCGGTTCTATCATGACAATTCTCCATCCGTTTGTGAGGGACAGTGGTAGATCAGAGTACAGAGATGATGGACAAACGGACTTGTAATAAACTGGGGTGCATTTACTACATGGATTGTTTCGAGAGAGATCCGTAGCAAAATATCGTAGCGAGTCGCGAATTGTAAGAGACGACCTTTAAACGACTGGCAGGGACTAACGCGAGTCAGAACTTCGAACCTTGCCAAAATAGATGCAGCCATGTCTAACTCAATAAATATATAGCACGAAGCCAAACAGTCAAACTACTAAATCACTCTCAGACTTGACAATCGAGATCTCCCTTTGGATTATCCAACTTATCACTGAAAGCGCCGATGTGCCGGAGCGGAATATCAATGTTCTGAAAGACATGGTAAGTAAGGATTCGACGATGTAGCTAGGCGCATGCACATACCGTTTCGTCGGCATTACCTTCGGAACTATGAAGCATGATTGAGAGGACGGTGGGAAGTGAATTTCTATCACCTTCTCCTGCTCGTTTGGTCAAATGATGCTCGGATCGGGAATTGAGCCTACCAAAGGTAAGCCACCGGTAATCGTATCAAGCAGATGATGTACATGGCAAGCAGCGAATTGATATAAACTATGAACATATTCATCAGTGGGTATTCGCGGGTAATATATGAAAACCGACGCTTAGATAGGACGAAATTAATCCCGAGGAAAATCAACGATTCCGGCCACACGACATACTGTGATATTGGTCAGATATTGAGAATGGGATGGAGCCAAGTTGAGAAACAACGGACAGAGATGGGGGTGAGCAGCGACCATGCACTATCATTTTCATTAGGAACGATGTCAGCAGGTTTAAAACGGATGCCTTCACCTTGTAGCCAGCCCTGATATAAGAACGAGTCGCATTAAACGGAGAAGCACGTCTGCTGTGCTGGTATGACTCTATATCAGCAAGACATCGAAGGCCTCGAGAACGGAACAGTTCACGACGAGGACATTATACCTCCTCTGCTCTGGTGCAGGTAATAGGTCATCGGAGGGGCTATTATCACACCTGCTGCCGCAATTGTAGCGAAGAAGGTGCAAATTAGCTAAATTATCTGCGTGGGTATCCCAAAACGGCTAGAGCACGGGAATCGTATACTTTGATGTTGGAAGCAGATGCCAGATTGGGGTGTAATATGACTGTCGAGGATTGTTTCAGGTGAGGCAGGCAGCTTGAAAGTCCGCTTACATGCTATATACCACAACTGCGGCTTTCTTGTCAGTACAGGCAGATGCAGCGAATTAATCAGTACCTACGTACCTAAGCGAATCAGAATGAGACGAAATCCCGGAACAAGCAGAACGGTTTTATCACCAAGTGAGGCAACCACGGCCAAGGCCTATCTGATGGTAAGCAGAGTATGATGTTCTGTTATGAATAATGCCTACCACAAACCAAGGAAGAATTTTGTGAACATGCCGTCCGACTACCAAATAAACTAGAAACGGAAATATCAATCGCCGCTGCCCAAACACAACGAACGTTTCCATAGTCGGACAGCATATAACCTAATAATCGTAAAAGTAAGAGAACCTGGTTACCCTTGGACATACACGACAAGGAAGTCCTAGTAGGGACAGCGTTTAGTTGAAATAGAGAGCGCAAATAGTACGCCTTGACAACAGACATTTAGAGATAATTGCCACTGAGAAATCCATTAGACATATTCATGAGCAGGTCTCAATTAAATTACCTTCATACTGTAACAGTAAATCTTCAATGAGCTTGACATTGTGTCACTATCTGGAAACGTACCATAAGTCATTTTCTAGATCACCAACCAAATCCCCGAACATAGTAATCAGATAGGAATATAGGACATGTGCGCTCAAGGCGACATGAAGAGTGTCGAGGATCCGGTCAAACAATTCAGCAATCAATCACCACGCTAAATGAATGTGGCTGAACGAACCAAAGTAGTCCTATCTATCTCCAGGGCTTCAGCATGACGCCAACTCCAAAAGAGTTTCGACGCACAGAATATCGGTAAACCCACCAGTTGTTGGGGTATCTCTTGCAGTAAATGACGCCCTGTAATTTCGTTATGCCATAGAATTTATCAAGCGAATGAACGAACATCGAAAGGTATTTCGAGAGTAGGGAAGAACACCTACATGGACGCTATGTTAGAGGCGAGATAGAGCGCGCTTAGCCTATACTCTCACCGAGGGACGGAATAGCTTTCGAGGGTTGCGAAGGCATTGTGGGTTAGATGGAAGTGCCATGCGACGTCTGTTTAGCTTATAGATGGGTAGGCCGAACCACCACGAGACCAAGTACGACGACCCGATCATCAATGTCGATGGTATCACATCCTAGTTCTTGATTTTCTGAACTCAGCACTGGACGCAAGCTCCAGCGCTGCTGCTCAAATTCCAAAAGAGGATCGGCAGAAGCAGTTATGACGAGGGTATAGGAAATTACCTTATTCCTTTCCGTCTATCTGTCTTCGACGAAGGGTGCTGTGAAAGTTCGGAGAACAATCTTATGGCAGCAGGGCCAGATCATTTCTCATATAAAAACGATACATCGTCAGACGCCGACGCAATCTTCATCTGTTGATATTTTCATTTGACTTGTGATTCATGATGAATGTATGACTCACGATGACACGTACAAAACACCGGCAGTCTGTTAAGTTGATGCGCGCGGGGATGAATACATACATCCAGCATCTATGTATACATTCTTATTTCGAGTAGGGACTCGCGTTTGATTTGGCATTGTTAGTGTGAGAAGAATGCGCCAGGGTCGCAGGAAAATGCTGATCGTGATTGCGGTAGCGGGGCTGAGGTTATCGAGTTGAACATGAGTACATTGCGCACAACGCACATAATATAGTCAACTCTGTTTGAGGTCAGAACAACATTGCATTTATTAATGCCTTTCTTACAGTTCGCGGAACAGTAAAATGCATCTGAAAAGTCGGATAAAACAAATCTAATCAAGATGATCACTGGTACCATCATGGTCGAGACGCGGTCTGCTTATCGGATCTGCTATAAATACACGGTAAGTTATCCAATATAGATCACTTTTCTGTCCTATTACCATACACCCACCCTTTTTTTGCTCTGTATTATTTTGCTAAGGTACGCTACCGTGGATCTCAGAAAGAGGAATGTTGAACCCTTCCTACCGGCGTGGCCTTGAGCTAATCGCTCTACATGGAAAGAGACCCGTACCTTTACATCTCCCCCACTAGCACCGCCAGCAGTGGGTGTGAGGCGTACGATATTGGAGAACAATACGGATTCTGACAAAGCGGCACCACTTCCGGTGTTTGTTCCTTGGATCCGTTTACGAGCGTTCAGCCTAGAACCGATTCGAGTCAGTCGGATGCAGGAAAGATGGTGGCAACATATATCGACGACAGCGAGTTGACGTAAACTGAATCAGCGTGAGATGAATGATTTATCTCTTGACAGCAATGAACGTACGTTTTGTAAGGAGAAACTCGACCCCGAGAAAGACGAGGGTATTAGGTAGGACGATGTACTGAATAGAACATGAGGCTCGTCCTTGAAAATGGGGCACAGGCGCGCTTACCTCCAGGCAGCCAACTACTATGATCGTCCTACGATACCCAAAGCTGAACTTTGAGTTACCAGGACACACATGGGGAGCAGATCGGGGGTGGCATATTCGAAGCATGGTACGGCATGCTCCCGTTGATACTCCAGCCACGTATAAAAATTCCAGGTCCAAATAGAATCGGCACGCGGCGTCAAGGAAGGTATTTGCCCAGCATATAACCACACCTAAAGGAAATCAGCGCCAGTCTCTGAACAAAACGCTACCGTGAACATACCATAATTGTCAAATTGCTAGGGCCAAATTTGAGACGTTGCGACATTGCTACAGGTTTCCTTCATCAACGCCGTGGTCCCAACAACGAGCCAGCCAAATCCATGAGACAAGTTCGCTCTCCCCGACCGAATTTTCGCAGACTGGGGGGCCTCAATGGATAATCCTAGGGCCAAGTTTGTAGGAAGTGAAAAAATAGCAGGAAGGAAGTACAGCACAGAGTCTAACGGGAGATCAGAGAATGAGGAATGAATGCGAAAGAACGTGCATACCATGTCCGGCAGCTATCTCAGGGCTTCCAATGAAAAAGTTGTCGACCATCTCGGTAAATATAGCAGCTTGGCTGGGATTATACGAGGAATCCTCGCTGGGATCGCGCGCCTCTTTCTGAGGGTACTCATGCCGACTGAAATGAGTAGATATGAAGGCAAGGATAGGGGTGCTGATACGAGCTGCCTGGTAGTATCATAGTCAGAGAAATAAACATTCGGTGTCAATATACGCACCACATCCAGATCATATAGCATATATCCATGTCGTCCAACCGTGTACTGCGATAGGGCTCAAGAACGTTGATGGGTAACGTCCCGATGCCTAGTTGACGATGGTATTGTCATTACCAGATATACAGGTTTACCGGATCCTAAGCGCTGAGAATATGGCAGCGATATTCATGGCTACAGAAAAGCTGAGGCAAAGTCTTCAAGTAACTAGAAAACGCACACACCTGATAGATTCTCGAATGCCACTGCTACGAGTGTGGTAGGGAACAATGCGACTGCTGGAGGCCTAAGAGCAGCATCATAGGCGAGATGTCATTATCGAGGGCAGCGGTGGTGGTGGCAATAGAAGGGAATTTGAATTATGAAATTTATTTCCACTTTTAAACATGCGATGCCGGCGGCACCTTACTCCGCTTTATCCCGGACACTTTTCCCCCTGATTCATACCCTGATTCCTGTCCGCTCGGAGATGATAGATCGGAGCATGGACGGATGCTCGATTATGCGTAGTGAGCTACAGTATATCTTCCTCAAACCGGATTGATCTAATTTTTACGGTGAATAGCAACATTACAACATTGGTTATACGACTAGGAGGAACAGACTCAAGTCTTGCCAATACCCGGCGCATCCATCTCTAATTCAATATATACATAATACGAGGCGACGTCGAACACAATCGCTTTCAGACATGACATTCAAAATCCCCCTTTGAATGATCCAACTTATCGCCGAAAGAACCAATGTGCCGGAGCGGGATACCAATGTTCCGAGTCTGAATGACATGTTATTAAGGACTAGACAATATAGCTAGGCGCATGCACATACCGTCTCGTCAGCATTGCCTTCGGAACTCTGCGGCGTAATCCGGAGAACAGCGGGAAGTGAATTCCTACCATCCTCTCCTGCTCGATTGGTAAAATGATGCTCAGATCGGGAATTGAGCCTAGTTGAAAGGTAAGCTACAGGCAATCGTATCAAGTAAATGACGTACATGGCAAGCAGCGAGTTTATGTAGACTATGAACATAGTAATCAGTGATTATTCGGGGGTATCACATGGACGATGAATAAGACTGACGCTTAGATAGAACGAAATTGATCCCAAGGAAAATCAACGATTCCGGCCACACGAGATACTGTCACATTGGTCAGATCCTGAGAATGGGATGGGGTACAGCTGAGAAACAACGGACAGAGATGAGGGTAAGCAGCGACCATGCGCTATCATCAATGAGGGACAATTTCGGTGAGTTAAAAGCGGACGTCTTCACCTTGTAACCAGCCCTGATATAAGAACGAGTCGCATTAAACGGAGAAGCACATCTGCTGTGCTGGTACGACTATATCAATAAGACCTCAAAGGCCTCGAGAAGGGAACAACTCACGAAGAGAACATCATACGTCCTCTGCTCTGGTACAGGTAATAGGTCATCGGAAGGGCTATTATCACATCCGCAGCCGCAATTGTAGCGAAGAAGGTGCAAATTGATCTCTAAAGTATCTGCATTGGTATCCCCGGACGGCTAGAGCATGGAATAACATACTTTGATGTTGGAAGCAGATGCAAGATTCGGCGTAATATGGCTGTTGAGGATTGCTCCAGGTGAGGCAGGCAGCTTGAAAGTCCACTTACATGCTATATACCACAACTGCGGCTTTCTTGTCAGTACAGATAGATGTAGCGAATTAATCAGTTCCTACATATCGTCGTACCTAAACGACACAGAATTAGTCAAATCCCCGGAACAAGCAGAACAGTTTTATCACCAAGTGAAGCAACCACGGCCAAGGCCTATCTGATGGTAAGCAGGGTAACACGTTCTGTTATGAATAATGCTTACCACAAACCAAGGAAGAATTTTGTGAAAATGACGTCCGACTGCGAAAGAAATAAGCAAAGGAAATATCAACCGCCGCTATCGCAAAACACGAACGCTTCCATAGTCGGACAGCATATAGCCTAATGATCGTAAATGTAAGAGCACCTTCTGCATATACATGACGAGGACCGCACCCTTGGACATACACAACAAGGAAGTCCTAATAGGAACAGTGTTGAGTCGAGATAGAGAAGCACAAATAGTACGCCTTGACAACACACATTCAGAGACAATTGCCACTGAGTACGTCATTAGAGATATTTATGAGCAGGACTCAATATAACTACCTTCATACTCCTGTCACAGTGGATCTTCAATGTTTTTGACATTATGTCACTCTCTGAGAACGTACCACAGGTCACTTTCTAGATCACCAACCAAATCGCCGAACATAGTAATCAGATAGAAATATAGGGCGTGGGCGCTCAAAGCAACATGAAGAGTGTCGAGGACCCTGTCAAAAAAATTCAATCAATCACCACGTTCGACGAACATAATTGAACGAACCAAAGTAGTGCTACCTATCCCCAGGGCTTCAGCATATTGCCAACTCTGAAAATTTTTCGACGTACAGAATACCGATAAACCCACCAGTCGTTGGGATATCTCTTGTAGTAAATGACCCCCTGTAAATTCGTTATGCCATACAAACTACCGAGTGAATGAATGAACGTCGAAAGGTATCTCTCGAGTAAGCAAGAAAACCTACATGGACGCTATGTTAGAGCCGAGGTAGAGTGCACCTATACTCTCGCCGAGGGACGGAATAGCTTTCGAAGAATGCGAAGACATTGTGGGTTAGGGGGAAGGTGTAGCATGGGCCGTCCCTGCGACGTGTGTTCATCTTATAGATGGATAGGCCGACTCATCACGACACCAAGTACTACCGCCCAATCACCAACCTTACTCAGTGTCGATAGAATCACATCTTAGTCCTTGATTTTCTGGTCTTAGCACTGGATGTAAGCCCCAGCGCTGTTGTTCATAATTCTGAAAGAGGATCGTTAGAAGCAGTCATGCCGAGGGTATGGGAAATCGTTACCTTATTCCTTTCCGATAATCTTGTTTCGACGAAGGATGCTGTGAAAGTTCGGAGGATAATCTGATGGCAGCTGAGATAGATCATTCCCCCCTACAAAATCAATAGCGTGGTAGACGCCAGCGCACTCTTCATCTGTTGATACTTTCATTTTACCTGTGACTCGTGATTCATGTATGAATTTTATGATGACACGAACACAGCACGGGCAGTGTTGTAAGTTGATGCGCGGAGATGGATGTATACATCTAGCATCTGTGTATGTGTTTTTATTGCGAGTCCCTACTTGTGTTTGATTTAACATTGTTAGTACGACGGGAATGCGCCAGGGTAGCAGGAAAAGGCTGATCATGAACCGCGATAGCAGGGCTGATGTTATCGAATTTAACATGAGTGCAAACGCACATAATATGGTCGACTCCGTTTAAAGTCCGAACACTCCAGCTATCGATGCCTTTCTTGCCGTTTGCAGAACAATAGGATACACCTGAAAAGTCGGAAAAAACAAATCTATTCCGAATAATCACTGATACCCATCATGGTCCATACGCGGTCTGCTTATCGGATCTACTATAAATACGTGGTAAGTTATCCAATATAGATCTCTCTTTCTCCCATTACCATACACTCACCCTCCTTTTACACCATAGCGAACTCGACTCTCGATCGCTTATCCCCAACGACGTGAGCCGAGTCTGTATTATTTTGCGAAGGTACCCCACTGTGGATCTCAGAAAGAGGTATGCTGAACCCATCCTGCTGGCGTGGCCTTGAGTTAGTCGCTCTACATGGAAAGGGACCCGTACCTTTACATCCCCCGCGCTAGCACCGCCGGCGGTGGGCGTGAGGCGAATGATATTGGAAAATGAAGTGGGTTCTGACAAAGCGGCACCACTTCCGGTGTCTGTTCCTTGGATCCGTTTCCGAGCATTCAGCCTAGTACCGATATGAGTCAGTCGGATACAGCAGAGATGATGGCAACATACATCGATAACAGGGAGTTAACGTAGACTGAATTAGCGTGAGATGACTGATTTATCCCTTGACGACAACCATTGACAACGTACGCTTTGTAAGGAGAAACTCGACTCCGAGAAAGACGAGGGTATTAGGTAGGACGATGTACTGAATAGGACATGAGGCCTGCCCTTGGAAATGGGGACCGGAAACTTACAGTGACGAGTGCAACGGTCGAGCACGCACTGTCATCAAAGGCGTTAGTGAGAAACAAGCACCGAGTAGCCTATCATGTTCCTACCTAGTGGCCAAGCCGGACATCAGGACAAACCACATCAATACGAGTAATCGTGAGTTGGTGCTATAGAATTCCATTCGTTAGTACGTCTCCCATACCTGCAAGATAGTTCTATCACCTTGAGAATTCCGAAACTGAGCGGCTTTTATGAAGATAATAACACATAGCAAAGGAGATGAAGAAGTCTATCCCGGTAGATGTGGCAAAGGCAGTCTCAATAGCCCACTGATGTTTTACAGGTTATTTTTGGCGGCAAAAGGTGTAAACCGGGGGAAGAGCTTACGCCCATTGAGGCCAAATCAGTGAACGTTGTGATTGTGTATCTGGCGGCGACCGCATGAGACTCTGAAGAGAGGTGAGAGAGCCGACACACGAACGTTTTGTAAACGAGCACTGGGCGCTCCCTTAGCATGCTGTTCGGTATCTATAAGAAGAACGGACTCACATATGCCCACTGCTGAAGAAGGAAATAACAATAAATTCGAAGCGCTGATTGAGTTGTTGGGAACGTGCACCCACCAAATCCGCATGCGACCACGAATATCTACATAGCAATCAGAAAGGGCTGCAGCGTACTGGGAGGGAGAGCAGACGTACGACAGTCCAAGGAAGAAACCGATGGAAATGGCGCCCGACTGCGTGGGTGGAGTCAGTGGGAGAGTGCGAGCCTGAGGAAACGACCTACACTTCCATAGTCGTACTGCGTACAGGCTGCGAGAGAGGGCGTGAGTTGGGAAGAGATGAGAATGAAGAAGTGATACCTCTGTACGAATACGATAATAACGACCTACTATTGGCTCAATAAAAGCTGACCGAAGAACGATTAGACTGACGTTGACTAGAATTTGAAGCTTGCGGAAACGACCGAGGATCAAAGTCAGACAAGGAATACGTCGCCAGGATGAGAATGGCGTACTTTGAAGCTCCTGGAAATAAGGGTGTGAGAAACAACATAACCGGTGAAAATATAGACGAACCACACAATGTTCCCAAGGGCGACATAATCGCCGAACAAATCCACCGTATAGTGGTAGATAGCGTGTATCGTTAGACTGAGATGCAACGCATCGAGAATCCTTAAACATATTCGTTCAAATACGGCACAGGTTGCTCTTAAACACACATACCAGATTATAGCGACCTGCGAAAAGCAATCAGGAATTGATCTCATTGGGCGGCAGAATAGTTTACGTACAGAATAGCGATAGAGTCGCCAGTCATTCGGGTAGTCTCTGTAGTAGATAAAAGCCTGGAGGACGGTAATTCCAAATAATCTGGTCCGGATGATATGTGAGCTCCTATGGGTCCCAAGATCGGCGAAAGCTTGACATACAATGACGAGAGCATGGCACCGACATATGCAGCACCAATCGTTGTTCCCAGCGACGGGACGACTACTGCCGCCGAATCCATGGTAGTGGTGAGAAGAAGAGAAGAAAAATGCAAGTCCGTAATCCCTAATCCATTATATAATTCCGTATGCTCGCGCGTCGAGCAGGTGATATCTTCCAGAAAAGGCTTCGGGGCTATTTTTGCTTGCAGATGATGCGTAAGCCGCACTTGGTGACGTGGACTTTGAAATTTTTCTTTTGCTGTTCGGGAGCGCTGGCGTGTGAACGACCATAATACTATCCAGAGGGACCTGGTCGACTAGCATGAGAGGGCAATATAAATCTTGGTAATCGTCTCGCATCTCCTCTATGTTCAGGGCATAGTAACGTTAAGGTGTCCCTGGACCTGCATTCAATCAGTTCTCGATACGGGATCTATCACTTGCTGATCAGTAGACAACGTACTAATAGATATGATGCACATGACACCGTCCGTAGCCGGGCCTAATGCACGCGGATGAAGCCAGCCCAAGGAAAGAAGCATTGAGTAAAGTAAAATGAATAGTAGAAGTCACGAATTTGTTGGCAACGGAACTGTGTTCACTAGAATCTGGTCCATAGTACCCGAAAGGCTGGTGATTCTATTAGTAGTTGTCCCAGTCCTCGCAGCTTTCACCGAAGCCTCTTTATTCTCGGACATGGTTTCAAGGAGCGGGAAATCGTGGTACTTGAATCCTTCTCCCGGTATTCCTCGCCCCACTAAACACGCCGTCGGCCACTTCTAATATTACAGTTATCATTTTCATTGAAAGACTAAAGACGGAAGATAAGAGCATGGATGATGGGTATTTCACGATGCTCACCATCTGTAGTCGTTCGGAATCATGATCCGTGATACGCCGTTGGTCCCCGCCATCGCGGGTTTCCATAGTGGGGCAAGATAGGTCGTCATATCCAACATTGCTTCATCGGCGATGTCGTCTCAACCTTGGCGTCGCCATGACAAGCTCATCGAAAATTCCAGCTGTGATGTAGTGACCTGGTCTTCACCAAAGATGTTTCGGAAAGGTGTCGCACTCAACAGCCTTCGGTCGAGATAGTGCACAGGGGCTGAACGAGTGTTAGAGACCAGAAGATCAAATTTAAAAAAACGGAAAATGTGCGTACCCAGCCAGGGACATAGCGAGGATTAGGAGAAGTGATGGACGTCTTCAAGCTTCAAGCTTCAACGTCCACACACCTCACTATCTCTCAGGACTACAGCTGTACGAGGTGCACATTGAAAACGCCTAGCAGGATACGGCGTTGGGTTTTCGGACAGGATGGTCGTAACAATCCAGGATACGGATCTCTGCTCGCCAGGAGCATACGATCAATGATTCCGTGCTTCTTCCCGAGGATTCCATTTTCCTGCCGATGAAACGAGAGCGGTTTCCTCAGTTCAAAGATGGTAGCACCTACACGTGCTGTCTGTAAGACAAAAATTAAAATTCAGTGTCGATAGAAGGCATCAGTTACGCACCATGTCCAGCAATACTATAGCATACATCCATCTTTTTAGCGCGTCAAATGACATGAGGCGCTAGATATAATAATCGGTGACCTTCCAAGGAGATATTTTTTGGAAATGGACTTACCATTACACGAGTATACGTGCATGGGATTGTAAATGTCTTGATGTTTTTGTGATAATGACTGCAAGAAAAACTTGAAGCTTTCATCGAGTGAAATTGCTGCAGGGATCACAAAGTTAACAGGAGAGCCGTGGTATCTCGAGATCCACACCGTCGTCTTCGCTGGCAGTGTCTGTGACAGTGGTGGTGGTTCAAGGAAATCGAATATGAAATTGATTTCTGCTTTTGGGCATCCGGTGCCGACGGCAGTTTAGAGACGCACGGTACAGCTTCGACACAGCCACTGCCGACTCGGATGACCTTTACCTTCTTACAACCTACCGAGCTTCAAGTTGGCTAGACTGGTGTCCATTACCATCTTCCCGTGTTATCCTGTCACTTGCACTGTCACTCAAGGTTTTATCCTGTTGGGATTTGGCAATCCGGCATCATGCCGAAGTTGCTTATTAAGGTAGAAGTCTTAGGAAAAGCGTGGAAGATTCTAGTAAAATAGTATTTAGTATAAAAGTAGGTACTATGTAGTAGATCCTCATGCGTTTGCAGAGCCCAGCCAAGCGCAATACTATTGGCTTGCTACCGCGCATGTGACACTGGGAACGAACCGATACCCCGTTTTCCAACATATCCAACGCCCGTTTGTCGACTGCGGCATGTTTTACGATGTGAAACCACCGGAAAAGGGAATTACCAATTAACATTATTCGGAAACCAGTGATTTCCCAGTGATCCCTTCCCGCTGCTATCAAAGTATGTTTTCTGGAGCCATGCGTATTGCATTGTCTCGTACAGCGTACATCATTTCATCAAGGCGGAAATATATAAGTCAGGTCGCCTCAAAGTTGCTTCCCTTGAACCAGTGCCAGTTCACATCTCAATGCTGAGATCCGAAAATTCAGAACTATGATGCGGTAGCGTCAACACTGAATAAGTTGATCGTTTGACCATGGTCATGGATCGTGATGGCTTCATCTACCTATATATTGACTGAACCAAACGCCCACACTTCTCTTCAGTCTGCAATGTCTTCACAGCCTTCAAAAGCAATTCTTGGGGAGACACTCGGTGCTCTCTATCTAGGAGCAACCATAGCCGCCGTGTACGTGACTTTCCTTTCTCGCAAGAGTGCTGTGTCATTTATTCATTTCTAGTTTGTTCGGGATAACGAACCTGCAAGTGGTCATCTACTACAAGAAATATCCCAATGACTGGTGGGTTTGCCGATACTCTGTGTGTTAAACTTCCTTCAAATGCGACATTATGCTGAAGCCTAAGTGACAGGTAGCGCTACTCTGGTCTGTTCGCTGATGCCCATTCATTGTGGCGGCAAATTGATATCATTTCGTTTCTCAGGATCTTCGATGCACTTCACGTCGCCTTCACTACGCATGCCCTGTATTTCTTTCTCATTGATATGTTCGGCGACTTAGAAGGTGCCCTAGTACATAGCGTGTGGTATGTTCCCGTCGAAAGAACTTTACATTCACTGAGATTATGACGCAGGAGCTTCAGGGTGACTTGCTTGCGTTGGGATGATGAATATCGCTAACAGAAGTTTGTATACTCAGGTACAAATAGCTATAAATGTAAGTCGCTAGACCTCACTACCTTGATTGTCTAAAAGTGTGCCTCGTAGGTATTGATCGTCATATACGTTCAAGGGTACGGACGATGTTGTGACTCCAGGGGCGGCCAAAGTCTTATGGTTATCTTAGGTTATATGCCGTCCGGCTATGGAAACGTCCATATATTGGGTAGTCGTGCCGATCGATACTTATCAGGCTTACCTTGTTCATAGTTGGGCGGCATTTCCACCAAATTTTCCCATGGTTCGCGGTGAGTATACGTTTACATCAACTAGTGTCATACTCTCGTTTACTATTCGACAGTCTTTGGCCGTGGCTGCCTCACTTGGTATCACAGTCACATTTTTTTCTTCTAGTATCAGGACTGACTGCGCGCGCCATCCATCTAGGTGCCGGAATATGTAAGTCGTTGTTCGGTCGTTCTTTCATGTGGTGGTTGATAACAATGTCGTAGTCATTACCTATGACACGTAGGCAAATCTTTACACGTTCTTAGACCTTTTGGAATCATTATTCCCGACAGATTTGCGGTGCCGAGTTTCTTTTCCATCTCTGCCATGAAAGTATGTGATGCCCATCCCTCTAGATGGTTATTAATACTCACCCAAACAATGCAGACATCGATCTATACCGCTTTTGTCACGCTCGCTACGACAGATTTTGTCATAGCCTTTATGATGTGTTATTACTTGCACAAAAGCAGAGCAGCTACGAATTTCTCTACGTATGTCAGTTCATCCTTGAAGTCGTCCGAGGTTTCTGAATACACTCGCACTAGCACGGCCTCCCTCCTTCTCAATCTAATGCGACTTGTTCTTGTGTCAGGCTTGGCTACAAGGTAATAATGGCTTTGTATTTCTGCGTGAAACCTGACAAAGCCGTCGACAGTGCATGTTCACTTCTCACACTGATCTGCGTTCGTCGTTCTCTCAAATTAATCACATCCAAGCATCTCAAAAATATCTGCAGTACATCGTGTGGCCGGAATCTCTGATTTTCTTAGGGATCGATTTCATCCTACCAAAACGTCGGTGTCGTTCCTTATACATCAAAAAAGACTAATATATTCCTTCAGTATACGTCAACTCTCTGCTCGCTATGTACGCCATCTTCTCAAGTTTCTTACCTGAGACTTAATTTCGCTAGGTTCAATTACCGACCTGAGCGTCTTGAATCAAACAAGGTAAACACGGAGCGGGGAGGGCATTCTCCTCCCGCCGTCCTCTGTATCGCACCTCACACTTCAGAAAGCTCTAGTGAAGAGATGGTATGTGCGCTAGTCAGATCATCACATTGAATACTTATCAAGTACTTCTCTCAGAATATAAGCATTCCGCTGTCTGAGATACAGGACATTCGCATTTTCCAGGACAAACTCGATCGTTCAAAGGGAATTATCGGCTGTAACCAAGGATATCGGGAATAGTTTGGGTTGACGCGTGACTTTGTTGTGTATTTATTGAATTCGAAGGGTCGAATGCACCTAGCTTTCCCGAGGTTCCAAGTATGACTCGTGTTGCTGACACGATAAATGATGCCGGAAAAGGCCGGAAAGATATAATGGTTGTGTTTAATAGTTGACTAAGATATGATAGTCATATTATGAATCGTTTGTGTGGGGGATCTGAAAGTCTCATGAGATTGACAGAGCTCTAGGCAACCAACAACGGTGGTAAACTCTCGTCGGCATCGCGACAATGTAGTCATGACGTCACGCGTCGAAACGCCCTACTCTCGATCGTCACATTGCGAGCTGAACTGGGTGCTGGTTGTTTGTTAGGGTAAATTTAACAAGGAATGATTCCCACCTGCTCCTGAGATACTTAACATATATCTATAGTCATGCACAATAAAGCCGAAATCTGCGAAATCTGAGGGCAGGGCCCAGGCATTTGTCTTAGAATTGACCAGACATTCCGAGGACCGGCAGGATGGTACCGCGAGGGATTGTTCTCTGTGTGGACCGAATCAGTATGGAGGAAGAGCTGCTTAGGAGACGACAGTAGCCAGGGTTGAGACAGAGATGACAGTTTACTCTTTTGGAAGCTCTTGTTCATTATGGGGAAAATGTCCTGTCTTAATTACATAGATAAAATGTAGACTTCTCGTATCATATATAGACACGTACTAGAAGAACAGCTTTTACCTTAAGACCCAAAGAAGGCAACACGAGCCTTCCCGTCATTGATATAATCTTTCCCATCCAACAAAAACTCTATGTTCATCCCTCTCTCCTTCATCCTAAGCAAATTCCGGAACGGCGAATCATGCGAGACAGGAAGAGTCATCCATTCGTGGTCACCCCGGGACGAGTCGAATGACACCCTCAGTTTTTCTAACCGACCGCCGCTGTCTCCATCAGCCCTCGAAAGGATCATTGCATAAAATTGATCTGCTTCTTCCAAAAGGCAAGCTTGCGTGAGGGTTCTTGGGGCCTCTGTGATACACGGTTCCTTTAAATTGGGGGCCATTCCCTGCTCAAGAGACAAAGCTTTGAAGATGTCCTTCACTATATCTCTCCTCAGGAATATGTTGAGCTTGTGGAGGGTAGGGGATTGCGCGAGCAAGGGGATGAGGAGCGAGTCGACAGAGATGGGCGCGGAAAATGTGAGGACAGTCAGACTGCATTGGGACCGACGGAAGAGATCATGTAGACGAAGGTACTCTGTGGTGTCGAACCACACCATATCGTAACCATCGTGCTGTAGGATTTCGAAGTGTTTGAGTGCAGGGAAGGATACGTGGTCAAAGATGGAGGGAATTTTGGAGAAGGAGCGGGACCAGTTCTCCATGGTTATGACGAATGAGAGTCGTTCGAGTGAAGTGTGACAAGTATAGGGGTAGCTAGTTGATGGAATGTCAGATACGAAATCAGAGCGAGCTTGACCTGGCGTTATGACGAATTCAACCAGTCGTTTTGCGTTCCGGAAAATCGAATGGAGTTCGGCTGGATCGTAGGAGTATGTGCTGAACTTTTGGAGTTCCGTTATGTTTATGGGTGCATGCGAGTAGGGGATACATTCGAGGTGCAATTCTCGGATGGGTGACGATGACAAGAGGTCTAACACGTGTGGTCTGTGCTCGACCAGGTTGATCTCAAATGGACCGGTTAGATTGATACTAAATTTCTTCAAGTTGAAGGCCAGGAATGATGCGTAGGACAACAGTTCTTCGATCCATCCCGCGCTCATCTTTAGCTCCAAACTTGACCAGAGTTCCGAGTGTATTAATATGCCGTGGATAAGCTCTTTCAGTTCTTTTTCAGGGCGTTCGTCTAAGGACAAGTGGACGGGTGCATCGTCTAAGAGAGAGATGTATTCTTTGAGGAACGTAAGACGCTTGCTGGAGGATTCCGTTAGGTGGAGATTTGCCCATAGGGAGGGAGAAGAGCGGGAGATGTTACGCCAGGTGGAGCAGACGTGACCAAGGATCCACGGCACTTCGAACGGATCAGGAATATGAGAAGAAGCCAGGCTGAATATCTGAAGCAGTATCTCTGCAGGCAAAGATCTTATTGGTGCCAGAAGAGCTTTGCAGCTTCCGAGATTCTTAACGAGATTGTTGTAACGGTCTCTGAATTTTATGAAGAGGGGCTCGATATTTTGTAGCTCATGTTCAAGATGGGATATGTCGTTCAGAATGGAGGGGACGTCAAAAGATGAAGATCCGGACCGCAAGAGCTCAGTAGCATCGACGGAGGGGGTGTATTGGTGTATTGCGTTGAATTCGCAGTTAGAGCAAGTATCCTGGTGATTATATTGGTTAACAGAGGGAAATATGGACAGAAAGGAGTCATACCATGTTCAAAGAAAGCAAACTTGGCAAGAAATCTCAAACATGCGAGAGAGATACAGATAAAAAAATAAGATTTGAAGTCTGCCACCAGTTGAGCATGATGTATAGGATTGAGCTGGTATCCCACCTACAGCTGTTTTGAGTTAGGAGTCAAATTCGTCGCAGACAGTGAACGTTAGGACAAAGGCTGATTGACGGCGAGTCAGAAAATGTGTTATGGATATTGGGTATCCACTGATTCGGTGCATGAGTCAACACATGCCCGAACTCGGCCTTCTCGGTCCTAGTAGTGACTCGCTCATACTTTCTCTTACTTTCTCTATTCTTCGTATTGATACTAGAATATTATGGAACATTATAGAATAATAATGACTCTAATCTTTCCTTAGTATATAAACTCGTAGGTAACATTGTATTGAAATACTTGATCAATCTACTACTTCCAGTACCCTCACACTGCATGAACCCTCAGTTACGCCTAGCGCTTGCTGAACAACCCATTGGATACGCCTAGCGCTTTCCAATACCAACCCGAAGGTTACGCTTAGCGCTTGCCTTCACCCACGGCCCGTAATAGCTTCGCGCTTACAGGCTTTCTATATCGGTAATTGCTCCGCACTTACCGGCCACTTCCCTCAGTAATTGCTTCGCGCTTGCTGATTTCCTTTATTTCGCAAACTGGACCACTCAGGTCTCCTCACGAACCCTCGCCGGAATCCAATATATTCTCTAACGACGTACATCATTCCTAATTAATCTTACCTCATTTCGATCACTACTCCTCGCCTCGTGCTCGTATATCCGGATTTCGGCAGATCCATAACAAAATGTCTTAAAGAGGGGGCTCTTTCTCACGCTTCTTGTCGGTCCGGAACAAACCGGATAGTTTCGCCTTTTGCAAGGAAGACCTGTGAGTGTCTCAGAGCTGATATTGCAAAACTGGAGACGGGATTGTGAAAGTATGAAACCTGATTGATGCTGGATTGATTGGGAAACACGGCTACATGCGGCCCGGGAGTCCGGAATCCCAGAATGGATGCGAATTTGATCTTCGACTCTGAACCACCACTACCATCACCGCCGTCAAAGAGGATAATGTCGTCCAGGACGTTGTGGCGGCCGCAGAGAAACGATGAAATACTACTTTCCATGCGTCTAATCCGCGCTGTGAAACATGAATGGATTGTATGCGTCCGTTTTCTCTTTCTTCATGTCCTTCTCTTACCTTACATACAGCGATGAAGCCGCAAAATGTGCGGCGACAGCGACTGCTTCCATGAGCGCCGGTATCCACCCCAATAAATGTATCTTAAATTTGAGGCTCCATTCCTCGACGGCCTAGGTATCGCGTCATATCGGTATGTATGCTCGTTTTCCAGCGTTCGCCTTTGACATTTTGAACGACATCTAGCTAGCTTCTGTCGCGTCTTCCGCCCCTCACCTTTGGTCCCTGCTGTTTGGATTTGCGTGACGCGAAGAGAGTGGCCTAGGTACGTTCATATATCCCTCTTTCTCGTACCGATTTCTTATGCGTGCATATTCGAGACCGTTTCTGCCCTTCTCTTGTAGGAACGTCAACAGGGTTTTTTCAATGTCTCGTCAACATTTGGTTCCCCAGCACATTTTAGGCCTCAGGGTATACCGTTTGGCCCTGGTGCGTACTTGTCTTATTTTTTGCGGGGTGTCTTGACAAGTGCCTATGCAGCATCGCCCGCCTTTCCCGACACATTATCTCTCGGACGAACATTCTTCTTCTGAAGACGGTCTTTCCATGGCAATCGACTCACTTAGTGACGGATAGTAATTGCAACTTGTAATCTATCGCGCTGCAAAATCATTCGAGGACAGGCGCCGCGCTAGCAGAAGCCTTGACTGCCATTATTTTCGCTGTATAGCAGCTCCAGGAGCCTCTGGAGTGTATGGGTACGTTCTTGATGGTCGCCTTTCCCGGCAACTTTGACCTAGAGACAGATTGTGCGTTCAAATCTAACCCATCCACCCTCTATACAACTACGATCAACCCGGCGGTCGTTCTATCAGTTATTTATAAGCCGGCGCATCTCACTCTGTCTCGTTGATGCGCGTGGGACCATTGATTGTTGCTGTCCAAGGGCTCATCGAGGCTTCGTTGCCGTACCCAACGCTGATCGTGAGTTGCATACTACCTTCGTTTGTTCTGTATCCTGATTTGCTTGGTAGAACCTATGCCAGTGCTCTGCCGACTCTAATCAATGTAGATTTCAGCTTTTCCTCTCGCCGTCCTACCTGAACACGTTACCGATGCGAGCGTTGCCGGCGGCTCAGCGGCGACGATTTCCGGCGCTCGTCTTCAGAGTTGTCGATTGGGCAGAAGAAAAAATGTCACCGTCATTTCGCCGACCCCTCCCGGCCGATTGGAAACGTTAGGTATATCTATTTACGATCCTATTTTTTTTTTCGTCTCATAGCTCTGTAGTCATAGCGATGCCCCAGAGGCGCGAATTGCTATGTCGATAGATACTAAAGATTGGCATCAAAGGCAGCTGTCAAGGTTTACAAAGGGTTCTGGATCAAAGCATCTGTGGCAGCCTGCTTCTTGTACGTTGGATCTCAATGCATTTCTTAACGTTTGTTGATTCCTGCATTACGCTTAGATATGTTATACATGGATGGCAAAGATCACATGTATTTTCTGTGAAGCCAGGTACAAAACCGATAGGCCCCCGATTGGCTCCAAGTGTCGACATGGTGCCAGTACGTTCAGCGTCCTTGCTGTATCTTCCAAAGTCTGATGTTTCAAGTAGGATCCCACTGCGGCGACGATTAATGATCCTTCGGCGCTGTGATGAACTTCGCTTTTCTCACTCGGCCGCGAATTTTGTGATTGGCAACATGGTCTCAACTAGTACACCCTAGTCGGTTCTATTAGTGATCAACTTCAAGGCTGATGTTCACTGGTACGTTCGGCGCCATTTTCTGCTTTGTTCAAAAGCCTAATAGAGATGCTACTTTTCAGATCCAACCAGTGACGGCCAGTGGCGTGCACTACCTACAGCCTCGTATCTGTCAGACATCGACTGGTATTGTTTACGCGGTTGCCGAGACCGCCTGCATATGAACGTTGTTGCGTAATGCCCCACCTCAAATGACACTGGTTCGCCCTCCGACGGTTTTGTGTCGCTAGCGAGTGTTGCGTGATGTGCTGTGGCGGACGACCTGGGTTCGTTCGCGTCCAACTTTCAGACAAATGTACCCTCTTCCTGTGGCCTCCTTGGGAACGTCCAAGCCACACCGCTTGCTTCTCTCATCTTCATCTCGTTTACGTCACTAGTCGAGTGGAAGATGGCATTGGACCAGACGCGCAGAAGATCATGTTCCTTCAAGAACGATTGACAAGCATTTACCTTACGGGATACATATTCGTCCCGGATGGTCTCCCCGTTCGACAGCACTCACGTACATCTGTCCAACGCTGTCCGTACAGCCCGCCTGTAAGTTACCTCGTCGAAGAGTCAGCATCCATTCTCCGGTTCAATGTAGATCACCGGGCAACGGCCACCATCAAATGTATTGTCCTCCACAGCTCGACCATCACTACCTTTACCCGGGAGTCCTCCCGCGAAGCAGTGTCATCACCTGCTGTGCTTTTATCCCCGCCTTTTCCGGGTTCATAGGTTGATCGGGTTACTGGCATATGGCACGTCCTTTGACAACGACCGTAATCGTACATGGACGGTCTCCTCCACCCATCTAGCCGCCACCCGCACGTTCTCGTGTACTAAGCGCGAGAAACCTGGTAGTGCAGCCATGGAGGTGCTGGTCGCAGTCGTGCGGAAGGTAGCAGAGGTTCGGGTTGCGCTGTTAGGAGATGTGTCCCTGTCATCACTGGCCATCCTTGTTATCGGTATTGCGAGACACTTTACTCTCGCTGGGCGTGCCACCGAGCGATTGACGCTGTTCGAGAACTGATGCTGGCCTGCGTTGAAAAGAAGTGGCTTCGTGTTGAAGTTCTGCTTTGTTTGAAGGAATTGCGACTTCGGATCCTAGAACACCAGTCGGATGCATTAGGATAGTTAGTATCCATCGTTTATGGTCTCAGGGAGCACAAAAGAAGCAATATTACGAACCCTCCCTCACCGTCTACCTAGCAAACCACGATCAATTTACCTTCTGCCTATCCATGCTTCCCACAACGTAAGCTTTTCCCTTCATGTATCCCGCGATGTACTAATTTTGCGCTGTATGCGTAGGAACCGACGGCGGTGCGATCGTCCATCATCCCCAATGGGAAGGCGTCGCCGTTAGTGTGGTGATAAATGGACGCTCTCAGCAGACAAGTACCGCATGGTCACTGTCACTCCTAGGCTTCATTGACCACGTTCTGTTTACCGTCGACGGTTTGGTACATACCCATGCACGCTATTATATTGCTGTATAAGTGAATTATGGATTTGTGCTGTGTCTACTTTTGATCGATACTGAAACCATCATGAAATGACAATGTACGTAGCAAGCAGGAGTTAACAGATTGCGACCGATTTACGGGTAATGGACGGGACTGACGTTTGGATAGGACAAAGTGAATCCGAAGGAAAATTAAGACTCTGGCCACACGATGTCCTGTAGATATCAATGAGATGCATGATCCAGACCAGGTTGAGAGACAGCCAACTGAAATGAGCGTACGGAGGTAACGTGCACTGTTGTTTTCGTCAGAAGCACTCTCGTAGAGATCACAGCAGATATCTTCACCTTGTAGCTAACCCTGATATGAGAACAAGTCTCATAAGACGGAGGAGAATCGGGGTAGCCGTTCTAGTATGAGTATAAACAAGACTTTGAAGTTCTTGGAGAGGAAACAATTCACAGAGAGAAATCTGTTATCGCTCTACTCTTGTGAAGGTAATAGCACATTGGGACTGCTATAATGAAATTGTTGGAGTTTAGGTGGTGGCGACTCGGAAAGAGGACGTGGTTGACTCGAAAGGCAGGTATATTCTGTCGTAGGTACGGAGACAGTGGGTGGTCGGAGTCAAGATACGATAGGTACGAAAATGTCAAAGTAAAGTAAAATGGCAAATAGGTATAAATAAGATGTGGCGTTGAAGCCGTGAAATCAAACCTTCAATATAAATCGGTAGCCGCGACCGTTCAACAAAACGCATAAGTCGATTTCTGTATTATTTACGTGAGTATCCCCGCTCAACCGAGGTCACAACATCACGTACTTTGGTACTGGACATGTTCAAGAGATTTGGTATTGTACAGCTGTGGAGAGATTCAAAGTAGTATCTGCACGGGAAGACATTTGCTTACATGTCGTAGACTATAACTGAAACTTTCCCATCAGTGAAATTGGAGCGAGAGAATGAATCATTACCTACATATTCCGGTACCTAAGCCCCAAACGAAACAGAATGAGACGAAATATTGAAGGTAATAAGCGTGATTCTCTTACCAAGTGAGGCTGTTACAGCCAAAAACTATTCCGTAGTAAGTAGCAGCAGAGTCCTAGTCTGACCGCGGTTCGGTGCAGAACCTCGTGAACCCGGTTCGAACCCGAACCGCACCTTCAGGTCCAGGTGCAGTGCAGGTTCAGGTTCGCTGTAGCTATGTGGGTGCAGGTTCGAGGTTCGAACAAAGCCAGATGGGTGCACCCGAACCTGAACCCTGAACCACTATACATTTTTAACTGCTCTTATTAGGACTTTTATACATATCTTTGAGATGTCTTTCTGTACTATTTATCATTTAGGTCTATTTCTGGTGCATCTTTTCTACTTTGCACCCCCTTTGGCCACGTTTGCGAGGGAATTGAGTCATGGTTAGCGTTGGTGATATCATACTCATTGATGAGTTCACTCACATCCGGCCTTAAATGTCATTTATTGGGTGATATACTATAAGTTGAATAAATATACAGTATAATAGACATTGCTAGAACCATCCTGCCCTGCTGTACAGCATCCAGCCTCGACTTTCTGTCTGCTGCTGCATCAGGAGGTGCAAACCCGGTGCACCTTGAACCGCACCTGAACCCGCGGGTTCAGTCACATGATCGCACCGAACCGAACCTGCACCTGAGGTTCAGGTTCGAGGTTCAGGCAAAAGTGCCCGAACCTGCACCGAACCGAACCCCGGTCAGTCTACAGCAGACTAGGAATGTTTTACAGTTTTCTTACGACAAACCACGGAAAGATCTTATGAACATATCGTCCAACTATGGAAGAAGTAAGCTATACCGATACGAATCACGACTACGCAGGAGTACGAGCGTTTCCACAATCGGATGGCATACAACCTGAAAGTCACAGAAAACATGACTTAATTTTCACATTCGAGCAATATTTGACTCATACCATTGAACATACACGACCGGAAAGTCGTGTGGAGACAGCCTTAATATTTATCAATCTGAAATATTCACAAGTACAACATACATTCACAGACAATCGTAACTGTGTCAGACTGTTAGAGGTAGATCTATATTGACAGTATTCGAAAGATGACTATCATACTCCTATGACAAATAATATTCAATAAGAATGACGCCCCCGAACCTCCGAACCCTGAGATGCATGCCACTCGTCACTCTCCAGCCCACCAATTATGTTCCTGAAGATATCAATGAGATAGAAGTATATGTCACAGGTGCTTAGAGCGATGTGGAGCACATCAAGGGCCCTATGAAGGTTCCAGTGATTACAGACTACAGACAAAGAAAATGGACCAAAGCAGCGCTACCTGTCTCGAGAGCTTGTACAAAATACCAAAAGCTAAAAAACGATCGACGCACAGGGTATCGGTAGATCCACCAATCGTCGGGGTATTCCTTGTAGTAAATGAGTACCTGCCGACCCATCTGGACGCCATTGACCAAGTACGACTGCTCGATCATTAACCCTACTCAGTGTCGACAGAACCACATCCCAGTCTTTGATTTGCTAGTCTCAATACTGAACGCAATCCCCAGCGCTGTTCACAATTCCGAAAAAGGATCGTCAGAAGCAGTCATGACGAGGGTACGGGAGGCGGTTACCTTATTCCATTCCGCCAATCTTGTTTCGACGAAGGATGCTGTGAAAGTTAGGAGGATAATCTGATGGCAGCTGAGATAGAACATTCCCCCTACAGAATCAATAGCGTGGTAGACGCCAGCGCGCTCTCCATCTATTGATACTTTCATTTTACCTGTGACTCGTGATTCATGTATGAATTGTGATGACACGAACACAGCACAGGCGGTGCGGCAAGTCGATACACGGAGATGGATGTATATATCCAGCATCTAAGCGTGCATTTTTATTTCGAGACCCTACTTGCGTTTGATTTAGCATTGTGAGTCCGACGAGAATGCGCCGGGGTCACAGGAAAAGGCGATAGTAGGGTGGAGGTCTGCAATGCGCACAACGCACAGGGTATAGTCGACTCTATCAAGTCAAAATAACATTCTAGCTATTGATGTCTTTCTTGCCGTTCGTGGAACATTAAAAAAATCGAAAAAAAAGTCGGATAAAACAGCTCTAATCCGGATGATCACTGATACCATCATGGTCGATACGCGGTCCACTTATCGGACCTGCTATAAATACATGGTAATTTACCCAATAAAGATCTCTCTTTTGTTCCATTACCATACACCCACCCTCCTTTTACGCCATGGCAAACTCGACTCTCGACCGCTTATCCTCAACGACGTGAGCCGAGTCTGTATTATTTTGCGTAGGTACGCTACCGTGGATCTCAGAAGGAGGTATGCTGAACCCATCCTGCTACCGTGGCCTTGAGTTAATTCCCCTACATGGAAAGAGACTCGTACCTTTACATCCCCCGCGCTAGCACCGCCGGCGGTGGGCGTAAGGTGAATGACATTGGAGAATGAAGTGGGTTCTGACAAAGCGGCACCACTTCCGGTGTTTGTTCCTTGGATCCGTTTCCGAGCATTCAGCCTAGTACCGATATGAGTCAGTCGGATACAGCAGAGATGATGGCAGCATACATCGATAACAGAGAGTTGACGTAAACTGAATTAGGGTGAGATGACTGATTTATCCCTTGACAACAATGAACGTACGCTTTGCAAGGAGAAAGTCGACTCCGAGAAAGACGAGGGTATTAGGGAGGGCGATGTACTGAATGGACCATGAGACCTGTCCCTGAAATTGGGGACCGAAAACTTACGGTGACGAGTGCAATGGTCGAGCACGCACTGTCATCATGTTATCAAAGGCGTCAGTGAGGACCAAACAACGGGTAGTATACCATGTTCCTACCTAGTGGCCAATCCGGAGATCAGGACAAACCACATCAATACGAGTAATCGTGAGTTCATGCTACAGAATTCCACTCGTTAGCCCATCTCTCACACCTGCGAGACAGTTCTATCACCTTGAGAATTCCGAAACTGACCGGCTCTTGTGAAGGTAATAACACGTAGCAAAGGAGATGAAGAAGTCTATCCCGGTAGATGTGGCGAAGGAAGCATCAATAGCCCACTGATTTTTTTACCGGTTATTTTTGGCGGCAAAAGGTGCAAACCGGGGATAGAGCTTACGTCCATCGAGGCCAAATCAGTGAACGTTGTGATTGTGTATCTGGCGGCGACCGCATGAGACTCTGAAGGGAGGTGATAGAGCCGACACACGAACGTTTTGTAAATGACCACTGGGCGCGCCCCTTAGCATATTGTTCGGTGTCTATAAGAAGGGTGTACTTACATATGCCCACTACTGAAGAAGGAAATAACAATAAATTCGAAGCGCTGATTGAGTTGTTGGGAACGTGCACCCACCAAATCCGCATGCGACCACGAATATCTACACAGCGATCAGAAAGGGCTGCAGCGTACTGGGAGGGAGAGCAGACGTACGACAGTCCAAGGAAGGAACCGATGGAAATGGTGCCCGACTGTGTGGGTGGAATCAGTGGGAGAGTGCGAGCCTGGGGAAACAACGTACACTTCCACAGTCGTATTGCGTACAGGCTGCGAGAGAGAGGGTGAGTTTGGAAGAGATAGGAATGAGGAAGAGGTGATACCTCTGTACGAATACGACGATAACGGCCTACTACTGGGTCAATAAAAGCTGACCAAAGAACGGCTAGACTGACGTTGATTAGATTTTGAAGCTTGTGGAAACAATCGAGGATCAAAGTCAGCCAGGAGTACGTCACGAAGATGAGAATTGGGTACTTTGAAGCTCCTGGATATAAAGGGGGTGAGGAGGAATAGAGCCGAGGAAAATAGAGATGAAAACGAACCACACAACGTTCTCCAGCGCAACATAATCGCCGAACGAATCTACAGTATAGTGGTATATAACGTGTATGATGAGGCTGAGGTGTAGCGCGTCGAGAACCCTTAAACACGTTGATTTGAATGTACTACGGGGCTCTCCTAAACACACATACCAGATTATACCGACCTGCGAAAAGGAAGGGTGAATTGAGCTCAGCGGGCAGCAGACAAGTTTACGTACAGAATAGCGATAAAGTCGGCAGTCATTCGGATAATCTCTGTAATAGATGAAGACCTGCAGGACCGTAATTCCAAATAATCTGGTCCGGGTGATAGATGAGCTCCAATGAGTCCCAAAATCTGCTGAGGGCTGACATACAATGACGAGAGCATGGCACCGACATATGTAGCACCAATCGTTGTTCCCAGAGACGGGACGACAACTGCCTCTGAATTCATGGTAGTGGTGAGAAGAAGAGAAGACAAATGCAAGTCCGTAATCTTTAATCCATTATATAATTCCATATGCTCGCGCGTCGAGATGATTTCTTCCAGAAAAGGCTTCGGGGTTATTTTTGATTACAGGGCTTGGTCGACTAGCACAAGACAGCAACACAAAGTCTTGGTGATCGTCTCGGACCTCATCTGGATTCAGGACATAGCAACGTTAAGGCGATCCTTGATCTGCTTTCAATCAGTTCTCGATGCGGGATCTGCTACTTGCTGATCAGTAAACAACGTACCAATAAAGATGATGCATATGACACCGACTGTAGCCAGGCCTAATGAATGCGGATGAAGCTGGCCCAAGGAAAGACGCGTTGAGTAGGGGGAAATGAATAATAGACGTCATGAATTTGTTCTGAGTGACAGAGCTGTGTTCACTAGAATCAGGCCCATAGTACCCGAAAGGCTGATGACTCTAGCAGTAATTTCCCCAGTCCTCATGGCTTTCACAGAGACCTCTTTATTCTTGGACAAGTTTCAAGGAGTGCGAAGAAATGGTGGTACTCGAATATGTGGTGCATCTAGAGCATTTATCATCAAAAACAAAGAATCAGCTACCAATTTCCATCCGTTATTGATGTCGACACACATTTATTGCATCGTAATCAATTATTGGCTGTGGGTACTCTCAATCTGTAATATATCAATACTTTGTAACCACAGTCGCACCTAATTGATTAATAACAGCAATATACATGTGATGGCAGCGCAGATTTAGCTGAAGAAACAATAGAGTACATTGAGAGCTTAGATGCACGCCCTATATGACAAACAGCAGAATGGGAATAGGAACCAAAGATGGGAGGAGGTGCCAAGACGCAAAAGATTTTCAACAGGGATTACCTAATTTGTTGATCGACACTCGGCATAGCTCGGACCGGATGGTTGACCGCTGCGGACGCATCCAGATATCGCAAGTACTGATCTTTTTGGTGATTTTAATTCTCTACGAGTATACACATGCATGTTCTGACCATTATATAGGTCTCACATTTAGAAGATGTGACCATTGTAAACTTCTCCAGTACATGCCTGACGAATTTTCAAATTTTCATGCAAGACCGTTATTTCGATCATGGATGATTCTGTTATTTATTCTGCGCCTACATTGACGTTCTACCTGTGTAATGACTTCGAACTGACTTCAATTAATTATGTCCCTACAGTCTGTGCATAATCATTGTACTAATACTAGGATCTGACTAGCTTTGCTTTGTTTGGGTATGAGCAAACGAGGACATCCCGGACTGATCCCCTACTGGGAGCTTTGTCAAGTTCTCGTGTAAGGTATCGTTGGTACATCTAAATATATTCCCGTTTTAAGAAAACGATAGATCTCTGTAAGCTAGTCCGCTGCTTCTCCGTTGACGTTTTAATTTGATTAAAGATTCATTCTTGGCATCTTGCTAAAGGCACCGGGCGATGCAGTGCAAGCATATTCGCATTCTGAATGGGAAGACTTGTACTTGAAGTCATTCTTTGATTTGGTGCCCTGAAAGCTGTAAAAAAGGCCGATGGATCAGTGGAGGAAGGGCGCTGCCCATCTTCGTTGATGCGCACGATCACCCCAGTTGATGGATGTATGTTGATCGTAGCTTGTTGACCGGTGCTGATAAGGGGAAGAACAAACCCAGTTCTCATAGGTTATGTTCTGCACCTCAAATTTGGGTTTTCAGAAGAGATAGTACCACGTATCCTGTTCTCTGTTCTGATTGGACGTTCTCTGACGGTGATTTATGGCATTATAGAGACTATTGGACAATATGTTTTGAGCCTTGTGAGGCGATTTCCTTTTATTACGTAGGATCAAGTGATCGAAAGAAAAAATGAACATAACATGAACGAGCGAGGCATTCTCCAGGTCTAACCAGAACCGTACCCAGGGAGATATGTCATGAGCTAAAACGAGACACAGATGGTAGCTCTTAACCAGCCAACTGCGCAGCGCTTACACTTGAGGGTGACGCTACGGCCTGGGGAGTAAAATACTCAAGATACCATCTCACCAAGAGAGAACAAATGGCTCAATACGGCGAGATTTCGATTGAGGCAAAAAACATACATTGATATCATTCTCCTTCAATTTAGCCTTGGATCACCTCATAGAATCACAGCGGCTTGGCTACGAGGCACATATCCAAAACAATACCGTCGTTGCTTGCACCCAACTTTCATAAATTATGGATTACTTTTCCATGAAAACATATTTTCACTCACTACAGTATATGAGAATATATCAAAGCATGATAGATAAGAAGCATACTATACGCTACATTAAAACAGACCCATTATCCGTGAAGTTTGGATACTCGATGATCTGAGGCAACCGTCCGCAAAGATTTAAGCACGAAGACGCATAAATTTGACCTTTCTTCCCGTACTCCTCGCCCCACTAAACTCGCCTTCGGCCAGTTCTAATATTACAGCTATCATTTTTATTGACAGACTATGTAGCCGTTCAGAATCATGATTTGTGATGCGCCGTTGGTCCTCGCCATCGCAAGTTTCCATAGTGGAGCAGGATAGGTCGTCATATCCGATATTGCTTCCTTTCAACGATGTCGTCTCAACATTGGCATCGTCATTATGAGCCCGTCGAAATTTCTGCTGCAATCTAGTGACTACTGGTATTCGCCAAATATGCTTGAGAGAGATGTCGCCCTCGGTGGCCTTTGGTTGGGATTGAGGGGAGTAGTGCATAAGCGCTGAGTGGGTGTTAGAGATGAGAAAATCAGAAATAAATTCGGCAAATGTGTGTACCCATTCAAGGGCATAGCGAGGATTAGGAAAAGTAGCGTTGAATGTCTTCAAACTTCAACGTCCACACACCTCACTATATCTCAGAACTACAGATGTGCGAGGTGCGTATTCACAAGACCTAGCAATGATGCGGCGTTGGGCTTACGGACAGGACGGTCGTCATAATCCAGGATACGGATCTCTGCTCGGCCAGGAATATAAGACTGACGCAGTAAATCTGTGCTTCTTCTCGAGGATCCCATTTTCCTGCCGAATCGGATGAACCGAGAACGGGTCGTCGTTCAAGGATGGTAGAGCCTATGTATATTGCCTGCAGGACAAAAATTAAAATTCAATGTTGATGGAAAGCATCAGTTACGCACCATATCCAGCTATACTACAGCATATGCCCATCATTTTTGTGCGTCGAATGCCGTGGAGATCTAAATATGATAGTAAGTGACCTTCCAATGAGATATGTTTCGGCAATGGGCTTACCGTTACGCGAGTGTACGTTCATTAGATTGTAAATGTCTCGATATTTCTTGATAATGGCGGTAGACTGATTAGCTAGAGAAATGCTAAGAAGAAAGTGAAGCCTTGATGGAGTAAAATTGCAGCGGGACGAATAACAATGGTAACTGGAGAACTGCGATAGCCCGAAGTCCACACGTCGTCTTCGCTGGCAGTGTCGGTGACAGTGGTAGTGGTTCGTGGAGACATAATCGAATTTGAAAATTGAAGTTGACTCTGCTGACGGCAGTTTAGAGCTGCATGGCACAGCTTCGACAAAGCCACGAGATGACGGCTTTCTTATAACTACCGAGCTTCAAGCTTGCTAGACCAGTATCCATTTCCATCTCCCCGTGTTATCGTGCTACTTGCACTGTCCTCCAAGCTTTGATCAAAACTCGTCTGTGGACCATGGCATAATGATTCACGATTCGAAACCCCGAAAATTTGAATCACATTAACGCGTCAATTCCGATTTTGGCGAAACCCAGTGATCCCTTCCTGTAGTATCAAAGTATATTTCATGGAACTATGCGCACTTCATTGTATTGTACAGCCTAATTCATTCGTCTAGGCGGAAATATACAAGTTAGGTCCCCCCCAAGCCGCCCGTTCCCTATAAGGGTCCCCCCATTAATGGCATGAACCAGTGCCGACTTCTGAATAGTCAGCACCATGATGCGGCAGAGTCAATTTTGGCTTCGAAGGGTCGAATGCACCTATTTGTCGAGTTGATGAGTATAAGTAACTCATGTTGCTTGCGTGTTCCCGACACTTTGGAATTATGAATAATGCTCAGGAAAAGTTATCATGGTTGTATCTAATACAATGTTTGACTGGGTTATAATAGCTGTATAATGAAACGATTTTGTCATCGTGTTGGGCGATTTGACAGCGACAGAGCTCAAGAAACCTGACCGCATCGCGACAATGTGATAATGACGTCACGCATCAAAAACTTAACAGATCGCGTCTTGTGCAACTCGAGTGTACCTTTGCGAGCTGAACTGGTTTTCTGTCGGTTGCTAGTATAGCATTTCCAAGGAGTGAATCCAGCCTGCTCCTGAGAAACTTCATGTCCGTCCAAGTCCATCATCGACGGCCATGAACAAGGAAGCCTACATCTGAGGGTGGCCATCTGGTACCATAATTGCCCAGAGACCAGAAGGATTCCTTTTTGTATCCACCGGATTAGAGTTGTAGAAGAGACTTATTCTTTACGTTGAAATGCAGACGGCTTGTTCGTAACAGAGTAAATGTCCTGGCTTGATTGCAAAGAGAAACACAGACTTCTTGTATGATATACATGAACGTAGAAAAATAATGTTAGATCTTAAGATCCAAAGAAGGAAACACGAGCCCTCCCGTCAATGATACAATATTTCCCGTCCAGCAAAACCTCTACGTTCAACGCATTCACCTTCATTCTAAGCAAATTCCGGAACCGTGAATCAGGCGACACAGGAATAGTCATCCATTCATGCTTGTTCCGGGACGAGTCGAATGATACCCTCAGTTTTTTTAACGGACCTCTGCCATCTCCATCAGACCTTGAAAGGATCATTGCATATAATTGATCTGCTTTTTCCAAAAGGCAACTTTCCGCGAGGGTTTTCGGAGCCTCTGCGATACATATTTCCTTTAAATTGGGGACCATTCCTCGCTCACGAGACAAAGCTTTGAAGACGTCCTTCGCTATGTCATTCCTCACGAATATTTCAAGCTTGTGGAGAGTGGGGGATTGTGCGAGCAATGGAATAAGGAGCGATTCGATGGAGATGGGCGTAGAAAGGGCGAGAACCGTTAGACTGCACTGTGACCGACGGAAGAGGTCGTGCAGACGGAGGTATTCTGTGGGTCCGAACCATACCATATCATGACCCTTTTTCACTAATATTTCGAACTGTTTGAGTGCCGGAAGGGATACGTGGTCAAAGATGGGGGACATGCGAAAGCTGAGCAAAGGTTGATCGATGATTAGTCGGGAAAATGTTTAAAAGAGGGGTTCTATTCTCACGCTTCTGGCAGGTCCGAAATATTCCGATGATTTTTTGGCTTTTTCGAAACCCTACCGATCTGTGAGTCTCTCAGAGCTGATATTGGAACCAGGAAAACTGGAAAACTGGATTGACGGGGAATCACGGTAGCACGCGGCCCGCGAATCTGGAATCCCAGAATGGATTCCAATTTGATATTCGCTTCACGCTTCTTGATGATGAACGTAACCACCACCACCATCATCGATAACGAGGACAATTCCGTTCAAAAGGATGCTGCAGCCGCAGTGAAATGATGAAGTCCCGCCCTCCATGCTTCTGCACCACGCTGTGAAGCGTGAATGGATTGTATGCGTCCGTTTTCCCTTTCTTCATGATAGTGTTGCCACGGCTCGGGTCCGAGTCGCCGAGTCGTCGGGCGGAGTCGGAGGAGGACTGAGCCGAGTCACCAAAATGACTCGGGGCCCTAAATGGCTTGACTCGGCTGCGACTCGACTTTTATGGCTTGAAGCCGGCTGGAGTCGATGACTCCGTCCAGTTTTGGAAGGGCTGTCTTTACCTTGACCTAATGGACCCAGATATTCATTTATGTGTACATGACATTGAACTGAAACTATTAAATCTATTTTTAGAGGAACAGTGACTTGGTACCCTCCCTTTGTGTTGAATTACTGACTAGCGGCAGATGGGTGTCTGCATTAGGTAACGTGAGAAAAGAATTCTTAAATTGCCGTATTTTTACCGCTCTACTTTCTCACGCCGACAAGCTTCGGTCTTTGCCATCTGTATACACCAAGCAGCCCTAGAAAATAGTGGCCACTACACACATTTACATTTATACTAACCTTTATACTAACCTTTGAAACTATTTTTGCATATAAATTATCTGCTACTGAAGTTTTCTTTTTGTACCTTCCTATTTGGGTAGGAGATCAATGACTCGGCAAAGATCAGCGGCTTGAAGCCGAGTCGAGCCGAAGTGGAAGATTTCATTTGACTTCGGAGTCGTCCCGGAGCCGAGTCACCCGAAGTCAAGCCGAGTTGAGTCGAGTTGAGCCGTGGCAACACTACTGGTGCGTACTCATCCTCTGTTTTGGGGGGTGTTTTGACAAGTACCTATGCAGCATCGTCCGCCTTTTCCAACACATATCTCTCAGACGAAACATTCTTCTTCTGAAGACGACCTTTCTATAGCAATCGACCCAGTTAGTGGCGGATAGTAATTGCAATTTGTAATCTGTCGCGCTGCAAAATCATCCGAGAACAGGCGCCGCACTAACAGAAGCCTTGCCTGCCTTTTTTGGGGGGGTGTATAGCAGTTCCAGGAGCGTATGGGTACGTTCTTGACCGCAACGTTCCCCGGCGCCTTTGACCTAGAGACAGATTTTATAAGCCGATACATCTCACTCTTTCTCGCTGATGCGCATGGGACCATTGATTGTTGCTGTGCAAGAGCTCGTCGAGGCATCGTTGCCGTACCCAATGCTGATCGTGAGTTGCATACTACCTTCGTTTGTTCTGTATCTTGATTTCCTTGGCAGAACCCAAGCCAGTGCTCTGCCGACTCTAACTAATGTAGATTTCAGCTTTTCCTCGCGGCGTCCTACCTGAACACGTTGCCGGTACCAGTATTGCTGACGGGTGGTATACTCAGCAGCAATGGTTTCTGGTAATCGTCTCCAGAGTTATCGACAAACATCGCCGTCATTTCACCGACCCCTCCAGGGTGATTTGGAAACGTTAGGTATATCAACTTATGATCCTATTTTGTTCGTCTCTCATAGCCCTGTAGTCATAGTAATGCCCCGGAGGCGCAAATTGCTATGCCGATAGATAATAACGATTAGCTTCAAAGGCAGCTGTCAAGATTTACAAAGTGTTCTGGATCAAAGCATCTCTGGCGGCCTGTTTCTTGTACGTTGAATCTCAACACATTTCTTAACGTTTGTTGATTCTTACATTGCGTTCAGATATGTTATACATGGATGGCAAAGATCGCATGTATTTTCTGTGAAGCCAGGTACGATCTCGACAGGCGCCGATTTGTTCCAAGTGTCGATATGGTGCCAGCACATTCCGTGTCGTTGCTGTATCCTCCAAAGTCTGATGTTTCAAGTACGATCCGACTGCGGCGACGGTTGATGATCCTTCCGCGCTGTGATGGACATCACTATTCTCACTTGGCCACGAATTTTGGGATTGGCAACATGATCTCAACGAGTACGCCCTGTTCGGGTCTATTAATAATCAACTTCAAGGCTGAGGTTCACTGGTACGTTCGGCGCCATTTTCTGCTCTGTTCAGAAGCCTGATAGAGATGTTACTTTCAGATCCAACAAGTGACGACTGCTACCTACAGCCTTGCATCCGTCAGACATCGACTGGTATTGCTTACCTGGCTGACGAGCGCGCCTGTATATGAACGTTGTTGTACTAGCGAGTGTTGTGTGATGTGCCGCGGCGGACGACCTGGGTTCATTTGCGTCCAACCTTCGGCTAAGCGTACCCTTGCTCTATGCCCTCCCTTTGGAACATCCAAGCCAACCAGCTTGCTTCTCTCAACTTCCTCTATGTCACTGGTCGAGCGGAAGGTCATATTGGACTAGTTGCCCAGAAGATCATGTTCCTTCAAGACCGATTGCCGACCACTTACCTTACGGGATACATACTCGTACGGGATGGTCTCCCCATTCGAAAACGCCCCAGTACATCTGACCAACGTAATCCATACAGCCCATCTGTACCCCATTTCGCTGAAGGGTCGGCACCCATTCTCCGGTTCAATGAAGATCACCGACAACAGCTACCATCAAATGTATTGTCCTCCGCAGCTCGATCGTCACTACCTTTCCCCTGGAATCCTCCCGCGGACCAGAGTCATCACCTGCCAAGCTATTATCCCCGTCTTTTCCGGGTTGATAGGTCGTTAGGATTATGCACATCCTTCAACGACTGTATTCGTACATGGACGGTCTCCACGGAGGTGCTCGTCACACTCATGCGGAAGGTCGCAGAGGTCCGACCTGCACTGTTGGGATGGCCCTGTCATCGCTGACCATTCCTGTTCCCTCACTCCCAGTGCCACCGAGCGGTTGGCGGTGTTCGCTGGTGGGATGATATGAGGCCGTCTTTAACTATGCCGGGATTCTATTGTTACTGAGGATGGTGGTGCAAATGTCGTCTTCGAGAGAGTTGGGCGTGCTGCTCCGTTGATTGCAAAGGGAGGTGAGAAGATGGCGGTACATGCTACATGTCTTCCTCGATGAACCTGTACCCGGAGCGCAGGCCGCTGGAATGTTCCGATGCATCGTGGGCCAATAGTTCCCACGTATCTTGTACAGTACCAGGAGGATTGGGTAGAGAGGAACGTGTTTGTCTGTGACCCGGCGTCGTACTGTCGAAGGACATGTGCTGGTTGCTGATTGACAGAAGCGGTCACATATCGAAGTGCCGCTTTGTTTGAAGAAATTGCGACCGGGGAATCTAAAACACCAGTCAGATGCATTGGGATACATAGTATCGATCGTTCATGGCGCCAGAGAGCACAAGACAGGCAACAATACGAACCCTTCCCTCACCGTCTACCTAGCAAACCACGATCAATTTACCTTCTGCCTATCAAGGCTTCCCATAACGTAAGCTTTTCCTTTCATGTACTAAATTTGCGCTGCATGCGCAGGAACCGACGGTGCTGCGATCATTCATCATCCCGACGGAGAACACGTCACCGTTAGTGTAGTGGTAAACGGACGCTCTCAGCGAACAAGGTACCGTATAGTCACTACCACTCCTAGGCTTGGAATAAGGCATTCACCACGCTCTGTTTACCGTCGACGGTTTGGTACATACCCAAACAGGCTATTAGATTGCGGTATAATTGTGAATTAGGGATTTGGGCTGAGTCGGCTTTTGATCGATACTACGTTCAAGATTCAAGATCATCACCTAGTGAAACAATCTATCTCTTATTGTTTAGCTCTCTACCACTCAGGGTTGCAACATTGATGGCGTGTGCTATTTTCATCTCATTGCTCCGCAAGGAAGTCAACAGCTCGACCCCGGTTCTTGTTTCGAAATCCGTATAATTTGTGGCCCTGGCCGAAGCCGAAGCTCTGCGGGCGGGACGAATATTGTCTTTGATTCTTTGAATCCTTGAAGCAACGAATACAGCTGCTTCTGGCACAAGCCGACTCGTAACCTTCGGGCAGACGAGATGTTATCTCTGTCGCATTTACCCCTGTTGGACACGTCAGGCTTGTCCACTTTTCAGATGCGGAGATTGTAGCTATTCAGTAATCCATGAGGAGCTTTCTGCTAGAAGTACTGCGCAGCAGGTTTTCCACGTCTATGTATGTATGGCGGGACTGCGCTGTATCTCATAGACATATCAGCCTCTCTATCTGAGGCCATGTCTGAACCTAGCGCATGACTCGATAGTACAGCACTACAATGAGTGGAACTATTCATCAATGCCAAGTCGAACCTTTTTGCACTCCCGCTGGCTGGGCTATACAATTGCTCAACCCTGTAAATTTGGACTTTTCATTCTGCCAACAATGAACCTTGTCACTGGCCCTTTCGCTCCTTTCATAGCAATCAGTAGTAGTCCTGCCGACTCTTGAGCCGTCATTTTTACAGCCGTTCAAGAATGGAGGTGCTGAGAAAATGTGATGTCATTACGATTTATCCTTCATGGACTGGGTCGAGTTTATTTCCCTTGAGGACCTCTTACGCCACTATTACATTGCCATATGACCAGACGGATGGAGATGGCTTGTCTAGGCTCACAGAAAGGGGGGAAGATGCTTGGAACGCCAAGGCTCCTCTATTTTATGTGCTGTAAAGTCTCCTTCAGAACATTGTGAGTATTCCCGTTCATCAATAATCTATACTGAGGTCCTTGGGGATATTTTTTTCAGAGTTTCATTCAACTGAAATATTATAGAAACCACTCCGCAACACATATGCGACGGGCTTAGGACTTAGAGCCCAGCCTTTCACAGCGCTCATGGTTACCGACGGTCTTGTGCGCATAATACAATGCGGCTACAGCCGCTTCGGAATATGGCGGAAATGTTTGAAGTTCTGGATATAGAAATTCGAAGATGCTTCACAACCTTTTGACATAGTACAGCCCTGCATTCATACTCTGATGTCAGGATAACGAGACTGCTATAAAGCCATGGATATTGAGCATCCTTAGGGTCCAAGCCACTCTCACTTTCCCTACCTCAGTGCACCACCCACTGCAGTCGGGAACGATGTCTGACCCAGAGAAAGGATCTCAAGATCGGAACGAACGCATCAATCTAGTCAATAATGTCAATGCACGGTACATCTCCGTTTGCAGATTTCCCCACACTTTGATCGCTTACAATCTCCCCACGGGGTAATTCAGGATTCAAAATCCCCTCCATGGTATTCCTCAGGACAAGCTGCTCGCCCAGGTAGAGGAGTTCACCAAGGAGAAAGAATTTGATGAGTACACGGAGACATTCAAGAAGGGTGCGTTGCTTGCTCAGCGCCCTGGTGAACTCGAGACGCTGCCATTGTTAGATGAGGCGGATCGAGAGGCAATCAGAAGAGAAAGGACACGTATGCCGCATCCCTGCCTTTCATCCCGGTATATATTTACTGACGATATTGACAGACAAGTGGTCTCAACCCAAAGATCTATGCATAACCATCATTATCTGCTCTCTCGCTGCTGTTGTGCAGGGATGGGATCAGACCGGTTCGAATGCTGCCAACCTGTCATTCCCGACTAAGTTTGGTATCTCTACAAACGAAGGCGACCCGAATAGAGAACGCGATGACTGGATTATCGGAGCTATCAACGCTGCGTACGTAGTATTGTTGGCCATTTGTTAATTCATTTTGGTTGATACATTCACTTAACAGCCCTTACATCGCATGCGCACTCCTCGGATGTTGGCTCACGGACCCGCTGAACAACTACCTTGGTCGCCGGGGGACAATTTTCGTTTGCGGAATCTTCTGTACGATTACTGTCATAGGTTCTGCTTTCAGCCAAACATGGCCTCAGCTCTTTGTAGGTTCCTTTTACCATTGAAAAATGGGACTTGTCTGAATTGATAATGACTAGGTATGCCGGCTGTTTCTTGGTCTCGGGATGGGTCCCAAGGCTAGTACGACCCCCGTCTTCGCCGCAGAATGTACACCAGCCTCAATTCGGGGAGGGTTGGTTATGAGCTGGCAGATGTGGACCGCTTTTGGTATATTCCTTGGTTTCAGTACGAATCTGATCTTGTACTGCTATGGCCCTATTGCATGGCGGTTGCAGCTCATTAGCGCGGTCTTGCCGGCGGTACCATTGGTTTTGGGTATATATCTCTGCCCTGGTACGTTTGAATCTCCCAGGTATGGAGGGAACAATCTAATTCGTACGGATGTAGAATCTCCAAGGTGGTATATGAAGAAGGGACGATACACTGAGGCGTTTGAGTCGTTCAAGCGGCTGAGAAACACGGAACTGCAAGCCGCAAGAGATTTGTACTATGTCCACCGACAACTTATGGAGGAATACAAGGTCACCAAAGGAATCACGTATATGTCCCGTTTTATCGAGTTATTCACTATTCCTCGGTGAGTTCCATTGTGAAACGTATTCCATCTCACCGATGCTCGTTCAGTCTCCGTCGCGCGACACTCGCTAGTTGGGTAGTCATGATCGCCCAGCAAATGTGCGGTATTAATATCATCGCGTTCTATTCCTCAACAGTGTTCATCCGAGCACAATATTCCACTAGCCAGACAATGTGGGCTAGCTTCGTCTACGGCTTAGTCAATTGGTTATTCGCGTTTCCTGCTGTTTGGGTAAGTGGCCGCGTAATTCAATTCAATACATACCATGTTGATGATATTAGACCATCGATACCTTCGGTCGGCGAAACCTGCTTTTGTTCACGTTCCCAAACATGGCCTGGACTCTGCTCGCTACAGGGCTTTGCTTCTTGATCCCGGAGGCAAACTCAGCAAGGGTACCGCTGATCGCGCTGTTCATCATCCTCTTTACTAGTAAGTCGATACCAATGGTCCATTGCTGATTCACCATTCTCATCACTGTTTTTCTGTAAGCATTCTATTCACCTGGAGAAGGACCTGTACCGTACACGTACTCAGCTGAGGTGTTCCCACTTACGCATCGCGAGATGGGCATGTCATGGGCAGTTTCTACCTGTCTAGGGCTCGGCAGCCATCCTATCTATCACATTCCCACGCATGCTTACTGCGCTAACAGAAGTGGGAGGTAAGCTGTCGCTTGTTTCCTTGCGGCAAGCTGTGAAATAACATGACGGTAACTACTAACCTATAGCATTCGGGTTCTATGCAGGTCTTAATGTGCTCGCATTGACAATGATCTTCTTCTTGGTGCCTGAGACGAAGCAAAGGACACTCGAGGAACTCGACTATGTGTTCGCTGTGCCGCTTCGGAAGCATGCCGCATATCAGGGAAGCATTTTCCTACCATACTGGATCAAGAAGTGGGTGTTCGGACAGCGAGACGCTGTCCTAGAGCCACTCTACCAATTGGAAGAGGTTGAAAGTATAGCAGTGTCCTGAGAAATGTGTATACCATTGAGATTCCGCTTTGTGAAATATGATTCAGGATCGACGGCTATCTATGTATCTGTCTTGATTTCCCTTGTAACATTTACTACATGTACCAATGTCATGAAAAGCTTCTATGGTTCTTCTTGAATGAACAGATATACGCTGCAAAAATTCATAGCCTCGCCTCATGTTAAATAGGGTTAAACCCTAGTTAAACCGTGTACTCGACTCATCGTAGCTCCCACTAGCCTCCCAGTGCCTCCACATACACCGGCAGTTGCCGGCAGTTGTCCACAATGTTACGATATCTGACTGGCTTCATGATAAGGAAGCTACAATCTAAATGAAAGCATTGATAAATCAACACTGTAGCAATCTCGCAAGTTCACTGCCACACAGTGGAAATTGCGGTACGCTAGCAGTTCCCCAACGGACCCGTGCCGTGTAGTCCTGCTTACGTACCGATCTATTTCTCGGGCCGGGAATCCGGAATATCGGATGCAAATTTGATATTCATTTCGCTTTTCTTGATGATGAACTACCACCAATACCAACGAGGACAGTTCCATTCAAGGGGATGCTGTAGCGACAGATGACTGCCTGAATACCGCCTCTATCATGATTCTGTACTGCACTGTGCGATATAAACGGAAAGTATGCGTGCGTTTCCCCCTTCCTCACGTCCTTTTCTTACCCTATATGCAGCGATGGAGCCACGGAATGCACAGCTACAGCTACAGCCACCATAAGAACCGGTATTTGTCTAAATAAACATATCTTCGATTTCAAGGCTCGACACCGATATTACACGTTGCATTTTCTAGTGTTATGCTTCAGCGTCCTACATATAGCTAGCTTCCGTCGCGTCTTCCCACATTTGATGGTCCAGTCCTGCATTACGCGAGGCAACAAGCCTGGGTATGTTCATTATCACTCTTTCCCGTGCCCTTTTCTTATGCGTGTATGTTCTAGATCGTTTCTGCCCTTCTCTTGTAGCAACGGAAGCAGAGGTTTTCAACGTGTCGTCGAAATTTGTTCCCCTGTCTTATTTTAGGTCCCGGTTCTACCGATCGTCCCTGGTGCGTACTTACCGTAAATTCTTTTTTTTTTTTTTTTGGATGTCTTGAGAAGTTTTTATGCAGCCTCTCCTGCCTTTTATGATCGCCTATCTCTCGGATGTAGCATTATTCTGAAGAAGCTAGCCGACCCTTTCATGTCAATCGACTCAATTTGAGGGTTATGGAAATTGTAACTTGTATCCAAGCCACTGAAAAATCATTCAAGGACAAGCATTGCGGTAGCAAAACTTGGATTGCCGTTATTTTTTGCCGTAGACATGTTTTAGGAGCCTCCAGAGTGTATGGTTACAGTTCTACATCGGAACTTTCCCTAGCGCCATACACCTAGAGACAGATCTTACTTTCACATCCAACCCATCCACCCTCCATATGAGTACGGTCAAGCTAACGGTCAGTTCTACTGGTCATTTATACTCTGCTACCTCTCACTCTTCTCTGCTACCTCTCACTCTTGCCCTTTCACGTACGTGAGATCATCCTAATAGTTGTCGTGCAAGAGCTCGTCCAGGTATCATTTCCGTAGCCAATGGTGACCGTGAGTGTCAAACTACCTTCACTTGTTCCGTATCTTGATTTCGTTGGTAGAACCCATGCCAGTGCTCTGCCAACTCCTTCAACAATATAGATGTCAGCTTCCCGCGGAGTCCTATGTAAAGATGTCGCCAGGTGCTCGTCCTTCGGAGTCTTCGGTTGGAAACTAGCGGAAGAACAAACATCTCGCCAACCCCTCCAAGCCGACAGCTCCTTCACTGGAAATGCTAGGTACTTACTACCTATGATCTTATTTTTTTCATCCCTGAGAGTCCCGAGTACGCCCCGTTCGAGTCTAACCATGATCAATTTCAAGGCTGAAGTTCACCGGTAAGTGCAGCGCAAAACTCTGCTCTCGCCAAAAGCCTGATAGAGATATCACTTTCAGATCCAAGCGCAGTGAGGCTCATTGACGAGCATTTCCTGATATGAGCGCTATTCATCAATGCTCCATATCAAATGGAAGTGTGCAACATGCCGTCAAGAGCATAGGGTTCATCCTCGAAGGATTGAATCTCGCCACCTAGTGATACGGGGTGTGGTTTGGCGCATTAGTTCGACCTTCAGGCCGGTCTCTGTTCGCCTTAGGGCCATCCTCGAGGTCTGTAAAGGGAACATCTTTGCCTTCAATCATGGCCTTTGAACGTATCTGACTTGGCGAAGAGCTGCTGTGCTCTGGACGCGTTATGGGACCAAGACGACGTCATATAATTGTTCCTAGCGGCCAATTCATGATGCTCGTTCGACCCAAGGCTTTATATAATCGGAGACTCATATGCATGTAATGACATTATGCTGAGGATGGTGGCACCTGATAGATGGAGGCGCTTCTCTGCCCGTCGTCCACCGAGGTGGGCATCAAATTCCCTTAGTAAGGTGCCGTGCTCATCTGTTTGTTATAGCAGGGCGTTCTGCGATTGACAACCTAGCGAGCAATAGACCCACCAAAGTTGGTTTCGATAAAGACCGACGGCGATTTATAACCTAATCATAAGCTTTCCTATACGAATCAACTTGTTTTTCTTCCATTTAATGCTCTAGATTCGTTGCGACGACTTTGGAGGTCCATCTTCGCTAGTTCGTCCGGCAAGCAGGGATTTATCTCAACGACGAGGTATACCGTTCATCAGAAGCGCAAGGGATTAGGGAGAGGATGAGCTGATGGCGGGCATTGGCGTAGAATGTTTTCCGGGAAAGTCACAAAGTGAAAAGGATACAGCGATGGGTTTCATGCTAACAAATATATTCGGTATGGTTGCTCGCTGGATCGCAGGCTCGTATCTCATTCTTTCGCTAGCGATTGTCCCAAGTGTATTCCTCTCCAGGAATTGGTACCGCATCAAGACTGGCCCACGATCATTTATGAGAAGTTCAGAGGAACAGCTTTCTGATTCCGTTGTCTCCTTCGTTTATTTCCGCGTAGCGACCTTCGTTAGTTCTCATGTCGGCATGAACGTCCGTGATGGACGACCTGAACGCCTTCGCGTTTGACCTTCCGCTTTGCTTGAAGAAACTGCTGCCTGGGAAGCACCGTCAAACTCGATCACATCGGAGACCCTGACCTTGTGCATGATAAGTCAATAACCCCCAGATCACGCACATGAATACGTGGACCTTCAGTATCCAGCACTATCTACCCATACTATTTCGTAACTCAAACTTTGCTGAAGTTGTACGCGGGATCATGTCAGCGCGATTCACTGCGACTCGGAGTCCTCAACAAGTCGAGTGAACATATCAAAGTGTGCAACCTTGTCTATTTCTGTGGACCGAGTGATCCCTTCCCGTGGCTTTTAAAGTTTACTTCCCCAATCTGTGCGTATTACGGTATTACGGTATTATCGCACAGCCTACATTATCATATCAATACGGAAATACATAAGCGTCTCTGCTTCTTTTCCCATGCCTCCACAAAACTGTTTCTTAAAGTTCTTCAGCTGACGCATGGACCAATGCTGGACCTCATATTTCGGTGCTGAGAATGTGGCACCGTTGGGAATTGGTAAGTTGATCATTTAACCCTGGCTCTTGGGGTCGTAATGATTCTTCCTATTCATCTATAAGTCGAACGGACTTTCTTGACGTGTCTCTACTCCTTCCTTGTCACCACCCATGTCCTCACAACCTTCAACAGCGAGTCTCGGGAAGACTCTCGGTGCTCTCTATGTCGGAGCGACCATTGCCGCCATGTAAGTGGCTTTACTTGTTCGCAAAAATGTCTGCTGATTCATTTATTTCATAGTTTATTCGGGATAACAAATTTACAAGCACTCATTTACTACAAGAAGTACCCTAACGACTGGTGGGTTTACCGGTATTCCGTACGTTGAACATCCTCTTGAGAGTTGGTGTTACGCTCAAGCCCACGAGATAGGTAGCGCTCCTTTGGTTCGTTTACGTTTACCCATGTCCATCTTTCTCGCTTCCAACAATCTATTCGCTGTATTTTCCGTTTCCAGGATCCTCGACGCCCTTAATGTCGCGTTGACCACTCACAGTCTCTATTTTTATCTGATTGACATGTTTGGAAACTTTGCCGGTGTCTTAGAGTATGGCGTGTGGTAAGTACGTTCTCAGGTGACCGTGGATAGACCTTAAAACATACTGGCTCGGAAGGAGCTTCAAGGTAATTTGCCTGTAGTCCCTGCCGTGATGGGAGCTATCTGACATACGGTCAGGCGCAGTTGAGTGTGTTGGGATTTGCAACTTCAAGCTTATGCCAGAAGATTCCCGAAGCTTCGGCTTACTCATTTGTCACGATACTTAGATATATTTAGTTACTTTGGTAGAATATTCTAGATACATTTCGTAGTATATAAGGAGCTCATTAGGAGCTCTAGTAGCTAACAATTCAGTATTATACCTACTGCAAGCCTCCCACTGCAATAATTCCAACAGGTTATGGGCCCCGAGCTCCAGTAGAAGTCTCATCTTCCACACGCATTCTCTTTCGGACCACCCGAGCCGGCTTTCTAGCCACACGTCAATCACCATCAGTCCTCTTTAGGCAGGTGTAATTAAAAGTCCTCTCTAGGCCACTGTAATTCCTCTCTAGGTTGGTGCTCGAAGTCCTTTCTAGGCCGTCGTAAGTCCTCTCTAGGTAGACGAAGTTGTTAAAAGTCGTTTCTACGCCGCCGTAAATCGTTTCTACGTAGGTGAAATCATTGTATTAGTCGCTGTAAACCCTTTCTAGGTTAGCACCCCGTTCCCGAAGTCCTTTTTAGGCACCGTATACTCGCCTTTTCAGGCACATTACATACTCTCGTTACATACCACTTCGATATCTCCAGTTATGGAAGACCGGAGTAGCACCCGATTTGATCTCCTTAGTGAGGAGAATTACTTCACATGGAAGTACCGCATGGAAATGCACTTAATTCGGAAGGATTTGTGGGGAATAGTTTCAGGTACAGAACCCCGCCCCGCAAGTGGAACAAGGACACAGACTGTCTGGGACAAGCGCGCGAGGCTTGCCGCTGCCGAGATCATTCTGCATGTGTCTGATTCTGTGTTACCGCTAACCCGGAAGACCACGGACCCTGCCCGAATGTGGCAAATTCTGAAGGAATATTATGAATCCTCAGGATGGGCCAATCGTATGACCGTTCTTCGTAGTTTTGTTTCCCTCAGAATGGAAGAGGGAGCATCTGTACAGGAGCACATCAATAATTTCAATGAACTTGACCAGTCACTCAAAGACATTGGAATCACATTGATAGATATGCTTAGGATGACTATTCTATTGGCATCCTTACCCCCCACCTACGAGAACATCGTTACCGCCATAGAATCTTACATCGAGGCCAATACTGATCCTAGCGATCCGACACGAGGGCCAGACTTCGATTATGTCACTCATCGATTGCTAAATGAAGAGCGCCGCCGGAAACTAAATTCACCAGAATTTGAAATGGCGTTAGCCGCGCGATCAATCAAGGGCCGACCTCCCGATCCGGCTAATATCATTTGCTACGGTTGTGGGCAGAAAGGCCACTACAGAAACAAGTGCCCAAATATTGCTCAAGGGGGAGAAGATCCAACAAGAGCAAATGTAGCTGATGAAGATGATGAAGAAGATTATGCATTTTAGTAACTTGAAGTTGAGGGGGAGTGTTGGGATTTGCAACTTCAAGCTTATGCCAGAAGATTCCCGAAGCTTCGGCTTACTCATTTGTCACGATACTTAGATATATTTAGTTACTTTGGTAGAATATTCTAGATACATTTCGTAGTATATAAGGAGCTCATTAGGAGCTCTAGTAGCTAACAATTCAGTATTATACCTACTGCAAGCCTCCCACTGCAATAATTCCAACAGAGTGTAAAGGTAAGTCATCAATCTAGCCGTACTTCTTCGTTAGTTACAATGCCGTCACTCACAGATCTTTATCGTCATATATGTTCAAGGGTATGAAAAATACCATTCTAAGTTCAGGCTCCGAGCTCTTATCATTCTGATCCTTAGGTTATACGCCATCCGACTATGGAAACGTCCGCGTTTTTTCAATAGTCATTATTAAGGCTTACCCTGTCTGCAGTCGGACGACATTTTCACAAGATTCTCCCATGCTGCGTGGTGAGCGTGCTTAATGCTTGACCGAGTGACTGACTCTCACTATCGAACAGTTTTTAGCTGAGGCAGCATCGCTTGGTAAAATCGTTGCGCTGTTAAGATTCGCTGATCATGCACCTATCTCGCTCAGGTGCCGGACTATGTAAGGCCTTCTTTTCTTGTTCTGGCTGTGCTGACGAGATCGCTGAAGTTACAGTCTATAATGTGTAAGCGAGCCTTTGTAGCTACTCTTACCATATGAAATCATTTTTGACAGCTGCACAACGCAAAGTTTCTCCACTATTTCCAATATCAAGGTAGGCAACATCTGCCCGGCGCGTAGACACTCAACGAATTATCCTACTCAGACAGCGATTTATATCCTTTTTGCTACTATCGTCGTTACAGATATTGTGATAGCCTCTATGATGAGCTATTACCTTCACAAGAGTGGGGAAGCTACGATGTTCTCTACGTGCGTTATTCATTTACTTAGTTTCCTAAAGTAATCCACTTCTTCTAGGACCGCGTCCCTCATTTTTGGGCTGATGCGACTTGTTGTCGCATCGGGCATAGCTACAAGGTAAAGACGTCTCTAAGATTGCATTTGCATGATCCCTGACGAATTATTGACAGTGCATGTTCACTGCTCGCACTTATCTCTGTATGCTTTTCTCGTGATTCAATGATATTCTGGAACCTCACCAATACCCACAGTTTATTGTGTGGCCCAAGACATTGATTTTCCTCGGTATCGACTTCGTCCTACCAAAACGTCAGTGTTGCTCCTTACCCATTCGCAATGGCTGACATATTTGTTCAGTTTACGTCAACTCCTTGCTCGCTATGTACGTCGTGTTTTCGACTGTGTTCTTAAGCTGACCTTCTCTAGGTTCAATTACCGACGGGAACATCTTGAGCCTCACCAATCGGATGCGGAGCGCGGAGGGAATTCATTTCCTACCTTTCTCCATATCATACCTCACAGCTCCGAAGGTTCCAGTGCGCAAGTGGTATGTGCACTAGTTAATTATTACCTGCAGCGCTCATTCCGAATCTCCTTCAGAATATCAACATCCCGCTCACTGAGACTGAGCGCTTCCGTTCTTTGGACGATAAGTCGGACCATTCGAAGGGAGCGTCTCTAGCTTTCGAATGACCCTTTTATGTGGGGAAGATATTGAAGATTACAATCCAATCAGCTATTAGCCGAGCACCGACTCCTGCAGAGTAGAGGGTATGGAAAGTAAAGTCCGAAGAGGCGAAATAGAACTTGAGCGGGGTCTGTCTCGCTACAGGTAGTGAGAGAGAATACAAAACACAGTTTTCGCAGACTCTACTGCTCAGAACTCGCGTTCGTGAGTAGACTTCCGCCGGAGAAGGTGCTGCCCAAGCAGGCTTGTTCAAAGCAGGAAGGCATTCAGAGTTCCATTTCCACCAACAACAGCTACCACGGCTCGACAATGAAGGCGTTCTGCGTACTTACAGGTGCCTCACTTTTTCCCTGTCACACTCAGATTGCCAGAGATAGCTGTCTTGAGCGGAGGTTGTCAGGAGTTGTCCAATCTTTTCGGCGAAAGTAACGATGGATCACTGCCATCGCAGCTGAAATATCGCAGTTCGATATCGCGATATTGATGTACGTTTCAGTCTCAATGATATTTTCGCTTTACTCAAATATCAATTTTTCTTCAGTTCATCATCTTCTTGAGTATTTCATTGCAGTATTACGGCTTGTTTCATACTGTTGGGGGAACAGTGCTTGGAAATGTCCGTTCCCGAAATGATGAATTCTTTGTGGGCTATGAGTACGATTGTCCACTGTGGGTTGTACAGCAGCGGAGAATGTGCAGGATGCTGGATAAATAGCAGTCTTTCTATCAAATACTCGCCCGTACATTCATCGAAGAAAATGACTGTGAGTTGGCTTGCATCGATGTCGTTTGTCTTAATGTTCGGTTTGGCCACTGGGTCGGAACTTGAGAGCTACCAGGGTGCTTGGCTTTCACTAACGCCTTTGATGGCGGTGCGTGCTCGATAGTTGCACTCGTCACCATAAGGTTCAGACCCCATTTTCAAGAGTAGGCGTCATGTTTCGTTCAGTTCATCGTTCTACCCAACACCCCCATCTTTCTCAGGGTCGTGTTTCTCTCTACCATGCGTATGTTGCTTGTCATCAGGGATAAATCAGTCATCTCCCAGCTGATTGCAATTTATGTCAACCCTCTGTTATCGATGTGTGTTGCCATCATCTTTCCTCCATGCGACTCACTCAGATCGGCAATAGGCCAAATGTTCGAAAACGAATCCAAGTACAAACACCGGAAGTGGGGCTTCCTTTTCGGAAACCACATCAGCCTCCGATACCATTCGCCTCATGCCCACTGTCGGCGGTGCTAGCGTGTTTGATGTGAAGGTAAGAGTGTCTTTTGATGTAGAGCGATTAACTGAAGGCCACGCTAGAAGGACAGGTTCAGCGCACCTCTTTCCGAGATCCTCCATTGTACATCTCCGCAAAATAGCTCAAATCGTTAAGGATAAGCAGTCGAGAGCTGAGTTTGGTATGATGTAAGTGGAGGAGGTGGATGTACGGTGATGGGAGAAGAGCGATTCGTATGCAGGACGACTTACTGTGTATTTATAGCAGGCCACGTGTCTACTATGAGCTGTCGCCAGATCAGGCTTGGTTTTATCCGACCTTTCAGTTTCATTTTACCGGTCTGAGAATCAGAGGCAGACAACTGGGCTCAGTTGCTGGTACTTCGTTCTGAATTTCAAGGAAGTTCACTACCGTGCATGATGAACGGCGCGCGATGTACTCGCACTACATTCGACAACCTCTGCCGTACTGCCGTGGACCATGATTAGGCCTTTCCCGTGACCCCTAGTGCATAGCGGCGTACTAAAAATATCAAAATCGAGCGCAGGTAGGAAGATCGAAATGAAACAAATTCATGCATTCATCTACTCGGATCGTCCTATGTTGCGACATCTATTGTGTTTGTGGCGCCCCAATTCATTTAATTCATCACAAATTGCAGGTAAAATTCAATGTATCAACTGAGAAACAGTTTGCTGGCGTTTACCTGTTGGTTTTCCAAAGGAGCGATCTCTGCTATCAGATAATACCACGGGATCTCATAGCCCTTTCATCAATGCAAGATGGACGTAAATAAGTAAGATATGTTCTTCTCATGCCCTCATTGCGACTGGTTCTGATAGTCCTCCTTTGGAAGTAGTGGTGGAGCCTACATCTCAGTGTCGAGATCCAGATATCAAGAACTAGGATGCTGTATTGTCGACACTGAGTACGATGATGGCTTTACACTGGGTCTCGTGCGGTGATGGTTTCACCTACCGGTTTATAAGCTGAAGAAGCACCCCAAGGTATCCTCTACACCTCCCTCATAACACTAAATGACCTCGCAATCATCCACATCTATTCTGTCCCTTGGGGAGATGCTGGGCCCTCTCCTTATCGGTGCTATCATAGCCGCCATGTAAGCAACTTTCTGAATCCCTGTAATATCTGTTTATTCTTTTTTTAGTTTATTCGGTATTACGAATCTACAGGCTGTGAATTACTACCAAAGGTACCCTCATGACTGGTGGGTTTACCGGTATTCTGTATGTCATTATTCTTTCGAAGTTAACATCATGCTGAAGCACACGCACGATACAGGTAGCGTTAATTTGGTTTGTCCATTCATGCCTATTGGTCATGATGATTAATTACTGGTTTCTTTGACAGGGTCCTGGATACCTTTCATGTCGCCTTGAGCATACATGCTCTATATTTCTATCTGGTTACTATGTTTGGGGATTTGATCGGTGGTTTAGAAAGTGATTTGTGGTATGTCCTCAGGCAAAGACATGATATCAATCACATTGAAGATTTTTTGCAGGAGTATGAAGGTGATTTCATTGAATCCTGATTGTAAATATCTCTAATGGCATACTCAGTTGCAATTGTCTCTGAATGTGCGTCATCATGGCATATTCACGCTGCTTTATCTCAATGTCATCTTCACTAGAACTTTCTGGTCTTCTACGTTCAATGGTACGAGGCACAGAGCTACTCTGACCTGACTTGTTAAGACTTATCGTATTAATCATTAGGTTATATGCCATTCGGCTATGGAAACGTTTGTATTTTTGCATAGTGGCGCTTGATATTGCCATTACTTATTCTGCCACAGTTGGACGACATTTTCACAAGGTTCTCCCTTGGTTTGTCGTAAGCACGCCTTGAAATAATCCAATGTTGTGCGCACTCCTGATTATTACCGGATAGTTTCTAGCTGTGGCCATGTCACTTGGTGATAAAATTGTTCTCATTGTCTTGTGTATTTGTCTGATCCTAGTTTCGTTTAGGCAGTACCATATGTAAGTACTAACTCATTTACTAGTCCTGAATTCATTGACAAGAGAGCCACAGGTTTGGCGTATGGAATGTAAGTGAACATTTATACCTGTATGTTCCGATACCACCTGAATTAATCCTTGACAGTTATAGTACACCAAATCTCTTATCCATTTCCCTCGCCAAAGTATGTGACATCCGTACTCCAGACGGCTGGGGATACTCAGGCAGGTCATATAGAAATTGATTTTCATCTTCTTCTCTACAATCGCTGCAGCGGATTGGACCATTACCCCAATGATGTGTTATTACTTGCACAAGAGTAGGAAGGACGCAATGTTCTCTACGTGTGTAATTTTCTTGGTGTGTTCTTCGAATTCCAGTTCACCTACTCATACTAGCACAGCAATGCTACTTCTCCGTTTGATGCGACTCGTTCTTGTATCAGGTTTAGCTACAAGATGAATACATATACATTGATCTCGTCCATGTTGCTCCTAACGAAAAAACGATAGCGCATGCTCGCTAATCACTCTTGTCGTGGTCTGTGGTATCTCAACTCGATCCAATTCTAGGATCTCACCAATGTTATCCACAGTATATCGTGTGGCCGGAGTCTCTGATATTTGTTGGGATTCATTTCGTCCTATCTAAGTGTCAGTCTCTTTCGTTACCTGCCAGTAATGACTAGCTAACATACTCATAGTATACATCAACTCACTACTTGCTATGTACAATATCTTCTTGAGACTGTTGCCTGAAGCTTACCTTTCCTAGGCTCAATTCCCGATCCGTGCATCATTCGACTAGTCGATCCACTGAGCGTGGAGTAAATTCGTTCCCTGCTGTCCTCCCGATAACCCATCACAGTTCTGAATCCAATGAAACGGTATGCACATGTGCCTGGCTTTCATGTCGAATTCTTACTTAGCATATCTTCCAGAACGTTGGCGTTCCGCTCCAGCACATCGGTTCTTTCAATGATAAGCTGAATCCTTCAAAGGGAGCTCTCGACTCTCAAGTTTGAACGCGGTATTGTTAAAAATATACACGTATCTGTGACGAACTAACAGAGGTCAGATTCCTCGCAGCGACACGAACTCTAGTATACGTCACTAGAATACTAATACATTAGATCGACAAGTTAATTTATGGTATAGCCAATGCGAATTGAAGCTTAGAACTCTAGAAAACAAGATGCATTTTTATCGCTGGGTAAATAAATATTAACTGTACTAAGGCAACAATGCGAATTGAAGTACTCTTAGTCTTGACGATGATTGAGAACTCTTTTTTCCTCGAATGAACAGATATCCTGGATCTCACGGAGTGGAATGCTAGTATTCTAAGGGAGATGCATCATAAGCTTTCAAGGTCGTAATTGGACTAGTGTACATACCATCCCTACAGTAGAAGCTTTGGAGCCGTGCGATGCTAACCGGAATACGGTAGGAGTTGACATCCGTCTATGCTGTGCATTTGATTCAGGGTGCTCACTTCAGTAATCGAACCTAGCAAACATAAGCTTCAGGTAAGATACTCGAGAAGACATCGTGCATAGCGAGCAGGGAGTTGATGTAAAATGAGTCAATATGTTAGCCGTTGGCAATGGATAAAGGAGCGACACCGACGTTTTGGCAAGACGAAACGACAGCGAGAAAAATTAAAGTCCAGGACCACACGAGATACTGTGGGTATCAATGAGGCACCGAAGCATGGTTAAATAGAGGAACAGCTAACCGAGATGAGAGTGAACAGTGAGCATGCACTGGCGGACGTCTAATTAGTTGGCGAGTATATCAAGCTCGACCTCAAGATCGCCTCACCTCGTAGCTAATCCCGACACCACAACAAGTCGCATTAGACCAAGAATGAGGGAAGCAGTACTAGTCAGAACATATTAACAAAATTCTGGAAGCAGTCGGGTATGAAACAACACGCAATGCACGTAGAGAAATTCGTAGTCATTATACTCTTGTGCAGGCAATAACACATCATGATGGCTATCATGAAAGCCATCGCGGCAACCACGGCAAAAAATGCGTAAATCATTGTCTACTTCAGTAAGTTTTCACGACTGTTCAGCGGATGGACACGGTTTACTTTAATATCGGAAATGGCCGAGAAATCAGATGTGATACATCTGTTAGAAATCACTTATAGAAGCAATGGAATCTACAGAAGTTCACTTACATGGCATAGACCATTACTGTGGTTGTTCCATTAGCACTATCACAATGGGACAAATGAATGAGACCTCACATATTCCGACACCTAAAAGAAACAGATGTGAAGTCAGCCGAACACCTGGAAGCCAAGAACGCAATTATGTTACCGAGTGAGGCTGTCAGGACCAAGAACTATTCAATATTATGCGGTGGTGAGACATTCAGTTCAAATATGAATGCATTCTACTTACGACGGCACACGGGAGAAATTTGTGAAAAAGCCTTCCTACTACGAACGAAACAAGTCAATATTCGCGAGCACCAATCATGATGTCCCAGAAAATACGGACATTTCCATAGCCGAATAACGTATAAACTAGGATATAAGACTTTAGCCGCTTCGGAGTAACTGTACGACTCGTACCCTTGAACACATATGACGATCAATACCTGGGAATTGCAGAGAACACCATTAATGATTAGGCTTAACGAAGAAATAAAGCTTAGCGACTCACGTTTATACCTAATTGCACCTGAATATGCCAACCGTTCTTAGAGAGAGTTCTCTGGTTGGAACCACCAACAAATGCGAACCTTGAAACTCCTGTATCAAATGTTCAGTTGGACTTGTGTTGTGTCCTCATCCTGAAACGTACCACACGCTATGTACCAGGGCGCCGGACAAGTCCCCGAACATATCCACTAGGTAGAAATATAGAGCATGGGTGCTGAATGCGACATGAAGAGCATCGAGAAACCTGTCAACTAGTTTAGCAGATACTCGCCATGAATGAGATTAACTGACCAAAGTAACGCTACCTGTGGCATACGAACCTCATCATAATGCCCGCTCTGCAAGAATTTTGACGTATAGAAAATCGGTAGAGCCGCATGTCACTGGTGTATTTCTTGTAGTATATGAAGCGGTGGGCCATCGCAGGGCGCAGCAGATCCGAGTCCTGAAGATGGGGTAGGCTGCCCTGCGTGGGCGGCACAAGGTGCGTTGAATGGTACAACAGAATAGTGATACTGAACTTGTACCGACCAACTGAGAAGATTTACAATGATCGGGACAAGGTGAAGAAGACTCCGGAGCATAAATGAAAAGAAAAGGAGCGGGGTCCCCTACTCTTCTGACAGGCTCATCATAGTTAACGGATGTCACGGCGGTACATTTGAAAATTCAAATTGATTGAATAATGGTCCAATGATACACGATACAAGGTTACTGATCTTGAGAACAGCACTCAAGCCTGGGCAATGAAGGTGACGACGTCCAAGGATACGACAACGAATACATTCATGATAGCAAGGGTGAGAAGTCGAATGGCCTTGGCAATGATGAACCGTACCCAAGTAATAGGTGGAACCGCAATGTGCAATGGAGAAGGCTAGAGACAACATCTATATTTCAAGTCGGTCGACAGACTGAACTGAGTGAGAGGCCACGTACCCAATTTTTGTTGAGGCCTCAGATGGCCAGTGTGCCCCAAAAGGTCCAGCCAACATACCCCATTCACTGCTACATCTCAGCCGTCACCCGCTAACGCTTCCGGTGTCTGCAGGGTATGCCTTGTTGGACACCAGGTGGGATACTGATTGAATTAATAGCACCAGTCCCAGCAACAGTATGTGCGAGCGAAGTAGCTGAGAATGTAGGTCATCTCAGACTGTATCTGTGGTTGTTGAGATGAGGTCGAGATCGAGGAACAAGAAATGGCTGTAAAGCGTAAAGAGAGGTGGCGAGTACCTCCCTAGTGATCAGAGATACAACAGCTAAAGCAAATGTTAATTTCACCACGAATGCACAAATCTCAAGTACGTACCGAAACGTTGGCAATGTGAATCATCTTCAGCGTCAAGCGAAAAAGCGAAAGAAAGCAAAGAAAGCAAAGAAGAACGGCGTTCTGAGTCACCGCGAGGTAATACAGTATTACTAAGCAATAAACCGGCATTGACGTCACGGCGAATTATCGGACTATCACCATCATGCACCGCCACCAAAAGGCTCGCATAGACCGAATCCTGTATACACAGGACTCGGAATGTCTGGATCTCAAGTTTCGACATGGAGGTGTCAGATCACCACCGTACACTTCTAAAGTAGGAATTGAAGAAGTCATGTTAGAGGTTCGAGAAATGGGCGTCGTATGTATTTCATTCCACTTTGCTTTGACGAAGGTTGCGAAGGAGACTGAAATACATCGAGTTCGACAATGTATCATTCGAGAGAAAAATAAAGAGCTTACTTCATCTATTAAAAAAAACGCAGTAGAATGATACCTGATGTTGGTTGTCTTGTACTCCAGGCCTGACGAATGGATTTCACTCATGGTCGCCCCTCATTTGATTCTGTTGGTCCTCGTGTCTGGCTTGGCGACTAGGGAAGAATGGCACAACATACCTGGTTCTTGCCAAGTTCTCACAACGGCCTTCGTAATAGCACCTGCCTATTTGATGGTTGCACTCGTCACTGTATGTTTTCACACTTTTTTTCGAGAGTGGGCTTGATGCCTTATTCAGTTCATCGTACCCATGTCTTTCTCGGGGTCAATTTTCTTCTTACAAAGCTTACATTGGTTGTTGTCAAGGGATAAATCAGTCATCTCACGCTGACGCAGTTTGCATCAGCTCTCTGTTATCGACTTGAGTTACCATCATCTTCCCTCCGTGCAACCCATTCAATCTGATACTAGCGTGAACGCTCGAAAATGGATCAAGAGTATAAACACCGGAAGTGGTACTGTTTTCTCAGAACACGCATCTTTCTCCAATATCATGCACCCTACCCGCCGTCGGTAGTGCTAGTGTGGGAGATACAAAGGTACGGGTCTCTTTTTCCGAGTTGAGCCATTTTACTCAAGACCAGGTTAGACATAGCATTCTCCGAGGTTCGCAATAACAGGCCACAAAAAATAATGACGATTTTTCTCAAATCATTGAGAGACACTCGAGATGAGTGTTCTAAAAGGTACAAGGGTGGGTGCGTAGGACTAAAGGGCGATTTATCTTCCAGATAACTTCGCATGTATTTATAGAAGATCTGATAAATGGATCACACTTCGACTGTGCTTGTATCACTTGGATTACGCTGGTTTTATCCCACTTCTCTGTTTAATTGCGAACAGGAAGCAGATGAATGGACCTCGGTGCTGGTACATTGTTCTTCCTCGCAACAAACTCGACTCTACTACCCGATAACTTGTTCGTGATGTACTCATACCGTATTCGACAACGTTACTACACTACTATCGTCGAGTCCCAGACCTAGGTGGATCGACGATGGTAGTTGCCGCTGCCAAGCCTTGTTCAAAGCGAAAGCAATCCCATATTCAATTTCCTCTCCAACCGCCACCACGGCTCAACAATAAAGGCGTTCTAACACGGCTGATCGCATACATATCTGGGTTACATCGTGTGGCAAAAGGGTCTGATTTTCCTCGAAGATATCAGAACAAGAACGTGCGGTACATGCTGTCCGTCAAATTGGAAAACACCGTTCTGGAGGGAGTATCTAGAAAAGGTACGTATACTAGCCACGGCTATCGGCTAAAACTTTTACTGAACATTTCCTACAGAATATCAGTCTTATCCAGACTACAGTCTGGTCCGTTGAAAGGGGCTCTCGATTGTCAAGTCTGAGAATGACTTTCTTCAATGGTTACACGCTGAGCCAGCCGTAGAAGCATCGCCTCGATTTGACAGATATAATCCTTTCACATCGAAGGAAGTTCGAATTTGATGTCTAATCATTACTAAAAGGTGCCATCGTATTTCTAGCTGTCGACTGTCGTATGTCTGAAATACCAGTTCAGAGCACTTCAAAGAGATTCTAGCATAGGAAGGTCGGGCAAAATCAGGTACAGTGATGTGCTAGCAGACGAGAAGTAGCGAGATAGAGCACAGCGGAAGGGACCGTGGCTGCCGCCGGCACCGCGTGTCCAAAGGCAGAAAGCAATTTCATATTTGATTTGCTTTCCTTGAACTACCACCATCATCGACACCGCCAGCGAAGACGACGGCGTGGATTTCCATCGCGGTTCTCCTGCTATTCCTGTGATTCTGCCACAACTGCAGTTAATCCAACTTTCTCCTCAACATTACTCTGGCTAAGGAAGTCGCTGCCATTACGAAGATAAACGAATATCGAGACATTTGCGATCTATTGAACATGTACCCGTGCAATGGTAGGCAAATTCCACAAGCTATCTCATTGGAATGCCATTGATCATCACATTTAGGGCACTATGACAACGGAAGCACGAAAACGATGGATATATGCTATTCTATCCGGATATGGTACGCGTCTGATACCTTCTAACAGACACTGAATTCTCAATTTCTGTCCTACAGAAGCTTGGATCGAGGACTGGCTCTCGGTTCGTCAGTCGGAAGACGGGATCCTCAGGAAGAAGCACGGAATTACCACATCGGTCGTATACTCCCAGCCGAGCAGAGTCCCATATCTCTGATTGTCAGAGTCATCCCACCCGTGCTCTCAACGCCTCATCATTGGTAGGTCGTGTCAATATGCATCTCCTGCAGCCGTAGTTCTGAGAGGTGTGGATGTCGAAGACGCTCGACATCACTTTTGTCAATCCTTGCTGTCCCTGGCATGGTACGCACATTTTGCGAAACCTTTCCTGATTTCTGATCTCTAACACTGCCTCAGCGTTTATACACTATCTCCCTCTTTAATCTCGACCGAAGGCTGTTTCGACGGGCTCATAATAGCGACGCCACGGTTGAGACGGCATCCTTGATGAAAGGAAACAATATCGGATATGACGACCTCCCGTATGGCATTCAGGAGGGGACCGTGTGTACATGGTGCCCAACTATGGAAACCTGCGACAGAGACCCATGTTCAAACGTTGCCTCGCGAATCATGGTACTAAACGACTACAGATAGTGAGCATCGTGAAATATTTATCACTCATGTTCTTATCTTCCGTCTTTAGTCTATCAATGATAATGATAGCTGTAATATTAGAACTGGCCGAGGACACGTTTAGTGGTGCGAGGAGTACAGGGAGAAAGGTTAAATTTACGCGTCTCCGTACCTAAATCTTCGCTGACCGTCGTGTCAGATCATCGACTATCTAAGCTCGTCTGCTTCTCATCTATCATGCTTTTACCAGTTCCTGTATAATACAGAGAGCGGAAGAGTGCCTTCGTGGAGAAGTAATCCATAATTTATGGCAGTTAGTCCCAAGCAATGACGCTATTGTTTTGGGTATGTTTCTCGTCGCCCCGCTACTGTGGTTCCACGTCTGATCCAGGGCTAAATCAAGGGAGATCCGGTTCATGAAGCTGAATTTGGCCCGCGACGTCATCTAAGGAGTAGTTGTACATATATTAATTGTCATATCGTGAAGTTCGGCTGAACGGTGATGTGTTATAGGTACGACTGCCGGAACTGCTACTAAGATAGACACTATGTTGCGAACCGCGTTTAGACCATAATAATAACTAGCTAGTGCATGGTGTGTCACTAGGATAGCGCTTCCGCTCTAGTAACTCGGAGTTCCGTGTAGAATATAGTCTGCGGGAGGCCCATACCAGTCGACTATTGTAGGTAAGCGTGCTATCCTCCGAGTCTTGTCCTGCTAACCATTATTTGAGCCAGATTTTCTGCTCCTTAAGATACTCTGTTGATATTGCCCAACCGACTTCGATTTCCTCGCCTGTAAGGACCCCCAATCGTGCAAAGATCCCATCTTGCGAATGGTGTCATCAACTTCCGTTGCTGTCTTAGTATATATTTGCAGAATGCACTGTTGTTCGTCTCTCCTCTCATATGTGGATCCTGCTCTACAGCCAGCTCGATTACTCTCTCAGACAAGCATCGCTGTGTTTTTCCATCGTTCTCCGTCTAAGGTTGCTGGAGCACCTTCCTTCCGCCTTCCGCCTTCCGCCGATTCTCTACCGGCTTTTTGAATTTTGATTGAAAGACATGATATATCACAACGGGACAGCCTGTGTTGGAATTATTGCAGTGGGAGGCTTGCAGTAGGTATAATACTGAATTGTTAGCTACTAGAGCTCCTAATGAGCTCCTTATATACTACGAAAAGTATCTAGAATATTCTACCTAAAGTACTAAATATATCCAAGTATCGTGACAAATGAGTAAGCCGAAGCTTCGGGAATCTTCTGGCATAAGCTTGAAGTTGCAAATCCCAACAGCCTGAATTCCGAGTCCTGTGTATACAGGATTCGGTCTATGCTAATCTGAGCCTTTCGGTGGCCCGATAATTTGCCGTGCCGTGCATGCCGTGGTCGCCCACGTTGATGTCACACGTCACACATGTTACGCGTTCTCTTCTGAGCATTGTTGCTCTTCCTCAGCCATCTCGTTACCAAACGAGGCTATGTCCATAGTCCTGATGTCTCTCTCATGAAATTAATACTGCTGGTAGGACCGCTTCCTTAACCTTATTCCTCAATCCTCATCTTGTCACGGTCCATAGGCATCAATGTCACTTCCACTCAAATTCAAGTCTGCTGCTGTCTGCCGCCAAGGCCTACAATACGAGACACGGTTTCTGGATACCGTTCTTCGATATCACACCCAAGGGCATCTAGATCGTAATGTAAACGAATGCTGAAGGCGTTTGCACTCTCGAAAATGATGGGAACTCCAGGCAAATCAAGTCGACGAGAAGGAGAAGAGAGGGCAGCGAAAAGGTTTGGCTAGCAGAGTATTCATGTATCCAACGTGTGTACGTATTGCTTATTGATTCTGGTTTGATCACTGACCGTGTACTTGTGGGGTAGACCATCGTCAATGGCGGCATCTTGACCGACTTTTAGTATTACGTCGGACATCGTCTTAACGACACGAGTGGGAGCAGAACGAATGTCTTAGGTTGTCTCCGGCAAGTATAGTAGAAGTACCTCAGGTATGTTCTTCTTATCGTTGGCGTTGTGGATGGTCCTGACCTGTCTTCGTAGTGTGCCTGTACCTTGTCAAGCGGCCTCGTTCGATTCAGCATCACTCAATGCCCTGTTCAACCTACCACTTACTGCAAAGGTGTGTTCTTTCCTTCTGTGTGTTTTGTTTGTTGTTTTAGGATCTGGAGGTGAATTTAGTTCCTGGGAGAGACGGCATACAATCACTACTGTTCTATTGTTTAACTTTATCGTGTTGTCACTGTGTCGAATATGAACCTTGTGCCACGCCCACGCAGAGCAGCCCACCCCAATTTCAGGGCTCGGATATGCCGCGCCCTGCGATGGCCCACCGCTTCATCGTATCTACGTCAATGCAAGTCCGTGAGGTTGCATCGTGCACAGGATGCCGGCGGCACGACATATTCAGAAGCAGCAAGTAATTTCATATTCCATTTTCCTCCTTGATGGCGAACCATCATCGCCCCCGCCGCCCCTGAAGAACACGGTTCGAAGACGACAGCGTTATATGGAATTTCACGCGTCTCACGCACTTCTTTTACCCTCGTAAGCATGAAGTAGCTGTTGTCGTGCAGCTTTCGGAGAACCAAGCTGCAGGTGTGTGCATCGTCGTTATTTAAAAGTTATTCCTCAGCTTTCCTCCAGTGCCTCTCGCCTATACGTTTATTGGAAGCACGGCTGAAACATTTATCTATTTCTGCGATCCCCGACAAATTCTGGGACTTTGAAAGTCCGGTCTACATTTCGCATAGTGGCTAGCCCTTCGCCGATGGTGAGTACTTGCTTTCAAGACTGTCTATCAATATTTTGAGGGACAGAGCGTCATACGTACTTATTTAAAATATAAGTGTGTTTGGTGTGTATTTAGCCGTTCTATCACTGCAGAATCTCATTTTCGTACTAGGACACTCAAGGTGGATCCGTTCCCTGGTTCTTCGACGAAGGAACCGCCATCCCGGCGAGTTGGGGAAAATCACATCCCCCATGGAGAGGTGCACGATCATGCGATGGCTCTCAGAATTGTCCTTAGCAACAATGGGTAGCTGTGTCCTAACCACCACACCTTGCACCCATAGGCTCTGGAAGCGTCCGCTTTCTGTAGTCTGTACTATGGTCCGCGTTGAGTACGGGTAACAATTCGACCGAGGGGCAAAATCATATAACAACTGATGTCTAGGTTATCATAACGCAGGCAGTAGTAATTGCACCTCCTCACTCACTATCGCAACTCATGGTAGGTCGCAAATCCCTACTATCTGCATTACGAGATTTGAAGAGGAGAGCGCCATTCTTGGAAGATCGTAACGCCCTCTCCGTCCTTAGCCTGTCCTCTACGAGCATAGCGAAGTCACCAGGAGACCAGGTATTGAAGTTCATCGTCCGGGGCCAGTTGTCAGTATATAAGTTATCCAAAAAACAAGCTCATTTCCCACTCATGTTTAGCAGAACCCTTTAGATACATCTTTTCGACTACAGCTATCGTGAGCATCACGAAAGTAACAGGAGGCCATGAGGCGCCTGGACGTACACACAAAACCTTTTATCTTTGGGCTGTCGTCTTCGTGGGCTGTGGTAATATTTTTCACGCAGACAGAGGTCGGATTCCTTGCAGCGGTAACGCGAATGGGTCTGTCTATACTTCTGTTTAATTCTACTGTATTACATACAAACATTACACATCTGCCGACGCATAGTCTATTGTATAGCCATCGCTGGAAGCTTAAAAAAACAAACCGTGTTTATCACCAATTCAATAAATATTTAGCGGAAGGCAAAAAGGCGAAGTAGAGTACTCTCAGACTTTATTATAATTGAGAGCTCCCTTTGAATGGTCCAACTTATGCTCGAGCGAAAAAATGTCCTGGACCTCAGAGAGCGGACCGGTGATACTCTGAGTGAAATACTCTATACATGTTCTCGATAGTAATTCTGTGGACCGTACCGTTCCTGGAGAAGAACAATCAGAGATGCGAGATGTGATCCTGACGACAGCAGGAGTTGAACGTCTTTCATGCTCTGCATTTGATTTTGGTTCCAGGCGTTCACTTCGGTAATTGAACCTAGCGGGAGTTAGCCTTTGGTGAGAAACCCATGAGAATGACATGCATAGCGAGAAGGGAGTTCACATAGACTGAATGAGTTTGTCAGCTTCTGTAACGGCTAAAGACCGGTACTGACGTTTTGGTAGGATGAAACTGATCCCGAGGAAAATCAGGGTCTTCGGCCACACAACATACTATGGGGATTGGTGAAGTTCCGAAATATGCATGAACGGAGAAATTGGCTGACCGAAATGAGAGTAAGTAACGAGCATGTACTAGCAATTGTTAGGTTATCCGACGTGCCACGCAAAGCTGAGGACACCTTTACCATGTAGCTAACCCTGACACAAGGACAAGTCGTAGTAAACCGAGAAGGAGAGACACCGTACTATTGCGGGTATGTTTAGACGATTTAGGAAAGCTTAGAAGAATGAAGTAACAGACGTAGATAAATCCGTAGCTGCTGTGCTCTTGTACAGATAATACCACATAATAAGAGCTATGGCAAGATCCGTTGCGATGACCGTCGCAAAGAAGGTGTAAATTGAGATCTACAGCATGTTGACTGATTGTCAAGACTGTGCAGAGCCTTATCAACGTAGCATACCTTGATATTAGAGATAGTCCAGAATTTTGATGTCACGAAACTGTTAAAATTAATTGCATGCCACGATAACATCCAGACTGAAGCTACAAGGATCGGCTTACATGGAATAGATGATGACTGTGCATAGTGTGCATAGTTAGCAGTGCAATGTAATGACGGAATGAGTTGATGATGCCTTACATACTACCAGCGCCTGAAGAATTGCACGATCAGCCAAGCTATTGGAAACGAGAAAGTGAAATTCTTAATACCAAGTGAAGTTGCTATGGCTAATAACTGTCTTTGATAAGTGGGAGAACTGTACTCGATAGCATAAGGGCATCTTTACCACGAACCAAAGGGGAGTCATGCGAAAATGCCGCCCAACTATAAATAAGTTAAGCCTTGACAGTAGGAACCACGATGACACAAAAATACGGACACTTCCATAGTCGGATGGTATACAATCTAGGTGTTATAAGGCCTTAGTAGCAGCTTAATATAAGTGTCGTGTCTCATACCCTTGTACAAATACAATGATCCACACCTTGGAGGAATAACCGGCTGAGAATACATTCAAAAAGGTTGAAATATGTCATACATTTATGGCCATCTGAAGCTGAGTATGCAAGCCATTGTTAGACCTTTACGATAGGACGACGAATGAATGAGCACCTTCATGCTCCTGCGAGAATGAATCGTCAATGAGATTGATGTCGCATCGCACTTCTGCCCGGGGACGCACCATGTATTACTTTCGAGGGAACCAATCAAATTCCCATACATTTCAATAAGATAGTAATATAGCGCGTGAGTGCTCAAAGCGACGTGAAGAGCGTCGAGGAACCCTGTCAAAACATTTAGTAGATACTTACCGTGAATAGGATGAACAGACCAGAGTAGCGCTACCTGTATCACGAGTCAGCTCAATTCCAAGACCAAAAGAATTTCAACACACGGAACATCGATAGAGCCACCAATCGTTGCGGTATTTCTTATAGTATATGAGGGCTTGTAGATTCGTTATTCCAAATAAACTATCAAACGAATTAAAGGCATTGTTGCAGGCGGTGAAACCTGTCACTTACACTGCAGCAATAGTAGCACCGATGTAGAGAGCGCCAATGGTTTCTCCACAGGATGGGATAGATTTTGAGAGATATAATTCCATTGCTAGTTACGAGGAAAGTGTCGAGGAATATCTTTGAGACTCGAATCCATCTTATAATGGTTGAGTAAAACTATCACGACACCGAGCGGTAAATGATCAACATTAGCATAGATTAATTACTAACTTCTTGTCGATGGTATTGCCGCATCATAGTTCTTGATGTCTGTATTTCAACTGAGGTGTAAGATGCCGCACTGCTGTTTACTTCCAAAGTAGGACTATTAGAACCAATCATGGCGGAGGTATGGGATGCAGATATCTAAATGATTTTGTTTTATCTTGATTCGATGAGGAAGGCTGTGAAAATACACGCGGATCGACGGAGTGAAATTCAATAGCAGCGGGAAGATCTTGCTTCTTCTGGAAAAGCAATAGAGTCGTACATGCGAATGCGCTGCTTCTTTGTTCATCCTTGTCATTTGACCAGTGATAATGATGTTCCAAAGCACTGGTGATATTACTGTATGAGACTATTACTGGGTGCTTAGACGCAGTAGAAGTCGATACCGACGATCTTGAGTTTACTTGAAGCCTGCCGCAGATTTCACTTCTCGTGTGCCGGGAGCTTTCTCTGTTCAAGATGTTCAGTTGCCGGATACTTAGAAGGGTTTAAATTGGCATGAACTCGACTCGAGGAGGTTTCATTTATCTTTTTGACCAACACCATCACCCAGGCGCATCCAAAAGGCACTACAAAGCCATAAGGGCGCTGATTATAGCTATTGAAGTTAGTAATATGTGTGGACAAGAATACTTGATTGTTGTTTATTGACTTCATCCTGTACTCTATGCATAGCCATCGTATATACTACTCTGCTTTGTACGAGCAGAGCAATTAATTCCCATCAAAACAAAGTGGCCTGCTGGGAAGAGAGTACAAGAAGTTATCCGAGAGGGAAGCGATGAATCAACGATGAATGGTGGAATGGCATGCCGCCGGCATGGACTATTCGAAAGCGGAAAGCAATTTCATATTCATTGTCCCCTCTTAATGACCAACTACCATCACCATCACCATCGCCTCCACCGCCGCCCAGAAAGACGACGGCGAGACAACAATAACTCTCTGTGGGCCTCCAGGTGTGATGCTTCCTGTTACCTCGCAAGGAAGGAAATCCGAAACCTGCCAAATGTTTGCTTTTTCAGTTACTCGAAGATATCTGCTTAGCTTTTCTCTGGCTACTAGCTAATAACTCCGCTACCATTTTCGATGAATATCGAATCTTTCAGGAGCTTGTAACCATATAATGGTACGCGTATTGTAGCGCTTCTACGGAACGCGGTCTCTCAGCCTTTTCAAGGTTCTCATTGCAACGCACGGTCGAGCGAGGCGGATATATGCTATAATATGTTGATGTGGTGAGTATCTGATGCTTCTTGTCAATGAACTAATCTAATTTTTCCCTTTCTGGCGAGAAGTTCGTCGGAAAAACTATAGAAGAAGATCGAGGCAATCACGATTTGTAGAATACATCTCCCAAGGTAAGCTTGTTGTGAAATAGTTTCTCCTCTGAACTTCGTTTACCAGCATTTCAGGCACCATCGCTATCTACGGTAGAAATGGATGTATGTATGCTATCTGATCTCGATGTGGTGCGCATCTGACGATTTTCTGTTGTAACCGAACCCTTATTTTGGTGCTACAGAAAACACCTATCGGAGCCCCGCATCATTTCAACCACGAGCTTGATAATGATCCTCAACGAGGTAAACTGCTCGAGTACCGCAAAGATCCCTCGCATTGTTCAAGCCGAGCAACGAGTCGTACCTTTGGTCACGATATCATAACAAGGGTAGCTGCGACACTAGATTCTGTTTAACACCCTTCCCCTAAAACAGCGAGAACGGATTGACTGCCGCGCTATCGTATCCTCCGGAACATGGTACGTGTATTTTATAATAAATGCATTACTTCTCTGATAGTCGCTTAGCGCCTGGGTATTGGAATTTCCCCCTCCTCCAATCTCGGGCCAGGTTTATTCGTGTTCAAAGCTTCACTTAGTCATCTTCAGCCTCTACTAGCATTTAGGCTGCGATTGCTGATCGCTCCGGTCCGGCTCATAGTATCGAGGTCATAATTGTCAATGACAGATATGTCGACCTCGCCATATGGTGCGAAGGCGAGTGATCTGTGCATCACCGATTGTTCCAATGCTGATATTGGTCGAAATTGAAGGGAACCGAGTTGACCAGAGCGATTTATTTAGGCTCCGGCGTAGGTTTGGAAGTTGAGGTATGTGGTATTACCTGAGCATACTAAGACATGAGATTCACGGCCCCCCCGCAGCTGTGGTCTACTCGATGCATATTTTATTCAAGGTCTTTCCTCGTAAAATAAAGCCACAGAATGGTGACCATGACCGAAGGTGCGTGCGCCTCTCTGAGTCATGAGTTTGGCATTGACATATGAACTAGATTCCCGCCGGAAGAGGCTTGACTTGTGGCTCCTCCAGATAGTAAAGGCGACCCGACAGTTATGGCGAGGCCGCATGTTGCAAAGACTCGACAAGAGCCATACGTCTTCGTTCCATTGCGCCCTTTCAGCGAGTCCGCCGTATCGTATGTGGGTACTAAGCTGATGGATCTGCATTCAGTCGGAATACTAAAGTTAATTCTCAGCGTGTATCGCCTGATATCTCTGCTGTTCACCGCTCAGAGTGCTGCGGCTCAAAACTTGCTTCCTTACGACGATATTGATGTACGTTTCTTCCCGTCAAACTGCGCCGTGCTCAATGACATCATGTTTTCCCAAGGTAACCTCATCGTGATGATCTAGTCTTCATCGAACATCCGCACCTTGAATCGTACATCCAGTACTATCTGGCTCAGTTATTATATTTTATTCGAAAAATTTCTGGCTTATTCAGAGCCACCCAAGATTATTAAGGAGAACTGGATTTCTCAATGTAATTATACAACGATTTTAATCTTCCCAAACCGACATTGGCTCAGAGTGCATGGCTGGGAACAGTTTCACATCACGAAATAGCTGACTCCTTGGCTTTGGGATATATGACCGGGGTGGACGACGAGGAGGCAAAGGCGTCAGAGGTGGATGGGCCCGGCTATCAATCATCATCGGAGGCTCAGGGACCTTGCTTCGCCACATGTAGATCATGGTAAGGAGAAGCAAGACTGCGAATGACCCGCAGATCGAAGCGATGACAATCGGAGTCCGCAGGGACTCGGAGACTTGGCGAGATACCAGGCGATGGAATCTTGGAGGAATGCGCTGGTCGACGAATGTGGGGGCAGGCAGACAGAAGGTTACGGTGACATGGTCGGGGGCTGTAACTGTCGGTGAGATACACATCGGAGCAAAAACAGAGGCCAACTACTCGCCCGAATACCTGGCAAGAATCAACGCATGCTACCGATTATGCAAAAAGATGACGTACAGCAGTGTTATAGGGACGGAGGATGTATCGCAACTGTCAACAGCCCTTCCGGATTCGTTGACGCGGACGGTCGAACAATTTTGTCCTCGTGGGCCGCATAATCCTGCTTTCATGAGTATGGAACTCGTCGTGTACGATATACCCGTACCTTGGTCTAAGAACCTGAGAGTGTGTTAGGGAGTGCGTTGGAGAATTTAAAGGAGACTCACACAGATACGACACCTGAACTCTCATACGAGTTGGCCTCATCTACCCGCATACCATCTTCACGGATCAGCGATAGCTGTCTTCGTCAGTCCTCTCTGTTTGTCGAGCAAATCTGGAAAGACCCACGCTTCCAGTGCCACAGCTGCAAGTCGTCCGGTAAGTCACCGTTAAAAACCCAAATTCACATCCCACTTACTTATTTTCCAAGCGAATGATATACGCCATAGCAGTAGGGAAAAAGAGCGAAAGGAGCGTCCAGCACTGTAGAGGGAAGAGGAACGACATGAGAGTAAGATGGTGAAAAGAACTGGGGTACGTCTCAATATAATTAATGTCTCCAGGTCTTCCATGGACACGTTCTACGCAGCTTGTCGTAAAGCCGGTCCGCCGTTACACTTATTGACCGCGGGCGGGATCAGGCTTCTTGGAGACTAGGATCAGTTAGAGTTGGAATGAAGGATCAGCGCTCCGCACTCAATACCACTCAGCTAGCTCTGAATCTCGCATACCACCTTCAGAATATTTCGACCAAACGGCAGGTTATACAGTCCATAGTGTTGCGACGACAGTGTACATGCCAAAGAAGCGGCGTCTTTCAACGGTAACCACCAATCATTGCCAGGAGGATCCGCCACGTTGCTTTGGCAACACCCACGGGTACCGCTGCGAACATAAAATCACAATGAAAAATGATCTCTTCTTCCACACGGGTACCAGGTACTGTACCTAGATCTGACTCGTTCTAAAGTTCCAGGGACCAACTCAGCAGCAGCAACATCATCAACTCGTCGTGCGACAAGTGGTATGCGTGTGCGGCGACCATGACGCGTGCTCGAAATACGTATCGGTTACGCAACGTTTAACAGGTGTCTTACGAAACCAGCTCAAACTCCACTTTTTACTGATCAAAAAGCTCTAGCCGACGTTAACGAGTCCGAACTAGGCGAAGGAAGAACTTGCATTTCGTTAAAAGACTACCTACCTGTGGGACGAGAGCACATTGTGAAAACGCTGTGGATCAATGGACGTCCCTAAGTCCTGGTAACAGTGGAAGTTACGGATGACGAAAGGAAAAATTTTCCTCCTCATGGACGTCAGAATCTTGTCGTGTCACGGTCTGGCAGTTCACGGCATTACATACCCACAACGGCGGGTCCTCAGCACGAAAATAGACTATTTTACGGCGATCTCTCACTACTATTCGACTGCATGATGGCTAATCAACCGGCTTCTTGACGAGGATCGCTGCGTCGGTGCGTCGGTATCCAAGATTTATGGATGCTGCGTTCATAATGAAGGGGATCATGAACTCCCTTCGTCACACGGGAAGAGGTGGGACAGAACCTGTAGTTGCGCAGTCCTGCCGGATAACCCGGTCCGAGGATTCGAAAGACATTTGAAATTTGTCTCCACCGCTTCGAACAGCCACAGACGCGTCGCGGACGTGTTATCAACGTTGTTTCAGTCCGCCTGACTCTTTTGCTGTCTCATCGTCATATTTAATGCTACAATTCTAGGCAGGAGCTTCCTAGACGTGTAAAGACTTCTCTACATCAACCTATAGTATCTTTGCTTCATGCGAAGGCCAAATTTAACAGTTGCTTCGGCTGCGGGGACTGGTACGCGCGTCGCTCGGCTTTGTTGCTCCAAGGATAGAATTGAAGTCTTGCAAAAAATGATAGCTATTCGAAGGTATGTCGGTGAGCGTGTCAATTACTATTCGCTGTTTCAAGCCTGCTTTCAGGATCTGTACTGACTTCCACGGCTCCTCGGATGCTGCCCTGACGTGTCGGGGTTGGTGAAGGCACGTGCCATCTTCTCTTCTCTCTCTCTCTCTAATTCAAAACCTCCAAGATTTTTAGGCCAGAATTTACTCTTCATCTCTAGGAGGCGGAGAGTGTGAAAGTTGACGTAAGAGTGGGGTGGTACAAGGCAAAGAGGGGTACTGGGAGCCTTAAGTTGCGTTCTGAGCCCGAAGTACACCCTTGAAATTACGCCTTGGTACGCAGTATTCCAGGTCATGATCGGGTTCTTGTGATTCGACCCGATCGCATACGCAGGTCCCTGTGTAGATACGCAAAGATCGCAGCACGATCTAATGAGTACTGCGCGAGCGTTAAGCGTACTGACCCTCTCGGCTACGAACTCGGTGGCAATCCCCATCTTTTCCCATCTGGTTCGTTGGAATTCCTTGCGTACTCATTACCGTCTCCATCCTACCTACCAAATGTTCTTCAAAACCCACGCATTTTTTGCGATATCAATCGTCATGCTTCGGATGTCCATCTGGTTCCTAAATATTTTCGTGTGAATGCTGGAGAAACAAACGCTGATGGCAAGCGGTCGATGTATGAAGAACGTGCGAGAAAACACAGCCCAACGCACAAGAAGGCAGCGAAGAAGTGCCTGGACTTTAATTTCGTGCATCTTACTGAGCCAGTTCGCTTCTTGGCCTTCTCTCCTTCCGAGCTAGGACACAGGTTGTTCCTCATTGAAGCCACATTTTTGCCAGAGACCAGTGTTCATGCAACATTCAAGGGTGTTGAATCGCGAAGCACGATGGCGCTGAACCCCTGAAACATTAATTTCGAATGAAACATTCCAGAAGCAGGTGGCTGTGGGTGTCCGTTTTAAGCTTCATGAAAACCGCTCACTCTTCATATCGATACGCACACGATACTTGGGCGTGCCAGATTACATCCGCCATCGTCTCAGACAACGCCCTATAGAAAATGCTCTTTTGGGCCACTCTCGTTGCTTCTCAATGCGTTCACTTCCGTATGCTCTCTTTTGTCCCATGAGATAATATCCACTCCCTTCGAGAATAAAAGACCTTATATCAATTCTTACATCCAAACGGTCGATTAGATTACGCGTCCCTAGCTCCCTGCAGCTCAGAGAGGTCTAACGAGGGTTGGAATCATTGTACGTCAAACAAATACGTTAAAGGTCTCCTGCTGACTATACGGTCGCGCCAAATATGCGCTTCAGAAACGGGTATCTTCCGGAACCCGGATGCGATCGACTCTGGACTAAGGCTGACTATCATCACATATCACAGGGAGAAACTCTTGCTTCATAAATCATAAGCACTCATACAGCATACCAATATACGGGGGTCAATGCTAACAATGTTTCGGATTCAGTGGCGCTTGTATGCATAATGCCATGCGCGAGACATGAGGAAAGCACAGGTTCAACAAGATTTCGATACGAAGAACTGACCCAGTCGAAGACGGGAGAGATAGAAACCTTTCAAAATAATTAACGGAGAGAAGCCAGCAAAGTAGTGACACGGTGTGATGCAGAGTTCAGAGCAAGGACAGGATTGATCGCAGTTCGGCATTTTCCGTAATCTTTTAAAATTTGTCGTCGCAAGCGACTATGACCTTGAGACGCTTGTTTCGTTTTATTCACTAACTGCCTCGTTCTCATCGAAACGGGGACAATTCTGTGTCGGGTGGAGGTGCTCTCAGCTACAGTGACCAATACTTAAGAGTGTTATTCAATCCGCAGTCTACAGGCTATTCAGGCCATCCTTGGGAAGATCCACACTGCCATCACAGTTCCGTGGTCCGTCAGTGGGTCCGATCGCTTTTCACCCTTACAGGTACTTGGAAACCATAAGTGGGCTACCCTGAGCTTTTTGGACTCGAACAAGGGAAGTCTTACGATTTGTGGTATCTTTTACCCTGATACGTCTTCTATAGGTGACCTAAACCGTCGCCTACTGTATAAAGGGTCATCGCTATCACCGCTCTGTTGATGGAAAATCCTTTCAGTTGGCGGCGTCCTTCATATGGCCTTCTATCGCCGTGTATGGTACGGGGCCCAGTCCTAGGACTCAGCAGTGACAACCAAAAGAGGTGACCAATGCACTATAGATCCTGGCCTGCCCGATGAACATGAGACGAAGGCCAATGCTCCGCATTTAAGAGGTGCTTCATCTCTGTGCCCTTATACACCATTCGCAGGTCGATACTACTTCTTACCGGCTCTCCCTTGCTCTCTCTGGGTGAGGGACGACCATCAATGGATCATGCGCCCTATCTTATGCCCAGGCAATTCTGACACGCTACGTCCCACAGAGGATATTACCGACGCGGTCAGCTTTCATGTTCCATACCATTTTACCGGAAGCAGGGCCTTCGCAATAGTTGATGCAGCAGCAGCAGAGGTACGTCTTTCTATGACACTCGGAACAAGCCCGTTGCTTACTACTCGGTTTGGACTAGGCTGCTCTACATCTGGACTTGTTAGCGAAGATCATCAAATTATCAGACGGAATATCCCCACTGGAAGCCTTTGAATCACAACTCGCAGAAGAGTATGGGATGGCTCCAGACATCGACTCGGTGGAGATTTTCCAAGAGACGAAAGCTAGGGCACTACTACACACTACTACACAGAGAGGCCTCTTGTGTCGCCGCCTTGATCGCCGTTAATACACTGTACCATCTTCGCCTCGAGTCTGAAACTATAAAGAGACGCCTTCCAACCCGCGAAGGACAGATTATTTTGCACGATACTGTGTCCCAGCAAGTGAGCCGTCCACACTATTTCTTTCTCTTATCGATGCTGAGTGTTTGTGCTGTAGCCGAATAAACTCGTGGGTGCGTCGCGATTCTGGGCTGTTCTCATTGGGATCGATGCGTATCCGGATTCAGCATTACGTGGATGCGTGTCGGACGCATTGTCAATGGAAAACTACCTTCACGAGGACCTTGGGGTACCCAGAGACCGTTTCCAGCTTCTCCTTGGTCCGAGGGAGCAAGTTTATCCCAAAGGCTCTGCCATCCCATCCCGCAAAAATATCATTGATACGCTTCTTAGTCTCATCACCAATCCGAATATTGTAAACGGAGACAACATTGTTATATATTTTTCCGGACACGGATCGAACTATTCGTGGTTTCATCACCACTTCCAGGAATCCTCGAATTCTGATGGACCTATAGACGCCGTTTTAGCAGCAGGATCCGTCGAGGCGCTTTGTCCTATTGATCGCAATAGTCCTGATGCAAATGGTTGCCCCATCCCCGACATCAGTGACCGAGAGATTAATGCCGTCCTCTCGGAACTTTCACGCGTCAAGGGAAACCGGATCACACTCATTCTTGACTGTTGTCACTCAAGCAGTGCCTCCCGTTGCCTATCTGAGTCAGGAATTCGCAGCGTTACTCCGCTTCCTCGTAGATGTTTCAGAGATATGCTCGTTGCTGCGGATGAGAAGCTGAAACAGTTCCCTTGCCATCGATCGGTTTTTGCAGATGATTGGCGCCCAGATACGGAGTCTCACGTACTTCTTGCGGCATGTAGGGAGTACGAGTACGCGAAGGAAATGGAAGGGGATACAGGCTTCAATGGGTTTTTCACAAAGTCCCTAATTCGCACCCTCACGTCTGGTTCCGTGACTGAGAAGTCAACATATGTTGATCTTGTTGCTGCTCTTGATCGATCAGGTCAACAGACACCAATTGCTGCAGGAAAGCACAGGAATTCGAAGTTGCGGTACCAGATTTAATCATATCTGTCGTTTCCGCTAAACGTTATTATTTCGAAGACAGACGTGACACTGACCTCAAGTTAAACTATACCACCAGGGTCCGTTGCGCAAATGCATAGGTACCATACTGTTGTTACTGATTCATTGTTGTATATATATATATATATTGGAATTCACTAGCGGTGCTAATTCTCGTCCAATCGAAGTGGAAGGGGAAGGGAGGCTTCCCTCGCATAATGCACGTTAAAATTGCTTCACATAAAACTTCTTCGCAGGGGAGAACAGGTTCCGAATTTGTGTTTCAACGTTAACATCAAGATCAGGAAACCAACAACACAGATGCATTCTCGGTGATAGCTATGCTCATTCTGCTGCGATGTCTCGTCCTACCCATTTATACGTGTCCAAGAGCTTTCTGTACTTGTACAATGGCATCGCATCTCTCAAGAACTATTCCGTCCCTTGGAGGCACTCTCGGCGCTCTCGGGCCAGGAGATTTTTGCGAGCGACACTTGCGAGCTTGCGTTCAACTGCGTTCATTTGCGTTGAACTCAAGTTGAACTGCGTTACATTGCATTTAACTTGCATGCATCTGCGCACATATGAATACCTTTGCTTGTGTTGCATACAAATACTTAGCTCTGTTTTACATACACTAGTAAAGTGCGTCTTATTTCGAACATTTACTTGCTGTTTCCGAGTTTCTGGATATGTCCCACCAGGTTAATGTCCCTTACTATGACTCAGGAAAGCCGTTGAATAATATGAAAATGCTATACAGGTATTGGTTTTACCTACAAAATGAGCACCCTCCATCATAGCGATATTTCACTTCGAAATGAATAAGAAATCTGACCTTTTTTTGAACTTTGCGGGATGAACAGGTTCTCAAACGAGCAAAACTTGCTTATACATCTCACAAAGATGTCATGCATACATTGCAAAGTAGAACGCAAGCCTTAAGAAGATGAACGCATGCGGTTGGAAATTAAACGCAAGCGAGCGGAAGCGGCTCCCGATTGGCTCGCAAGTGTGACGGAGTTGTGACAACATGTAACATTTGCGTTCGACGCGAGTTGAACCGTCTTAACTCTTGGTCACTTCTGATATTTTTGAGTTATCAGCTTCTAGTCGTCACATTTGTGTTCGTTTAATATTCCCATGATATATCTTCTATTGAACTTGACCCTCTCTGACCAGCAGCCAATGTTTGACTTACCTTCCTCCCTCCAAGTCTGTTCGTGCCTTACACCAGTTTTCTTGATATTAGACCCCCCCATTCACGACCGTTGAAATAAATTATTGATTTACTAGATATTCCAAGTCAAATAATCACTCCATAGGTTGATTTTTTGGCTCTTGAGGTTGGGTTTTGAGCTTTGAGAGGATATTACCTCAAAATAACCATCAAATTTCCATTCTTTGCCAAAAGGTATTATATCTTTCTGCGTCTAGAAGCACTGAATAAATTCTGGAGCTATTTTTATACAAGAAATCTCAAGAAGGTCTTTGTCACGCTCGCACACGCAAATGCAAGCGTGACAATCGCATGCGAGAGAACGCAAACGCATGCTCGCAAGTGCGCTCGCAAAATTCTACGTGCCCGGCGCTCTCTACATCGGCGCTACCGTAGCCGCCGTGTAAATGGCTTTTTCTACTCCCAACAATGCTTTCTCACTCATTCTATCTGTAGCTTATTCGGTATAACAAATCTACAAACGGTCATTTACTACAAGAGATACCCTGATGACTGGTGGGTCTACAGATATTCTGTATGTCACAATTTGTTCGTAGTCAGTGTCATGCTGAAGTCTGTGATACAGGTAGCACTACTTTGGTTTGTTCATTTACACCTAGCTGTCAGGGTAATTTATGGCAGTATTCTTTGACAGGGTCCTTGATACCCTTCATGTCACTTTAAGCACGCATGCCCTATACTATTATCTCATTGATAAGGTCGATATTTTCAGGTCTTTGGTTGGAGAAAATGCGCAGTGGTATGCTTCCGGACAGGGAGAAAAGGCAAATTTCACTGACGATGCGTTACAGGAGCTTTAAGGTGAATCGTTTGTAGTCCGTCACATCATAAACTTCTCTAACTGTGGCTTGCATTTTCAGCTGCAATTTGGTATAAATGTGGGTCTTCATGCTGTATTTATGGCATTGCTTTATCTCATCAGCATTCCATCTAGGTGTTGATCGTTGTGTATGTCCAAGGGTACGAATCGTATCATTTACTGAAGTAGCAAAAGTCTTATTGGTATACTTCTTAGGGTGTATGCTATTCGACTATGGAAACGTTCGTATTTTAGGGTCGTTATGGTTACTATTGTGACGGCTCACATTGATCCTAGTTGGACGCTATTTTGGTAAAATTCTCCCATGGTGAATCGTAAGTATCCATTCAGTTATCCGAGCATCCTTCTCTTGCTTATTATCCGACAGTTCTTGGCCATTGTGATCTCGCTCGGTAATAAAATCCTGTTTTCTTGTCGAATATGTGTTCAACTATGTTTCATTTAGGTGTTGGGATATGTAAGAAATCAATGATAGCTTGCTTGGTCCGATTACACTGACAATATTCCTGCAGTTCTGGCCTATGGCATGTAAGGGATCATCAGTAACTGTGTTTTTGGCATCTGAATGACTCTTCACAGCTATAACACCGAGAAATTTTCCTTCACCTCTGATAGCGGTGTATGTGATAAGTTCACACCCTGAGAAATCATGGATATTTCATATTTCCCCCAATTAATGCAGGTTCCAATTTATGCCTTCCTCTCAACGAACGTTGCAGAGGACTTCATGATAGCCTTCATGATGTGCTACTACATGCACAAGAGTGGAGAAGCCATAAATTCATCCACGTGTGTGGATCCTAGCTGGGATCTTCGAGTTCTAATCGATTTCATCATAATAGAATGACCTCCTTTCTTGTCCGTCTAATGTGACTGGCTCTTGTATCAGGTTTAGCTACAAGGTGAAGATATCTGTTTTGACCTTTTATATGCTGTACCTGATGAAGCCAGCAGTGTATGCTCGTTACTCACTCTCATCGCCGTCTGCTGTCTCTCAATCTAACCTCACACCAGGATCTAACCAATATCCATAGTGTTTCGCGTGGCCAGAGTCTTTCATTTTTCTCGGGATTGAATTCGTCCTACCTAAACGTGGGTATTATTCATTGCCTACTAATAATGACTGACAAATGTCCTCACAGTTTACATCAACTTGCTGCTTGCTATGTAAATCTTCGTGTGTTTTCTTTACCTGAAGCTTAATTTTTCTAGGTTCAACTACCGATGTAAATGTAGGTCGAAAAAGGCAATCGAAGAGCACGGAGGACATTCAGTTCCTACCATCCTCCAGTTAGCACCCAATGGCTCCGAAGGTTCCATGGCAGACTCAACGGTATATAAACCAGTCTATCAATGCCTTGGAATTCTTACCCAGCGTCTATTTCAGAATACCAGAGTTTCGTTCCAGGGTATCTGTACTTTCGATGATAAGTCAAAAGGAAGTCTTAATCAAGGTGAACCTTGACATCATGTAGAGTGGCTCAGACAAAGCTGTTGCCTGATATTCACACAGGCGAGAATGTGTGGCAGTACCCATATGATAGAACTTGAAGGACATATGTATATAGCTTTCACCGTGTTTTTCTATTATACTGAGGTCAACCTCGTTCGAGGGGCCAAATACTGTGTAGCATAGCCATCGAGAAGGACGTTCTAGGCCTACTCTAAGATGATCTCTACGGATACATTGCTGACCGTCGTAGGAAGATCCGTGAGTCAAATTTTCTATGATATTCGAGCTGTGATGAAGAGTCGCGCGCGACTCACTAGTGATCAATAGACTCCTAAACGAGACAGTTGCTTGTCCCACCTCTCGATCGGCGTTAAGTGCTAAGATGTCATCGTCAATCTCGTCGTTTACATCGTCCTGTGCCAGCTATGCATACATTAAGGAAGTCCTAGGGGTTCCTTTCATCCGACTCCAACCATCCCGCATTACTTTCACCCAGAGATAGCTCTGACTGCTCCGGAGTCATAGACCTTTGCTTTAGTCCAGCCACCTTCAATCACGTCCTCCTGGCTCCATCTGGAATCCCATCCTCTCCGGAGTCCGCTGCTCCCAGACTTGCTGCGGTTGATGCGCATCCCGCCCAAAAGCCTCATCGGGGGCCCAACCTTCCATCTGTAGGTAGAACGAGTGCATAATTAAATCGTATTACGACAGAATTGGTCATAGCATAGGACTACTGGAAGGCCGGTAAGAATTTGGGTAGAATCTGAGTCATCATGGAGTCTATTGCTGAGGTGTTTGCCTGAGTGCTGGCAGTATTGCAGTGGGAGGCTTGCAGTAGGTATAATACTGAATTGTTAGCTACTAGAGCTCCTAATGAGCTCCTTATATACTATGAAATGTATCTAGAATATTCTACCAAAGTAACTAAATATATCTAAGTATCATGACAAATGAATAAGCCGAAGCTTCGGGAATCTTCTGGCATAAGCTTGAAGTTGCAAATCCCAACACTGAGTCCTGGAGAGGCAGATTTGTTGGAAATTGAGCATGAGAACACGGTCTTTTACGGATTGATTAGTCGTGTTTATCGGGCGAATGTAACGACGAGGAGACAAAGCTCCACCATGGCATTGGCGTCATCCGGGCCGGACTTCTATTTGAAACTCCGCTAAAACCTTGCGAGTGGTGAACTTCGGTATACTTCGGTTCCATCCTTCTATCGACGACTTGTCATGGATGATATGCAGGGGATCAGCAGCGCAGCCATGTTAGTGTATGGGTTCACCGCTTCTTTGTGAGTATACCGGTTCATATTACCGTGAGCTCCATACTCATCAAACTTCAGCATGAGCGGAACCATCGTCTTCCAGGTTCTCACCGACCTGACATTCGGCTCTTCGCAAAAACGTTGCAACGTACGCACTTTCTTGTTCTCATACCACTCTGACTGACCAGGCATAGACTCTCGTTATCTGGTACATTCCTGATCTTATGGATTACTTCTACTGCAACAACTCACTTATTTTAGGGTCCTCGACATTATCCACTCGGCGTTCATTCTCTTTTCTCTTTGTGATTATTTCATTACATTCTCTGGTGCTGAGGGCATGGATGATCATATCCCTTGGTAAGTGATGCTCTCGCTTGGTAAATGACTGGGTCTCATGAGTTTCAAGGTCTATTGCGGCAAGTACCTTTCATTTTCAGTATTGTCATTCCGCTCACATGATCTACGAAGCTGACCGTTGCCATCACGGTACGCCACCTGTAATCTTGATTATCTACTGCTCTTACATTGAGTCATGTCAGATGATTCAAGCCCTCTTCATACAGTAGTGAGTATCATTCCAGCACTAGATTCAAGTCGGCGGGAAATTCAATCAATCGCATAGCCTTTTCACAAGAGAACTCCATAGATGTATGTCTATCTCACAAAGAAGTCGGCTTTTAAAATGATCCCCTGTAGGCAGCGACCGAAACTGGACTATAACCGCTCCTATCGTGAGTGCCTCATTTTTCCATACTAGACATGCGCCTAAGTTTTCCCTTTAGCTCGTTCTGTCCTTCATCCAGCTAGGTGAGCAGCCCTTATCTCTATGACGATGACTATTCATTAGTTTCAGTTACCTCGTCCGGTGCGTATCTGTCCATGTCGGAGTCAGCTGTCTCTAAACTGCTTATGTAGTCTCCACATTTGAGATGTACGTGACTTAATTTTTCCTTTTATTTCACTGAAACTCACTATTTGGGATAGGATGCGACTCCAGAAATTCTCTACTTTCCATCAGCTTTATCCTGGTGTATGTTTGTTTTTCCCTCATCATGGATTCTCAACTTAGGCGCAATCATAGTTGGTTTTTGCGACCAGTCTCTCCCTATCAGTGGTGGTTAACCTCCTTATCACGGGTTGGTTATGTTACTTCTTGCGTTCATTGCAGCGAGAGTTTGGCTTGCCATCCGAGTAAGTGTATCACCCTCTGGTAGTGCATATCATAATATTAGCTTTAGAATCATTGGTAGGGTGAAATACTACACCCTTTCATGCGGCTGGTTCATAAGGTAAGGTGATTTACGTTTTCTACGATTTGCTCGTTAACTCGCCCCTAGTATAACAACCATCGGTGCATTGCTTTTCGTAAGTCTCGTACATGTTAGCGTTCCGCCGTTCTTACTTTGGCAGTGGGTTGCCTTGCCGACAGATCCAGCGTGTTTTCTTGCTCTGTACCTTGTCATCGGGAAACGTATGTACAATGCTAGCTTACATCCTGAACTCCTGCTCACCTGTCTGATCTCACCAGTATATGTCATTTCATTCCTAGCTGTGCGTGCTTCGCGTACACAAATCTTGGGATTCCGCGGGGAGAGGGAGGGATGGGGCGAGCTCTTCATTCTTCGATCAAAAAAGTCTGGAACTGAGATTCCGAATGAGCCCCTGGATGGAATGGTATGGAATCTTCGTTCGAAATCATTATTGTGGTACTGAATTTTTTGTAGTTTGTGTATTATCCCAAGGAGAATGTACAGCAGGTTCGTTCGCCCGATGTTGTTTATGATGAACGTGCTGAATTGTCCTAGGTCGAGGTGATTGTCAAGGAAACCTTTGACTATGGAAAGCGCTTCCATGGTGCTAGTAAAGAATACCATTCGCAGTACTTGAGTGCACCCCGCAAGCCTACCCTAGCGGTGTGACTTCAGCAGTATTGACACATCCTGTTAACTGGTCTTGGGTGCCAATTTCGTGTCGGTTTCTGTTCCTTTCCTTCTTTTGTTTCTATTCTCTCGTTTGCTCGTCTTAGCTTTGAATTCCCGTTGCTATCGTTGATCGTATCAGCTATCGTCTATATCCCTCATTTAGCTATTGTGCCCAGTCCTTCTGTCTTGCAAAATATCTTTAGTGTTGTCTTTCGTCAGTCTGTTGCACATCGGAATGGACTCTTCAAGAGGCACCATGTAATTTGGTGGCGACAAGGTCAATGTTAGATATCTTTCACGCTCAACACAGTTATCGGACCAGTGTCACAACCACGTGATGTTACGCCGACGTGTAAACTCCGAAGAAGCGAATTTTGAACACTCGCCGTTTTCTCTTTCATCCGGTCTCCTGGATTATGCTGTCAGTAAATTTCTCTCTTTTCCTGTATTTTATTTCTTTAATTGTTTATGATAGATCTATGTTGTGCATACAAACTGAAAAATCTGATTCTGACTCTAGGTCTTGGTCCCTTGAGCTTCCCGATGCCCGAACCACCCAGCCTCTCCTAACCCCTCTATCAGCGGTTTTTGCGAGGAATATCCTTCAAGCTACTCTTTCCAAAACACCTGATCGTATCGCAGAGCTCGACTCCCTCACTGAAGCGACCGCACCCCTTCTCAACTATCCGACTAAAAATCACAAACAAGTCATAGAGAACCAAGTGAATGCAAAGAAGATTCTCTCCACACCTCTCCAGCCTCCGCCCGAAGCGCTCACAGAGAGATTTACTTGATGCCGGGCGTTATATGGTCAAATGGATCTTCGTTTCGATCCTCGCAGAGTCACTTGGATGTTGACATCGTGCGTTTGGACCTTTTGAAAGCCAATTCCTGAGGAGGAGCCCTGACCCTGAAGTGACGTTCATTTTTTTGGCGTGCGTCTCGGTCCACTCCTGTGCGCCAGAGGGAGGCATACGGGTTTCAGCGTTAATCGAAGGTATGTATAACTCTTCCTCCCCGTTAGATTTTACTAAAAATCACATAGGCCTTTAGACCTGTAAACGAACTGATTCTATTCCAGTAAGGAATAAGGTGTTCGTTTTCCGGCGATATGGCACGTACTGTTATCAGTATGTAGGACATTCCTTACTCCTCCAATTTCGCTTTTGTTTGGTTGTATTCGATTATACTTGTACTATGTCTTTGTCGTAACCAGAAATTCGGGGCCGTCCTTCTGAAATCTGACAAGAGGATCTGATGCCGAGTCGGCGTAGGCCAATGCCACTTGGCAATTCCCTAGTGGCCCCCCACAACGAACACTTCTTCGACTTCCTTGTTCACCTATTCCAGACAATCTATCCCTGAACTGTAAGGTTCGAATATGATAGCTGCGACATCTTGGGATTCCACTGTGACGTTTTCACAGGCGCTCTGCTACAAATGCCTCTCATCTTTAACCGACGACTCGGATTCTTGTCTCATTCCACCTATCGCCGATGTCTACCTCAAAAACAGCGATCCCACGGCTCGACTTAGAGATTATCGACATCAGAGATTCTTACAAGTCTCTGACAATCTATCACTCAAGTTGACGAAGATCTCAAGCTTGAATCTCAGACACTGGAGAAACTCAAGGCCCAACGCGCCAACATCAACGCCGTAGTCAACCATCCACGGCGTTCTCTCTCTCTCTTCAATCCGTCTTCCCCGGGAAATGCTCGGCGAAATATTCGTGCATGCCACTGATGAGTCCAACAACGTTTTTGACACGTCTTCAGGCCCTTGGGCTCCAAACTCAGGTTGACAGACGCGTTTCTCCATCATGCGGCAATAGAGCTCGGAAAGACGCGTCAAACGCGTGGAATACGCGCGATATAGAGGAATATCATATCCTAGAGCGTCACGAACTTGAACAACAGCAATGAGTATATGAATCCTCGTGCGCTGGTAGGGATCACGTCGAAAGAGCGACATCATGTTAAATCATACTGATGTTCACCGGCCCGAGCCCTAACACTCAGACCTTAAGGTTATTTCTCCAATTTGAAGGGGTATTGTGCCACGGTTTCTTTGCTATTTTCTATTTTTCAATATCCTTAGGTACTTCGACAGGTTCGACCGAACTTCAGGAAAGGTTCTGTAACTTCTTATCTGACGTCGTTCGGGTGCCACTGGGTAAGGTCGATTCCTCCTTTACTTTACTGCTTCCTTTGTTATCTCTTCGAGTTACAACCCGAGGTCATAGCCACACGAGTCGCAGTGTGACATAACTAATGGCACAAACATTCATTGATCGATGCCTTAGACATAGCTATTAAGATCAACTTCCGAGTCGGGAACCGATTCACGATAAATGGCCTAACAAACCAAAAAGGAATCTCACATAGTACCCGCTGACTCTTCGATCGGACGCCACCAAGTGATATTAATTGTCTCTATGATCGAACGACGTATCTGGCGATCTCTTCTACGTTGTCTCTATATCCGGTGTCTCATCATGGTTTGAAACCACAGGAACGACTAGATCATTGTTAAATCCGAGTATGTTTATACGTAGCTAGGCTGCCGCTATATAAACCTCCTCACTTTCGAGAGCTTTATTCCATTAATCGTCTGCTCATTCATACAACCCGACTCAAAGGAACCTCCCTCTACCTTCAGATAAATCAACCATGTCTTATAACTATCCATTCCCATTCCCATCCGACCGGGCATGTCTATATGTTTTGAAGCAGTCTAAACAATGTGCTGACGCTGTTGGTCATCCAGAAACCTATCGCGAACATGAACTTCTTCTCTCCTGAAACGCTCATGGTAATTCCAGCCCGTTTACTTGAATAACACATTATCCTTGTTTACCCCACTTCTTCGACAGCACGACGGTCGGATGCCACCCCCCATCCAGGCGCAGGCGCCTCCTCCGCAACCCCAAGTCGTAAATACTTCCTCCTGGGTAATTCTGCTCGTTAACTAAGTACTCTTTAGGCGTCTGCGAATGGTGGAACCCAACCTCCCGCGGCTCAGGGAGGAAATTCAAATGTGAGTAATTGCAGTGTACTTTTCTGCTAGAAATGTATTGACGAATAATATAGAATTAGGTTTTTATTAAGGACTTTATGACAAACTATCATCATGTACTTGATGCTTCACTGTTTATATTTACGTCTTACATTTTAATGTAATTGAGTATTAATGCTCTACGGTAATTTACATCTTTGCGGGTTTTCAGCGCTTCATAGAAGGCAAATGGCAACATACAGTTCCCTGCAATTCAGTGAACCTGAGGACTTCGCCCTCGGATGAAAGAAAGGATCGAACCAATACATTTCGAGTACTCAGTATGGATGACATAAATGTCCTTCCGAAGAAAGTGTCGAGCAAATATAGTATGAAGTCACTGGAGATACGGAGATGAAGACTCGAATTTTCGAAGAAGTAAGGTATTCGCGAGAAGATTGAGAACGGAGTGCATGTATTTACACACCACGCGTACTGTCTACAGTCCAACCGAAGTAGTACACGTAAGATAACTTTGGGCTAGATACGAGCAAAAAACTGAGAAAAAGATGTACGACTTGGACGCGAAGCTGGGATGAGCAAACCAATGTTCGGGGTAAAAGGGGACTAGGACAAGGAGAGTGATTATACTCCAGAATTATTGGCGACCAAGGGTGATTGACGATGTTGGGAACATCTCGGACTCGATTTCGCAGACTGTTCCGTCGGCAGGAAGTGTACCGTTTTGAAAGTACGCTTGAATGTATGCGTGCGTGCATGTAGACAAAGAGAACAGGGAGGTGTGCTGTAGCAGCGGGAAATGAGAGTACAACAACCAATTTTTAAATGGTTGCTTACCCCGGACGAGTTTTGAGCCAGAACGACGGAGCCGGGGAATGCGCTCGACGTCTTCCGCGCCCTATAGAAAGTTAAATCAAGTGATCCTGGCAGGAAAGAGTGGCGTTACTTACATAGATAGAGGAGTAAGGGGATCTGAATGATACATTGATATTAGTGAAAAAGGACAGTCCAGGACGGACACATACCGGCGGTGTTTCGTATGAAAAGGATAGGATAACTGGTATTTCCGGTAACCGGACCTATCAATAGATATTCTACAATGATCCCTAGTGATGTCTGCGGAAAAAATCTCACCCGTAAATCTGCCCTCACGATGGAATTTCCATCCACTGAATAAAAACGGAATTAACAATTAACACACATGTAAAAGAGGAAATGTACTCACGCGCAGCTGATTCTTCGGATAAAAAGTATAGTCGGAAAGGGTCGATAAATCCTTGATGCTGTCCCAATAGGCCAACAGATCTGCCGCAGAGTCCGTGTTATTCGATGCATCGCTATACATAATAGGAATTTGTGCCTCCCATGAATTAACTTAAACAGATGAAGGATCGTACGCCATCGCCTGCATCCCGTAAATTATACTGCCATCCCTGGCGGCCGCAATATCAGCGAGACCTTGGGCGAGGACAGAGAAATATCTGTACGGTTGGGAGAGGGGCAATTCTGACTGCAAGCCTCGGGACAGTATAGTCAACAACGCCATAGAACGATGGCGTTACGACTGGAATTGGCTGAATAAGAAGAGACTCGTATAGAGAATCGAACTGTTTAGAGATGGCATCTGAAGTAGGGGCGTGGAAAGCGCATGCATCGGGGCCAGCAGCCACGCATGCATCAAAGAAAGATTGCATGACCTTGTCAGTGTCGGCAATCTGATTGCGCAAGTCATCTGGAGAGGATGGAAATATAAGACACTATAGGCTTGAAGACGCAACATAATCATCTTACTTCTGTAATAGGCCGTCCATATCTGCCACGCCTAATTAATATGAATAAACGTGCGTGAGTAGGGAAGAAGTCGATTACTCACCGTCAAGCACCATACGTTGGACTTTATCCTGGAAATTAGAACAATATTTAGTAAAAGAACGACACGAGAATGATGGGGGAACGCACGGGAAACATTGTAGCAAAGGTGGTGCCAAGAACTATCCCATAACTGGAGGGAATGGGTCAGCCATCGGGCGAAAGTGGAACTCAAATCGCTTGCTTACGATAATCCCAAATACTGCAGCTTCTCTTGGCCTTTCGCCTCACTGATCCATAGCATATCCCGAGCGCTGTTGTCCGTAGTCATATGATTCAGGATTCCGTTATCTCTGTCTTTGGCCAGCTCCGCTATAACCTGTGCAGATGCCCAGTAAATAGGGAATCTGGTCGGCAGTTAAGTTAGCAGCTGTAGTCCAACGATTGGGATTCGCAAGCCATTGCGAATGCTCTTCCTTTGAGAGAAAGAACTCCGCTCGGGGCGTCGAATTACCGACCCCTACAATGGTCGTAGTGTGAGCTTGAGTGGATAACAGCAACAGGAGGTCACCGCACCACGGGGATCGAAGCTGATGAAATCATATTGGTTCCCAATAACAGATGCAAGTAGCGGACCCATGAGAGCCAAGGCGGCGACGCCGCTACCACCAGGGCCTCCCGGATTCATCAGTACGGATCCTTTAGATTCGGTCTTGGAATGCGCGGAAAACTTGATTACCGCGAGGGAAGCTTTATTACCGTCTTCATTCAAGTAGTCGATAGGCACCTTTTGTCATGCAGAGGGAACATTCAGTGAAACTTCCGGGTAGCGATATGAGAAAGAAAATACCTGGAAACAGGGTGCATTGGTAGCCAGAGTAGCAGTCGACCCATGATAAATTGCTTGTCGGTTCAATCTATAATTCAGTCGTGAGCAATAGAACCTGAAGAAGGAGAAGCCGGACAAACAGTCCTCCAATCGAAAGTGATTTGAGCCAATACTGTAGGAAACAGGAACTCGGTGGTACCAGAGAGAACGGAGAAGGCAAAGATGAGAGCAATCGTTGGGAAAGGTGACATTGAAGGCTGAAAATCAATCTGTGAGCATTTATATGTGTCGCCTCACGAATCATGATCAACAACAGGGTCTGGGTCACACTGAAACGTATGCTTGATACGTACGCAGCGTCTTCACAGTGAGAACTTTCTCTGCCAAGATATACGGAAATGGATCAAGAAATGCAGGTGGTGGCTGTAGAAGAAGGGCATCGCACTCGCATTCGCACCCCTATTCGCACAATCCGGGCGCAGCCGAACTTAGGCCGGGGCTCTGTATCTGCTCCCTGCTACAACCGACCATCGCCTCGCTTGGTTCTTGCTTGTAGCAAGTATGCCCTGAACTATGTGCGACCTATTCGTCACGAGAGATGGGATGTTTGTGTGAAAATTGTGAACAGGGTATCTTTTCCGCAACACGAATTATTGATTTAAGACCGAAGGAGTAGTACATATAAGAAAATGGGGCTACATAGGAGCATCCCAGTAGAACAGGATGAAGGACGGATGAATTGGACGTGTAAAGCTGCAATAAAGCAAACCAGAAAGGAGACAGTGTTGAATATACTTGACAAACCGTAACAATGCACCAATTGAAAGAATTAGTGAATATGTTCCGGAGTCATTGGTTGGCGACCGAGGAAAGCACGTCGCTGATCAGTGGTGTTTGAAGAAGCTGGGAACATCTGAGACTCAATCTCACAGATTGTTCCATCTCCGGGAAGAGTGCCGTTCTGAAAGTACGCTTGAACGTATGCTTGTGTGCATGCAGACGAAGCGGCCGGAGAACCGTGCTATAATAGTGGGAGAGTGAGTATAAGAAAACCTGCGTTCGAATAGATAGTTACCCCTGACGAGTTTTGAGTTAGAACGACAGAGCCAGGGAATGCGCTGGACGCCTTCTTTGCCCTAAAGACGGATAAGTAAAACGAGCCTTATATATAGTGCTGGAGTGACTTACCCGGCAATTGATGTAACGGGATCTGCATGATGCCTTAATATCAGTGGAAAGAGAGGGATGGAGGCAAAAGCGCATACCAGCCACGTTTCCTACGAAAAGAATAGGATAATTGGTGTTGCCGCCGACCGGACCTACAGAGGAATGCCTCAGTGCAAGTCCCTGTTACGTGTGCAGGTAAAAGCTGACCCGTAAAACTGCCTTCACGATGGAATTTCCATCCGCTGAAGTGAAATAAATTAGCACACACAAAGAGACATGTCGTGGAAGGGATATACGCACGTGCAGCTAAGCATCTGCGTGAAGAGTAAATCAGAAAAGGTTGATACTCCCTTGATACTGTCCCAGTACGCCAACAAATCTGGCAGGGAGTCCGTATTATTCAGTGCATCACTGCAGGAAATAGCAATTTCTGCCTCCAAGCCATTATCATAAACGGTAGAGGGGTCGTTCACCGGTGCTTGCATCTCGTATATTATGCTTCCGTCCCCTGCTGCGAGAGCAGCGAGACCTTGGGCGAAAACAGATGCATATACATACGGTCGATACAGGGTGTACTTCACTGCTGTTCGCAAGGCGGCATAGTCGACGACACCATAAAACGATGGGGTTACGACTGGGACTGGCTGGGCGCGAAGGGATTCATATAGAGAGTTGAGATTATTGGATATCTCTTCCGAAGTAGGGGCGTAGAAAGCGCATGCTTCAGGTCCAGCAGCTACGCATGCGTCAAAGATAGATTGCATGTCCTTGTCGGTATCGAGAAAGTTATTGCGCCAGTCACCTGGAAACAACAGAATCTGAGACACTCTAAGCTCAGGGACGCCGCGCAGTTATCTTACCACTATAGTAGCCATCCACATCTGCTACACCTGATTAACATGAGTTAATTTGCCTGAATAGAGGAGAATAGTCGAATACACACCATCAAGCACCATACGTTCGACTTTATCCTAGAAATTGGAAGCGTGATTAGTCAGTTAAGGGATGCAAGAATGACCGAGAAGCGTACGGGAAACATTGTAGCGAACGTGGTTCCGAGAATAGTTCCATAACTGGACGGAAGCGATCAGCCATCGAACGAAGGGAAGGAATTGCTAGCTTACGAGAACCCCCAATACTGCAACTTCTCATGACCCACTGCTTCATTGATTGCCAGCATGTCCCGTGCAACATTGTCAGTACCAATGTAATTCAAGATTCCATTATCCCTTTCCTTGGCCACTTCCGCTATAACATGCGACGACGCCCATAGATGAGGAATCTGGTCCGAGCTTGTGTTAGGAGCAGCCGTCCAATGATTGGGATCAGCAAGCCAGAGCGAGCGTTCTTCTTTTGTGAGAAAGAATTCTGCTCGAGGCGTCGAATTACCGACTCCTGCGATAGGCGGAGTGAGAGATAAAGTAGATATTAAGATGATAATTAACGTACCACGAGGATCGAAGCTGATAAGATCGTATTGAGTCCCAATGACAGACGCGAATAGTGGACCAGCGTAAACTACATCCGCGACTCCACTGCCGCCAGGACCTCCGGGATTCATCAATACTGCTCCTTTATAGTCTGTCTGAGATTGCGCAGGCAGTTTGATTACCGCGATAGCCGCCTTGTCACCAGCCTCGTTAGAGTAGTCAATGGGAACCTTGCAGCACGTATCAAAAGGTTAGCGGTGAACACCATAGTGAAAAATTGGAAAGTAATACCTGGAAACGCGCGCATTTGTAGTTTGAGTAACAGTCCACCCAAGATAAATTGGTCGTTGGTTCGATCTATCATTCATCGTGAGTGTTGGTGCGTCAAGGAGAAGCAAAGGACCAACCGCGCTCCAATCGAAATCGCTTTGAGCTAACACTGTTGGGAATAAGGATTCAGCAACAGAAAATGACGCATAATGCAACGACGAGAGAAATCATTGTAAAAGATAGTTATTGAGCACAAATCTATCAACGAGCATTTATACGCGTCAACAACGGCAAGGCCGAGCCGCACCGAAACGCGTCTTGGGTACGGCTGCGAAGTCCATCCTGTTCCAGTTCTTCATTTCCAAGAAGTATGGAAGTGAACCATGAAACCCAGGTTAGTAGCTCTAAAAAAGGGCCCCCGCTTCGTATAACAACCTCGTGGTACGGCTATTATTGTGCAATTCTGGATCGTGCACCACTGATAGAAATCAATAATATTAGAATCTATCATTCGGGGCAGATGACTAACTCGTACCGGTTAAACAAGGGAAATGATTAGAATAGAGACGAACATTTGACAGAGTCCTTTGACCAAAATCTGTCGGTTTCACTATTAAGTGGATAACCGACCTATTCTGCCTTGGTCAAATCCTGAGTCAAATTTCTATGTTATCCATCCGTTGTCACCGGTTTATGCATGGCTCGAAATGACTGCTTGCCAAGAGTGTTCGTCTTGTATTGGATCAAGATCCGGGTAGGTCTTTATGTAGCAGAGTACATGGAAGCAGTGTTGTCTCCCAGAGCCACACCCTGAGTTAAGATTCTGTTTCGTGTATAATATCAAAGCAATACACCTCCCAAGAGAACGTGGACTGCGCACCAGGACTGAGGAGATATCTATCGTATGGGCTAAACCTTCAACCTTGAGGAAGAGCACAACACAATATAGTTTCGCGGGAGTGAACAAAACGAAGGAAAGATGTTAAGTATCTGCTGGGAAGAATGAGTACGATACGAGCAAAGACACTGTCCATGGTAGAAAACCAACTTTGGGCGGCAATTGCCGATGGATAAAAAAGGTATTCACCGCCCGTTTTGAAACCCCCATGGCAGCTTCCGCTATCCCTTGCTCTGACACATATTTGGTGTTACAATGATAATTAATAATGTAATCCTGCAGATTTATTTCTCCATCTATCAATTAAAATAATGAAGATGAGAAGGTATGTAAGGCTAGAATTCTTCACGGAGGTCACCGTGCCGCATTACGAATTGAATCATCATTCCACAAGTTCCGCCAACATCTTCTGCTTCGCGGTTCTTTTGGTCTTGGAAAACGAAGGTGCCAAGCTGGTGCCTTTCAATGTGAGTTCGAATTGATGTGATCTATCACTGATCTACTATACCCACGCCGTCTTCAGATCTCCGTCGACACTGCTCCTCCAGCTTCATTTCCAGACTACCTCCTCGTCAGCCCATTCATCCGACGCAACGAAACCTCTCATCGTCGTTTTCGGGAAAAATCAAAAACGGCACTGAAGAGACTGAATTCGCCGTTTACAGCAAATCTAGTTTGAATACACCTCTTTAGGGCTCATCACGTACATCGAATCCTCCGCCGACGACCTCGTGACATAGGCTGGCTTCGTAATGGAATTGCCTGGGGATGGCAGTTTAGAAGTTGTCTGGACGGGAAGCACGTCGAACGCGTCAGGGAACAGCAGAGAGGATGATGTTTCAGACGGTGGGCGTCATGAAGTGGGCCTACGTCTGGCCTTAGCTCCGGCGGTGAGGAAGGGATCCCAAGGCAAAAGAATTTGCAGTTCAGTGTCTGTTGGGATGATGGGGAGGAGACCATACACTGGTAAACTCTATATGCGTGAAAGGGCTGATAGGTAGGGAAACAGTAAACTGGTTCAACGATTTTCGATGAGTGGTACTAGCACGATTTCCATCAATAGCAAGTTAAATTAGGTTCTACTCAGTAAGCAAAAGACGCTACCCGCAGCACTCGGACAAAAGGCACACCCTCCTCTTCCTCTAACGTACTCACAGCTAGAGCAAGAGCGCTATAACTGTATCGAAGACGATGTTGAGAAGGTGGAGTTCCGCTGCATAGCTTGATACCGCTCATATGTCGGTGAAGCAACGAGACAAGTTACCCCGTTCACGAGGTTCAAATTTCTTTGTCGCCCACTGGACCATTTATATGACTAGTGATCATCGGCGTCTGGTATTGCAAAGGGGTTTGTGGTCCTCATATTCTACGAAGGCGGTATGTAAGAACAGAGCTCGTCTGGAAGCATATAAAACATACCTTCTGGTTGCTGATTATCAGGTTGTAGATGTGACCTCGATTGTGCTACATCGAATGATCTTGACAAGTTGGTGCGCTGCACGCAATTCTAGCTCGAAAGTCACCAGCATAGAGCCGTACTTTCTAAATGTCAATTGATGACATTAGCTTTCTGGACGGTGGCATTCGCCCAGATCTCCGATCTCGACATCTTTCTCTACAAATGGAGTATCCTATTGAACGCGAGTCATAGAAAAACCCATGAAGATCGGCGACATACCACCCTAGATACTAATCTCGGAACCTGCCTAGAAGTTCCTTCGCGACGGCTGGGTCATTCTTCGGCAAATAATTTCTCGCGGCTGGAAAAAGTTGATCAGCATAGAATCCTTCTAATGATAGCTCTGTCGTACCTAGAATGAGCCAGGACGGGTGCATAAGAAACCGATGCTTCTCGAACCCTCTTTCCGTTCTGCTCTTGTTCCGGCACCTGGACGTATATCAAAGGGATGAATCTTGCCAAGAAACGCGCGACGCATGGAATGGTGACCAGACAAGACGATGCTCTTGAATTCACTTAGGAGTCCCGATGTCACAGGAAAGACCATCTACCTTGCAGGTGCTTCTGGAGCATCTGGTTATTGTCTGGCCAGGCTCTTTGTCATTCCCAACACATAAATCTCTTGATATTAGAGCAGAAACAGGTCTTGAAAGACATCTAGAAGACACCTACGGTACGTAGAAGCATAAGCATAAACAACAGATTCATGCTATAAAAAATGACGAACATTCTGGCCATGATCGTCTAACGCAAGACTTTTTCTCCAGTCCAACGGTCATGCACGTATTTGGAAAAGCACTGTTGGAGTGAGTTGTGTGCGACAATGAAGCGGCCTACACTCGGGGTTGTCGATGATGGTGTATGTTTCATTGACCCGCTCGACGGTGCACGTCCTGCCATTAGTTCGGTACCCAGACATGGTGGTTGAAGAGAGAGCCGCTGTTGAAAATCTAAAGACGGCTTGCTCGATTTCCAGCTGGACAGGTACAAGTAACTTACCTTGAAGGGTCAGTTAAGCGCCACCTGCTCATGCTCATGCTCATGGTTTGAGCAACACGGCGAGAACTTGCAGAGATATAGTCGCCTCAATAATAATATACCTTGGAGTTTCTGTCAAAGAGTGAGGAGAGAACATGACAGAGGAAAAGCAACGCACGTTAACGCCCAATCCTGCATAGACTAACAACCACGGTCCCTGTCCCAGCCTGGCGAAAGTGCCCTTGAAATTTCGTCATTTGTCGCCACTGTACTCTAACGACGATGATATTCTCAGGAGAACACTGAAAGGCGCTGGAAATTGAGAAGGGTATTGTCTACCACAAGTAATCAGGTCTATCAGTCAAAAATATTTTCCTGGTATACATAAAGACGCACCTTCCCAGTCAAATGACATCACGATCGCTTCCTTCCTGATTTTTTGTTTGCCAAAATTGCGAGTAAAAATACAACTTTTCGGGCTGGGCAATTTCCTAGCAGGACGACGACATGTTAATAATCGAGTTCGAGTTGGATAATTCATTTGCGCGAGTAGGACTCGAAGGCGATGCCCGCAAGCAATAGTGCCTTCATGATGGTCGGGAGAAGAGCAACGCACGTGACTGTGACCTTCCTGACATTCGTGCTGCCTGACTTAGATCAGCGGGCTGAGTCAGCAAGCATGCTTCAACGTTCATTTTGCGTTCACTCAACGTTCATTACGCATTGAATGTCCAGATTATTTCTTACTCCTGCCTAATCTTTTCTAACTCTCATGGTAGGCTAGGCCTCCTAATAACTGTTTCTTGTGATCTGCTTTGCTAGGACCGGAAAACCATTGAACTGTTGATTAAATGTTGATTCGTCCTGCAGCTTGCCCCAGCCGGACTGTGCCGTCTAATAGTATATATCGAGTTAGCTGTTTGGAAATCACAAGATGCTCTGAAGTTGCACTAGAGATACACATAAAACCTTTCATATCTTGAAGGAGAGACCAAGTATCCATGTGAAATTGGGAACATGTATCTATAATCTTCCATAGATCACGAACCATCGGCGTACTAGAACATATATGATGACAAGGTTATATGGGGACAAATTTAAGAGTAAAAAAGTGAAAAGACATGTCAAATGGAACGTGGAGAGCTATAATGAAGCGGTAAAGAGCAACTAAGGGAATAGATTTCGACAAATTGTTACAATGCCTCAACAGAAGTAATTGGTAACTAGGCTCCAGGTCATTTACGACCCAAGAAAATCACGTCACTAACTGCCAGTTACGTTTGACTGAAGCTGGGAACATCTGAGACTTGACTTCACAGACTGTTCCATCACTGGGAAGAGTACCGTTTTGAAAGTACCCTTGAATGTAGGCTTGCAGTGCACGCATACGATGCAGCTAATGACTGCGTGCTATAGCAACGGCAGCAGTAAGTGTAAAGAAACCTATTTTCAAACGACTGCTTGCCCCTGATGAGTTTTGAGTTAGAACAACGGAGCCAGGGAATACGCTGGACGCCTTTTTAGCTCTAGAGATGAACAAATCAAGTGGGCCTCAATTAAAATAAGGAAGATGAGAAGGTAAGGCTAGAATTTTTCACGGAGGTCACCAGAAATCCATGCCGCATTACCAATTGAATCGTCATTCCGGAATGAAAAGTGAATCGCGCATCCAGTATACAGCCAGTATATATAGGCAGCTGGCTACGTGTCTCGGATAGCCGGTTCAACGGGATCGGGCGGCATGACGAAAAACACGGCGGGGTTCTGGCATGTGATAATGCCTGGACAGAGAACCGTTTACATTTCCTCGCAGCTTGCTTGCAGTCTCTGCACATGAACCGAATACTGTCCAGGTGAACATTACGAGGTGACAAAAAACACCAGTTGTGTAACAATTGACATTGCTATCATATTGAACGAGTGCCAGCGCCAAGCTAGTACAATTTTAAACAATCTGTTCAGATATCTGTAATGGAGGTTGTGTTTTAGATTCGCAGCCTTATATTCTTCCCGACTGTGGGCTCTGGCGGGACGGTTGGAGCAGCCTGAAGAGCGGAGCCCGAGCGGTTATACAAGTTGGCTCGAAAAGCGACTTCGACCGTGGGGCGTACAAATAAATGACCTCGAGAAATTGAGAAGCAGTTGAAATCGTCTAATTTTGGTGTATGATGTCGCATGGTGCGAAGACACATCTGTATATGAATGTTTCAAGGTTCTAAAAGGCCTTTAAAAATGTAAGTAGACGGCGATTATGCCAAAAATTTTAGACCATAAGCGCACAGAAGATGCGGTCATGAAAGGGGGAACCATTGCCGTCACCTCAATGTCTAGAAGGGCCTGGCGATTATAGCGCTGATGTTTCAGGAGCCTGATGGATGTAGATTTAGCGAATGAACCTTACTATGAAGAAACCGGTCAAAGCAGCTTACCTCGGCCTCGGCGTCTGAGATGCCCTCCTCGTTGCATGCCAAATTCATCGGCGGAGAGCTCATCGTCAAAGCTTCCCATTAGGAGATACCGGTATGGAGAAGGTGGCGCGGTCTTACGAGGGATTTTTATCAAGAGATCCCAAGTGGTATTGCCAGCTAAGGCCCAGCATTTACATTAGTATCAAATGTGTCTGTAGATGACCAAATTCATTCTCTGTGCAAAGGTTTGCGGCATACCCGATACCCGGTTACAGAGACGATGGGGATGCTCACACTGATGTTCTGATGAGCGAGATTAGTGAAAGGGCAACATTCAGTATAGTACAACACTATACTTCAATGCCGGTCAGGACATTGGAAGGAACCAGTAGGATCAGGAGTGGCCAAGACGAAATAAATCAAGTGCTCCGTCCTACACCCACTGAGAGGACAGCAAAGACTCCAGTAAACAGGAACCTTGAGGCGGAAACCCGCTGACGTGGAGTCCAGACAAGTTGCTTTGAGGGAAGATTGAGTTCATCTGCCCGAGTTGGGAGTATACTTTATGCGAATGACTTGACTGAAAGCACTAATCTCTGTGAATATCTTCACGAAGGTTACCGGGGATGGATGACCGCAAGAATCAAGATCTTAGGAATCAAACAAGAATCAAAGCAACCTGGAGATTAATAGGACACTAGTTATGGCTAGAGTTCCATGGCAGAGCTAGGAGGTTTTTGTCCTTTCCCTTAATAGAAGAGTTTGGGATTCTCAAGTCCGGTGTATACCTAGTCGTGGTGGTTGTATGAATTCGTAGGGGTTGGAGTCCTGCCGAGACTCTGATTCTCCGATCTGGCAGTGCCACCTTGAACTCAAGTCAAACTCAATTTCGACTGCACCAATTTTATACCACAAGGTGAAGTTGATTCCGCATTGCAGTAAGGCTGAACCGATTTCTGTGGCTACTGGTGAACATTATCCCTGACTCTGAGCGAAACAGCAAAGTTTCGGGTCTTTTTGCTGAAAAGGGTTACTATAGCCTTACCAACAGCTTTCATACTGTTTCATACCTGGCAGACGCAAGGAAACGCCTTGAGTCGTTTATTTTCATGCTGTGGGAATCCGATGGGCTCCCACTCAAATTGTCTGTGCTCTTTTACTACTTCCGTGCCTCAAATCTTTGCTCTATAGCGTGCCTCAAATCTGCTCTAAGCGCTTGATTTGTACCACTCTGCTGGCGTTTGACTGCGTACGTTTCGGGGACTCAGGACGATTTCAGTATTTTACCGCACGAACTCGAACTTTACGTCCCTATTGATCAAAGAATGTCTCTCCAGGGCCGTAACGCATATTGCCATTACAGTCTTTTTTGCAACCGGCCTACTCATAGGGTCTATTTTTCGTATCCTTGCGCATACTTAAAGCCCGGGGCCGAAGGCGAAGACGGGGAAAGAGGTTCCATGGGTGAATGTGACACTAACCGACGCTGATTGATGTACTACCCTTCTCCAGAATCTGGCCTAGGATAACCCACGGGTGCTCCCGGACTTCCAGCGAAAGAAGGAGCGAAGCTCGTTCTTTCTCGCAAGCATGAATACCGTATGGAACGATCCGAAATCATTGTCCAGAAAGGCACCATCTGTAATATATTAACGAAAAGAGCCACTTCATAGATGGATTATTGCGTCGTGTTCGGCAAGGTGCCATTCCTGGTCTCTGACGCCTTTCTTTGCGGCATATCTTCCGGTTGTCCCTCTATGCTCTTAGCAATAATTTTCTCTTGAACCTTAGTGTTCAATTACATCGCGGCGACTCGGGCTCGCTTGGTTACAATACTGGCCACGTAATGGCATCCCATCAAAGCAGTCTGCTTCAATGAGAAATTGACATGACGATGAATTTTTCTACTGGTGTCCTCAGGAGAACGGGTTTGTTGCCACACTGACATGTGACGGCATGAATCGATGATGATTAATGATTATTAGAGCCTCCATCCTCTTCCTTCGACCCTGTCGCACCAAATACGGGAAACTCAGTGCATTCCTCGCTTTCCGAACGCTGCTAATGCAGGATATTAGCATGCCCTGGAGATTTGGGATTTCTGCATCTAGGTCGTGGCCATGTATTTTTCGACGTATCATTTCTCATTTCTACCATCAAATTCATTGTCTCGTAGCCTACGTTAGGCTATAGTATTCATGACCGGTACTCAACCTGCCACATAACTCAATCCCGAACAATTCTATACGCAGAGGACAAAGTATTGGAAATAAAGAACACACGTGTTGGGGAAGTTTGGGACTTATTTGTATGCAAAAAGACTCTAGTTATGACCCATAAAAATTGTACAGCCGCGTATTCAATGCAAAGAGCTAAGCGAATGGTTTGTCAGGCAGGCATAATCTTGATACCCGCGATACTCTGAGAAAGATCCATAGAATCAGGGCGACCGAGCTGATAATCCGTGCGTTCGAGCTGCCTGCCGTCATACAGAATAGTGCCGTGGCTATTGGTTTCTAAACGAGGGAACGGCGGTACCGCTTATTACACGCCGAACGACGATCGGGTTGACCCGACGAAGCCGTCGGAAATGTTTCGAAAGCCTGGAAATGTCGTTCGTTTGTATCATGGGGTGTAGTTTGTAGAATATCTTACGTCAACCAGCACTCTCAATGGCAGACAAATTAAACCCCAGGCTCCGTAGTCGAGAGAAATAACCACCGAGAACGAGGTCCCATTGAGTAGTGTTCTGGACCGGAGGCTGCATCAATATGATGTTGTGAATGTACATGAATATGCGGAGAGAGATTGAGAAGGAGGGGACATCTCCCAATATCAAACCCAGTGTTCGTAACCGTCGCGATGTCTGCGTACCTGAAATCGACTCGTGTGATTGTCCTTGGGCGGCCATCTGAGCGCTGAGACTTCACGTCGTCAGTGAAAGCATCGGAGGTATTTCTGAAGTATCCCCGGGACGGAAGTCGCCACGCTTCTCTGTTCAGCATTAATCGCCCAACAAATCTCCTGCTCTTCATGTCCTGGTGTCGACTAGGATTCAGTGTCCCTGGCTGATGACACGTACACATACTCATTCGTGCGATTATACTGTCGTAAATAGCCTCCAAAATTGACTAGCGAACAACACCAGCGCCAGGATATAAAGCATCCGGCGACTTTGTAAGGACAACTGAATACCGGATCTACTGAGATCCCGGTAGCCGCTGGCCCTGAAGACGCCGGTTTCAATGCTGATCGGGATCGAGTGATGGGGAAAACCGTTGCTCTGCCTTCATGAGAAGCAGGGCCCTCAGGAATTGATGTGAAAGAACGAACTGACTACTGCATGCATGCCGTCAGGATTCATAAAATCCGAAATAGCTCAGGCTTGCTATGATTTCGTTACTGATACAAGACGCCGGCCGTGGCATCGCAAAGTGTGTGGGCGGTAATCTCCAGCTACATACTTGTGCAGTGTGCCAAGGACCTTGGTAAGGCCGCAAATGTATCGACTGCGCTGAGTGACGGAGTTGATGGGAAACATACGAAAGAGGGTTACGTAGCTGCGAGGACCCTTTGCAGCCCTTCCGGTGTTTCGGGGAATTTTAATATCCCGTTCCGGTCTTTACCGGTGAATTTGCGGTTAATTATCAAATTCGCCCATTCTTACTTACTCTTTCGATTTAGGAGTGTGCTCGTTCAGCGAGATTAAGGATGTCGTCATGGAGCTGGCCTCTGCTACGCCAGATGGCGTATGAAAACAGTCTTCCGCTGAACTGGGCCTTCTACAGCCATTTTTTTGTGGTTGCAAACATTAACAAGTATATTTTCGGACGACGGATTCACGCGTGACGCGGTTGCCGTTGCAATCTACCGGTGTCTGATTTAAGTTTTCCCCTCAAAGTGGCTCGCATGTGCGCAACGGAGGAAGCAGACATTACCCTGATATCTTTGACAAGGCCCGCTGACAACAAATTTATGATTCATGCTCAGCATCCATCTCGTGGAATATTTTCGTTACCAATTCATTGAAGCTGGACTCACGGGTCATGGCATATTGCAAATTTATAGGTAGCTCCTCATACATACATCGCCAAGTAGATCTTTCATTAGAATCTGTTTTGGCGCTGGCTACGTTAAAGTGAGATTATATTTAATGAGTTAAGATAAAATGGACAGGCAGACAATCCTTCAGAACTGTCATCGAGTTCACCTGCAATGCCTTCTATCATGCTAGCTGCAGTTATCGGCACCGGCAATCTCTCAAGACGTATCACTGAGGTGTGCTGCTATGTTTCATCCATAGGTGCTCCGATGATTTATTGACAACTTCACACCAAAAATGTAGCAACTTCTTGTATGCGGAGCGTATGTCATTGTATTCGCATCTTCACGAGACTCTTCCTCGACTCCGGAGGAGATACCCAGAGGCTCCATCATCGTTCGCTTGGACTATAGGGACAAGCGCAGTCTAATTTCATCATTCACCACCTATGGCGTGGAAATAGTTGTCAGCTGTCTTCATGGTGAAGCTCTTGACCTTCAACCCGGGATCGGGGATGCTGCCAAGCAGGCCGGCGTTAAGCTTTTTATTCCTAACGACTTTGGCTTTCCGCTTCCAGGGTATACTCAAAGCACGTCTATGGTCCGAGAAGGTTATGCTCGTGAGTTCTCTCCCCACGCCGCTGTGACCGTGGCTGAACACATTTTTCTCATTGCGTAGAATATATGACTAGAATCGGCCTTCCAACCACAAGAGTATTGGTACTTATCGTAATGGTGTTATTGATATCCGCTGATGTCGATGAAACAACCGCAGGTTGGCATATGTGCTGAGGGAATTCCCTGGCTTGTTGCATCTTCTTCCGCGCCTGGAAAGGTTTCAATTATTGGTTCGGGAAACATTCAGGCGTCCTTCACGTCAATTATTGACATCGCAGGTGTGTGGACTTTCTCCTTTCTTTCCGTGAGGCGCCGACACACTTTTATGCAAGGCTTCATTGGGCATGTGCTAACGTCGTATTCCATCTCGCAACTAGCGAATCAGGTCTTCAGATTGGAGGGACAATCGGTGACGCTTCGTGAAATCGCGGCGATGTATGGGAAAGAAGCAATACAGGTCGACTCGCTAGACGATCCGGATGCGACATATATGCAGAAGCAGATAGATATTGGGCTCGGGGGATGCGGAAATGAAGCACACAACTCAAGGATGTCATCAGAAGAAGCTGACTTGATAATAGCTTCGAAGGCATGGTGGGCAGGGCATGTATGGAGGAACGTCAGAGATGCCTTACCTGGATTCTGACAGGACTCAGGACCACGAAACACTGACGATTATCTATTGCACACCTAATCGTTCCTGTAAACGACACAATGTTTAATTAGCGTCTATTATCTTTAGGACGCGTAGAGTACATACCACAGACTAAAAGTAGTTTCGTAGTAATATCCGGCCCGATCATCCGACGAATCAACGCCACAATATGTTCGTTTGCCACAAGTTCCGCCAACATCTTCGGCTTCGCGATTCCTCTAGTCTCAGAAAACGAAGGAGCAGGGAACCCTTGAGGGCAAACGCACAAGGGTGTCCCGCTCTACATACAACATTACATACTATTTTTGATAGAAACTACGAGAACGTTCATAGAAAGAAAAGAAATCGGCTAAGATACTTACCAATCCCGACGGTGAGTCTGGCAAGTGTGGGTGCTCGCGATGGTCCACGCTAAAAATGTCACAGCTAGTGCCTTTCAATGGGAGTTCGAATTGATGTTATCTATCACTGATCTATACCCACACCGTCTCTAGATCTCCGTCGACACTACGCAGCACGTCGACATTGCTCCTCTAGCTTCATTTCCCGACTAGCTCCTCGTTATCAGTAAGCAGAAGACGCTACCTGCAGCACTCAGACAACATGCACGCCCTCCTCTTCCTCTAATGTACTGAAGCAAGAGCGCTATAACCGACGGTATCAAAGACGGTATTGAGAAGGTGGAGTTCCGCTGCATAGCTTAATACCGCATATGTCGCTAAAGCAACGAGACAGACTGTCCCCGTTCACGAGGTTCGGAATTTCTTTGTCGCCCATTGGACCATGTATATGACTAGCGATCACCGGCGGCTGGTATGGCAAAGGGGTCTATAGTCCTCATATTTCACGAAGGCGGTATGTAAGAACAGAGCTGCCTTTTGAAGCACATAGAAATACGCCTTCTGGTTGCTGATTATCACGTTGTAGCATGCGATCTCGATTATGCTACATCAAATGATCTCAGCGAGCTGGTGCGCTGCACGCAATTCTAGTTGAAAAGTCACCAGCATAAGGCCGTACTTTCTAAATGTCAATTGATGACATTAGCTCTCTGGACGATAGCATTCACCCAAATCTCCGGGAGCGAGATCCTTCTCTATACTCTACAAACGGAGTATCCTATTGAACGCGAGTCAGAAAAACCCATGAAGATCGGCGACATACCGCCCTGGGATACCAATCTCGGAACCTGCCTAGAAGTGCCCTTCGCGACGGCTGGGTCATTCTTCGGAAAATAATTTCTCGCGACTGAAAAAGGATCAGCATAGAATTCTTCTAATGATAGCTCTGCCATACCTAGAATCCAGAGTGGGTGCATAAGAAACCGATGCTTCTCGAACCCTCTTTCTGTTTCACTCCGGCATCTGGACATATATCAAAGGGGTGAATCTTGCCAAGAAGCGCGTGACGCACGGAGTGATGACTAGATAAGACGACACTCTTGCATTCACTTAGGAGTCCCGGCAGTCGCAGGAAGGACTATCTGTCTTGCAGGTGCTTCTGGAGCGTCTGATTGTTGTCTGGCCGGGCTCTTCGTCATTTCCGACACAGAAATCTCTTGGTCTCAGAGCAGACACGGGTCTAGAAAGATATTTAGAAGACACCTACTGGTACGTAGAGGCGTAAGTATAAACAATAGATTCATGCTATAAAAAATGACGAACATTCTGGACATGGATGTGTAACGCGAGACTCTTTCTCCAGCCCAGCACTGAAAGGCGCGTCAGGTGACCTGGAACTTTAGAAAGGTGTTGTCTACCACAAGTAATCGGGCCTATCAGTCAAAAATATTTTCCTGGTATACGTAAAGATGCACCTTCTCAGTCAAATGACATCACGGCGGCTTTTTTTGTTTGCCCAAATCGCGAGGAAAAGTGCAACTTTTCGGGCTGGATGACATGTCAAGAGGAATAATTGAGTTGTATGGTTCATTTGCGCATCGACGGAAGGACTGGAAGGCGATGCTCGCACGCAATAGTGCCCTCATGATGGTCGGAACTCGAAGAGCAACGAGCGTGACTGTGACTTCCCGACATTCGTGCTGCCTCCAGCGGGCTGAGTCAGCAAGCATGCTTCGATGTTCATATCGCGTTCATTCAACGTTCATTGCGCATTGGATGTCCAGCTTTTTTCTTTCACTTTTTGCCTAATCCTTTCTAACTCTTATGGTAGGCTACGGCTTCTAACAATTGTTTCTTGTGATCTGCTTTGCTAGGACCCTGGACCCGCAAATCATTGAATTGTTGATTTGTCCTTGCACAGATCACGAACCATCGGTGGTACTAGAATTTAGGTAGAACATTTTAATTGGAGTTACTGTGGCTGTACGAGCCGTCGGAATCAACCGGCTCCGAACCCGTTACTTACCGTACCCACAGTTTTCTTTCCTTTACCGTTTACCACCATGTCGACATACTAGGTATAAACGAGTTGCTCATCTTCGTTCCCTCCTGTGCTCGAACTTCAACACATTTATGATGACAGGGTTATATGAGGACAAAGTTAAGACATGTCAAATGGAACGCAGGGTGCCATAATGAAGCAAACCGGAAATGAAGCGGTAAAGAGCAATCAGGAGAATAGATTTGATGAGTTGTTACAATACCTTTAACGGAAATAATTGGCAACTAGGCCACAGGATATTCCCTACCCAAGAAAATCATGTCGCTAACTGCCAGTTACGTTTGACGAAGCTGGGAACATCTGAGACTCGACTTCACAGACTGTTCCATCGCTGGGAAGAGTACCGTTTTGAAAGTACCCTTGAATGTAGGCTCGCGTGCACGCAGATGATGCGGCTAAGGATGCGTGCTATAGCAACGGCAGAGTGAGTGTACGGAAGGTTATTTTCAAATGGCTACTTACTCCTGATGAGTTTTGAGTTAGAACAACGGAGCCAGGGAATACGCTGGACGCCTTTTTAGCCCTAACGATGGACAAATCAGGTGGGCCTAACATGTAATTCCGGAATGACTTACCCGGCTACGGCTGTGACAGGATCTGGATGATACATTGATATCAGCAGCAAGAGAGGGCTCGAAACCAATGTACATACCAGCCGTATTTCCTATAAAAAGAATAGGACTAGTAGAGTTGCTACCGACCGGGCCTATAAAGATTACTCAAGTACAAGTCCCAGGGATATGTATAAGTAAAAGCTCACCTGTAAATCTGCCTTCGCGATGGAACTTCCATCCACTGAAGGAACATAGGATCAGTAACACATATACGTTTATCAAGGAATCTACACACACGCATCCGATCCTCTGCGCGAAAAATAAATCGGCAAAGGCCGATATGCCTTTGATACTGTCCCAATAGGCATACAGATCTGCCAAAGTATCCGTGTTATTGACGGAATCGCTGCAGGAAATGGCAATTTCTGCCTCCAGTCCATTGTTATAGATGGAAGACGGGTCTTCTGGCGTAGCCTGCATCGCGTAAATGACGCTGCCATCTCCTGCGGCGAGACTAGCAAGACCTTTGGCAAGGATAGAAGACAGGGTGTACGGTTGGTACATGCAAGCCTTGACTACAGTTCTCAGGATGACATAGTCGACAACACCGTAGAATGAAGGGGTGACAACCGGGACTGGTTGAGTGCGAAGAGACTCGTACAGAGAGTCGAGATTATTGGATATCTCTTCTGCAGTAGGGGCATAGAAAGCACATGCGTCAGGTCCAGCGGCCGCGCATCCGTCGAAGAAAAGTTGCATGGATTTATCAGTATCGACAAAGTTGTTGCGCCAGTCACCTGAAAAGAAAGAATTATCACATACTGTAAGCTTGGAGACATTGCAATATATATATCTTACCACTGTAATAGCCATCGATATCCGTTACGCCTGATCAATATGGGTGAACGTGCTTGAGTAAAACCTAAGTCGAATACACACCGTCAAGCACCATATGTTCAACTTTATCCTGGAAATTAGAAGAATAATTAAACAACAGTCCGATGCAAGAAAGACGGGGTAGCGCACGGGAAACATTGTAGCAAACGTGGTACCAAGAACCGTCCCATAACTGGACGGAAGCGATTAGCCATCGAACGAAGAGAAGGAAATGCTGGCTTACGAGAATCCCCAATATTGCAGCTTCTCATGACCCGCAGCTTCATTGATTGCCAGCATGTCCCGTGCAACATTGTCAGTACCAATATAGTTCAAGATTCCGTTATCCCTTTCCTTTGCCACTTCGGCTATAACATGCGACGATGCCCATAGATGAGGGATCTGGTCAGAGGTCGTGTTAGGAGTGGCCGTCCAATGATTTGGATTGGCAAGCCAAAGTAAACGTTCTTCTTTTGTGAGAAAGAACTCTGCTCGAGGTGTCGAATTACCGATCCCTACAATGCGCTTGCAGTGTGAGATGGGTAGATATTGAAGAATGTAGGTCAACATACCACGAGGATCGAAGCTGATAAGGTCGTATTGGCTCCCGATGATCGATGCAAATAAGGGTCCGGCGGAAGCTATTGTAGCAACTCCGCTACCTCCAGGACCTCCGGGGTTTATAAGTACGGCACCTTTATAATCTTCCTGGGATTGCGCAGGAAGTTTGATTACCGCGAGCGCAGCTTTGTTCCCATCCTCGTTAGAGTAGTCGATGGGAACCTTGCAGGGTGTAGCAAAATGTTAGTGGCAAATACTGCAGTGGAAAACCAGAAAGCATACCTGGAAGCGCGCGCACTTGTAGTTGGAGTAACAGTCGACCCAAGACAAATTGGTCGTTGGTTCGATCTATGATGTATCATGAGTGATGGCGCGTCCGACGCGTCGGGAGCAATAAGACAAACATTGCGCCAATCGAAATCGCTTTGGGCGAATATTGTTGGGAGCAGGAAAACGCAAGCTGCAAAGAAGAGAGAAATCATTGGAAAAGATCGCATTGAATAACAAACTACCTGCGAGCATTTATACGCATCGACAATAGTAGCCCAGGTCGCGTCGAAGCGCAAGTTTGGTATAGATGCAAAGTCGTCCCAGTTCGAGTTCTTCATTTCCGACGTAGAAGGAAATGAGCAGATGAACTACGGCTAGTAGCTGTAAAAGTAGGGCGTCTTCGTATTACAGTCCCGTGGTATATCTATTCCCGTGCGATTCTGGATCGTGAAAAGATCTAAGAACCTGTTTCCTCTTGGCAGGCGCCTGATTCTGGAGCTTGGGGAGACCACAAATCATAGGAGTGAGTATTTATGAATTGAAGATCCAAATAAAAGGGAAAATTCTCTGTCCTGACAAAGGAGCATCGATGATCAGACGAGCGACGACGCTAGCCATGGTAGAAAAGCAACCTCGGGCGGCAATTGCCGGCAGGATTAAAAAGGTATTCACTGCCCATTTTGAGACTGCCATGACATAATCTGCCGACTGTTCATTCATTCAAGACAGCAATACTTCCCAATTTATTAACCTCCAGTGGTCGTTAGGGGCCCGCCTCGACTCTCAAGTTCAACGCTATAGGTCAGCAGCGTTCGCTATGACACTTAGATGTCTGCTTACACACGGCCTGCTAGGAATCACGCAGATCCAGTGGGCCGCCGCTGTTGAGATGAAATTCGATTCAGAATTAATGTTACAGGTACCTCTGTGACACTCGAAGGTCGCTGGAGATCCTCACTGCACTACCAATTGAATTGTTATTCTGATCTGCCAACATCTTCTACTTCGCGGTTCTTCCGGTCTCGGAAAATGAAAGCATTGAACCGGTGCCTTTTGAATCGATTTACTGTTACCCATACCCACACCGTCTCCAGATCTCCATTTATGCCAAGTTATATGTCGAACACTACTCATCCAGCTTCGTGTTATGATTGTCGCCTCGCCGGTCGGCCCAGTCAAAAATGAACTAGACCCCATGTCCTCGTTCTGGGAGAAACGAAAGAAAGCCACCAAAGAGACTGCACTTTCCTTTTGTGACAGAGCCCATCACGGACATCAACCCCTCCGTCGAGAGCCTCGTGACAAAAGGAGGCTTCGTGATCATCCTACCAGCCTTCCAGCGGATCTCATGTCACGTCCATTGCCGTCGGAATCCTGACTCAATTATGCACTCGGTCTTCCTGGGGATAATAGTGTAGGCCTGCGATAAGTTGTCTGGACGGGAAGTGCAACGAGCGCGCCTAATGTGGGAAGAGCGAAGAGGATGGGTTCCAGATGGAGGTCATGATGAGATGGGCACGGGTGTGGCCTGAAACGCAGGTCCAAGTTCCGGCGGAGTTAAGCGTGAGGAAGAAGGATCCCAGTCCCAGGGTGAAAGATTTGCACACAAACAAAATGTGACTTTTGAGGGTTCGCTGTGATGATTGAAAGTCAAATGAAAGAGTAATGTAATCAACGGCATCAAAAAATGACGTAGAGAGGGTTGGCATCTGTTGCCCAGCGTGATGATGCACAGGTGTCGCAGAAGCAGCGAGACAAGTGGCCTTGTTCACAAAGTCCGAATTTCTTTGTGGCCTGCTTGCTCCTGTACATGACTAGTGATCACCGGTAGCTTGTTTCGCATCCGGCATCGTATTCTATAAAGATGGTACATAAGGATAGAGCTCGTCTAGCGACATGGAAGATATACCTTCTGATTGCTAATTATTAGGTTGAAATATTGCGATCTCGGTCATGCTACATCAAGCGACGTTAGCGAGTTGGAGAGCTGCCGGGCGATTCTAGTGTCAAAAGTCACTAGCGGAGGGCCATGCTTTCAATTGATGATTCTTCCGGATCTTTCTGCTTTACTCCGAGAGCAACATCCTATTAAATGAATTAGGTCACAGGAAATCCCATGAAGATCGGCGACATACCGCCCTGAATATCAATCCTGGAACCCGCCTAGAAGTTCCCTTGGGTCATTCTTCGGCAGATAACTTCTTGCGACTGCAAAAAGTTGATCAGGATAGAACCTTTCTAATGATAGCTCTGCCATACCTGGAACGAACCAGGACCGGGCGCATAAAATGTCGATGCTTCTCGATCCTCTCCTTGTTCCAAAGATAATCTTGTCCCGGCACTTCGACATGTATCAAAGCATGAGTCTTGGAAAGAAGCGCGCGACGCACGGGAGATGTAGCGATGCCAAGCAAAACGATGTCCTTGCGTTTGCTTAGCAGTCTCGGCGTCACAGAAAAGGACATCCAGCCCTGCAGAGATCCTGGAGGGCGCAGTTGCTTTGGGACCAAGTTGACACTATTTCTGGACACAGAAATGTTTTGATCCCAGAGCGTGACAAGATCCAGAAAGACTTTTGACGATGTTGAGGAAAATCTGCGGCACACGTAGAAGTATAAGAATAAGCGATGATTTTATTTTTCTGTAAGATGATGGACATTCTGGCCGTTGAGAGTGTAACACAAGACTCTTTCTCCGGCCCAGTCTTCGCGCGGGTAGTACCGTTGTGAAATATCGCAGTAATTGCACATGGACTATTGTGCTTGACAATAGAGTAGCCTACACGGGTGATTGTCGATGTTGCTGCTTGTCGCGTTGATTCGCCGGACACACCAGGTCTTGCTGGTGGTGGGATATCCAGTTATTGCGATGGAAGGGACAAGTACCATTGAAGGCCCGCAGACCGCGTACTCAAGTACCAGCTTCACGTCTAGTACAGTCCATTAATCATTAAGTAACGGCGCTGCGACTGGTAGTAAATATTATGGCTTCAATGATATTATCTCTTGGATTCTTCGCCCTCAGAGTGAGCAGAGAACATGGCAGAAAAAGGGGAGTACACGGGAAGTAACGTCGTCAAAGTCTGCAAACACCAACAGCCTCAGTTCCAACCTCTACAGACACAATCCTTCTAGTGTTCGTCGCTATTTCGGTCTAGCGACGACAATATGTATTCTTAGAAATTTTTGAACTGGAGAACACTAAAAGGCGCGTCATGGTAGAGCATGACAAGGGTATCGTCGAGATCAGGCGAGCAGAACAATAAGTCGAAATTATTTCCTAGTTGATATAAAGACGCACCTTCTTATTCCAGGGATAATTCCTTCCTGCATCCTGATTTCTGCATGTCAAGATTGCGAAAAGAAAAGCAACATTTTGGGCCAGGAGATGTCCAGAGACTAAAAGATGCGTCAACCTGTAGTTTGAGAAGGACATCGCTGACAATGAAATCGCGCTCGTCAGAATAATGTCATTTTCTAGTCAACATAAAGACGCACTATTCTATATGGGTAGGACGCCAGCCGTCCCAGCTTCTAATGCCCAGAACGCGACAACAGTTGCAACTTTTTCGGGACTAAACAAGGGTCTGCGACTTGGAATAAGGACTAGGGCCGCATATCTGAGTGTAAAGTAGACTGGAAGTCATCTGCGATGCTGTCGTAGGGACCATACGGGGCTCAATAGTGTCCCGATGGTCTGGCTGGTGGCGAGAAGGAACGTGATTGTGACTGTGACATTCTGTGATGGCATGCTGACACACCGATACTACTGATCTCAATTGGCGTGCCAAGCCGGCTTTTTCCCTTGCTCTTTGCTTGTTCTTGCCCCATTTTCGCCTATGCTTTGTATATTAATTCTCTGACTCCAGCGTTCTGTGTGAATTTACTGTAATTCTGATGTTTTACACAAAAATGAGCCAAACAACTCACCGGAGAAATTTCTGAATTAAGAGACTCTCAACACGATCGCAGGTCTGACAGCGGTCCGGGTACACGCTAATCTCCTGTCTCAGTGATACTCGCCCAGTCTGAATGATATTTTATGAAAAGGAGTTACAAACTGAAATAAAGAAGGAAGAGAGAACACGGTAAATTTCCTGGACTGCACGGTCTCATCCGACGGATCGTTGTTATTTATTTTTTCAACGAAACCCTATATGGAGGTTGAAGACCATTCCTGTGGCAGATCCTTTGCAATAGCACGATATTTTTCCAATGTTTATCGATGATCGGTAAGTATTCCTGTAGCAGAACGCGTAGAACAGAAAGCATTGAGTGCGATATATATTACAGTTAAAAGTACCCGATCTTCGTATCAATCACATAGGCACAGCCTCCTGTAGTTGAAACAGGATGTCACTACAAAGAATCGATGTACTGTTGGGGATAGTATTCAGTCAGATTCAGACGATTCAATGTCGCCCAAATCATTAACATCGGTCAATTCCATCGTCATACGAAAACCATGATTGCCATCCAAAGCACTCAGCTCTTTCAGGCCTGCCTCATCTAAATCCCAATCCCAACCTCTTCCGCAGATCCCCAGGGTGAACCTCTCGAGTGATGAAGAATGGCCAGACTGGTTTCCAACTCGTGAGTTAATCATCTCCACGAAATGTCTGTCGATGAAAGAAATGTGCTCATACTTGGCTGGATTCAGTTCAATTTGTAGTCGCTTCAAGTAGGGAACCAATAAATGCTGGTTCACACCCTTCCACGACTTGAGTCTCTGACATCCGACGAACGAGGGATGCCATGAAGGGGTCTGCTTCGCCTTTCCATTCGTTGAATACGATGGATAGGTTGCTGAGATGAGGGCATAACGCTATAATAGCGAACAGGTGCTTATTGATTCGAGCGTCAACAAGGGAGAGTACTGTCAAAGAGCACTGAGAGCGGATGAGCAAATCCTTAAGCTCGGAGAGAGCATCCGGGGGACATTTCACATGTACGTCTTCGAAGCGGATCTCATCGCAGGACCTGAGATCCATCTCTGTCAAGGCTGGTAGCTTGAGACTGCGGAGGAGTTTCCCGGAGCATGCTGAGAGTTTTTGGAGCTTCAGGTGGGTAACAAGAGGATAATACGGAGGGGAGGATTTACGAATGCGACTATAATGATGCCACGAGAAAGAGAGGAGATTCGGAGAGGATGAGATGACGTGTAGATACTTCGGTGTTACGTCGTGTCCCAGGAAATGGTCTTCCATCGAAGAGCGAGATGAGATTGGTGGCGGGAAAGCGGATCTCGGCGCTTTGATGCATGCCCTCCAAGTGGAGGAATTTCAACCTAGGTGCAATTGCAAAAGCATTGACATTTTCCGGACTTGGATCACCGATGCAACGAAAATATACCTCTTCTAGCCGGTCAACCTTTCCGTGGATGAGCGAGATACGAGACAGAAGAGGAGGTGTTACGACCAGTACAGCTCTCCTCCATCTGCGAGAATGCACCAACATCAGGTCGAAGCACTGGTCCATCACCCTGTCCGCCTCAGGCGTCCGGAGACGAGAGGTATTGAAAAAGAAGTCGAGCGGATGCCCACGAGTACGCTTGAGTACGCGTTCTAGCAGTGGTACCATATTCCGCTTCATGACTGGGACACGATACGCCATTTTTCCCAATGGCATTTCAATGGTCATAGTCGACCAGAGGTCAGGACAGAGGTTTTCAATCGCATATCTCCACGAACTGCACACATGGCCAAGACGCCATGGCCCGCGTTCAATGACGAAAACATTGAAGCCAAATTCATGTATATTGTGCCTTGTGTTGCAATAATCTTTACGGATCGTCCAGGTGCATCGTAGAATCTCCATGAGGATCTCAGGGGGTAGGCGGCGAAATGGAGACAAAACGGTCTCGCATTTGCGCTTCAAAGACAGAAGGCGCGACATCTGTCTTTCTAGGGAAGCGACCGCTCTTCGGAGCATGTTGATCTCGCCCTGGAGCTCTGGGAGTACGGAGCTGAATCTTTCGATAGAAGCATTCAGCTGGGTCGACTGTAACAATGATGGTGGATCATTCGTGAATAGCAAGGGGACGACGTCGGGAGGATGCGCATAAGTCAATAGCCAGTCGTGTCTGGATACTATGCTATTGAGAAATGCACTTGAGGACATCATGGATGATATAAATTGACCTGAATAGAAGGATAATTAAAATCATTAAACTATGAAACATGCCCAATCGACCGAAACTTTACCTGCGGAAAGTCGTACTATGCGTGTTATCCGAAGCTTTGGAGTTTCAGTGCACGGAGATGTCCGCAGTGCTGTACATGAATTTCATCAACCAAAAAGCCGGAGAATTAGGAGAACGTTGAACATACATCTATGTGTACTGGAATGTTTGACTTGAAGCTGAAGTAGAAAAGTGGCACTTAGTCGACTTTTCAAACTCCGCAACACGCTCTGAGCACTTTTCGGCCCCGAAGCGGAGATAATGCGTCACCGTTGAGTCGACGATGCAAAATTGATTCTGAAACTGGGAACTTGGGGAGTGCACGGTCAAGCGCCACCGCCTCCTCAAGTAAGCACATTCGATGCCTCTCATTTTGTTTTGATCGTTAATTTATGTTCATGCTTCGATGGACGGAACTGGAAATATAAGTACCTCACAACTAGGCAAGACTGCATGTTCAGTCAAAAACTCACTCGTTCGATGCATATAGAAACATTAGGATTCCTGGCAAACAACTAAAAATATCATACGTATCCTTCCTTGTTCCTTCGCGATGCAGCGATCACCCCTCTTGATTCGGGATTTTTGTTTCTATGAATGCCATCAGCTGCCGGTCTTTGCGGTAATTCTTCTGGGATCATCGGATATTTAATATTTTTGTGTAAGTAATGATCATTTCGAAACAAAAGAAAGTCCGGTATAGTGCCTGCTTAACGCGAATAAGCAACAAGCACGAGTTCATGCTGAGAGAACGGGGCCAGAGCTAAGTTCTGGAATCGTTTCAGCCACGGAAGGAACGTCGCAGAGGTGGATATGACGACGTCGAGAACAGCTCAGTCTCAACTTCGCAGACAACTCCGTCATTAGGTAAAGTGCCGTTTTGGAAATAAGCTCGCGCGTACGCATGAGTGCAGGAGGAGGAAGCTACTAAGGAGGTATGCTATAGCATCAGCAAAATCAATGGACATATATGTGGTTTCGAAGGATGCTAACTCACCCCAGATGAATTTTGAGTAAGGACGACAGATCCGGGGAAAGCGCTTGATGTTTTCTTTGCCCTAATGGAAGATCAATCCTGATCAATCAATGCGAATGAACATAAATAGGAGCAACTTGCGAAGAAAGGGGAGTCACAGGATCTTGACAACATGTTAGTTGAGTCAAGACAGTTCAAAAATAGAATCACACACCAGCTGTATTCCCTATAAAAAGAATAGGATAGCTGGTATTTCCGCCGACTGGACACCGGATACATAAAGAAGTGCCCTAGTTGTTAGCGCAGAGATAGCTCACCTGTAAATCCATCTTCTCGATGAAACTTCCATCCACTAAGATCGGAGATAGGATTAGCGCACACACGCAACAAAGGGGGAATCCGCATACGAGCAGGCGATCCTCTGTGTCATTAGCATAAACGCAAAAGGCGATACACCCTGGACACTGTCCCAGTATGCAAACAGGTCTGCAATAGATTCTGTGTTATTCAACGCATCGCTGCACGAAATAGCCATCTCCGCCTCCCAGGAATTATCGTAAACAGAAGATGGGTCATACACTGTCGCTTGCATCTCGTAAATAATGCTGCCGTTCCCTACTGCGAGATTCGCCAGGCCTTGTGCGAGAATAGAGAAGTATGCATAGGGTTGGAACAGGGCATTCTTGACTGCGATTTGCAGGGCGGCGTAGTCGACGACACCATAGGAAGACGTAGAAGGGATTATGACCGGGACGGGTTCAGTAAGAAGGGACTGGTATATGGCGTCGAGGTTTTTTGATATCTCCTCAGAGGTGGAAGCATAGAATGCACAGGCGTCAGGGCCAGCAGCCACACAGCCATCAAAGAATGATTGCATGTCTTTCTCAACATCGGCCACTTGATTGCGCCAGTCACCTGGAAAGAGTAAAGCTTCAGTTATTGAGATTTAGTGACGATGCGAAGCTAGTATACCACTGTAATAACCATCCACGTCCAACACACCTGATCAATAACATTAAGGAGCTGGCAAACGACGAGAGAAGTTAACGACACACCATCAAGGAGCATGCGTTCGATTTTGTCCTGGAAATACGGTTCATAATAGAATAGCTGATATCACCAAAGATAAACGCACTGGAAACATGGTAGCAAATGTAGAGCCAAGAACCGTCCCATAACTAAATAGAAATGATTAGCCATCAAGCAGCGTATGAAAACTACTAGCTTACGAAATTCCCCAGTACTGCAGCTTCGATTGACCCGCTGCCTCACTAATTCGCAGCATATCCCGGGCAGCGTTGTCAGTATCAATGTAATTCAGGATTCCGTTATCTCTTTCTTTCGCAAGTTCAGCTATAACTTGCGCAGATGCCCATAAGTGAGGTATCTGGTCCGAGGTCGTGTTAACAGCAGCAGTCCAATGATTGGTATCAGCAAGCCATTGATAATGCTCTTCTTTGGAGAGGAAGAACTCCGCTCGAGGTGTCGAATTACCAACTCCTACAATTTTCTTAGCTCAAGTCATAGCGTGCGTTTCGAAAACGTACCACGAGGATCGAAGCTGATGATATCGTATTGGTTCCCAATAACTGACGAAAGCAAAGGACCAATGGAAGCCAAATAGACGACACCGCTGCCACCAGGGCCTCCCGGATTCATCATCACCGTTCCTTTATACTCGGTTTCGGACTGCGCGGAAAGCTTCATGACCGCCAGAGCCGCTTTGTCGCCATCCTCGTTCGAGTAGTCGATGGGTACCTTTGGTCACATAGAGAAATATTAGTGAGGAGTACCTCCCTAGAAGGGGGAAACATACCTGGAAACGCGTGCATTTAAAGCCGGAATAGCAATCAACCCAAGACAAATTGCCCGTTGGTTCAATCTATAATCGAGTCGTGAGCAACAGCGCGGCTAGGCAGAGTAACACACACAGTGCTCCAATCAAAGTCGCTTTGGGACAGTACCGTTGGAAACAGGAAGACTTGATAAAGGAAAATGAAGGTCGCAAATAAGAAAGACATCATTGAGAAGGACGATGGGGAGTATGACAATACTGGCGACCATTTATACGCGTCGAGTCAATAGTCACTGAGCTTGGCGCCTAGGTCACATTGAAACGTACGTGTGCGCAGCTACGGCGATTCATTAAAATTAGGCATAGGAATCGGCGACGTGCTGCGGAAGATGGCTGCGAATGGAAGACGTCCTGCGCGAATTTGCAAGCGACTTCGGAGATACAGCTCCCGTAATTATTACCTTTGTGATTTCGTATAGATGAGTGCAGGTAGGATTCGATATTTTGAAAGCGCAGATGGGACCCAGTATATTATATCTACTTCGGGGTGGTGCCGTGGGACGGGACGGGACGCCCACACTCGTCGAAGCGAGGATGTGCTAAATCCCCTAGTTGGCCCTGTTTTCATGAAGCACGGTTGAGTAGCGCCGTCGTGGAGCAGGTCCATGTAAGATATTGTTTCACGTTTCATGTCAGCACATGTTCTTCCAAGCTGGACTGCGCGCTAACGAAGAATCAGCTTATGAAATAGTATGAATCAGAGAGGGGCCCCGTCTGGCACAGTGACATACCAATGAGATAGTACGCAACGATTGCTGCGCAAAAGTGAAAGCGGATATTTAGAGTCACGAAATATTATCATTTCCGGGCTCATGAGGATGCATCAGACCCGAAGGCAAGAAACACCAGTTGTAGTTGGAAAGCAACTGCCACCGGCAGTTGCCGACAAAGGCCCAGGCCGGACAAACCGTCCATGTTAAAACCACCATGGCAGTGTCCACCGACTTTCCCTCTACTCCTTATTGGGAGGTACAGCAGTACCCCATTATTTAATATCCTTATTAACCAAGAGCCTGTAAGGATTTCAAAACGACAGGGCAGGGGTGGCCGCGTATGTGAATTGAAGACTCAAGCTACCTGCTATATGAATGCCAAATTATTCCAAAGCAATGACCCAGTATCTAACAAGAGTAACGCGCACAAAAACTACTTGAATTTCATGCTTTGGCATAGGCTGAAGAGTTTTCGTACGGACGTAATGTAGCCGCCTTGAGTGTCTGTTGGGATGATTGGGAGACTGGAGTGAAGGCGAAGGTGAATGCGGAGATGGTGAGGACAAAGTGAGGACACAGATTCGTTCGTATGGACTGTTGGAAGATCTTACTTGCGGTGGTCAACTTTGTACATATGAAAGGCTGATGTAAATCGGTCCAGAGACGTTCGCTAAGCGGTACTCGCAAGGTCTCAAAATAACTCTCTTAGTAGCACCATGTACAATTAGAGAAGAACTAAGTTCAACTCGTCCGGAAGGCAATGCTTGATTGGCTATAGCCCCTTGCTCTCTGCCTTTACATCAGTACCTGTCGTGGTTGAGGTACGGAAGTATCATCACGTAGAAACATATGGTTGTGACAGACGCGTCAAACGCGTGAACGACGCGTACAATACGTATATTAAGCGCCAGGTAGAGGAAAACGTACCCTATGGCGGCACGAACTTCAAGAAACAAGAGTTTATGAGAGTGAAACGCGTCGACACGAGCGACGTCATGTTCAATTGGTCTTTTATTAGCTTGGTATTTGCGTTCAACAAAAGCTGAAGCTGATCTCTTCGCGCAGACATGGTCTGGTGTTCTTACTTGATAGCCACAATTATAGGTTTATGTGTTATCGATCCGCGTGTCTGTCAGTTCCCTAATGCTTCTAACACTTGGCATCACAGGTGATTGAAGTAAAGTCCCAGAGATGAGCTATGAGACTAGAGACTTCCTAGAAGAAGATAGTCCAACATGCGTCGAATTGGTTCTCTTCGTGGAGGAGACAAAGTGAACAGAAAGAAAGATTTACGAGTTCGACGAGGAAAGCCATGAGAAAGAGCCATAGAAAAACAAAGCAGACATGAAATGGTAAAAGAGTAACTTGGACGAGTCGATATTACAATATGTCAGCTAAATGTATCTGCCGGAATCATCTACGACCCCAGAAAGAACGTCGTTGATTGCCAGTGGCGTTTGACGAAAGTGGGAACATCTCAGACTCAATTGCACAGACTGTTCCGTCGCTGGGAAGAGTGCCGTTTTGAAAGTAGGCCTGAACATATGCAGACGTGCAAGTGGACGAAGCAGCGAAGGATGTATGCTATAGTAGCAGGAGAAATGAGTGTACGAAAACTAGTATCGGACGATTACTTACCCCGGATGAGTTTTGAGTTAAAACTACGGAGCCGGGGAATGCGCCGGATGTCTTCTTCGCTCTGGAGAAGGATTGATGAAGTGGACGTGGCATTTAATGCTGCAAGAACTCACGCGGAAAGAGGAGTGACGGGATCTAAATAATATGTCGATATCAGGGGGAAGGAAGAGATGTGGACAAATGTACATACCAGCCGTGTTGCCTATGAAAAGAATAGGATAACTAGTGTTTCCGGTGACCGGGCCTATCAAGGGACACTTCAGAACAAATCCTAGTCGTTTGTGGAGGCAAAGTCTCACCCGTAAATCTGCCTTCGCGATGAAACTTCCAGCCTCTAAAGAAGGACACGATTAGTACAGACGCGTGTTCACAAGGGAATACAAACGAGCAGCTGATCCTGTGCGAAAGGATAAATCCGGAGGCAAAGGGGGATAAATATTTGATACTGTCCCAATACGCGTACAGATCCGCCACAGAATCCGTATTTTCAAGGGAATCACCGCAGGAAATAGCAATTCCCGCCTCCCATGAATTGTCATAAACAGAAGCTGGGTCGTATACGGTATCCTGCATCTCGTAAATAATGCTTCCATTACCTGCCGCGAGACTAGCGAGACCTTCTGCAAGGATAGAGGAATCACCGTAGGGTGAGTACAGAGTATCCACAACTGCCGCTCTCAGGACGGTATAGTCAACGACACCGTAGAATGATGGGGATACTACCGGGATTGGCTGGTTAAGAAGAGACTCATATAGAGAGTCGAGATTGTTGGATATCTCTTCAGCAGTAGAGGAATAGAAGGCGCAAGCATCAGGGCCTGCGGCCGCACATCCGTCAAAGAAAGATTGCATGACTTTTTCAGTATCCGCAAGCTCGTTGCGCCAGTCGCCTGGTATGAACAAACTGTCAAGCGCTGTAAGGAAGCGGAAACAGCATAGCCAACGTACCACTGTAATATCCATCCATATCCAGCACACCTGAATGATATCAATAAATTAGCCTTAGCATAGCAGGAGTCGAATACTCACCGTCAAGCACCATACGTTCAACTTTATCCTGAAAATCAGAGTTATGGTTAGTTAACTGATGAATGCAAGAGATACGAAGCAGCCTACGGGAAACATTGCAGCAAAGGTGGAACCGAGAACGGTCCCATAACTGCAGGGAAACGATTAACTATCAAGCAGCGTATGAAAACTACTAGCTTACGAGACACCCCAGTACTGCAGCTTCGATTGACCCGCTGCCTCACTAATTCGCAGCATATCCCGCGCAACGTTGTCAGTACTAATGTAATTCAGGATTCCGCTATCTCTTTCTTTCGCAAGTTCAGCTATAACTTGAGCAGACGCCCATAGGTGAGGTATCTGGTCTGAGGTTGTGTTAACAGTACCAGTCACACGATTAATACTGGCAAGCCATTGATAATGCTCTTCTTTGGAGAGGAAGAACTCAGCTCGAGGTGTCGAATTACCAACTCCTACAATCCTCTCAGCCAAAACATAGCGAACATTTAGACGCGTACCTCGAGGATCGAAACCGACAATGTCGTATTGGTCCCCAATAACGGATGCAAGCAACGAACCAGCGAAAGCCAAGGCAGCAACACCGCTACCACCAGGGCCTCCAGGATTTATCAATACCGTTCCTTTATACTCGGTTTCGGACTGCGCGGAAAGCTTCATGACCGCCAGAGCCGCTTTGTCGCCATCCTCATTCGAGTAATCGATGGGTACCTTCGGTCACGTAGAGAAATGTCAGTAAGAAGTACCACGCTAGAAAGGGGAAAAGCATACCTGGAAACGGGTGCATTTAAATCCGGAATAGCAATCAACCCAAGATAAATTGCTCGTTGGTTCAATCTATAATTGAGTTGTAAGAGACAGCAGCTTGAAACCAGAGGCAGACGAACAGCGGTCCAATCGAAATCGCTTTGAGCAGATACTACTGGAAATAGGAACTCGGAACAAAAAAGCACACAGAATGTCAGGGCGAGGGGAAGCATCGAAGGTGACATCCAGTAGAAAATTTCTGCGAGCATTTATACCTGTCAACAACCGCAGGGCTAGGGCCGAGTTGAAACGTAAATTTGATAAAGATCCGGTGTTTTCTTAGTTCGAACCTTGCATTTTGGAAGCATATAGCAATGATCCGTTCAACTGGGGATAGTGGCTGTAAGAAAAGGGCATCTCTTTCACACACCGGCATCGACGTACCAGCTGTGTGATTCCGAGTAGTGTTTCGCCAACCACACATGACACTTAAGGATCTGAGTGCCTGCTAGTGAGCCTTACAGCTTTCAGAGAGGATAAATGTAGTATAATGTCAGCATTTCTTACTTCGACATGAATTAGCTGGGCTGTGCGCACTCAATTGGCTGATCACGAAATGTAGATGTTTATCCAATACAATACGCAGAAGTAACGCCGTCGTGTGCTGGGTTGAGTCACGACACTATTTTACGTCAGATGTCAAGGTAATATACTCCGGAAGGACGTGAACGGGAACTGCTCACGAGGAGATGTCTGTCAAACAGCCTATTCCTCAGGTGAGAGAGCAACACAGCAAGACGGCGTCGGAGTGGGTCATAGAAGAATTTAGGAATGCAATAGCCAAACTAAAGGCGATAATGGTCTTGTCTAACGAATGGACGCTGGACGAATGATGCATGCTCTGGTAAGAAAAACAAGTGCGGCAATTGCCGGACAGGCAATGGCTAAAAAAGGAATTCACCGCTTTTTTGAAATCGCCATGGTATCTCTTCCTCCGGTGCTCCGTTGTTACGTCCGCAGATGGAGTCCTTTACGAAGGATCTCACCTGTGCAGTGGTTACGTCCACAGGAGGTGTCCTTTGCGAAGGATCTCGCCTGTGCAGTGGTTACGTCCGCAGATGGGGTCCTTTCCGAAGGATCTCACCTGTGCAGTGGTACTCGGTTGTTATGTCTGCTGGTGGTGTCCTTCGCGAAGGATCCTGTGTTCATTGATTTGGCTCACAATTGGCTTCCAGGCGATATCGAGAGGATTATAACTGATGTTGAGCAATCCTGCCTCTCAGACATTTCCTCGTTCATGGCGACATCCTCCAAGGCCCTCTTGCTACGTCATCGACCTCATCCCCCTGCCCATGCACATCCTGAAATGCTGCAGAAATCAGCTGTGGCAAGTTTTCGTTCTTATCTCAATGTTCCCATTCCTGCCCATCGAAAAGCGCTAGTGCGCCTGTTGACGTCTTCTCATACACTTGCCGTCGAGGTCCTCCGATGGGCGGAACGAAGGCGTCCTCCCGTTCCCCGCTGTCAGCGTTTGTGCCGTCTTTGTGGTTCAGAGGTCGAGGATGAGGCACATGTTTTGCTGTACTGCGACGGAACTAGCGACTTACAGGATTTATTCTTTCACAACATTTTCGCGCTGGCAAGTCCTCCCCTTGCAGCTGCGCTGAAGTCCGCATCATTTGGACTCCATGTTCTCCATATCCTTCTGGATAGTGACGATAGTCGAGTCCTTATTTCTTTTGCCAAGTACGTTTTTGACGTGTTCCGAGTTATCAACCGTACACCACTGTATCATCCATAAATACTCGAATTCTGTAAAATTCCGTGTTTCGTTTCTCCGTTTCGATACCCACTTGAGCACCCTGCGAAGAGTCTCTACTCCGCGAGACGCACTCAACAGTGTGATTACAACGGTATAAGCCTTCGCAGCCACAGCACATGGTTCGCCATGTCAGGGCTGTGGACCCGGCCGTTCTTTATTGGGACCTGGCGCCGGTAACACCACCACCACCACCTCTGGCTAATATTTGAAAATAGAGTGATGTTCCGCAGCCCCATACATCCGCTGGTCTGTCCATTATACATATTTTTCAAAATTATGCAGTATCTTCGTCGCTACCCAAGTCTTACATCGGGCGATTTGAACCTTGAAAGAAAAGGACTGTAGTCAGAGGTGATTGCGAAGCCGTTACAAACTCGGTATTCTTCCTAAGTCAACAGCGTTCGCTGTGAACTCCGCATTTGAGGATCGAGGTGTCCATTCGCACAAACTGGTGGCGATATAATTGAGTTTGAAGTTCATCAGTATTAGTCAATCCTACCGTCGAGGTGAAATTATATTCGACATCAACGCTGCATGTCTTTCCGTGAGATTCTGCAGCACTCTCCCAAATCTTCGTGCTTGAATATAGGGGCATCATCCTTCGCTACAGCTAGAGTATCCTACCGAATTTTAGCCACAGAATATCTCATGACGATCGGCGACGTACCCTCTGGATATCAATCTTTAAACATCTGTTGCGATGGCAGGATCGTTGTTCGGAACGCATAGAGTTCTTCTAATGATGTCTCTGACATACGTGAAACAGGCTAGGGTGGATGTATAAGACGTCGATACTTCTCAAATCTCTCATCCTTCCAAATGGCAAAGAGAATTTGAACCGCGTCCCGACACTGCAACATGCGTCAAAGGGTCAATCTTGGATGAAGTACTTGACGTACGGAATGTGTAACAATGAGAAGACCAGGCGGAGTCCACATATTTACTTAGTCGCAGGGCGTCTGTCGATTTTTTACACTTCTAACACTCGATATCACAGGTGATTGAAGTCAAATGTGGGAGATGAGCTATGAGAATAGAGAATCTTTTGATAAGAAGGGGATAGTTCAATACGCGTCGAGAAGGTACCCTTCGTGGAGGAAAGAATGAGAAGAGGAACAGAGTTGAATGCGGAAAGTGATAGCAAGGCAAACGGAAGTAGATGTGACGATTGATTACAATATGTCAGCTGAAGGTATATGCTAAGTAAATAGGTATCGGAATCATTTACGACCCCAGAAAGAACGTCGCTGATTGCCAGTGGCATTTGAAGAAACTGGGAACATCTGAGACTCGATTTCACAGACTGTCCCGTCATCGGGAAGGGTGCCATTTTGGAAGTACGCTTGAACGTACGCGTGCGTGCAAGCGGATGATGCGGCTATGGATGCGTGCTATAGCAACGATAGAGTGAGCGTAATGAATATTGTTTTCGAATGGTTACTTACGCCCGACGAGTTTTGGGTTAGAACTGCGGAGCCGGGGAACGCGCTGGACGTCTTCTTTGCCCTGAAGAAATATAAATGAAGCGAGCCTAGTATGTAGGTTTGGAGCAACTTACGCAGAAAGAGGAGTAACGGGATCTGAATAATATGTCAATATCGGGAGGAAGGCAGGGATGAAGATGAATATACATACCAGCGGTGTTTCCTATGAGAAGAATAGGATAGTTGGTGTTTCCAGTGACCGGACCTATCGGAGAACACTTCAGAACGGCCAATCTCGTTGGCGAAGGGAAATACTCACCCATAAATCTGCCTTCGCGATGGAACTTCCATCCTCTGATAACGATTGCGATTAGTACATGTGCGCGTTCATGAGGGACTGTACACACGAGCAGCCGATCTTTTGGATCATAAGTAAATCGGCAAACGTCGATAAACCTTTGATACTATCCCAATACGTGTACAGGTCCGTCACAGAGTCCGTTTTGTTCGGGCCATCACTGCAGGAGATAGCTACTTCCGCTTCCCATGAATTGTCATAAGCAGAAGACGGATCGTAGGCCGTCGCCTGCAGCGCGTAAATGATGCTTCCGTTCCCTGCCGCGAGACCAGCGAGACCTTCTGCAAGGACAGAGAAATATGTATATGGCTCGTATAGAGCGTTCTTGATTGCGGTCCTCAGGACGGTATAGTTGACGACTCCATAAAACGATGGTGAGATTACCGGGACTGGCTGGGTGAGAAGAGACTCGTATAGAGAGTCCAGATTATTGGATATTTCCCCAGCCGTAGGAGCGTAGAACGCGCATGCATCAGGGCCTGCGGCCGCACATCCGTCAAAGAACGATTGCATGTCCTTATCGGTATCGGCAATCTCGTTACGCCAGTCACCTGGAAAGGACAGAAATATCAGACATCTGTATAAGGACACTGAAAGACAGTTGACTATCTTACCACCGTAATAGCCATCCATATCTAATACGCCTAAGCAAAATGAGTAAACCAGCTGAGTACGAGAGGAGTCAAATACACACCGTCAAGCACGATACGTTCAACTTTGTCCTAGAAGTTATTCATAATTCATTAATGGAAAAAATGTGAGAAAGTGGAGAGCGCACAGGAAACATTGCAGCAAAGGTGGAACCGAGAACCGTCCCATACCTAGAGGGAAACAATCAGTCATCAGATAAATATAAGATACCGCCGACTTACGAGAATCCCCAATATTGCAGCTTCTCTTGGCCCGCTGCCTCAGTAATTCGCAGCATATCCCGGGCAGCGTTGTCTGTACTAATGTAATTCAGAATTCCATTATCCGTCTCCTTCGCAAGTTCCGCTATAACTTGCGCAGATGCCCATAGGTGAGGAGTTTGATCCGAGGTCGAGTTAACAGTATACGCCCAATGATCGGCGCTAGCAAGCCATTCATAGTGCTCTTCTTTTGAGAGAAAGAACTCCACCCGAGGCGTCGAATTACCAACCCCTACGATGGTCGTAATGTGAGTTTCAGTAGGCAATAAAAAACGGTAGGTGAACGCACCACGAGGATCGAAACCGACGATGTCATATTGGTTCCCAATAACTGACGCAAGCAACGAACCCGCGGACACCAAGGTGGAGACACCGCTACCACCAGGGCCTCCCTGATTTATTAGTACCGTGCCTTTATACTCGGTTTGGGACCGCGCGGAGAGCTTGATGATAGCGAGAGCCGCTTTGTCGCCATCCTCGTTTGAGTAATCAATGGGCACCTTCAGTCGCGTAAAATGAGAAATACGGTAGTAAGAAGAGGAACAACATACCTGGAAACGCGTGCATTGATAGTCGGAGTAGCAGTCGACCCATGATAAATTACTCGTCGGTTCAATCTATGACTTAGCATGAATGACGGCACATCCAGGGGAATAAGTCAGACAAATCGTGCTCCAATCGAAACTGCCTTGAGCGAATACTACTGGAAATAAGAGCTCAACATAAAAAGGAACGTAGAATGTAAAAGGGAGAGAAATCATCGAAAATGGTGATGTCGAGTAAAATCCAACTGTGAGCATTTATACGCGTTGACGCAGCAGGGCCAGGGTCGTGCTGAAACAGAAATTTGATACAGATGCAGTGTGTGTCCTGTGAGAACTGTAGCTTTCGAGGTATATGGAAATCATCCGACAAACTGCGGAAAATAGCTGTAAGAGAAGTGCATCTTTGCAAAACCGCCCACCGTGGCACAGCTAAAGGATGAGCACTGCTGTTCATGGTTGCGAACCGCTGATGGCACTCAATGAGCTAAGAGCCTATTCGTAAGCCTCATAGCTTCCAGACAAGATCAGCGCGACATAATGCCGGCTTTTCTTCCTTCCACATGAAATCAGTTGGGCTGTGCTAGATGTTTGATCACGAAACCTTGAGTAGATCTTTATCCGATGTAATACGGGCAAGTAACACCGTTGTCCTGTAGGTTTGGTTACGAGGTTGTTTCATGTTTGACATAGAAATCATATACCCCCAGGAGAGCAACTACTACCAATCAAATGCCTGAAACTCGGGCAGGAGCACAACGCAGTAGGACGGCACGGGAGTGGGCTATAGAAGAATCTTGGATGGAATAGACCAAAAAGAAGACGAGTGCAGATGCTCCTCTGCTGTTGGCACTGGTGTTGTTGGTAGGAAACCAAGTGCAGCGATTGTCGATATAGCTGATGGATAAAAAAGGGATTCACCGCTCTGTTTGAAATCGCCATTGCGTCTCATCTTCGGCCCAGTATTCGATCGTACCGATGATACAATGATACCCCTTAGTTCAACTGCTGATGCGACCGTCAGAAAGTTTGCAAAAATCTTGCAATCTGCCAACCAAGTCGTACGTTTCGAAGTAAAGAAAAGGACGTTGTAGTTCAAGGGAAAGCCGATATTTTTAGTGAAGACAATTTGGTAGCTAAAGACTTGAAATAGAAAGTCATGCGTTCCATTGAATGCTTGTTGAACGTCAAGGCTTCGACGGAATTCTAAGTTCGATACCGCGTTCTTGAGGTGTCCACTCATACACGGCCCTGACGATATCATCGAGTTTCGAAGTCCATCAGGACCAGGCAGCCTTGCTGTCGAGGTGAGATTCAATACGCACGGAAGTCTCCAGAAAGTCTGTACCGCTCACTAATCGAATTGTTAATTGGTAAGGGTGCCTGAGCTGCGGACCCGCCTTCCTTACTGCGTCTTCTGCTTGCTTCCTGCCTTTGGAAACGAACGTGTGAAACAGGTGCCTAATCAATGGGAGTTCGAAGCCAGGCCACCTGTCAGTGCTCCGTTCCACGGTCACACCATAACTAGATCTCCGTTCAGCACGTTGATGTTGCTCCACCATTGATTTTACCACTTCCCACCGTCAGACCGTCACCGACCAGGAAGGCCTCATCATGTTCTTTTGGGAGAACCGAATTAAAACGGCCTCGGGGAGACTTCATTCGCCATTCACCACAAATCCCAGCCTGAACATGCCTCCGCCGGTCTCGTGTACGTTAACTCGTCCGTTGAGGACCTGGTGACAATATTAGACTTTGTGATGAATTACATTCTCAATGTGGCCGGAAATCTTACGGAGAGTTGTATGGAGGACAAGGGCATCGAACACGCCTAGTGTGGGGCCAGCGAGGAGGATGGAGTTCCAGATGGATGGCATGATGAAATGGGCTCGCGCATGACTTGAAGCAAAGGACCATGACTCCGGCGGAGTTAAGTGAGGAAGGAGGATTCCAAGACGAAAGTGCTTGCATACGGACAAAATGTGGCCCTTTGGAGTGCCTGCTGGAATGACTTGTAGGCTGGAGCGAAGGAGCAGGCGAATGCGGTGATGGCGAGAATGAAATCAAGTTGTATTTTTGTCCTTGATTTCACACATGTTGGCAAGCGCGAAAGGGTCGATCAAAAGGGAAAATGATTCAAGGATCTTCGCTGAGCGGTACTTGTATAATTCCGTTAATAGCAACGGGTGCGGATAGGCTTGACTGAGGTCCTAATCATCATGAAGGCATTTCGTGTTCAACAATGGTGGTGCGAACCACATCGGTGGAAAATGTTCGGGGATCCTACAGAATGGATATAGAAGGCTCGCGCTTCGGATAACAGACAGCAACGGTCGCAAATACCGGAACAGCACCTTTGAATACAGGCCATGCCTAAAGTATGACAATCAGGTTGATATTTGTCTGACGATAAAAAAAGACACCAACTATAACACTCGGACAAAGAGCATGTCCCTCTTCCCCCAAACTACTCGTTACTGGAGCAAGAGCGCTGTAACCACCGATATCGAAGACAACGTTGGGAAGGTGGGTCTCCGCTGCAAAGCTTAATGCCGCTCAGGGGTCGCTGAAGCAGCGAGACAAGCTGCCTCGTTCACGAAATCCGGGTTTCTTTATCGCCCGCTTGGCCATGTATATGACTAGCGATCACCGGCGGTTTGTCCATAAAGGGGTCCGTGGTCCTCATATTCCAGGGAGGCAGTATATACACTTTGTGGCCGCTAATTATCAGCCCGGTAGCATCGCGACCTCCGTTTTGCGAAATCAAGTGACGTTAGCGAGCTAGCGAGATGGAGGCAGTTCGAGTTCGAAGGTTTTTAGCAAAGGGGTGCTACGACAGCATTCTCCCAAATCCTTCTGCTTTGCTCCGAGAGCAGCATCCTTCTCTACACTGGAATGTCCTATTAAACTTGAGTCATGGAAAATGACATGAAGATCGACAACATACCCTCGGGATATCAATCCTGGAACCTGCCTAGAAGCTCCTTCGCGACGGCTGGGTCATTCTTCGGCAAATAATTTATCGGGGCTGAAAAGTTGATCAGCATAGAATTCTTCTAATGATGGTTGTGCCCTACATGGAACAAGCCAGGACGGGTGCATAAGACGCCGATGCTTCTCGACCCTCTTATGGTTCCAAAGAGAACCTTGTTCCCGACATATCAAAGGGGCGAATCTTGCCAAGAAGTATACGACGCGCGGATTGTGCAACGACAAGATAGGACGACATTCTCGTATTTTCCCAACAGTCCTGGCGTCGCAAGAATGACAGACATTGAGCTTTGCAGATGATTCTGGAGTGTCTGGTTGATACGTAGCAGGGCTCTTCATCTTTTCTGACACCGAAGTCCCTTGATCCTACAGCAAGAATTGGTCCAGAAATAATTTTAAAAACACCTGAACAATAGTAGAGGCGTAAGTATAAGTGACGGTTTCGTGATATAAGAAAGTGACGAACATTCCGGCCTTCGATCGTGTAACGCGAATCTTTCTCGGTCCACACTCACGTACGTACTTGGAAGAGCAATATTGGAGTAAGATATCGAAGTGATTGCACGTAGACTGTTGTGCGGTGCATTGCTTCTCTGAACGGCCCGAGTCCTGCTCGCATATCCAGCTTCACAGGTACGAACAAAGGGTCAGTCGAGCACCGCCCGCTCGTGGTTCAACAATTCAGTTACTGGTAGCATTATAGCAGCCTCGGTATCAATGCACTTTGGAGTCTTCGGTCACAGAGTGAGCAGAGAACATGATAGCGAAACAGTAACACACACTTTGTGAGTGTGACGGCATCCAATTCAGTATACACCGACAGCCGCGGTTCCAGCATCAATCTGGGGGCAATAATCTTGAAATACCATCGCCACTAAACATAAAAACTAACAACGACGGTATTATCAAAAAAGTTTAGAATAGAGAACACTGTAAGGCGCACCAGGGTAGAACTTGAGAAAGGTATCATCTAGGTGAAGAAATCGTGCTCATAAATCAAAAAAAATCCTAGTAGACATAAAAACGCACCTGCTTATACAAATTTTGCCTGAACTCTACATGCCCACATCACGAGGAAAAATACAACTTTTCGAGCTGAGCAAGGAAACACGGTCTCCTACCATCACAACGACGCATCAAGAGGAATAGTTGAGTTCGAGAATACGTCCTTTGCGCGACGGCAGGACTGGAAGGCGACCCTTTTTGACAATAGTGCTCTCATGTGGTCGGGAGCAGAGCTACAAACGTGACTGTGACTTCCCGACATCACGCTACCTTTTCTGGATGAGCAGCGCGCTGACTCAGCAAGCCTGCTTCCAGGCCACCGTGATGGTCCCCGACCGTTGCCCTGTTCATTGCAAGTTCATTGGATGTTCAGCTTTTGCCTCGCATTTTCCCCGATTCGCTTCATTTCTCAGGAACTCACATGCTACGGTTCATAATATCTATTTAACATGCGTTTGACATGCGCTGCTTTGATGGACTGGAAACTCAACTTCCTGGAGCCAACATACACTGCGGCGTAATGCAGCCTGCGTGGTTCGCCTGCCAGATCGCGCCGGACTGATGAACGCGCAGATTCCGGAAATATTTTCACCGTTCATAATACGGCGATATCAACACAGAAGGACGATTCTCGTACACGCTTCGAGAAACCTGACGATGATCACTGCTCTTTGCTGTTGCTCGCACAGGAAAACACAGAACATTGGCAAATAGCTTGTTTTGTATCGGATACTCAATTTCTATTCGTCTTCTCGGTGAGTATTTGCCTCTCTCGTTCATACTTCTGCACTACCTATCCTAATCACTATTCCGATCAGACGAACAGAAGACCCTGTTGATGGCATCACTTGTGATTTGTGTCTGCTCGTGTATACCAGGCGAATACTAGTCACAACTACATGCTCTCCTTCTCAACTCCTTCTCCAACCCTTGGAAGCGCAACGCGTCCATGGATTTATATTCCGGGAAGAATAAGGTCCACCCATTGAAGTTCCCTCCGAACGGCACCCTCAGTCGCGGGGGGGGGGAATAGCCCTGGCCAGCGATGAAGACTTCAGATTTCACGGAGCGTCAATTTAAACTGGGATATCCTTTTTGGGTATGCTCATATCTTATATGTCCATTCGAAGACTAGACTCCGTCTCTGTGATTAGCGTCCTGAAATCTATTGATAGGACTCATGTTTGCGTGGAATTGTTTGCCCACGTCTTTGTGGTGCTGCTTGCGACTTCTCTTCCGCAAGGCAGGGTCAATCCATATGACCTCTTTACCTCCTTCAATCTCCCAACTACATAATACGATGGCCGTGTCGTGTTGAACTTCCACTCCGCTACTTTTCTCCATTCGAGGACGCTAGCCGCCATAAATGAATATATTTTCTTTATAGAACCACGGGAGTCTCCTACTGCCGCTGAAAATTGCATCCTTTCCTCCATATCCGTATTATCAGCAACATGCCGGCGAAGCTGCAATAGCGCCCAACAACTCGTGGACCGTTCTCGAAGATGTTTTCTTCAAATCAGAGGTATAAGCGACTTATCGAAAAAATATATGGCATGATATTAATCTCCTCCGGTCGTTCTGATAATTCTATATTTACGAAAGCCTTGCTCTTAAAGGTAGCGAAATCCCTGCTGGATATCTAGTCGTGCGGGTTCCGTTGAGCATTGGCATCACGGCAATGAATACTAGACGTACCTTATCGGCTCCTTGCTCTGTCCTTTCTCGTGATCCTCCGCCACTATATTTTCCCTCTGTCGGCAACCGTGACAAGCGATCGCCGCTGCGTAAATTCTGTCCTGGTCAAGTGCCTTACAGTGTCCTTCAAGCTGTACTACACGCGAGTGAAAGCTACCGCGCTTATTCGTATCTATAGTATCACGTTCATGTCTCGATGAGCCCAACCTGAGAGCCTTTAATCATTCCTCTTCCGCCGTAACTGCATCAAGACGCGCGGATGAAATATTCACCAATGGCACAGGCACCTCGTGCTTTTCGCTGGAATACGTATGATTCGACGCGCGGGGATGTTATTATCCTTGACACCGAAAAATCTCATGGCCGTGGGACCCCGAGGGCCTAATATATTTCTCGTGTATGATCATTCTTATCTGATACCGTCGGTCTTTAATCTCATTCCTGACCGTGTCTGGACATGCATGCTGATTTGCCGATAGTCGAGGCACGCCTTGACCCAGTTAACCGCCGGCAATGGGTATGGTGTACCTTCCCCTAATTCGAGATCCTAATCTCTTCTCAGAGCTCTATTATCGCCGAACGCGCTTTACAGTAATTGCGCCTAATACCCATTTTCAGGGAGCTAGCCGTGCCAAGTTTACCCTAGAAACTGCATTCCATCCCTCGTCGCCAGGACATCCATGTATTGGCGCTGATCTGCGCATTGTTACGTCGAATGTCGTATTTTCGTTCCTGTACCTACGTGCTGCATGGACATGTCCAATCCCAAAGCGAGACAGTTCCAGGTGACTGTCTGCGTCACGCGCGCTATATCTCCCGCCCCGGTACTGCGCCACTCCCGAGTAACGGAATGGTGCCTCAAGGCCCAGCCCAGATAACGGACCGTAAACCCCCCTTTTCGTGTGCATGCTGGCGCCATTTTTGCTGCGCAGCTTGAGGGGGAAGCGAACGAAAATAACAAAAGGGCGCACTACAGCCAATCAGCAATCCGCAATGAAAAATGGGGGATTTGCGATGAAGATTGGCGCCCGTTCCCTATCAGGAAAGGATTCTCGTCTTTTGAATTTTTGGCTCGCGAATGTTCCACCGGGAAAACAATTTTCATATTCCCGCCCGAGGTCCGGTCGGCGGCGTTCATTGCCATGGAAGAGAAGCGGGTATTTGGTATTGTGGCTATGGGATACAGTGAACATGAAGGTACAATGAAGCATAGAAAGCCGTGAAAAGCAGTGAACGCGAATCGTAAGGGTGGGAATGTAGAATGCAATTCACCGTCAACGGTAACTGACCCGAGTGTAGTCCCTCTCCTCTCGGACGTTGCTGACACTCATCCTCTCCCTCCTAGCCATCCCAACATCCTCGTCGTTGAAGTCATAATCATACATCCTCCTCCGTACTCTCTCGCCTTCATATCGCGGAAATACAGCTGCCTGCAGCCTGAAACTCGGGACCTCCTCAACATCATCATCCTCATCATCTTCCTCGTCTGAAGGTTGTGGAGGACGGGAAGATCTCGACGTGGTACCAGAACTCGAACCTGAGCTGCCTGGAAATAGGGAAGCAGCGCCCGGATTGGTGTGATTTCGGTAATGTCGGCGCATGTTAGAATTTACATTGAATTCGCGCCCACAGCCGGGGAATGGACATGTGAATGCTACAGCATAGATTTGTGTCATTTCAGGTTCGGAGCTGTCAAGGTAACACCTAACGTACGAGTAGCCCCAGTATGGGTGTTGATGTGTATCCTCAGGCTACTTGGTCGGTTGAAGCGCTTGTTGCAAGTCTTGCAGACGTGTTTCTTCCCAAGGCCAATACCGTCGTCTTCACCGTCGCTTATCATGCTGGCAGTGGCGCGGCTTGCGGCCTCGGTAGCAGCAGGCTGGTAAGGCAACGTAGCAGAAGATGCAATATGTGTGAGGGAAGAAGAAGCCGGGTCTGAGCGCAGGACACCGAAAGAATAGCCCTGCGGTTGACCTTGACGTTCAGGGCGATGAGGGATAAGGCTAGGTGGCGCGGAGCCTTTGACGCGCGCCTCGGGCGCAACGCGCAGCAGGTGCTCTGTAAGCAGCAATGAGTCAACATCAAAGGGGGCTTGATGGGAGGAGGCAGAGAGATAAACTGACCTGGAAACATTTCATGAATACTGGGGAGGGAAACGGTGGCCATGGTGGCTGTAGGTGGAAAGGGTGGTGGAGTAAACGAACGCAAATCAACCGGCAGTTTTATAGTCGTTCCTTTTCGGCAACTGTCCGATTTTCCGTGCCGCCTAATATGGAACCGCCGGAAGTAAATCAATGACAATCATCTCCATTGGATGACGGATCCACCGAGCCTCGTTCTTTCCCTCTAATTCCCTTTCTCCGATAGCAGTCTTCTTGCAGACCGCGCGTCGTAGTTTTCGTTGTCCTTCTGTTGCCATGCCTGCCATCTATGGAATCGTTCGTCGCTGCCCACGATTCAGCTCTAGCGAATCGGTACATGATATTGATCTCTCGGCGCCAATACGCAGTCTGAGTCATCCGGCGTTCGTGCGAGGATCCACCATGCTGAACGTCCCTGGGCCGCGTATTGAGACGTGACCGAATCACCGCAACGTTCTACTCCAATACCACGCACTAAGGCCCCGGTAATACATTCTGCAGTCACACTGCGAGGTAAAATGCAGCGTGTATGAGGGACGCCAAGAAAAACTTACTAGCGACCAAGACCAACATGTCTCACGGATCCGGAGCCGTTCTTAATAAAACAAACGTCGGTGAGAATGGAAGAAAAGGAAGCCAGCAAGCACGCACCTGAAAAGAACGAGGCACGATTTGAAAAAGAGATTAAAACCCCGAGATCGGCGAAGGACTTGTCATTTCCACTGCATGTAGAAGCAAAAACAGCGACAGACGCTCGTTAAGCTCCCTCGGTCATTAAATAATACAGACGCATCGATACGACCTGCATCCGGCCACATCCGAGCACTGGGCGAAATGAATAGGCGGATCAGAGCGGAGGAAGGGAAAAGCACGTTCTAGGGAGACTGAGGGAAGAGCCCAAAGGCGAAAAGACTGGACCAACTATTGGACGCTTTCGACAGGGCAGAAATGTGAAAGAAGGCTGTCTGATAAACGCTTCATCGGATCAGAGTAGCGCCGAAGGTGGTGCACAAAGCACGCGCAGTCATCATGGCACTCTCCATGTGAACTCGTGGTCCCGACAGGTTGGGTACATGACCTTGACGCACGGAGCGCTAGGGCTGAAAATAGGCTGCGATTACCATCAACTCGAGGTTTCTGGATCTGGAGAATTGATAAGTTACCGGTCTATGGCACCCGGGTCTCAGGATGGTCCCAAATCACATCAGGAAGACCTTCTCTTGACCTGAACTTCAGAGTCCGACAATTCGCCATATTATGAAATGGAACAATTCAATCCTGGAAGCTTGAACTCGATTTCTGCTGATATGACTCTGACGCAGTATTCTTACCTAGTCAAGTCTCTATCAGAGCCCAGCTCTCCAATCAAGGAAAAAAGAAATGGCCTCTTGACATTTCATATGCGAGGAGAAATCTGCTTATGTTTCTATTTAATCATCGCTCTTAGACAAACAGCTCACACCTACTTCTCTTGGTAGCGGTCTTGCCTTCTATCAAGGCGTAAGTGGCATTTAAGGGAGTTTCCCCAAACGTTCAGGCAGCCTCATCGACGAGGTTGGTGTTGCACGATACACATATTAAACAACATACCTCATTAGAAGCAAGGCTATCACCGAGATTTGCGAAGCACACGTTATTGCCTTCTTAAAAGCCACCATGGGCGATGGATTTGTTTCAGACCAATAACTGTGAGCGGTTTGTTGCCGCATTTTCGGGTCAGAGAGCAAGAAGAGAACTGAATTCAGTTGAGTAAATGCAAGAATCACGATAGAAGTAGAGTTAAAAACAAACAATGAGGCGTAGCAGTGATTTAGAAGCTCACATGCGCCAAGACGGAGGCTGAGATGGGCGATGGTAAGTTAATGTTTGAATTGGGCAGCAGTAGGAATGGAAGAAGTCTAGACATAGTTATTAACTGCAGTCGTCGTTTCGGATTGAATTAAAATACATTACTAAAGGGATCTAGCCGTTTCTCGAGGTAAGCGCTAGGATGATGGTCCGATGATGAAGCGTTTTTTGTTCGGCTATATAAGACAGTTATCCCTCGCTGTCGTAGCATGATAATGAGCAGTCGCACCTATCTCCTGTGTCATGGTATCAGCTCCTGAGGGCAAACTTTTTCTCTATATCATAGACAGGCCTATGCACTACAGAGACAGAAATCAGCCTGTAAGACGATGTAGCTATCAAACGAAAGAACCAGCGTCTGTACTGGGATATAAAGCAAGCAAGCACCATACTACTGGCCTTCCTAGCGACATCCAGAATGAGACCTTGATGTCTGCGTAGGTAAGAAAGGAGATACATCAATTCGTTCAATTGTACACTGCAATACCCGTCGTCATTGAGAATATCCATATCAAGAACAAGTCTGCGGCGGGCCTAATAATGACCGTATCATGAATCGGAAAGAAAGTCAACCGAGTTCGAATTCGTCCACGGCGCTTGTGCCATTACGTTTCTATTCATTCCCGCCGAAAACAGCTGTACGACGAGGTTTATTGCCGTAAGAGTGGAGCCATTCGGTGTAGCCTAGCATATCTGTATCAGAAAGACTGCGTCGGTGGAGGCCCATTCCATCCATGTCAATCGTCTTTAAGAACGTGCTGACTTGCAAGAAAGCAATTATTTGCGATCAATGTCAGAAGGGGACCAGGAGAAGCGACATAAAGAGCAGACTGTAAAATCGGCATGGTCCAAGCGCGTCGTGGTTGAGAAAAGAGAAGACTCGGCAATTTCCGGCCGTCCCTCTTCCTTCAAGTTGAATCATCAAAATACATATAAAATCTCATTTATGCTCCTTGCATCCGGTTGGGATATAATACATTGTGGGCTGGATTCCATGCTTCACTGTCCTGGTTACTACACACTGAGTTTCCTGATTTTTTTGTCGGGGCATTCTTGGTTGGGTTCGGCGTCCTAAAAAATGTTCAAGCGCCGAGATACAGTAAAGGGAATGCGACCAGTTCGAGCTTCGCATAAGCAAGGGTAACAAGAATCTGATCCTTTTTCTTTTACGCCGGTGTCTCCGAGCGTCTAGGGACCTTCTAATTCAATTCAATTTTCATCAAATGTTCAATGTTCATAGCTGCGAGCAATGTTATTTTCGAGTGAATTGTAGGATTTTACTGTTCATTTTATATTAAGGTTAGCAGACGCGTGCTTGGAGAAACAGACCTATTCATTCTTCTCATACTTCCACTTGTATTTAGTACTAAACTTTTGAACACAGATGATCCGGTAAGTTTCTTCTCTAACATTCATCATGTCATCGATGCATCTGACTGTGACTGCATTAATAAAAACCTACGCCTACTCTCAACTGCCGGTAAGGGCTTGGTACCATTCAATTCCCCGCAAACATCTCAAATCTCTTGTCTTTCGTATTGTCACATCTTTGCTGACTGCCGCTTTGAATTCCTTCCGCTGATTGCTCAAAGTTTCTTGCTTAGTTTCATCCGAACTCCACGGCGAATTTCTATGATGCTGTACTATCGGCCCCGGACACCTGCTTACGTTGAAGTCAACAAGTGACCGACAGCCTCATCAGCTCAACAGGAACTGGTGTGTAACGACAGAGGGCAAGGAGCTTTAGCCGATCAGGCATTACTTTCCTGACGAGTTGAATGTAGTTTTGCTCTAATTATACTTGTTGCTATTAACAGAGTTGTTTTGAGGCCTTGCGAGTACCGCTTAGCGAACATCTCTGGACCGATTTATATCAGCCTTTCACATGTACAAAGTTGACCACCGCAAGTAAGATCTCCCAACACTCTATACGAACGAATCTGTGACTTCACTTTGTCCTCACCATTTCCGCATTCACCTTCGCCTTCACTTCCGCCTCCCAATCATCCCAACACACACTCAAGACGGCTACATTACGTCCGTACGCGAATTCTTCACCCCTGGGATCTTCCTTCCTGACCCTCACCCCTCCAGACCCACGAATCTTTGCTTCCGGCCAGACACTGGCCCACTTCATTACGCCCTCCATCTGGAATCCCATCCTCTTCGCTGCTCCCACACTAGGCGCGTTCGATGCACTTGCCGTCCAGACAACTCGCCGCAGACCTAATCCACCATCCGCAGGAAGGTTTAGCGCGTAATTCATCAGGATCCCGACAGCGTTAGATGTGACATGAGTCCGCTGGAATGCTGGTAGGATCATCACGAAGCCAATTTCTGTCACTAGATCCTCGGCGGAGGAGTTGATGTACGTGATGATCCCCGCGTAGGCATGTTCAGACTTGGACTTGTCGTAAACGGCGAATGCGGTCTCCCCGGCGCCGTTTTTGATTCTTTTCTCCCAAAAGGACGTGATGAGTTCTTGCTCATTCGTAAATGGGCCGATAGGGAGGAAGTCATAGAAGGAAACTGGAGAAGCGGCATAGACGTGCAGCTTTGGGTGGACGGAGATCTGAGATCGCATGAGTATGGATCAGTGACAGGTGGATCGAACTGACATCAAAAGGCACGAGTTTCACACGTTCGTTCTCCAAGACCGGGGGAAGTGGGAAACAGAAATTTGTGGCAGACATCTGGTTCGCGGGAAGGTTCAGAGACTTATGTTAAGGCACCTTTATAGATTAACAATCGTCTGACTCGATTTGCGGAGTAGCCATGCGGCACGGATATCCGGATTCCCGATGACTTCCGAGTGGTTGAAAGGCACCCGTAACGTTGATATCGAAATGAATTTTATCACTACGGCTAGTACTGGCCAGACTTTGAGATCTATGTTGGATTACGGCCCGCTATGCGTAAGCAAATTCCTCAAATATAAGAAGAGAGTGGGCACCAATCTGCGGTATGAATGTCAAATTATGTCAAAGCAATACCTTAAAATCCAGCAAGAAAGCACGCACAGAAAACACTTGAACTTCATGCTTTGACATGTCCACATAAGTCAATGACTCGCACATGAGGAAATCCGGAGAGCTTGAGTCTTCAATTCACATACACGGTGACTCCGGCAGTGCCCTATCATTTTGAGATATTCACATTCTCCTGGATGTGGATTTTAAATGACGGGGTACTGTTGTACGGTCGAGGAAGGGGTGGAGTAAAAATTGGCAGACGCTGGGCGGTGAATGCCTTTTTTGTCCATCCTCCTTTGTCGGCCGACGGCAATTGCCGGTAGCAGTTGGTTTCCAACTACAACTCGCGTTTCCTGCCTTCTAGTCTGATGTATCCTCATGAGCCCAGATATGATAATATTTCGTGACTAAAACCATCCGCTTTCACCTCTTCTTGTAGCAATCGTTGCGTGAGCCTATCTCATTGATGTGTTGCTGTGTCACCCCTCGCTGATTCATGCTTTTTCATAAGCTGATTCTTCGTTAATGCGCAGTCCAAGTCGGAGGAGTATGTGTTGGCATAGAACGTGAAACGACATCTCAACTGCACTTGTCCCACGACGGCACTACTCGACCGTGCTTCATGAAAACACAAGATTGGTGATGAAGCACAGCCTCACTTTAACTGAGGGGTATGGGCGTCCCACGGCACCACCCTGAACTGTATAATATAATGGGTCCCATTTGTACGTTTTCTAAACATCGGCTCCTACCTGCACTTAACTATAGAGATCACAATGGTAATAATTATGCGGGCTATATCCCCAAGTTGCTTGCAAATGCACGCAGGATGTCCTCCATTTGCACCCATCTTCCGCAGCACGTCACCGATTTTTAAGCCTGATTTAACGAACAGCCGCAGCTGCGCACACTGCATCTGTACCAATTGTACGTTTCAACGTGACCCTGGCGCTAAGCTCGATGAATATTGACTCGACGCGTATAAATGGTCGCCAGTACTGTCGTACTTCCCATCGTCCTTCTCAATAATGTCTCTTATATTTGCGATCTTCGTTTTTCTTTATCATGTGTTCCTGTTCCCAACCGTATTGGCCCAAAGCGACTTTGATTGGAGCACTGTTCGTCTTACTCCGCCTAGCCACGCTGTTGCTCACGACTCGATTATAGATTGAACCAACAAGCAATTTATCTTGGGTCGACTGCTATGCCGGATTTAAATGCACACGTTTCCAGGTATGCTTTCCGCCTTTCCTATGACAGTACTTCTTACTGATATTTGTTTGCGTGACCGAAGGTACCCATCGACTACTCGAACGAAGATGGCGACAAAGCGACTCTCGCGGTCATGAAGCTTTCCGCACAGTCCGACACCGAGTATAAAGGAACGGTACTGATAAACCCGGGAGGCCCTGGTGGTAGCGGTGTTGTTGCCTTGGCTTCCACTGGTTCATTGCTTGCGTCAGTTATTGGGAACCAATACGACATTGTCGGTTTCGATCCTCGAGGTACGCTTCTAAATGCGCACTGTGACTCGATCTGAGAGAATTGCAGGAGTTGGTAATTCGACACCTCGAGCGGAGTTCTTCCTCTCCAAAGAAGAGCATTATCAATGGCTTGCTGATACCAATCACTGGACTGCTGCTGTTAACACAACTTCGGACCAGATACCTCACCTATGGGCATCTGCGCAAGTTATAGCGGAACTTGCCGAGGAGAGGGATAATGGAATTCTGAATTACATCAGTACTGACAACGTTGCGCGAGATATGCTGCGAATTAGTGAGGCAGCGGGTCAACCGAAGTTACAGTACTGGGGTGTCTCGTAAGCTAGTAGTTCTATCACGCTGCTTGATGGCTAATCGTTTCTGCCTAGTTATGGGACAGTCCTTGGCTCTACATTTGCTACCATGTTTCCGGTGCGTTTATTTTTGATGATCTCAGCCATTCCATTATGAACATATATCCAGGACAAAGTCGAACGTATGATCCTTGATGGTGTGTCGTTAATTTCTCTCGTCGTTTGCCAGCTCCGTAACTATTGTCAACCAGGCGTCTTGGACATGGATGGTTATTACAACGGTATATTAGCTTCGCATCGTCACTAGATCTCAATGGCTGAAGCTTTACTCCTTCCAGGTGATTGGCGCAATGAACTCACCGATACTGAGAAAGACATGCAATCATTCTTTGATGGCTGTGTGGCTGCTGGCCCTGACGTCTGTGCATTCTATGCTTCCACCTCTGAGGAGATATCAAACAACCTCGACACCATATACCAGTCCCTTCTCACTGAACCCGTCCCGGTCATACTCCCTTCTACGTCCTCCTATGGTGTCGTCGACTATGCCGCCCTGCAAATCGCAGTCAAGAGTGCCCTGTACCAGCCCTATGCATACTTCTCTATCCTCGCAGAAGGCCTGGCGGGTCTTGCAGCAAGTAACGGCAGCATTATTTACGAGATGCAAGCGACGGCGTATGACCCATCTTCTGTTTACGATAATTCCTGGGAGGCAGAGATTGCTATTTCCTGCAGCGATGCGCTGAATAACACGGACACTGTGGCAGACCTGTTTGCATACTGGGACAGTATCCAGAATGTATCGCCTTTTGCGTTTTGGCTAATGACTCAAAGGATCGGTTGCTCGTATGCGGATTCCCCCTTTGTTGAGTGTTCGCGCTAATCCTATCTCTCTTAGTGGATGGAAGTTTCATCGAGAAGACAGATTCACAGGTGAGCTATCTCTGCATTAAAAACCAGGACACGTCCTTATGTATCTGGTAGGTCCAGTTGGCGGAAATACCAGCTATCCTATTCTTTTCATAGGAAACACAGCTGGTATGGAATTCTCTTTTGACATGTCTTGGCGCAACTAACGTCTTGTTTAGATCCTGTTACTCCCCTTTCTACGTAATTCGCTCCTCCCTGTATCTTTGTGTTTATTCGCCTTGATTAATCTTCCATTAGGGCAAAGAAAACATCAAGCACGTTCCCCGGATCTGTCGTCCTTACTCAAAATTCATCTGGAGTGAGTTAGCATCCTTCGAAACCACATATATGTCCATTGATTTTGCCGATGCTATAGCATACCTCCTTTGTAGCTTCCTCCTCCTGCACTTATGCGTACGCGCGAGCTTATTTCCAAAACGGCACTTTACCCGACGACGGAATTGTCTGCGAAGTTGAGACTGAGCTGTTCTCAATGTCGTCATATGCACCTCTCCGTGACTGAAACGACTCCAGAACTTAGCTTAGTTCTTTCAGCTTGAATTCGTGCTTGTCGTTCCTTATTGCGCTAAGCACACACTGTACCGGACTTTTTCTGTTTCAATCGAAATTCGTTCATTACTTACACAACCACATTATATAAATATCTGTCTTTCTCCAAATTGCTTGGGCCTTTGTATCGACTGCGGGGAATGTGTTCCGGCACCAGATCTACACGAAAATCGAAGCAGAATTACCACGAAGACCACTAACTGGCATTCATAGAAGAGGAGAAAAACATAAATTCGAGTCAAGAGGGATCGACACTGCTTCGCGAAGGAAAAATTAAGGAAGGATGTGTATGGTACTTATAGTTGTCTGCCGGAGATATCTAATGGTTCTATATGCGTCTATCATTCCCTCGGTCGTCCTTTCATTGTCGCGCTATTCATAAATTCAGACGAACGGTCCCATCCCGCAGCATATTGTTATTTTTCCTCGATGAAATCTTGTACCCGACGACACATTCTAGCATTGCCAGACTATGGCATGGTCCTCTACACGATTTGAGACATGAAGACCAGTCTAATTGTCCCACTACTCTATGGCCTCCCAGGCTGCTATATAAACCTCTCGTAACTTTGCAAAATTGATCTCCGTCACTCAGTCCTGAGTCATACTTCTGAAAATGTCTTATTCCTACCATTCCCATTCCCCTCAGAACAAGTACGCTTCCGAAATAATACACTCTCTGCCTCATAATCATTGCTGCAAATCTAGAAACCCATCGCAAACACCAATTTCTTCTCTCCAGAGACGCTCAGAGCAAAGGTATGTTTCTCACTCACTATATATATTCGTCTGATTAACCTCTCATTTTCTCATTAGAACCACGGTCAGGCCGGCCAGATGCACGGGCAAGCGCCACCACCGCCACCACCGCCTCCTCAAGTAAGCACGTTCGATGTCTCATTTTGTTTTGATCGTCAATTGATGTCCAGGCTTCCATGAACGGAACTGGAAAAGTGAGTACCTCACACTGGCAAGACTGCATGTTCTGCCAAGATCTCACTCGCTCGCCCTGTTGAATAGTTAAGAACTAGATACATAATTTAACCATCCAGTATTTTTTTGTGTCTTCTCTTCCTTCTTCGTAACTCTTTTTTCTAAAATATCATTCAGACTAGACGAGTAGTACTGAGATAAACCATAGATTAGCGTTCACCAGTGCTGACTGGACCTGGGATCGTGGTTCTTGTTTTAGCAATTTCGCCAGCGTGGGTTGTTTGGCTCATTTTTGTGTAACGCATCAGAAATACAGTAAATTCACACATCCCGCCGGAGTCAGGAAATCAAAATACAAAAGCGTAGGCGAAAATTGGGCAGAAACAGGGCAAAAAGCAGGACCTCCGTCATCATCATCAGGATCGTTGAGTCAGCACGTCAATGGTGGGATGTCACAGTCACAGTTCCTGCTCGCCACCGCCAGCCACGGTGACCACCATCGCGGCGCTACGTATGGTCCTGCGACAGCAGTGTAGAAGACGTTCAGTCTACGTGGCACTCACATATGTGGCCTTCGTTCCTCTCTCAAGTCTCAGACTCTTGTTTAATCCCGAAAAAATGCAATTCAAGTTCTTGTTGCGTTCGGGGCATATAGAAGCTAGCATGGCTGGCGTCCTATCCAGATAGAATGGTGCGTCTTTATGTTGACTGGAAAATGTATCCATCTGACGAGCGCAATTTCAATGTCAGCGATGTCCTCAAACTACAGGTCGACGCGCCTTTTAGTCTCCATACCGAATACGTTGACAATGATATTGTTGCTGGAATGTTATGTCAAGAACGGTACGACGGTGGTGCACCTGGGTCAATGCTACACAACCGAACCGGTCGGTGTATGCAGATTTAGACAAAGTGCGTTCATTTGTACGTACCTCTCATGCTTATTGGTTTTTTTTTTTTGTTCACTTGTGACCTTAATCTGTGCAGTTTGACATCATGTTAATCGGCATTCTAGTCCTTCAACCAATCCGTTCTCGGCTATCGTCCCCGTATACGCGAGAGAGGATTACGACCAGACTTTCTTACGATCCATAGTGACAGTGATGAATGGCCTCAATCCACTTCGCGTACGCCTACCGTTTACTGGTCAGTACATTTGTCTCCATCACATCGATTTGCTGCTTATATGCGTTGTTCCTTAGGTCCTAGGTGTACGCCTGATGTTTTTGAAGTCTTCTGGACACACTGTCACCGTAGGGACAATGGACTATCATTCTGTCCACGTTTTTAGGTTAAACGTAGACAAACTCGCTAAACTTGGATGCAAGGAAGCGACACAGTCATGACTAGACGTTGCAACATCCTCGCATTCACTTGAAGCTATGCGTCATCCTTCCAGGTATAATGCAGTCGTCGCTGACGGAACTCTGATACGGATGCTCTTCTCGAAGCTACACAATAATCTCGTCGTTACGATGATAATTTAATTCGTTCTTAACAGGTTTCGAGGGTCGTCATCTTCTGAAAGTATATCGTTGACTAATGAATGTGTTGGCGGAGTCGTTCCATACTCGTCGCCAAGGCGAGCGGGATCCAACATGTTTATGCACAATCCTCCAGTTGGCTAGTTATACAACGCTTTTTGCCAGAACTGCAATTTCCTCCGCCCTCTGTCAATTGAACATTGCGATGAATGCATGCAGTCAGGGTACGCCGTCGAACACATCCAACTTACCCATTCCGATTGACGTTCGCTTTCTAGGGCATTTTGACTCACGATTGGGATCGTTGTTGGCTCAATAAAGCAAAGCGGGACGATAACAAACTGCCAGGTTCCTCCGTGTCAAGGGAGCCCGCGCTATCGGGTGTTACTCGCATTATCGTAGATGGCACCGAACAACGATACGTCTGCACTTACGTCTCTGTCGATTATGACACCAACTGGCTACAACCCCTGAAGATGTCCCATGGCTTAGCAGCTGCAGATGCTGCATGCGAAAGCTTGTTTGCCGTTGCATTGATATCCCAGGAATTGCAGTTTATTCGCTTCAATCTCGCATTGGGAGTGTTGGCACGGTCTGGTCCCTCCGCGATCGCGTGTACGATATCCGTAGTTTCCCGCATGTCCGTAGCTACAACCGCGACTATCACTAGCGATTCCCCATTCCCTCTCTTGGACCTAGCAATACGGTTCCAGCATCCTTCACTATTTCCTACTTCACTCATTGCAGTGTCCTATCCCGTCAGGAAGTCAGTCTCAAGCCTTGCAATATCATATTCGTTGCAGCCACGGCTACTCCTCCAGTAAATTACACGATGTTATCAGGTCCGTGCCGCATCGGCAACTCTGCCGAAGTTGTTATCCGGTCACACAGGGAGGGACGCCGCCTGCGAATGGCTCTGGTGTTCCGCCTGATTGTCGACCCTCCGACTGGCCATGCTCGCCGTAGTGCCCATATCCGTTTCCCTGTGAACTGCGGCCCCGAAACGTAGGGACGATAAAGCCGAACTAGGCCATGAATCATCAGGGCGCGCATGCCCTGCCGCGACGCGCCCAACAATCAAAGTGGGGGCAATGCCCTTGGAAAAAAAAAAACCTCGAGTTTAGCTAATCAAATCGTCCCGGAAGAGGAAGGATGTACCCTTATCGTGGTGGTTATGACGTCAAGATAATCTCCATGTGTATCATTCCGCGCGACTATCACCAGAAGCACGATCAGCGAAGCGGTGTATAAAGCCGCTGATTCCACGACCACTTCGATGATGCGGCGGTATCGGTGGAGGCCATGTTCGACCTTCCTTCCAACGTTTACAATTCGGAAAATGATTAGCAGGGTGCACCAAACAGTCGTCGCCATTATGAGAGAGATGTAAATGATGGACCAATTGATCCTAGTGCCATATGCGGTCTGTTCGTCTACTCCATTGACGTTGTCCGAGACAAGATGGTACACCGACAGAACCTTGCAGACTAGGAGTACATCACTGAGTCTGGACTTATTGAAGGACAGGACGGGCTTACCTATACCTACGATCGTGCAGAGCATGGGGCAAATAATTATGAGCCAGCTTCGTCCCCATATGATCCAGCACCGCCAGATCTATGCAAGGGAGGTCCAGACATGAATTAGTCGACCAATATTGAAAGGGTGATCACGCATACCATGGTACCGTCTGAGAGGATTGTGCTGATCCCTCCACAAGTAGCGGTAACGATAATTTTTGCTACCGTATGCCTGTCTCTGGCTTGGGAGGCGAAGTAGGATGTCACCATATCCTCGTCATTGTCGATGAATACATAACGAAGGAAGGAACAGGTGAGGCCGAAGCTGATGGTAGTCAAAATGTATATGGCAGTGACGACGACGCCCATGACGACCTTATTCCGCCGTTCTTTGCTGGTCCCTACGGAAATCACAGGTCAGGCGTCATCAAAGTGTGAAGAGTGCGTACATAGCTGCCAAAGGGTGATGGCCAATATGGAGGTGTACAGCCCTATCGAGTCGGTTAATTAGGCATCGGGAAGAATACGAAGATCAAGCTCATACCGTGTAAAACTCCTTGGAGGACCACTGATCCTATAAGATTGCCCAAGATTTGACGGATCATTGATCATCTTCAGTAAGTTCCGGGGCATCTGTCGGCATAGACATGATGGGTTACTTAGTGGCAGCGAACTTCAGAACGCTGGTCATATTTATACTTCTTACCTTCTTGAATGTTGCTTTTCCGACCGCAATAATGATTCCAACGATTTAATAAACTGTCAATTTACGAAGATGGTGGATTCTCGGTTGTCAGGTGTGGGTCGCTTATTCTGCCCCCCCAACCATCAACGGCGAAAGGTGTTGTCGGTAAGCCACCAATCTAACATATTCCTATGTTGGGGCATAATTAGAAGTTGCACTCTTCAAAAACCGCTGATATCATGATGAGAATCACGCCCAGTCTACGATCGGCATTGTGTTTTGACTATGTTCCTTGCAACGGAGGGTGAAACACGAGTAAGATTGAACATCGATGAGGTACTACATGGGCCGGAGGAAGAAGTCGAAGGGATGGCTCGGATTTGCGACTGAGATAGTGGACACAGCGTCTCCACGTCTTCACTGGCGGTTGTCGGGAGACCACTCATTTCGGCCTTCCCACCACCAAGCGCGAGGGTATGCTATTAGTAAATCACTAATTTCATATAGCTGGTTCATGCGTAACTCATGCGGTTACAGGATGCGGGCTCATAAGCAGCCATAAGTGCTACGAATGATAGGGCGAGCTATGCAGATATGGTGATTAGGAATGAGCGTTAAGATATTAAAATACGTATTATAGTAACCCACGACTGGCTGTCAGAGATTAATGCTATGGGTTGGAGGGGCTTCATAGACAATACCACGCTCAACACACAGCTGAAGTTACACGTTGGCTCTGTCCCTCCCTCAACACAGTTTACGATGATGAATGACAACGCGACGGTGTTAGGACAAGAATAAAAATATCTACACGATTCGAAAACCTGGACCAAACTTGATCAAACCCGTCGTTTCTTTGGCTGGGAATTGATCACGGTTGATTCTTCATAACCACGTTTCGAATGCGGAGGGGATCCATACTAGATCTTAAATCAGACGCATTGATCTGAACATGGTGATGGCACTCACGGCAGTACCATGTGAAGATGAACTCGTTATCTGTACACAGACAGAGTGAGATCGAAGCAAGGAGAGATCCAAAGCCTTCATACGCACTCCTCCTCTTCCACGAGAAGACTGATGAGATTGATATTAGCCAAAGACGAAGGAATGTGACAGTAAAGGCGAACCATTGTAAGTGCCGAACGCAGAGGCGGAGCGTGAGCCAATGGCTAAGAGGAGTGGATAGTCAACTGGAGGACTCGATAAAAATAATGCTTGAAACGTACGGAACAGCTTCCCCGCCCGCGTGAAGACTAGGGAAGGTTATCATTATGAGCATATAGGAACCATCGGAGAGGATAGAAGACTGCATACTAGGCCTGCACAACACCGAGAGACGGGGCTGGAGGGCTAATAAACGAAATCGATATCATTAATAAGCCGCCTGTGACTTCATGGCGGAAACACACTTTGAGGGGAGCAAAAACACTGGTGGCTGGCCCAGGGACTTGAGCGGATTCCTCAGCAGGTTTCGATGACAATGGTAAGATAGGCTGGCCCCAACACGAGTCGAGTATGGACAGATAATCAGGGACGCGAACCAACGGCTGCAATGTCTGATACGGTAGATTGTATTGTGATATTCGCGGTACTTGTGTCGGTCGGTGCCTATACGTCGGTCAAAGCGAGCACAGACCCGAAGAGACAAAGCAACTCACAGAAATCGGAAGGGCGGCAGCCTCATCTATGGCGCTCTGAGCCTGAGAATTCGAAGCCGGAACTTGCTTGCATCGGCGGATTAGGGTATCTCTCCTCCAGTTCAACATATAGCTTCACGCACTGGTAACGGTTCTTCTTGTTTACTAGGAATTACATTGGTTGACAGGTGCTGTTGTGCAGAAGGCTGGTTCTGGGCTTGAGCTTCCGTTTGAGCTTGAGTTTCGGCAGCGGAGGACGCCTTCGTGACCTCAGACTGCTTACAGTAGAACCGATGAGGAAAGAATGGCCAGTAACAGTATGTGAAGCGTACCGCAACAATAGCATCCTTCAGGCGCTCCTCTAAACCCAGCACCGTTCGCTTCAGGTCGGCATTCTCACAATCGATTCTCTCCTTCTCGCCCAATAATTCGCTCAACTCCTGTCTCGTCTTCCCTGCTTGCTGCCTGAACCTATCGCGCTCCTCTTTGAGCTCGGAGATAATCTTGGAGAGGTGTTCGTTCTCCTTCGAAAGGCTGTCAGTGCTGCGCTGCATGATGGAGGCTCAGGAGATATGAGAAAACGGATGTTTCAAGCGGAGAACACTAATTTGTAAAGCGGCGTCGGTCGAACCGCTAGCACGCAGCCGTGACAATACCGTACCAATAAACCCCTCGATTTCATCTTTGGGGAAGACCAAAGAAAATACACACAGAAGCGCGGCATTAATTTCCTGAAAATTACTTCATCTAGCAGACCCGTGTCCTAGCCAACTCCCGCTCTTCCATCCTCACCTGAATAAAAGAATCTGGTAGATCACCTAGGATATCCCACCCTGCACGGTCTGGGCACTCATAGGAGTAGTGGAACCAACACTGGAGAGTAAGAAACCGGCTGAGAAACATGACGGGGCCCAGCACATCCCTCATTTTAGAGGGAAGTTTCGAAGTTCCAACGCTCAGTTTCTTTAATTTGGGCAACGGCGGCATGCCAGTATGCGGAGGAACTTTCGCGTACCCATTGAGATAGAGGCCTAAACCCTCCAGGTTCCTGCCGTGCTCGACGACAAAGGCTAGAGTTTCCCAGTCAGAATATGTATGGGAAACATCTGACGGTGATAGGTATATCGGAGAAGGGTTCAGAGAAAGCTCGCTAAGCATTTCCCAGTTCTGGAGGATGTGTCTGATGTCGCTGTTGGTGAGCTGAAGGGGGCATGGGTGGTCAATCGAAAAGCGGATAACATTGCGGCAGCCGAATAATGGTTGGATGTCTGCGAGTGTTATGCGTTCATCGGGAGAGAGGTCAAGCTTGTCTCCTGTTAAATGCAACGCATTAGACAAGAGCGATATGTCGCGTAGGGATTTGCAACGAAGGGATATGGCCATTGTAAGTTTCCGGGTAGATATCTGGGACTCGGGCTTGTGCGACTGTAAAGACAACTTGGTCATCACGGCGAACTCGGTACAGAAGATATGGGTAGTGGCGTCAGGATAAGGAATCGCAAGGGTGAGACTTTGGAGTTTGCTGGATAATGTGATAGGGGAAGTGGGGGAAGAAATGATAAACGACGATTTACTCATGTGTGGTTCGATGTGTATGTCAATGGTTTCGAGATTGGGAAGAGATGCCGTTGAACAAATGACGGTGTACAGGTCTGTCGACGGGGAAAGGATAAGGGTTTTGAGAAACCGCAATTTTGGAAGAAGCCATGCAAGCGCGGGTCCTATACGAGCTTGAGATGCATTCACACCACGGTCGGAGAAATCTAAGGCAAAGCTCTGGAGACGCGACATGCGTGAGGCTATGTGCTCGAAATATTGCAAGATGGTTCCATAAGTCTCAACCTCTCTTAGCTTGAGCGTAAGCTTTGTGATCCCCTCGTGCATGAAAAAGACCGACTCGCGCCACAAGTCACCATTAGGGCATGACCAGGCAAGTTCAGTGAGATTAGGAAGAAAGGGTATAGCGTCAGGCCGAAGCACAGCAACGTCGTTTATGACATGACGATAAGTTGCGCATAATATCATATTATCCAGGACATGTATCCGCCGCCTGTATATGTCGAAGCGCGCCCATCCACTCGGTGTAGGAAGGGATTCAAACGACTGTCGACAAAAAAAGTGTCGAGTTAGTAACATGATGGTAAGACTCCTTTTCCGACTCACAAATTCGAATTCGTAAGTGCCATCGTCACCTTCGGATTGTTCTCCAACAGGCATCAGCAGATCTCCAACAGGCGCTAGCAGATCGAAGATGAGACTAGGATCGCATACTTCGCGCCAAATCAAATCCATGGTAATATCTGCCCAATTTTTACAGACAGTGAGAGGACCATATGCGAGCCGGTGCGTCTGGGAAAACTCGGTGAGGATTGCGATGACCAACTCAGGGACGGTAAAGATACGGTGCATCGGAGGAGACTGATCCTTGAGAATAATCAGTATATGGGTCAAGCTTTATTGTAAGAAGCCATTACGATGTGACTAGCAACTCCAAAGGTTTGCTGGTCATGGTGAACAGGAAAGATGAAAAAAGAACGAATTCCCAATTTGGGCATGACATACGCACATGGCAATGCCGGTCTTGCCGGACTCTCAGTTTTACAACTGGCTTGCAACCAACGCCACGTCGTCTGCAATTTGGCCATATGACATAGTTCGAATGGCAGAACGACTGACATCCACGAGAGCGGGAGTCAAGGAATTAAGGACTCGGCTACTAGTAGACAAGTCTTGTGCAACGGGAATTTGCCACTTCTCCCGAGGTATTGAACCATGGACTTTGATAAAATTTGGCATGCAGCACGTATGAAAAAAGGAAAACACCATACCATCATAACAGATACACAAATGTTGGAGCCAAATCTCCATCCATCCCTTTGACTTCCCGCCTCAGCATCCCCCTCTTCCTCTCATTCATCTGCACGAAATATCCCAAACATAACGCCGACCCAACAATCATCCCAACACTGAACCCGACCATCACCTTAGTCCCAAGCACGTACTTGGGCGCAGTGCTCAAGCTCCCTATCAACCATGTCGACACAATTCCCCCAGCGCTCGCCACCATGAACCCAACAGCAATCGCTGTCGCACGACGAACGTGTGGTGCCGAATTGGTCGAGTTCCACGTCCCCAAAGTCGGAGTGGTGGTGTATACACCGGGTATGGTCAAAAAGAGGCTACCATACCGAGTATTCGCTGATGACGAGGTAAGGAATACGATGAATCCTGTCAAGGTGATGATGGAAGTCATGATACAAACAAGACTTCGAATGTGGAACTTGTCACATAGGTAGGCTGACATCATCGACAACGCAAAGGCGGCAGCAAATGGCGGCACACTCATGAGCTGGGAGCGAGCAGCAGTATATCCTAAGCTCTGGACAATTGACGGTGTAAAGCTACGAATAATAAAAGTCAGGACAACCAAGATCAGCGTGAGATGAGAAGGTAATGCGTACAAAGCCAAGCCGAAAAGAACGGAACCCGAAAAGAATAATGTGATACTGAGAATCCAAACGTGCGGTGCGACTAATGCCTTCTTCACCTCTCTCCACTCAAACTTCTCCCCTCCGGACTCAGCAACTCGACTTGCCACATATTCGCGTTCAGTGGGACGCAAAAATCGAGCAGCCATAGCATCCCGAGGCATAAGAAAGTAGCCTATCAGGCCACAAGCAACGCTGAACGCGCCTTCGAGTATGAATATCCATCGCCACCCTGAACGTCCACCTATGCCATCCATGCGTATGATACCATAGGCGAGGATTCCTGAGAACGCCCCCGAGACTGAGCTGGTTGCGAAAATGGCTGATACACGAGTGGTCATCTTGGCACGGGGGTAGAAATGTGTCAAGTATAAAACTATCCCAGGGAGAGCACCACCTTCGAAGACCCCGAGGAAGAATCGACAGACAAGTAGGCCGCCATAATTCGTCACCACTCCTTGAAGGGTGGTGGCCAAACCCCAGCCGATCAATAAGGTGGGGAGGAGATAGTTCGGTCCAATGACCTGGATAGACGACTATAAACCCAAGAAACTGTAGAAGATGTTACTTGACATACTCGGAGTAGCAGATTTGAAGGTAGTTCAGCAGCAATGTTCGAAGCATAGGTAACAATTAATGCAGTGGTGTACTGCTTGTCGGTTATTCGGAGGTCATGTTGAAGGCCAGCAATACGTGCATTGCCGATGTTCGTTCTATCCTGTCGCGGATTTCAGTCATTCCAGAAATCAAAAGGTAGTGGATGACGTACCAGGAATGACAAGAAGTACCATATTGCTATGACCGGTAATAGAAATAAGTCCACCTTGAGCCATACCCTCCTTTCCAACGGTGCATCAAGTTCGATACTGTGATGGCTCTTTTCGCTGTCGCCGCTACCTGAATCGTGGCTGTCCTGAAGAGAGTCCGTCATGATTATCAGAACACGGACACGGACAATGGAGTATATGTACCTAGTGGACCACTCGCAGGGTCGTGAGGTGCGGAATCCCACGGGCCGGGGAAACTGGACAATGAGTCCAGAAATATTCGAGTGGATCTTGCAATCGAGATGTAAAACGTACTGTGATGCCTGTCTTCTCCTGAATCAGAATTGAAAGGATAACTACTGGGTAGCGAGCTTGCGATGATGAGGATCGAACTGAACGATAAAGGAAACGAATCAAACCTTAGAGCCTTCTCCCGTCGTACGCAATACGGCCTCCTCTATCCTCCGTTGATGATGGTCCCAAAATAGAGCCCAATAGTCTCCGAGGCCGAGGTAACGTGCCAGACAAAATATTTTCACGTCAAGGGTACTTCATTTTATGTGAGGCTACATCCTCGACGACGACAAAACGCAAGTAATGTATGTTCGGAACGGAAGCCATTACAGTCCTCTGGGATATTCTTTCACAAAGCATTTGATTCCTGATGAGAATGACATCGCCTAGCAGATCCGTGTCCTAGCTAACTCTTGCTCTTCCATCCTCACTCGAATAAAAGACTCTAGTAATTCGGATAAGATATTCCATCCCGTATGGTCCAGGCCCTGATAAGAGGAGTGTACCAGACACTGAAGAGTCAGAAACCGGCTGAGAAAGCGCGCGGGACCCAGCACATCCTTCATTTTAGAGGGAAGGTCAGAGGTTCCGACACTCAATTGCTTTAATTTGGGCAACGGCGGCGGCATACTGACGTGGGAACGAATTTCTGCAAAACCATTAAGATGAAGACCTAAATGCTCCAGGTGCCTTCCATGTTCGGCGACAACGACTAGAGTTTCCCAGTCGGAATATGGCTCGGACTCTGGAGGTAATAGGCGCGACGGAGAATCGTTAAGGGAAAGATCAATGACCGTGCCCCAGTTTCGGAGGAGGGTTATAATGTCGTTGTTCGTGAGCTGAAGGGGTAATACATGGCTGATCCGAAACCGGACAACACTGCGACAGCCAAACAATGGTTGGATGTCGGCAAGTGTTATGCGTTCGTCAGTAGGAAAATCTAGCTCATCTGCTACAGCTATGAGCTCTATGTCACGTAGGGATTCGCAATGCAATGATATGGCCTTCGTGAGTGACCGGGTAGATATCGAGGATTCGAGTTTGTAGGACCTTAAACACAGTTTGGTCATCGTGGGGAACTCCGTACAGAGTAGACGGGTAGCAGCATCCGAATAAGAGATTGTAAGGCTGAGGCTTTGGAGGTTGCAGGAAAACGTGAAATGGAAACTGGGGGGGGAGATCGAAAACAGCGTCTCATATAGTTGCACATTCCTGGGAGCGTCGATGGTTTCGAGATTTGGGAGAGATGCCGTCGAAGCAATGACAGCGTACATGTCTTCCATTGCAGGAAGAACGAGGACTTTGAGAAAGCGTAATTTTGGAAGAAGCCATGAAAGCGCGGGCCCAATATGGGCTTCAGATGCAATAGCATTATCACGGTATAAGCGCAATGTAAAGCTCTGAAGATGCGGCATACGCGTGGCTATGTGCTCGAAATATTTCAGAATGGCTTCATGCGTCTCAGGTTCTTCTAGCTCGAGCCCAAGGGAAAACCTTTTGATGCCTTCGTGCATGAAGAACACCGATTCACGCCACGAGTCATCACGATAGTGTAGCCAGGAGAGCTCGGTAAGATTGGGAAGAAAAGCCATGGAGTTGGGCTGAAGCACAGCGATATCGTTTATGACGGGACGGTAACTCGTGCAAAGTATGACATCATCCAGGACGCGTATTCGCCGCCTGTATATGTCGAAGCGGGCCCATCCGCTCAACGTAGGGAGGGTTTTGAATGACTACCAGCCGGAAGGAGGTGAGTTAGCATCATGATGGTAGGTAATCCTTTTCTGGCTTACACATTCTGAATCGTAAACGCCGTCTTCGTCATGTAGAGGTCGCTCTTCAACAGGCCCCAGCAGACGAAAAATGACACTAGGATCGTCTATTTCCTGCCAAATAGAATCCATCGTGATGTCCGCCCATAATTTGCAGACAGTGAGAGGACCGTGTACGAGCGGCTGCATCCAGGCGAGTTCTGCGATTCATGCGGTGACCAGCTCTGGGACGGTAAAGATACGGTGCATCGGAGGAGATTCAGCCATGAGAATAAGTAAGTATATGAGTCAATATTTATTGTAAGAATTTCTTACGATGTTACTGGCAACACCAAAGATCTGTTCGTCATGGTGAAAGGCAGAGATAAAAGAGGATAGAACTCCGATTTTGAAGTTGAACGTGACATAGTAGTACGCACGTGGAGATGCCGGTCTTGCCGGCTCCAGACAGCTCTGGAGCGCTCGTGTAGCCACAGATCCACAGATTTGAAAAAAAAAAAAAAAGAATATAAAGACTCGAGAGAACTCAAAAAACATGCTTTTCACCCAAATTTAAAACCAAAATTAAAAAAAAAGCAACAAAGATTGAATCAGACTGTCTCTGGTGATGAATATCGGCATAAGTAGTATATCAACAGAGCTCTACAGGGTGTGATAGCAGATATTCCCATTGATGTTGAGCTGCGAGCATAAAGCTCCATCTCCATCAAGTCTTCGTCTTGACTTCCATCTTCGGGCTCTCTTTGTTGCGGCCCCAGTCCGTATCGGGTGAGCGTAGATATCTTTTTGCTTTCAATGACCTGAAAGACCTTGTCTTTGTATGTCGGAGCTTCCTGTGCCCGGATTTTAATTTAGCTGTCGAGTCTCCGTCAAGGGGGTTGCGGCCCAGCAAGCCGGTGTAGTAGGGTATCCTGTCGTGGCCGGAGGGATCCATGCACTATTTGGGCCTGTTTGGCAGCGTCAGTAGTCAGATCGTAGCTTCACATCATAGAGAAGACAGAATCACAACCTGATATCATCATCTCTGCTCTCAGTCAGCTCGGGCCATCCCATTGTGGTGACGAGAGCATGATCCGATCCTAAATTTTGCATTTTGCGATTGCGGCACGCGAACCTCGGAAAGTGAAGAAAACACCTGAACACGGTGAAGAAAAAGTCAAAATCATTACCACTGCACAGACCAGGTGGACAATTCATTGTGAAAAGCGACCTGCCTTCATACACGCCTCTGCCATCTAGCTCCGACGAGGACGATCTGTCCTCAACTGCCAGCAGTCTCTCATTGACAAATACAGACGATTTTTTCGGTGTTGCGGACTCCAGACACTGGACACCACCAACCTCGGAACCTCCACAGACTCAGCCACCACAACCAACAGTCCACATCTCACGCCTACACCAAATGTCATCAAAAGATACAGAGTTTTGGTTCGAAGGCGCTGATGGCAAAACGAGCCCAGGAGAATTCATTCGCCAATTCATGAGGGAGATGAAAGGAGGGACAGAACAGGAAAGATTGGACAACTTTGAGTACTATCTGAAGGAGGGAAGCGAAGCAGATGAATGGTTTAGACTGTTGGATGCTGGGAAGAAGAAAAAGTGGGCAGATCTGAAGGCCGAATTCGATGCAAGATTCCCAGGTGTGCAAAGGGCAAAGCCAAGTGTGATAGAGCTCGAGAGAGAGCTCATGGACATGAAACTACCTGACGAGGACGTAGGAGTGAAGAACCTGAACATGGAGGCATACAAGCATGTCGAGTTTGCCAACCGACTACTGGCAAAGGCAAAGGCAGCTGGCATATCAGGTGGAAAGTCAAGTATCTTGGCCATGCGAGATAAGCTGCCGAGGATTCTGAAGGAGAAGGTCAAGGAGTCTCAAGCAGATTGGAAGACATTCACAGACGAGATTGCAGGTGTGGATATGGAGTGGATCTGGAATGAGAGAGAGAGAGAAGGAAAAGGAGAGGAAAGAAAGAGAGAAGAAGCTGAAAGAGGAACTGCTGTGAGGCTTGCAGCAGACACCCACGAGAGGGCTGACAGGTGCCATGGCAAGCACTCAGCTATCATCTCCCAGTACAGGTCGACCAACAAACCCGAGATATGGGCATCCACTGACAGACCACCAAATCCCACCCAATCCCTTTTCCTCCAGTGCCAACCATGGTTCATCATTCCAAAACTGGCCTCAGCTGTCGCCTGATGAGCTCACCATCATATGACAACATATGCAAAAATCAGTCCCACCATTGACAAAAGAGGCTGCAAGCGATTACGTTGCACAGTGTACAGCCTGGGATGCAGCACATGGAGCTTCAGCAACCATTACCTACAACACGCCATACCCTTTAACTCCTGGCACCACCATTCCAGGTAGTGGAGAGTGCTTTCGGTGTGGCCAGGCAATATACCACAGACCATGTCCAGTTGTGAAAGATCGATGGATCCCCTATAAGGAGAGTGAATGGCGACACCTATGTGACCTAGCCATGAAGGGTAAAGGCAGTACAAGCAGTAGCAGGGGTGGAGCACCACATGCATGTTAGACATAGTAGTAGTAGTACAAGACGCACACGGACACGTATTTGATATTTCTTGCCTTTTTCGTTTTGCGATGCACAGCCTCACATCTCAGCTTTTACCAACACGCTGAGATGTGAGTACCTCTACGTATATCCATACTATTAGTTTACTTACCATCTTGCAGTAACGTTCCGTTACATTATCCAGGTATATAATATACAAGCTTTTACCAACACGCTGAGATTAACGTTCCGTTACATTATCCAGTGTTGCTCACTTTCTCTCGAGCCTACTTTCCGTTACCACGTCCGAGCGCCGACCTCGTAACTCCAACAGGTTATGGGCCCCGCTACCAGCATGTCAACGACAACTGCCATAAAGCTAGTCAGCACAACAAAGCTCGCAGATGATGGATCAAACTGGGTAGCGTTTGAAGAAAAACTCACCAACAAGTTTCTGGACAAGGGTCTAGGCCGACACCTACGAGGAACTGCTCGTGTACCCCCTCACCCAGTTGAGCACAAAGGAAAATTTTACCGGTCAACTGACACCACATTTTCGCACCCCCTCTCGGATGATGACCTGGAGAAGCTGGAGGATAAGCTCGAAGAGTATGAGCAGAAAGAGGCAAAGATGCGCACCATCATTTATGAATCCATCTCCGACTCTACCTTCAATGAGATCAAGGGCGAAGCAACAGCTGCTCTCGTCTGGAAAAAGCTCATCGCTGTCATGACTGGCAAGGGCGATCTCGTACGCGAACACCTCCTTACCCGACTCAGCAACATGTCCTGCCCTGATGAAGGCAACATGCGAGAACACCTTGGCGAGATGAAGATCCTCCGTGAACGTATTGAGGGCATGGGCCTGAAAATCGAGGACAATCAGTACACCTCAATGATCCAAAAATCACTCCCACCTTCATATGACCACATCCGCCGCACCCTCTCCGCTGCCAGCAAATTCACTCAAAAGCCCCTCACGTCGGACATCCTTGTTGCAGCACTGCAAGAAGAATGGGATGAAGAAGTAGCATCAAAGGCCACAGCTGAGAATGTGGCGATGTCTGCACAACGACAGAACAAGGGGAAAGGTCAGGGCTCCGGGGGAAAGTCGAAGAAAAAACCAGACAGATCCCACCTTAAATGCACAAACCCGGCATGTGGAAGAACCGGCCATCTCATTGCAGACTGTTGGAGCGAGGGTGGTGGAAAGGAAGGTCAGGGCCCAGCTTCGAAAAAGAACAAGGCTAAAGGAAAAGGGAAGGCGAAGGAGTCAGCATCAGCAGCCATTGACGAAAGTGACGATGAGCACGTTATTGCGGTCGTAGCTGATGACAACGATGACCTAAATGTGGCCTTAATGTGCACATCGGACTACAAGGCCGAGGGCGATGCTCACGTAGCGAGGGGAGAAGAAGTTACAGCAATAGCTGATTGCGGAGCTTCGAAAACATACTCACCCGAACGCTGGAGATTCAAAAATTACTCCAACATTGACCCGAAGCCCATCAAAGCCGCAAATGGAGAAGTCTTCTATGCAGTAGGTAAAGGGGACCTTCAATTACCATTACCTATGGGTGAAGGTCAGAAGCCCACCATTGCGAGATTTCGGAATGCGTACCATGCACCGAAAATGGCATACACCCTCATATCCCTATCACACGTCAGCCGCGCCGGATTTCCCATCCACATTGAACCCACTGACCGTACCATGTATATCCGGACACCACGACCCAACGCTAAGATCATAGCCAAGATCCCCGAAGCTGGAGGCTTATACATCATCTCAACCCCAGGTACACGCCAGACCACGGGAGCAAAACCAGATGTCGCTATGGCGGCAGGTAAGCTCAAGGTGAACATCACTGAGCTACACAATATCTGTGCTCACCGAAGCCATGCCACCCTCCGCCGCATGTATATTGATGGCCATATCGAGGGAATCGAGCTTGATCTGGACTCCAAACCGGAATTTTGCGAGACCTGTGTGAAGGCCAAAGCGAAACGCAAACCATTCCCCAAGCAGGGCCAATATGAGTACGTCGAGAACACCGGCGACAAGGTCGTTGGAGACTTGATGGGCCCGATGTCTGTCGTATCACTTGGAGGAGCACGCTATGCCTGCACATACCGTGACCTACACACTCACGAGTCAAAATCCGAGTACCTATCAAAGAAATCGGGTACCTTTGGATCGTACAAGCGCTATGAAATCTGGATCAAGGTCCAGCGAGGTGTCGAAGTCATAAAGATTCTGGGTACGGATCGAGGGGGAGAATTCCTAAGCGAAGAGTTCACTCAGCACCTCAAATCAAAGGGAACAGAGCGTCACCTTACTGTACATGATTCCCCGCAGTCAAATGGAATTGCCGAACGTTCCAATGGGTATCTGATGGACACGACGAGAGCATTCCTAATCAGTTCAGGATTACCAAAATATCTATGGGCTGAAGCTCACCGGCATGCTGAATGGGTCTACAACCGCACCCCAACGAAAGCAATACCATCAGGGAAAACCCCGTTTGAGATGGCAACCGGCAGAAAGCCCAACATCTCCGGCCTTCGTCCATGGGGATGTCGTTGCTGGGTTCGAGTAAAGGCACCGGAAAAGCTGGGGGAACATGCTATAGAGGCTCGCTTTGTGGGAATTGATACTGAAGCCAAAGGCTGGAGGATTTACTGGCCCGAAAAGCGAAGGGTCACCATTGAACGTGATGTTTACTTCAACAAGGAAGACCTGACTCCAGAACCGTTCGTCGTCGAGGGGGAGGATGAAGATATCGACTCTCCTCAGGCTCCAAAGTCATCTACAGTCCCTCAGCCTACTGAAAATCAACCAGACGAACCAGAAAATCCCACAGAAACTCACCTAGAACGTCCGGAATCTCCACTCACAGACATAGAGTCTGATCCTACCCCTCAGCCAAGCCGACCCAAGCGATCTGCAGCTCCAAAACCAGGCCAGCTCACACTCCCAGACCTACGCAAACGCCCCACCA